GTAAATTCGCGTCAGTGAGTATCTAAAGATTCGACCAGACAAAACTTAGAGCGATTCGTCAACAATTTTTGGAATACCCGTATCGTTTTAGTATCGAGCCGCAGGATGCAGATCCCTGCCAGGTTCCTCGAGCCAGAACTAAACTCTAGCAAAAGCTACACTCCGTTGAAAGGCCTATGGTGGTTGCTGGAGCTGCACAACATAATTATCTCACTCAAGAAAACGTGGCCGCAGCTCACAGCAGCAAAAAGCCGCCCGTCGGGATGTGCAAAACCTGGGTAACTGTGATACGACATCGAGAGACGGCTCTCCAGTCCAGCATGAAGACTCGAGTTGAAGCAGACCAGCTACAAATAACTGCAGACAAATGCCTTTAATAACTGGTAGATCAAAGATTCGAGAAGTTGTTTTCCTAAACTCGACCGGAGTAGACAAAAATCGTCTGAGCATTGACACATGAGATCTACAAATGGCCGACGCCAACAACCGCAATAATTTACATGGAGCTGAAGCCTCCACACAGACAAAACCGAAAACAGAAAGAATGGCTTGCAAACCGTACCAGCTGCACCTATGGGGTGCCCCAGCCTATCCCGATACCAAAACCCCAGAGGCAATGGAGAAAAAAAGAAATTGAAGCATATCACACGGCTATCTCTGCTCCCCCCCAACACCCTAAAAGGAAGAAGCCATCAGGCGGGAAGACAGGCAAGAGTCCTCCACATGGAGTTTATGGAGTATGGGATCCCTGTACCACATGGCTTTGAAATTCCGCGCTTAGATTTAAACAGGCCTACCTGCCGGTCCATGGAATACCCGCACCCATCTGGAAAACAAGATACCAGCATCGTGCAGAACATGTGGCAAAGAGGCATCTCATGAAAACGAGGGCCCTAAAAAAATTTGCCACCAATGACGAGCCCTTATGCGCGGAAATTACGGTTCAACAGCCGGAATGAGGGGAAAGGAATAAATGCAACCCCCTTGGACGGCTCCGACTATCCCTGCTTAACGGTAGAATGCCAGATTTGGCACTGCGATACGGATATCGTTCAAAGCATCCGTTACCTGAAGTGACGGCAAGTCGTCGTTCCCATTCCCACGGACAAGGTTGAAAAGAAAAAGGCCTACCCGGGAGACCCTTGGTATGCTAACCAGGATAGTTACCTAAGTCTACAGCCTGCCGGCTAAGGGTGGGTAACCGACACTATCGGCGATTGATTACGGGTTGCGAAGCCACTGTGCCACCGAATAGGGCACGAAAAGACCACCGCAGCCAGATAGCCCCGCCGCTAAGCGCAAAAAATTGAGTGTCAAATATTCACTATATGCTTTGTCAAATGCAAACCGCCATTTTCAAACAAATTCTCGCGTATCTGCTCCTGCTTTTATTCATCACCGGAACCGAATTTCGTTGTTTCAAATCTTCCGCATGCCAGTATGCGCAAGAAAATCAAGAGCCACTGTTGTTTAACTGCAGTGGCTCTGACATCCCAAAATCATGGACTCGAATGGGTTTTGGAAAAGTTGGCTTTGCATTCATTTATTCGTTGTTTAACTGCCAGTTACTTTATCGTTTTCCGTCGTAAGTAGTACCTTATCGGTTATTACCATAATTACTATATCATTTTCCGCCACCACTTACCCTTGTTTTTTCGCTGTTACTTGATTAACCACTTTTTGTTACTTGAATCATACATTTACATTTAACTGCCTTAAGCCTGCGCTTTCCGCGAAGTGAAGGCCAACTACTCTCCTTATCTCTTGCAGTCTCAGCAGAAATGCATCCCACTGAGTGGAATAGTGTTTCTTCTATATTGTATTTGAAATAAGGATATGTTTTATTCTCGTTTCATTTTTTCGCTTCGCGACTCTTTTTGCTCTTTCGGGACCATCCCTTACGCGCCAGGTGTAGCACTGTTTATTGGCTGGTTGCGGCCGTCAAGTTGAAGAACTGGCTCAAAATCCTAAAACATGCCGGTCAGCACTCCCTGTGACCATGATGCTTCTGGCTGCTATCCTAAGGCCGGTTTGCGCTAAGCCAGCTGTGCTTAACGATTTTTCTCTGTGCTCCGACTGCCCACTACCCCTTTGGAGCTAAGCGCGTTATGTCAGACTGCCAACCCGCTCTCGACTGCCTACTCTTTCCTGCGTGCAAAAACCGGCTTTGCTATTCTCCAAAACATTCCATTCGGCCGACCGCACTCAGAAACAAAATCTCAATGTTATAAGTCCCGTCGCCGCTAAGTTACCTGTCAGTACTGTTGGTCGTGTCCGTGGACGTCGATGTCGTATCAGTGGGCTGACCTCACTAAGCCGGCTATGACCCGGTGTGACCCGGTAGCCTGAACATGTTTTATTTGAAAAATAGTTAACGCTACTTCTGCACAGACAGACATCTGCTTAATAATCGCTTTTTGTCTATAACAAACAGACAAGTTTGCGGGTTGCCAGAATTGTATGAGATCATTTATCGGGTTTTGCTGTGGGTTCTTATTAGAAATTTACAGCAGACTTCATTACCCAATAAAAGGATGTACCCTTCTATACCCTATTTATACCCAATAAAAGGATGTACAAACAAATACGGTCGTCTTATCCTGACAGTCGGTGCCAGGACCGACATAGTATAGGACGTCTGACGTAAAAGCTTACCGATATGTCCCAGCATATGATGCAGCTGGGAACGGTAAGACAGACCCCCGCATGTTTACTGTTGTTGGTGTTTTATTCAAAGAAGTTTTTGCACAAAAAAGTCTTACACGCTCGCTCGCTTGCACTAAGGGCGGTTACGACCTTCTATACTAGTGTACTTGAATCTGATAAAATTATTTTTATTAAGTGCCAAAAAATGACAGTTCGTTACAGTTCGTCGTACCTTACATCAACCGCTGTGGCGCTCGATAGTGCAATGCGACCAGTGGCGCGTACCCACACGAAAGTGATGCGGTCAGAATGCGAACGTGCGCATTCTGGATTCGTTTATTCTGCACGATTTCTGAAACTAACGACTTTTAAAAAATCTATGCTATATTTTTCTCCTTCAATTAAAAGCCCAGTTGGCTGAAATTCAATGGTCGAAGTCGATCGGATTTCGCGCCAGCTCCGTTGGAAAATTGAACGTTCTGCAAAGTGCTGTTAAAATGTGCGCAAGCGATGAAGCGTCCGTATCTGAGCGCATACCTGGGATGCGATTTAGAGACGACCAACTAACTACATAATAGCAACACTCGAATATGCGCAAAGTTTAATTGGAAATATACGGAAACACGACCAAATCAGCATAGTTTTTCCGCATCACTTTCATGCGGGGTACTTAACAAATCGATCATACACACGAAACTCTTGTGTGGCTGTTGTTCGAATCCAGGCACAAACTCCCGTGTGCCAAAATTCTTGTCCTGTTACAACACATACAATGTTCCGGACTCAGCAATTCGTCGGAGGAAGCTAATTAAGGCAAGAGAAAAACCACAGCCATATTGGGCTGCCACTGCTTTATTCAACTTGTTCTAAAAACGGTTTGGTTAATTGTACAACCTCCATGTTACCAGACTACATTTACAGTTTCTACACAATTATAAGACCTTGAGAGTCTGCAAGACTATTATGTGCCAAGAAGTACTCTTGTCATGAGCAAAAGATCATAATTCAGGAATACCGTGTTTGCTATGCTGAACGCAAGGATGGGCACCGGGTTTGTTGCGTTTCGACACTGACCATCATTATCAGTGGAAAATTATCAGACAAACGCCACCACAATACCACATTTTTTGCGTCGCATGTTGATGATTAATGCCCCATAATAACAATTTCAGCTACATTGCTACAGTATGCAACACAGCTCCACCCTTCTGTACTGCGATGGCGATGGCACAAGCCAGGAGTGATGGCTGGACTTGGGAAGTACCGTGCATGATCATTTCGTAAACATTTGTTGCACGGTGTGTAGTACTGTGTACAAGTTCATACTACGTACATACATGCAAACCATCCACCCATTAAATCGTAATAAAACAAGACCGCTATAGTTACTGGTTGAATTGCTAATCTGATGTTAATCATATGCAAAATGGTATGGCGGCTGCATAGTCACACGGTTACTGTACACATTGCCTATCGTTTCTATGTGCGATATCAAGGCATTACGAAAATCAAACGCATAAAGATGACATACACAGGCCTTTGCATATTACTAGGGCAGTATTCCTTCTACATTTTGATCTTGACACGCGCTTTTGATCCTGTTCTGGTAGTTCTCCAGGACAACACCACGGGCCCCGAACGCGATTTTTTCAGGTTTGCGATGCCAAGATGTCGTTGAAAAACTTCAAACCTACTTCACTTTCTTTAGGCAAACTGCCGAGAGAAAAAACCTGGTCATATGCATGATTTTGGACCTTTTTTTAAATTTTATTTTAAGCGAGACACTAAATCACATATATGTGCATATATACGGCATATTTCCTTGAAAAGCTTTACAAATGGAGAAGAGCCCTCATAGTGCGTAAGGCTGTAGGGGTTGGAGTTCATAACTGTATGCGACAGTGGTCTGCATGCTCCGTGTTAAAGTTAACAGCTGTCCAGAATGCACAGGATGGTTTCCAACAAGCATCACGGAATGCAGCGATAAGTAACGAAATGTAATGATAAAGTGAAGCAAATGGAAGGAGATGGGCGCTGAATAAAACATCATTAAAATAAGCCAAAAAATCTACCACGCCGACCGCTGCTCTCTTGCCCAAACCGCGGTGGAGCCGGTTCCCGAGGCGGAGAGCCAGGCAACCATGGATAGCTGGGACGTCGTCCCCGCGGGACTAAGTCTCTAGGTTCCATCTCCGCGGCATTTCGACCAGACGACCGCCCTTGGAAATTATCGAAAGCATCGAAGCACTTCTGTACCAGGTTCCGTTTCGGCGGCGATCGAGGCGAGTACTTGGGAGTGTAAAAGACCTCCTGATGCTGCGACTCCTGCCCGCGCGTATCCTGTACGATCTCCACTAACTCCCGAATTTTTTGTCCATTGAGCGGCGAATTTTTTGTCCATTGAGCGGCAGCCGATACAACGAGCGCATAGCCATCGTGATTTCCTCGGCGGTGATTGGCTGTTCATGGTTACCCGCCTGCATCGCTTCTTCCAGGATTTTCCGCTCTTCTTGGTACGCGTTTAGCATATTCTGATAGTTCTCCAGGACAGCGCGACTGGCACCGACCGCAATTTTTTCGCGCTCCGCCGAAATCAGGTAACGGAGGTACTCTTCCATGGCGTCATTGTACGGCAGCATAGCGTTCTCCTTCAGGAAGTAGCCAAAACGCACCGACACTCTGCGGATTTCTTTTTCTTCAGATTTCAGGTCATTCTTGCGTTTTTCGATGTCCAGAAGCATAGTCTGAACGGCGGCAATCTGGCCGTTCTTCTGCTGGAGCATCCGCCGCACGTTTTCGTCAACTGTACGCTTTTCCACTTCGTGCACTTCGTAGGTAATATGCATATGCTTCTCCCAAATGCATCCGCAATGTTCACAACTGACACCACCGCTTCGCTGCATTGCCGAACATTTCTGTAACTCCGGTTGCGGATACTGATTGACAGTGACACCCTCAAGAAAACAGTGATCGTGGCACCAAGTCACATAATTCGCCTTGTTACCCACCATTTTAATGCACTTCTCCGCAATACACACGGTTCTTGGGAACCCCAGCTGTGTTGCTTCTAAATCGACGATTGGAACGAAGAGCTTTTCTTTCAACGCTTCTCGGCTGCTGGCAAACGCTCGTATCTCGGCTGCTTTATCGTCGGCCAACTGCAAGTTCAGTTGGATATTTTTCGTAATATGTGTCAACGGTTCGGTAAAGGAGAGAATTAGGCGTCGAGCTTCGTTTAAAGAGATCGTATTACGCAGCGCATGGGGTGTTCGAGTCATGACAAACTTCAGTAATCGCTCTGTCTCTTCCACCGACTTTTCCCAGCTCTTCATAAAGTTTTCTTCATCTGTTTGCGAAAAGGTCACGCCCTGCTTCAGGGCCGCCATGAAGCGTACCGCTTCGCTATCCACACAGTAAATTGTCGCGCTGCTCAGTTCGATATCCACTCCGTTAGATTCCTTAATTCGCTTCTTCAAAATCGGAAACGTATCACCCGGACGGTAGAACGTCGATCGTGCGTTGGTAAACACAAAAGCGATATTGTGGCATGCATCACGGTGCAGATGCGTCAGCAGCTCCTTGATGCAGAAACGAAACATAATGTTCAAGCGCGAATTATTGGGTTTCAGAAGAATGCAGATGCCGTTGATTTTGTCGTAATTTGCTAGATGCTGCATGATGAACTGGAAGTTCTTTTTATCCTGTTCGGTGCCCCGGGTGTCGCCAATGCCGGGCGTGTCAATTAGGCGGACAATTGTGTGACCTTTCTTAAAGACATAACTGCGTGGCATCTGAGTGGCGGACTGGCCCAAAACGCTTTCTTCGTTGCTGCTCGAGCCCATTGTGACGACCTGCTCTTCAAAATGTTCGTTGAGTGTGGTGAAATGGGCGGGAATCAGATACACCGGTTCGGCGAGGGCGTCGTCCAGATTTGAATATGTTAAGAAGTTAGCAAAGCCATTGATGAACGTAGATTTGCCAACCCCCGTTTCGCCTACAGTACAGCAGAGTGGTTCTATAATTTTATTTTATTTTCTATATTTTCTGTTCTATAACTGGGTCAGATTAATCATTTAAGTACAAAAAGCTTAAAAAGAATTAAAACCGGAGGACGATAACCAGCGCAAGACCGATGCATACCTAGAATCAGAATGTTGATTTCGTCAAAAGGCTGTATATCCAGCAGCAACCTGTCCATGACCGCCGGCGGAAATCCGATGTGCTCGTTCCCATGCACCTTTTCCCCGCAATGAAATACAAAAGCTCTTGCGGGAGCTTTACCACAGTTGCAATAGAAGAATCCATCGAATCCGTATTCCAGACCTTGAGCACACCCTGCACATCTCCACCGGCGATTTTCGGCTGAGCAACCATGCATTTCTCGCGATCCCGGACAAGGTATCTCTACATCTCCGCGGTTTTTTGGTTTCTGCCCTTGTTCGGGAGTTTTTAGAGGTTTTGCGGTGGCTTCTGGAGGTTCTTGAGTTTCCTGCATAATGACTTCACCAACTAGCTCTCCGTAGCGGTAACACCAAACGGCAGTCTTTGTCGGGGACAGGCGTGGCGGATTACGCATTTGTGGATCTACAAATATGAACAGCGCGTTTTGGTGGTCCGGACTGTCACTGAGCCCCAGGAAGCTTTGCAAAGATTCATTCCACTTCGACGGACTGTCGATGCGATCACGGTCATCATTGTGAAAAATGTACGTAACGGAAGCGCTTTTGATCGCTACTGAAAGGTCATCGGTTATTTCTCCAACAGGAAATACATTTTTCTCTTTAAGCATCGCGACTATGCTTGCTTTTCCGGGAGTTAATTCTTGCCCTTGTATCCGTTCTGCGCCTGCATCTTCTGATTCAGTAGCCGTACTTTTGAAGATTTTGTGTAACTTTGCCTCAGTCTGGGAAACACTTGCTCTGGGCTTTGATAGTGGCAACTCTTTCATTTTTTTATTTGCATGTTCAATTTTTGCTTCGGAAAGTTCTTGCGTAACTTCAGTAACCGAAGGTACCGATACTTCAGGCTCGGCAGCTGCGGCCGTTGAAGATTCCGATTCCTCGTTTGCGTAAAAGGTGATACAGCTCGAAAGAGGCGTACTGGGCGTGGCGACCGTTGTGCTTTGGGAATGCTGGGTGGATATTTCCTTTTCCTCGTCAGCTCTTTCAGTCTGAAAATCAACCTCACCTTTGAGTTCCCACAGATTCTCGGAAACGGGGTGAGTGCGACGGCATTGATCCGCTTTCAGAGATTGTTCTGTCATAAACCCATCTGGTTCAGCCTGCAAATGTTGATATTTTTTTGTAAGAGCATAGATATGAAGATTATGTAATTCTTATTATAGACCAGGGATTTAGTATCAGTGCGTTAATCTAAATGTTGTAATCAATATCTGTACCTGAAGAAGGGCTGTGGGATTTTCATCCTGTGGCAGATCATCCACAATTTCAAACTCCGAAGCAGACGAATCACTGCGTTCACGGCTCACTTCCATTTTGACCTTTAAATTAGTCAACTTTGGACAAAAACGGATTTGTATATATAGGACAAGTGAATAAACTATTGTTTTGACAAGGAAACTGCGTTTCCTTAGTCCTAGAGAAAGTTCTAAAATCGCTGAACCTGTCAAATGTATGCACGCGTAGTAAGTACTACGTAGTAACTAGTAGGCTCATTTGGAGAACACCGGCTATAGTGTCAGGATTGCAACTGACAGTGCGACAACATCGCGTTGCATTTACTTGATATAGTGGCGTAAAAGAAAACTCGTTTCACGATGACAAATTATGAGATCACAGCGTGGATTATTTTGTGCTTTCGGCTTTCCAGTTGCACCTCTTTTGACGCTGCATGTTCTTGCCGTTAGTCATCAAATCATCATCATTACGTACTTGCAGTTTAAGCGTAAACTAGAGATTAATGATACAGTGATTAATATTTAGTTTTGGCTTCGGAAACGCTAACAAAAATTCCAAAATGTAAATAGACTATTTCTGCAAATTAAGATTTGGAGCCGGTTAAAAGAGTTTTATAAACTCGTATTTCCATTTACAGTGCGTGAATTTGAAGACGAAAGTATAAATTACTACAGCACTCTAGGTGTACATACAAGATATACCATTGTCTACTATATTAAAATTATTCAGAAGTCGAAGGAGGACCAGCTCCTGAAATTAAAATATAAAATTAATATTACTGAAAATTTTACTTCATAAAATCTCCGAATATGGTAACACTAGTGCATAACCCCGTAAACATTTCAAGAAATTCTCATGCATTTTGATTTATCCGAGCCTTGACGCATTGCTGATCGTGCTTATTTATGGGCTCCATGGACGGTTTGAAGTGAACGCAAGTGGAACTAAATAAGAGGTGTGCTGACCGTTGCGCAAAATTCAGGAGGTAACCTTAAACGGCGTTCTGCTTATGACCATCACAATTTTCTGAATCCAATGCAAAGTCCAGGCAGTTTGTTATTATCTTAGTTCCTGCAGCAGTGAGTGTAGCTGCATAAGATGCCACTCCCGCCTTGACAGCAGCATGGCAAAGGAAATGATGACTTCTGTAATCGGCTTTTCGCAACAACTGTCGCTTTTCATTGTCGAAAAATGGGAAACGCATAAAATCTTTAAGACTTTAGTGAGTTGTTTTTTTTTTGTAAAAATATGGTGTACGAGGCATTCTGTATCCAACATTAGCAAATTGATCTTGCACGTGACATGCAGTAGTAGTGTGTATGCCAGTATAATGCATCATTAGATGTTATTCATATCGTTCTAAAAACGTGATCTTGTTGAACAGGATCATGCAAAATTCTGTAAGTGCTTGGTTAACAAGCGCGTATAAAGTAAAGTACAGCATAAAAAGGCGGCATGTTGTTGTGTGGTTCGCTTCCCCCAGCTTTGGCTGTGTACTGCCATCCATCGAAGATCCCCAGTGGTTCTTTACCTTCCATATGTATATTACTACTAAATCGGTAAACCGCGTCGTTATTAAAGGTGACGAACCGGCCGCCATTCTCTACGGCGTGCCAGTGACTAGGCATTTCCTGAATAGTTAATTCATGCGTCTCTTCGCCTCCTGTGGCGCACAAAGGATGTGCAGTTGTGCGGCCCAGCGGGAAACGCCCTGATAAGTTCGGCAAAACTCCTGAAGGAAAAAGTTTAGCCAGTTGCGGAAAATCTTCGGTGGAGAATGTCTCTCCCTCACACCGCATCCAGCAACGCGGCAATGTCTGCGCGGTCTCCGTGGCGAACGCAACAATTGATCCGATAGGTGGCGCATTGTTGTTATCGTTACTGATGAGCATATTGAACTTCTGCAAAGTATTATTTGTTGAATCGAGGAGAATCTGTAGCCTAGCCAACGATGCAGAAGAGACCGCTGTGCTGCCCGCTGCGGGTGTGGCTGTGATCTTTTTCTCCAAATCTTTGCTATAAATGCGCAATTCGCGCACTTCTTTCGCCACAGTACTGCAGTTATTCTTTATATCTTGGAGCTCTTCTGTTACATCCTGTTCTTCAGTCTTTGTGCGCAGCGTCTGAATGTCCTTGCTCAACTTTTTGATCTCGTCTTCCAGTTGGCTAATGCGGCTGGCTTGTTGCGATACTTTGGCTGTCAGATCTCAAATTAAAATAGCTAGTAAATATTCTATGTGGATATTGGATTTTTCCAACAGCACGCTACAAGTTACACTTTCATCATCTGGCGAATAATGAGGAGAGGATACCGGTTGTGGAAAAATCTGACGATTTACGATAGCTTAGTTATATGAGTGAAAATACTTGATACAAACTAAAACTCAAATAATTGTACGCATACAAAAGCGAAAGTGTCTCAAAGCAAAAGTGCAAAAGCGTCTCCTGCGGCAACTGAATTGTGCAGAGTACAAGACATCTAAAGTCTAAACATACTGTACTACGAGTATATTCTTGTTTTCTACCTTGCAAACCACTTCCGGTGGCGGTCGAACAACGAAAACACTTCTGAATTCTGACCACATCCAGTGTGCTTAGATTTTCGTTCTGGCCAACTTTTGCCCGTTTGACTTTCGGAACGATGGTAGGCGTGCTGTTGTCCTTGGCAAAAGCGTTGTATGCATAGTGCATTACCGACTCGTAATCATACGGTAATCCGTACGTTATTCCCGTATCATACTTTTGGAACTGCTCTCGATTATCTACAGTTTAAATCAAACATAGCAACTCCGGAAGAAGAATTGGATAACTTTGCTTTCGACGCTGCAAAATTTGTTAGGTAGCAATCTGGCTCGAAACAACGAGAGCCAAAGTATGAGAAAAGCACCAGTTTTGACTTCTATATTATCTCACCCGAGATGCCATTTTGTACTGCATACTGTACGTATTGATATTGATACTTTACGTTGAGTACATTATTATCACCGATAAAACCCTGTTCACATAACCCTTTAGGATGTACTACTATGCATGTATACGCCTTGTTGGTTACCCTCGCTGATGTTATCCCAAATGATTGTCACATAATTATCGCGGTCGGAGCGTGATTGTTCATGGAGAAAGCCCATCGTGTGCATAAGTTCATGTTGAACATCGCCGTGATGCTGCATGCATGCTTGTGAGAGCCAAACCTGCTGCCGGCTTCCAGTTCGTCCAATACTAGACATGCACCTAACAATAAAACCCAAGCATCGAAGGTTATAGCTTTCTTACAATATGATACTTACTAAGTCTTAGGATTATATTCAATGCGGCAAACAACGAGCAAAGCTTACTGAATGCCTCTTTGAAAAACGATGTAGTCTTCTTCCGTGGATCGGCGAACAAATTTGATACAGTTGTTGGTCAGCTGGCTGATAAGTGCCATGGACTGCACCACGAAGGCGGTTTCTTTTGTACCTGCAAATCAAAGCACACCAAAAATTTATTACTCTGTCAGCTCTATGGCACAAGTTTTGCGTACTGAATGTCGCAAATTGTTTCCGTGTGAATTCGTACGGTATGGTATTGTTGGGCCACAAAAGTTTCGTATCGTCTACAGCGTTGGCGGCTCCTTTCGGCGTCTTTTGGTAATGAATGCACAGAAACTGTTAATACTATTTTGCGTAATAATGGACAGGTAAGGTTACGTACTAATGAGCAAAACTACCCTTAATTCTGCAGACTCGTAAGAGTAAACGCTTCCTTGCAATCTCCTTACTTGTTCCGGTTTTTCGAAGCCGACCATGTCTCCCTCCATCATGTCGCTATCATAACGTCCTTGGTGCTCTTCGCTATTTTCTAGCATATCCGGATGGATGTAATCCCTCCAGTCTGTTGACGGAGCGACCAGATATAAGACAAGAGTGATGGTGCAACGAGTGTTCTACCAGTATAGCAAACTAGCGTTTGTACCTTACTTTGGATTAAACCGTATGCTGTGCTACAATGACACAGGAAGAAAAGTAAAGGAAAAACTGTCGACGTTGTCGGCATAATTGCAGTGTTCCTAGCTCCTAATTAACAAGACCTTGTAATTAATGCTGTGAGTACCAGTTTAAATACAGAAAGTAGCTAAATTATCACTACTTTGGTCTCTGAATAATTTGGTCTCTCAAATTACTACTTTGGTCTCTGTGTATTACAGAGTTTTTTGACTATGGCTCCCGGTCATAAAATTATGGGCTGCAGCTGACGACATCAGGAAGATAAATTACATTAAAAAACTGTATATTGACGAAAAATTAACACCCCGTAGTATGCCTGAGGCACATCGTTTTTGAAACCTGATTTATCTGATCACGCCTTTACAGCCAAAAAAGTTAATTTCGCAAATGTTTTCCACCGTTCAGACGAGGAGACAGCAATTCCCATCTCGCACATTACCTGGAAGGAGCAAAACCAGACATGGCTGCAATTCTGCAGTGCCATTGCCATAAAGGAGTCATCATCACGCCGGTGTGAAAATCGTAATTGTCGACTTAAAAGTTTAACGAGGTCTGTGGTGTTCGAAAAATTAAATTCGTTGTGCGCGATATTGCAAGCAATCTTGTGACAAACTTGTAATGCGTGTATGGTGTCAAACTAATAAAAGAAAAAAAAACATGACTTCTGTTCGCTCATCTGAGCTGGGCAGGTCCTCGAGGCGATATGTACTTGCACCTATTCTGAAACCAACGAAGGGGCAATAACACTGTCACAATTGCAATACGAATCGTTTATTTGCTTACTTAATATAAACCTCGCCAGTGAATAGGGATTAGGGAAGCTAAGTAGTTATGCGGGTAAGTAAGTGAACGTCCTAATTGTAGTTGTAATTTGTGGTTAAATTTTAATGAGGCCCATTTAAATTCGGCAATACGTTTCTGTATCGGGAAAAGCGCCTTTAATACTGTAGTACCAGACTATGTACCAGTATACTGATTACTGCATGATGTATTATATACTGTACATTACTTACTTTATGGGATTCCGTCCCAACCGTTGCAGTCAGCCACTGCATTGTGTTATTAGCAACTGCGGAACACTCAGAATGTGTTCCATAGTTTAATTTGAGTTGGAATATGGATCTGTCACTTATGCATTTCCACTGCAGTTTCTGATAGCTTTGTGATATCGCATTCCAGAACATAAATGCAGTTCAGTTTTTCGTCCGCTACAGATAATTTGTGGCCAAGATTTTCTCAGATCAGCTTAATTTTTTTTAGCAATTGCGAAAATAACCATGAGTTCGAAGCCGAGCCATGGTATCAATCATTAATGCAACCACTAAGATAGAGTAATCACTTGTTTTTCTTGATTTCAAGCCAGAGATTTACTCATTGCACAGTAACTTTCCTGAATGCATTTGTTATGTTAACGTTCAAAAATCAAGGTTTTCATAAACACTGTGAAGCACTTACTACATAAAAGGATTATTGCGTGTCATTTAAAATGCTTCGTACTCCAGAAAACCGCATAACGGAGCCAAGTGGCTGTGTGTTTTGGCTAGACATTTTCAGCGTTCTACTTGAGTGCACGTGAGGTTTTTGCTGATGTTCCCCATAAACCAGGAATTTTTTGCCGCACAGCAATTTCCACCACGAGCACTCTACTGTCTATCATTTTTCTCATTTGTATAAAGAAACCGTAATATTATATATACTACTACCCACTTCGGTCGCCAATACAGTTCGATAAGACTAACTTTTGTGTATACAAAATGAGGTCGCCAGCTACGGTGATACCGGTATTGCTCTTACTGGCTGCTTCTTGGTGAGAATATACTGTACCGATATATTTTCAGTTTTACGACAGTAAACTTTGACGTTGCGTTAGTACAAAGTCTAATAATTTAATGTCACTTTCGACCGCATGTGGTTTTACCTTTCCACTGCACCGATAGGGCGGACAAGCCGCGCCGTCCAAAACCCGGAACAATCCCGCTGACGCCAGAACAGTTAAAACAGCAGCCGAAATTCATCGCCACTCACCGTCATCGGGCTGTCGGTGCGATTCCGGAATGCTTCGATGCCCGGGAGAAATGGTCGCAGTGTAAGAGCATCTCGGATATCCGTGATCAAGGAGGTTGTGGCAGTTGTTGGGTAATGATCCCAGTCGGCGCACTGTAGCGGATCTAGCTCGTAGAAGGCTGAAAGTGCTGCATATTGTAATATTTTAGGCGATGGCATCCGCCAGCGTATTGTCCGACCGGATTTGTATTTCCGAATTAGCGGCCGGTAAAGAACCCAGCCAGACGTACGTGTCGGCGTCGTACGTCGCTAGCTGCAGTTTTGAACGCGCAAAGAAGAACGGCCAATCAAAGTGAGTATTCTCATTTTTAACTTTGTTTCTTACTGTGGAATTTATGATTTCAGCGAGCACGAACTTCGATACGAGTATAAATCAGTAGCACCAATAAATGTGTTGTTGAGATCACGAATCCCTTGTACTTTTTCAATATTACAGTATTTAGGGAAGTAGCGGTACAAGAATCTAATCGTGAACACGAAAAAACCATAATTTTCTTCGATACATTTTTGTAATACGTGGTGATTGTCGTATTAATGACCATAGCATTTGCGAAACTTTAAACACGCGATTGCAGCTGTAATAATGGAGGATCACCGGCGAATTTTTTTCGATGGGCAGCCACCAGCGGCTATATAACCGGAGGTAATTACAACAGCCATGTTGGATGTCAACCATACCCAGTCGCCCCAGACCAGCATGAGGGAGGCAACTTCACGTGCACATCGACATGCACCAATCCGGAATACGACAAAAAGACCGTTGTCGAAGACACCGCTTTAAGTGCGCAGCAATATAAAAAAATATATTGATTAAAAAAATATATAATCACGTTACTTTTACCAAAAGTGGCACTGTGTATTTACCATCTGGCTGTATTTTCGTAGTTGACAGTTACTACGTAAGTCCTCTGGTAGACCCGATAAGCAGCATTAGTGGTCAAGAGGCCCGAACCCAAGAAAGGATTGATGCCCAGGTTCTCCGCATACAAACAGACATTTTAGCCAACGGCCCAGTTGTCGCTTCCATGAACCCGTACGAAAGTTTGTATAAATGGAAGCCGGAAACAGGTAAGAAATTCTCCGAGAGGTACCAATCGCACGCAGAAAAGCTGATTAAAGTATGGCTAATACTCTACTTAGCGTGAATTAAAGAGCTATATCGTACAAAATACAAATTAATAGCTTCAGCTACCAGGCATATTTAAAACCATTACAGGTCCTTACCGAGGTGAACTTAACCAAAAGGTTAAACCAACAACCACAACCCACTCTGTCCGTATCGTTGGTTGGTGCAAAGACGATAAAGGCATTAAGTACTGGAAAATCCTTAATTCCTGGGGTACAAATTCCGGCGTACCTGGCGAAGGTGAACTTAAGTTTGAGATGGGGAAGAATGTAGCCGAAATCGAAGAAAGTATTGAGGCACCGATTGTTTCGCTCCCCAACACGTGTGCACCGATATGTCAGTCCCGCCTAACACAGATTATCCGCCAAAATCCAGCCGATTTGACCTCGCCGATTTATGCCTTCTTCGGTACATGCAGAAAAACAATTCAATGCAGAAGAAATGGCTACTGGGTTACAAATATTTTCAGGGAACTGCGTTGTAAAAATCAGTATAAACGACGCCGGTCAGATATCTCTGGTCAATGAACCACAACCAATCGGCAAGGTTTTCGTCGCCGCTCCAGCTGGACCAATTGTTAAATGGGATCCACACATTTTCAGTCCTCAAAAGGGCGAATTCTGGATTATTAACGTATGTATATTTGTGTGACTGAAAATGTTGATTGAAAAATTCCTCGGTTATTCAGGTTACCGGAAGGTCAACTCTGCCTACGCAGACAAAAGCTCAGTTTAAACATTTCGCTTTAAACGTTTTCTAATGCATACTGATGCATACAGTTCAGCTATAAATGGACGCTATGTACAGGTTTTAATATTCCTAAGTTTGTACATCCTAAATTTGTTGCAATGTAAAGCCGAATGCTTTTTCAGCCTTCCGGTCAAGCAGGTGTCTGCACGCCAGTGGCCGGCTCCTCCAAGTTCGACTGTCATGTCGGCTCAACTGACGGCAACGCAACAGCTTCAACCGTGGTGGGCAAGGATCATTGGCAATTCAGTAAGCCACTCTTGCGCTAAGATTTTCTGTGGGATCCGATGGATTGCTACGTTGTTAACGTACTGACAATGGAATTCGCATTTAGAGTCAACGCAACTGAACAATTTCAAGTACATCTTCACATATTCCCCGGATTTCACTGTGGGGAGTCTGAACATTGGCAACAAATTAACCAATCGGTTCACTATTGTTGACACCTTCTTAAATATCGACGGCAGTACGATTTTGGTCTGTGGTTTGGATAAACAAGAAAAACCAGCCTGTTCGACCATGAACATCGCCACTAAGGAGGTCAGTAGTTTTGACAAAAAAATCGGTATAATTGTAACTGTTACGTTTGATCTTGTAGTAGTATACGTAAGAATGCAGGATGTATAGTAAAGTTTTAAATCGGTAATTATAAGTAGCAAAAGTCGCGGTGTAAGTCTTAAATACTGTGCAAATACCACTTTAGGTTACTCCATCCCAACCTGTGCAATCGGTTATTGCATCCTGTCAACCGCAACCCTAGAGACCTTTGAGCCCTTTCTTAGTTTCTGTTGAACAAGATATAAAGATCAGTAAACGCATTAAACTGATTCAGTTGTTTAGTCACACTTACGGGCGACTACATGAGAAATGTATGCGTTAGTGTGCAGCATATGCTGAATATATTCGACTGCGACAAATTAACTTGATAATTAATAATTTGAAAGCTGAGTGCGTTCAGCGAACTGGGATCTGGGCATGTATTTAATAGATACAGTACTAAAATCCAACAGCTGTAAAAAAGCGAATGAAAGAATCGAGTGCATGGTAGCGTCTCTAGCATTGTGTGAGATAAGAGGTGCTTTACACATCTCCATAAATAACTTTAATAGCACTGTTGCCGCCGCTAATGTGGGTAACAGCGCTTCGGATGCTCAGACCAAGCCGACGCTTTAGAAAAAAGCAGCATTATATAATGGACTACTATTGTCTCAGTTCGTTTCAAAGCGTTAACGTTCCATAAAATACGAGAAACAGTTTCAGAGGGCAAACTTAGCACAGATCTCTAGAGCAGCGCTGCAGGAGTTGATTTCCGTTTGTACGCGGCCCCTTCGGCGCTGTTTTGTAACGAATTTGTCTAACCACGCTTAATGTCAGTTTGCCAACCGGTAAACCGGCCGTAAAACAATTGTATGCTGTTAAGCCGGAGTTTTACTAACTCTCGATATTCCTCGTTTACGTTTACAAGGTGGGTGCAATCCATTTGTACGTAAATTCAAAGACTACTTCCAGTAAAAATGGTTACTGGTATACGCTCTGCATGGGTGGCAATATTAATACCTGCTCACAGACAATCAGACAACGTAATGGATAATACCGCTAATGATAAGACGCCGTTTGCTGATACAGAATCTGATAATCAACTGCGCTAACGCACACATCTCACTTCTAGAATGCTGATCGTACTGTACATATACATATACAGGAAACTGCATTACACAGTGTGTACAGAAACATAATTATTAGTACGAGTATAAATGCTTGCCCAGCACACTTTGTACTCTCGCATTTGTTTCCTGCCGAAAAGTGATATCATATTGGTAAGTGGTTGTAAGTGGTAAACACTTAGCACTTAAATAACTCTCCAAGAAAATGTCGGAAAATCCGCCTGTTGCTCTCCAATTCAAATCCTCCGTCCAGCAAGCGCTGCAGGCGCACTTCGACAGCCTCTGCAAGATCAGCCACGAGATATGGAGCCACCCTGAAATCGGTTACCACGAGCACCACGCAGTGCAACAGTTAACGGAGTACATAGAAACGAGTGGCTATACCGTGACGCGAAATTTCTGCGATATTAAGACATCTTTTTTGGGAGAATTCTGCACTGGCGGCTTCGATCCCGCCCAACACCCAACGGTGGCAGTGCTGTGTGAGTACGATGCCTTGCCGGAAATCGGGCACGGATGTGGCCACAACCTGATTGCCATTGTCGGCTTGGGGGCTTTCCTGGCGGCAGCGGAGGTGCTCAAGACAGCCGGCACATCTGCGCAGGGCAAAGTACGAAGTGCCGTAGAAATCATTTGTGAAAGATATTTTCGTCTTTGTTTTAGTATACAATCGTGCTGCTAAACAATTTTGCAAACGTGTGAAAACCGGAATTATGAAACTGTTTGTCGAATAGATTGTCTGTATGGGTGCTCCGGCGGAAGAACTGGGAGGCGGGAAGGTACTTCTCGTGGAATCAGGCGCCTTCAGTGGTGTCGATTACGCTCTGATGAGCCATCCAGCGGCGGTGGACGTGCTGGAACCAACAATTCTGAGTATCGATCATGTACGCGATTTATTGTTAGTTACAGTTCAAATGGTTTAACACAACTTTAATCGTAAACCGTATAATTCGTAAGTGGTTCACGCGTAGACTGCACGCGTGCGCTGCTATGTACAACATACTACTACTACTATGTACAATATGGGACACCGTATTAACATGTAAATACTAAATATGTACAAGTACACACTCCATGTACCACTAATAGTGCTGTGTTTATAACATTAACCGGACTAGCATTCATTAGTATCCACTGGACCACTAGCTTTTTATTTAACAGCACTATTTAACAGCACTACCAGTGCATTCATCGTTGCTATTAAATGCAGTGGAAAGCGGAATTCTACGGCAAAGCCGCACACGCCTCTTGCGGTCCATGGGAAGGAGTGAATGCGCTGGATGCGGTGGTTGCCGCTTATAACAACGTCTCTATGTTGCGGCAGCAGCTGAAACCCGGCCATCAGATCCACATGATCATTACGCACGGCGGCGCTAAACCGAACATTATCCCGGATTACACCAAGGCCGACATCTACATTCGAGCACCCACCAGTGCCGATGTGGAAGAGTTAAGAAGACGTGTGGCTGCGTGTCTCCAGGCCGGAGCAGAAGCAACAGGTTGGCTTGCAGATACATGAGCTCACGAACGTTCTGCCTAGATCGACAATCATTTCCTTCATAGAACCGTATGACATACAAACCGAACTGCATCCTTAGATTAGTTAGGTCCAGACAGTAAAGCCGGCGCACAAAAAGTGCAGCAAAATGAAAAGAACTTCAACGGAACAGAAAACTAAAGCATTATATGCAAGTACAAATACAATTACCCTTAAGCAAGCGCATTTGAACAAGAGAAGTCCTGCTTAGGTTGCCGAGTGGACTACGGAATGAATGATCTAAGCTATTCTGGCTTGATGAGCAATCAAAAGCTACTGTCTATCTACAAATACTTTGGCGAGAACAACGGTAAGTATAACCCACTACTTGCGTGTCCTTATCTTTAAATTTAGTTAAGCTTACATTGAATTGATTATAGGCATGCGCTTTATGACGCTGCCGCCTGGCATGTACGGCTCCACCGACATGGGCAACGTCTCCACCACCATCCCCAGCATTCATCCCACATTCTCTATCGGTGACTCACACTGCAACATGCTCCACACCAAAGAATTCCGCGACAGCGTAGGCCAGCCGGTTGCCCATCACTTTGCCATGAAATCAGCGACTGCCCTGGCTCTGACCGCGCTGGAGCTCTTCAGTAATCCGCAGTTCCAAAAGGACGTACGAACAGAGTTCGACGAACGTCGACCGGGATTTATGGGAAAAGCGCCCGAGGGGACAGATTCGACGGATGGTGGAGACAGGTCCTTGCAGCTGCCCAGTGGCTTCAATCCCGGACGGCGCCGGTCTAGTCGGCAGTTCCTGATCGAAATGGGTCTGCTGAAGCCGATGGCGCTGGAGGAGAAGAGAGGCAGCATCCAAGAATAATTTGGGTCCAAAAAAATAACCGAATGCAATGCAACGCAGCAAAGGTGGGTATTATACAGCTCGGAAGGCAAAAATAAGCGAGTGCGACGGTGTACGTCTTAGAATTATGGAACTGCATTGCTCAAACGAAATAATTTATTTTCACGTTTTCCTTGCACGATGCATCAGCTAATGGAAAAGCGCGAGTAGATTTAGGAATTATGGTGCCTGTAGGAACTATGAATAAGACTGATTGACCGTAGAAGCGTAGATGATTCTGACTATAAATAAAAAAGTGCGGATATTTTTATACATAAAACGAGATTATTGGAAACAGAAGAAACCGGCTTTAGCCATGATCTGTGATCCTGTGAATCAATAAGTGACCAATCCAACCCCACGCAGTGATCCACACCAAGCCGTTCCGATAAGCATGGTTTTCATCTTGTACAGATATAATCATAATGTAAATGTTTGTATTAATTTGCTTCTATCACCGCGAACATTGTATCCTCGGATATTAATTTTTAATTGCGGGTACCATTATTTAACACGTATTGTTTTGTAAGTGCTGTAATGTTCCTCTTTTACAGCCATGCAGTTGTCTAAAACATGCGCAGAGTTTACATGCATATTTCTGTCAGGCTATAACCGGTGCATTAAACCGTAGCGTAAAATTAGGCTTCTGGATCCTGTAAGTACTAACAGAGTAGCGGTTAATGCTTTATGCGAAATAACCGGTTTCCATTCAGCTGATTTCTCTTGGAAAAGCGCCATTCATAGTCAGTCATACATTAGTTGCAAGTACGCTGATGAGCAACAATACCAGTAAAAAAGTACCGTAGTTATTGGTAAAGCAAGTGTTTGAGACCATAATATTTTATTGCTCTACTGCAAAGCAAACACTGTAGCCAGCAAATGCCGGCAGTCGTTCAGCTGACTGGGTAGCAATGTGTAAATAACGCTTCAGGTTTGTGTTCTGGCTACAGGTTTGTGATACATGCGGGACTAGCGTTCTGTCAGGCTTCTATCCCTAAATCTGGTACTCACCGTATGGGGCTATAGACACCGAAGAACCATACTTTTCCGGTGAGAATATGGACCCGAAACCATTGCTATGGTTTCATTTTTATGTTTGCCTTATTGGAGTATCGTCGGCCGGGTTTTTGGATAGAGTCAAGCAGAAACTGGGTATTGGAAATGACAGAGGGAGCAGTAACAGCGACAACAGCGGCACCCGTGTTTCCCAAGGCGCCTTAACTCCCGTGATTATCCGTAAGTCAAGACGGAATAACGTTCGCTTCATTATTTGTGACCCAGTTAGCGTTTACTTTAGGGCTGTTTTCATAAAGAATAACTGTACACTGGCTCCTTTCTAAACAACTTACTGAGAGCGTGCTAGCCATAAACATAGTGTTTTTGTTTTCCGCACTGCAATATAATGCTTACCGCATTTTGTATCATCACAGTGCCGGGTGACGGCGGCAGCCAACTTCAAGCATGGTTAGAACGGACGTCGGTGCGCAGCAACATCTGTCCTATGAGAACGAATGGTTGGACCCACGTATGGGCAGATCTGGATATGCTCATCCCCGGATTGGTTGATTGCTGGGTTGACAATTTAAAGTAAAACCTTTCGCTATAACGTCCTGTGGTTATCCGATTGGCGATTAGATATTCACTGTATGACTATCGTTGCAATTAAATAGGTTGATTTACAACAATATCACCCGAAAGACGTCCAATCCTGAAGGCGTGCGGACACAAGTCCCTGGATTTGGGGACACCGACTCGATTGAATACCTAACCGGTAATCAGTTACCTGGATCCAAGTATCTCGCCTACATCGTGGATATGCTGGTCGACAACGGGTACAAACGCAACGTCTCGGTGCGCGGTGCTCCGTACGATTTCAGGAAAGCTCAAAGTAGGCAAACCGTTTCCTGAATGCTCTCGAGCACTGTTCACCAGTACTGATTTTGGTTTGTTGCAGATGAGCAAGAAGAGTACTTCATTCTTCTAAAGAAATTAGTGGAAGACACGTATGCCGCCAACGGCAACCACAAAGTGACGCTGATCGGGCATTCGCTGGGCTGTCTGTTCTCGTTGTACTTCCTTAACCATCAGACACAGGAATGGAAGGATAAATATATTAATGCGTTCATTGGGATGGGTGGACCATGGGGCGGGGCGGTGAAGCCTATCAAGGTGATTGCCACAGGGGATGATTTGGATATTGCTATCGTCAGTCGCAGCAAGATTAAGGATATTCTGCGTACCAATCCCAGTGTAAGCCATACCGGTGATTAGGACAGCGCACTTGCGCATTAAATAAGTAACTCATCAGTTAGCAAACAGTCATGGTTTAACCTATAAGTAAAAGTTTGGTGCACCGTCCTATTCGGTTCTTGCAGGTCGCTGCGCTGTTACCGTCAGATAAATTCTGGGCCAAGAATGAAACGCTAATCTACACCCCACAAAAAGTTTACAATCTGGGCAATTTAAGGGAATTCTTCTATGACCTGGACTTTCCTGAGGGCTGGGAATTCTACCAGGATACCAAGAATCTCGTATATGACCTTATTCCACCTGGAGTAAAAGTAAGCGTTCAAGAGAAATTGTTGATTATTAGTTTGTTTCTTGTCGGTTGAGTGGTTTTCGGTGTTCTGTTGACAGAAAGTGATTGGTAGTTTTAAGATTTCAAAAAGAAATGTGGTAGTACAGAGCATAACGTGAACCTTGTTGTGTAGACTACTATGCTGCTATGTGTATCGTAATCTATGGCGTGGTGATTTCAGACTTATTGCCTTTCTGGTACCGGCACGGCGACACCCGCAACGTATGTGTACAAGGAAGGCGGCTTCCCGAAAAAGATTCCCATGGTGATCTCGGAGGATGGCGATGGCACGGTGAACCGGCGCAGTTTGGACGGGTGCGAACGATGGAAAGGCAAGCAACGCGACGAGGTCGTCACTAAGACATTTCCCGGTGCCGGCCACCGACAGATGACACGCGACAAACAAGTCCTGGACTATATTCGGGAAATACTCTTCGATTACCAGATAAACGGCTAACACAGTATCACAGAATCACTTGATACAGTAGATACCTTTGTGCACTCTACAGTCTACAACTGTTGCATGAATAATTTATAGTCAGCCGCATAGCGCAGGGGACAAATGTTAGAAGATGATAACGTAATTTTTTTTTATGAACCAACAAGTACTGGGCACTTGTATGCGGTAGCCAGGACTTCTTGTGGTAAGCCGTGTACGAGTTAAACAGTTTTGCGCTTTTTCTTGCTTTTTATGCGTGGAACGCTTTTTCGCTTGTTAGTAAGGAAACACAGAAATCTAATGTATCCAACTCACCCAAACCCGTAAATGGAAAGTGCCGACTGTTGCGCTGCTCGGAGCAAATACTTTGAACTTCTTCGCTGATATGTATCAGCTCTTCCGCCGTGCTAGCCGTAAAAGATGTGATCAATCCTTATGACCAAATATCCGTAATCAGTCGTCAAAGCTGGTCAAAAACAATGCGTACTACATTAAAAACAGGACGAGGAGCTGCTGTTTTTTGAAGTTGACTCTATTCATCTGTTTCGTGTTATCATCCGGCTCCCAAACAGGGTCGCCTTTTATTTTCCTGCCCAAATCAGAACTGTTTCTGTTATTTTGTTCTAAAGCCTATCGCGTGCTTGCTATGAAACGTACGATTGCTGGACTTAACATAACAATGAGTTATTGCGCTGTATTTTTGTTACAAGTCTTGTGCGTCAAAGGTAAGTTTTGGGCTAAATTGGCAGCTCTGTTTTAGCTAGCCTACAGCACCTGCAGCAGGGTGTTCCACAGCACAAGCTTGGAATCATTGTTTGACCAAGCAGGATCGTGATACAACGTAGCTTGGGCCCTCTACAAAGTAATCTACAGATTGCTTGCTTATTCCCGTTTTCCGGAAAATTACAATAGTTTTAGGAGAGGTATTATCAAATTATGATGACGTCACCACTGAGGATCTTGATGGCGCGCTGTTCGAAGGGGACATTATCGGAGCGTACGACACCGGAAACACAACAGATGTACTGTAGTCTGCAGCTGATTTTTCCGTAATGTCTTCTTTTTATCCTCTCGATCACCGCTTACCGTTTTCATTTTCTATACTAGATGTATAACAATGTCGTTGAATCGGCACGATTATGGCCAAATGGAATTGTTCCATTTTATCTTGATTCCAACACAAGTACGATTTTGTACGCTTATTTCTATCAAAAAGATGTGGAAGTCAAACCGCTTGAGCGATCCCTGCAATAGAAACAGCAGGAAATACTGTTTGCAACTAGCAACGATGATGGGCTTATGACACTATTACTTACTTTATGTGTTTATTATAGAGGGAATTTTGAATGTTTCGCTCATCCGGCTGGCTATGGCGGCTATTTCTCAAGCGACACATCACTGTATTCGTTTCATCAACCGAACCCAAGAACGAAGTTCTCTCCGGATCATCTTAGGGGCATTTAGGTAAGCTCGTAAACTGCAAAATTGTGTCGTGTGTCCCCGTGCAGATTTTACTAGCTTCCTTTTGCTAAAGATGTGCCGCCGAGATCGGATACAGGGAGAACACGTTTACGCGCATGGCACTGTCATCGCATTGCGACTTACCGTCTATCATCCACGAATTACTTCATGTCCTCGGGTTTTTCCACGAACATACACGACTGGACCGCGACGAACACGTTATCATACATTACGACAACATCCAAGATAATAAACGTCAGTTATACTATTAAGGTGCTACGCATTACAGACAGACCACATAACGAGATTTTTTTATTCGCAGATTATGCTAATGACTATAACAAGAACAGCAACATGGATACACTAGGAATGCCATATGACCGTCTCTCCATAATGCACTATCCACCGTATAATGACTACTACGCAAAGAATAAACAAAAGCCAGTTATGTCCGCAAGGACTGGCGAGCTAAAGAGAAATACGGTTCTCAGCGATCTGGATGTGCATAAACTGAAATTCACTTATAAGTGCGAACGTGAGTTCAAAAGATTACTGTAAATTACGTAACAATTTTAGTAAGAATTTGTAATGGTCAGTCTAATGGGCTTCTGAGACCTGCGTTTTGGTAATTTTTTGGGTAGTAAGAATGTGAAATGCTCGCCGCCAGTAACCTTTCCTATTGCAACCTTTAGGGGAGGAGCTCTGCAATATATCTGTGGGACATTGCCATGTATACCGTGAAGGACTACGAACATCGGAAGCGTTTAGCTGGTTGAGAAGATACGCGGCCGTCGTTAACTGTCAAGAGGATCCGCCTCACCGAATATCGATTTACTGTAGCACCGACGCCATCGCTCTGGATGCGCAAACCATCGTTCAGACACTTCGGTACAAAACCCATGTACCAAATTATTCGGCTTATATTTCCGACAAAGCGGTTGCAAACGCGACGCATTTTCATCCGATCAAACAGAAGCTAATCCAACTAGGCATCCATAAGTGCACAACCCCGTTTACAACATCCAAATTGCGCGACATAGAACTGACACAGCTCGTGGATTTTGGATTGTATTACTGTTCCAACCAACAAATTACTAGGATGGACTTTGACTTCAACGCAAACCTAAAGCGACTGGTGTTTCATGCCACTACGATTTCCAGTGTACAAGAGAACGCATTCACTGCACTTGTCGGATTGGAAATCTTCCAACCGGAGGAATACTGGAAGCCCACGAAGCAGACCAAGGGTCGGAGAGCAGAAATACTAGCTCACCTGCAGCTACTGCATTGCGACTGCCGGTATCACTGGTTTCGCAGCTGGCTGGCGGGTAAGCCGACTCTATTCACACAAAGGTCACTAACCAGTGTTCTACCGACGGACCGTTGGATGATCACGGTTGGGGAGATGTACATACCCATTAACTGCAGAAACGTTGGATTATCCTACAGTAAATTGGAAAGCCGTCAAACGCTACGATACTTTAATTACAACACCAGTAAACATCCTCACTGGAAGCCAGAACCGTTTGCAAAGCACGCGCCAGCTGACTGCTGAGTCTGCACATTATTAAGCTCAACGGCAATCTGTTATGACATTCAGTATCAGTATCTTTCATATCACAGAGACAGTCCTTCTGAACAGAATTGTTTTTATCTATTGAGCTTGCAGTAAAAATGTGTAATGCCAAATACATCAACGTTGTCTGCACTATCTGTAGGAAAATATCTTTTTGCTGCTACTGTATACACTAATTTATACAGCATATGTGGGAATGAAAAAATCAAGATTAAGTTTGTTTTTATGGCTTCGACTCACAAATCTACGGAAGTAACAAATGTGAACGGATATGGGAAATCATGTTGCCCTGCGCGCTATGTGCTCCGGGCAGTGAAACCTTCAGATGGAATCATTCAGGCACCGATGCCCCGATAGCTGCCGGTGGCGACAAACTACGGTTGCTGCTGGGTTTATTTCAGCGTCAAACGGTTTGTTCCTCGCGGTGGTCGACACGGCATGTCGTCATATATTTATTTTGAAGTTGCCATGCCTAGGGTTGACACAGCACGCTAGGAAGTTCATATCATTACAATGATCTTCGTTAGCTGATTATCTCAGTGATCGCTAATTAGAACTGAGATCACAAAGTCAAGTTAAAGCCCAGTTTCCGTTGTGCGTGCAACTTATGCGTACCGATTAACGACGGCTAAACTTAAAGCATGTGAAATGTAAACCAGAGCAGCCAGAGCGTGCGCTTTGCGTTTTTGTGGCTTTTAGTATTGCCCTTTAAGTAAGTCAGCGAAATTCTCGTGTAGTCTAACCGTTCCTCGAAAAAACTGGCACAAGATGAGTGTCGCCATATTGTATATTGAGATAATTCTGTTTATGTTGGCTTTACACCGCAATGGATTGTGCCGAGGTATGTGCAGACGTTTGCTGAATGTAATCCCATAATCGTATTCACTTTGCACCACATTTATTGTTTGCGCGCATTTGCGAATTTTGTTTACAGCTCAAAGGCAAGAGTAAAGTATACTTCTATTCATTGTGTTAAGTTTCATCTACGCAGAGAACACACCGTAGGATAGTAACACGTAAATTTGTGCGTGTGTTTCACTGATCTTTAGCTCTTATCGTCAAACGGAAATCAGTAGCACTGATTTTCAGGATTGGATTCGCCGGATTCGAGCCATTACGGCGAGGACACCGACAACCAGGAGAATGAACTTTTCCAAGGCGACATGCTGGGAATATACGGCAATGAATCAAAAAACGATGATGTAATGATTCCATTTCGGTACATGTGCAGCTAATGGGTACGTACATCAAATCCAAAAAATTTGACATTTTGTCCTGCAGATGCACGATAATGTGCTCAATTCGGAAAGGTCACGCTGGCCCAACGGAATCGTTCCATTTCAACTAGAATCTGCGCTCAGTAAGCTGCATCAGCAAACCAGTTGTTAATTTGCCCGAAAAACTATGAGATGCTATGATTCAAGTCTGCGCTGTTTACTTAGGAGTCAACAGATCTTTAATTCACGCCGCCATGGCGATAATTTCCCAGAAGACCAGCGAGTGCATTCGCTTTGTTCCGCGCTCAAATGAACCGGTTTTTTTGCGCATATTACCGGCACCAAGATCAACGTATGGATTCGATTTTCTACTTTGAAAAACCTTTTCTGAAACAGTTCAACCGTTAAACCAATTAACTAAGCGGTTTACTATGGCCTTTTGGGCTCTTCCTGTTTGTCACAACTTCTTTTGTACTTCTGCCTGGTTATGGGCACCTGTTCCGTTCAAAGGAGATTGAACCTTATTCTGGGACAAAAATGTGCTTGATGTGCAAGACGTCGTTTGTGTGTACAATAGATGTTCTGCCGAGGTCGGATATGCCACCAGTAGCCGACGATTGCAATTGTCACCCGAGTGCTTGTTGCACGATGTCATCCACGAGCTGATGCACATTCTGGGCTTCTTCCACGAACACACACGACCTGATCGCGATGAGCATGTGCTCATTCATTTCGACAATATTAAAGCCTCTAAGCGCGGTGAGATTGTCATTTTATGTCACTAAAAGATACCGGTTTGCTCGTCATGATGCGGTTTTAAATACGTATCCTTATTCTTAACAGCGGCCTACGATGTGGACTATGACAAGCGAACTGATTCCGACACTCTGCAATTGCCATACGATTGTCGCTCGATTATGCACTATCCGCCGAGCAATGCACGCTACGCTAAAGATCCTAACAGGCCGGTCATGTCGGCAAAGCCGGGCAGCACTTGCAAATTGGCCCCAACAAATAATATGGTGCTCACAGACCTGGACGTACAGAAACTGTATACTGCCTATAAATGTCAGGAGCGTAAGTACTGTATACTCATACCATACTGTAACCTCTCTGCTCATACTATGCCAGTGTGCCATATATTCGCTCGAAATAAACGATCATTATATCTCTATACGTATACAGTATGGAATGGCTAAAAACTGCAGTTCTATTGAAAAGGGCGATTGATCGGCTCCTTTCTCGATTGCTCCACATCAGATTTTGCAAGAACAGCAGCTGTATATTATTATACGTCAGTTTGCTCCTACACAATGCATGCTGATCGTGATCGCGTAGTTATCAAGTCAAAAGAGTCCGACAACAGTAGATCTAGAATTTGCGTCTTATGGCATATAGATTGTAGCTACCTTTATTACTACTGCCATAATATCACCAAACACACATCTTGTTTTTAGCGATAACGTGCCACTACTCGTACTAGACTCACTTTTTTTATTGCCCGTGTAGGAGTGTTATACTGCAATCTCAGCGTCGGCCAGTGTCATGTGTATCGCGAAACGCTAACCACCACGGAAAAATCCAGCTGGCTGAGAATATATGCCGCCATGAACAAGTGTCAGGAGAAGGCTCCCCAACGAATATCCATCTACTGTTCGGCAGCAGCCACAACCGGCGACCTTCAGGGTATCGGCAACAAACTGCAGCTGAAAACTGACGTACCGGCTTATTCTGCTTACATCGCCGACGCAGTCATCAGCAAAAGTAAGTTCCTCCAACCGATCAAAGACAAGGTCATACAACTGGGGATAAACAACTGCCAAAGCGCATCCACCACGTCCAAACTACGCGATGCAGGTTTAAATGATTTACTGGATTTTGGATTATTCTTTTGTTACAAACAAGAAATTCAAAAAGCGGATTTTGAATATAACTCCAAACTGAAACGATTGGTCTTTCACTCGACTACAATGACGAGTATCGAAGTCAACGCCTTTGATGCTCTGACGGAGCTGCAGCTGTTCCAGATGGAAGAATACTGGAAAGCCCGCGAACAAGTGAAGGTGTCACACGATACGGAACTGCGACGGCATTTACAGTTAATTCATTGTGACTGCCGGTACCATTGGCTGCGCAGTTGGTTGGCCAATAAGCCGCGCTTATTGAGCGAAAGGTCACTGGACAGCATTGTACCGAGTGATCGGGGGGCCATAAAAGTGGGAGAGATATACATTCCGGTGAGCTGTACAAATGTGCAACAATCGGTGAGGAATTGGAAGTTACACGAGACAACGCGGTATTATAATAAAAAACGCGAACCATTTGCAAAAAACGCCGAAGTAAGTTGCTGATGCTGAACAAATCACTGGAAACCCATCTGTATAAGACTGATCTTCGATGTTTGTCGTTATAGTCCTAACTTTCTTAAACAAATTTATTTTTCTTGCAAGCGTGCGGATTGCAGTGCTCGTTAAGGGATAAAATGATATCGCTGACTTCTGAGCTGTGGTTCGAACGGAACTCAAAGAAGCATGTTTATCAAACAAAGACACACGCAAAAGCCATAGAAGCCATTACGCAACCGAAAACTCATCGCTGTTTTTAATGAGTAAGTAATCGATTAAACAAAAGTACGGCAATTGGCAGCAGTTTCAAAATCAACTAGTTACAACTAAAAAGCGGTAAAATTTAATGTAAGTCGTTATGCCAATCAAAACTTCAAGACGCAATGGAGAGATTAAATGATAAGTAAACACACGTTAAGTACAGGGCGATCAAATTTGCAGACACAAAAAATGAAATTCAATGACAAAGGTCCGGTTACGCAGAAATGGTTTACTTAAGTCGATCTGGAGTGCCATGCGGCACCACCCACCAGGCGAGTCACTAGAATACAGCGAGCTACCATTCTGTAAAAATTACTAAAAAGTCGACTTTCCAAACTTTGTTATGATCATCATGCGATGGTTACCACAAAAACACTGCTGGACATTCTACCACAAATACTTGCGAAGGAATTCCCGGACTCCGTATCGGCTGGACGAATCGACTTCCATCTCCCGTGATGGCGATGGCGTACGACTTCGCATACGACGAGGCGGAGCACGCGACAACGGAGCATGCACCACTGGCGGCAGCGCAAACGCTCCACTCCACGGCACACGTCCCACTCCAGATGGTCCTCCATACTGCTCCATGCGACGGTCCTCATCGTACTCCATCATCCGTTGCCAGTCGAACGCACCGCGACCATACGGGCGCTCCCCTTCGTGACGGCCATAGTCCCCGTAGTCATAGTCGAAGACATCCATCAGACGCTGCATGCCATTGCGCTTTTTGGCCTTCCTCACGTTCTTGGGATGCTTGGGAGAATAGAAGATCTCCGAGTGGCGCTGCTGCTGCCCATGCGCACCCTGCACCACGTCCACCAAATCCCGAATGGTCTGTCCGTTGATGGGCAAGCTGTACAGTGACCGAATGGCGTCCTTAATGTCTTTCGCGGTGATTTGGCGATCTTCATCCTGATTCTGCATAGCATCTTCGAGGATGCGTTTCTCTTCGCGGTACGCATTTAGCATTTTCTGGTAGTTTTCCAGATTGTCACGGCTGGCCCCGATGGCGATTTTCTCATACTCCGCCGAAATCAAATAGCGCAAATACTCTTCCATGGCATCGTTGTATGGAATCATGGCGTTCTTTTTCAAGAAATAACCGAACTTGGCCGACACTTTCCGGATCTGCTCTTCTTCCGCCGTCAAATCCATCTTGCGCTGCTGCAAATCATGCAACAACAACTCCACAGCAGCGATCTGTCCGTCCTTCTGGCGCAGCAGATCCTGAATATTCGGATCAACCTCTTTGATCTCCGTTTCCTGCAGTTCGTACGTAATGTGCATATGCTTCTCCCAAGAGCACTGGCAATGTGCACACGATAGACCGCCCGTTGGACTCATGGCTGCGCAGCTTTTCAATCCCGGCTGCGGATACTGATTGGGCACAATCCCGGTCAGATAGCAGTGCTCATGACACCAGGTGATGTAGTTGACTTTTTGCCCCACCATCTTAATGCACTTCTGCGAGATGCACACCGTCCGCGGGAATCCCAGTTGCACCGGCTCCAAATCCAGCACTGGGACGTACAGTTTGCGTTTCAGTTCTTCCCGGCTGTACTTGGTGGCTTTGATCTCGTCGGCTTTGTCGTCAGCCAGTTTCAGATTTAGCTGGATATTTCGTGTAATCTGGGCCAACGGTTCCGTAAAAGACAGAATCATGCGCCGCGCTTCGTTTAAAGACAGTGTATTTTGCAGAACATGCGGTGGACGTTCGGAGATGTACTTGAGCAATCGTTCAGTCTCTTCCACAGACTTCTCCCAACTCTTGATGAAATTATCCTTCTCAGTTTGATCAAATTCCACCCCCGCCTTCATTGCGGCCATGAAACGTACGGCTTCGCTGTCGACGCAGTACACCGTGTCTTTGTTCAGCGTAATGTTGACACCTTTGGAATCTTTTATCAGTTTCTTCAGAATCGGCATTGTATCACCCGGACGGTAGAAAGTCCCACGTGCATTGGTGAACACGAAGGTGATGTTGTGACAGGCATCGCGATGCAGGTGCGTCAGCAGTTCCTTGATACAGAACTGGAACATGACCGTCAGGCGCGCACTGTTCGGCTTCAGCAAAATACAGATGCCGTGCAAACTGTCGTAATTGGACAAATGTTGCATGATGTTGACGAAATTCTTCTTGTCCTGCTCCGTTCCGCTGGTGTCGCCGATGCCGGGTGTATCGATTAAACGAACCAGAATGTTGCCCTTCTTGAAGACGTAGCTTTTGGGCATCTGGGTGGCTGACTGACCGGTCATGGTGTCCTCGTTCTCCGGTGCGGCCAGCGCTTTCATGAAGATGATTTTTTCATCGAAGTTTTGATCCATCGTAGTAAACTGGGCTGGAATCAAATACACCGGTTCGGCTAGAGCTTCGTCCAGGGTGGCGTAGGTGAGAAAGTTGACGAAACCGTTGATCCATGTCGATTTTCCCACACCGGTCTCACCTACAAAAGTAATCTGTTATGTAACGATTGGTGTTGTTGATGATGCTTTGCTCTGCTTATCTTAATCGTTCTTAACTGACAGCGCCTTTTGCCGGCAGTACCTTGCGGTTAATTTACATGTTACACAGAACAGTAATCAACGTCATTAGTAAACTAGCCATAAGTCTTACGCATTTCTACTGCACTATGAATACGAGTAGTACTTGTTCTACTTGTACTGCATCCCAGCTTGAGCGACCCAACTTCAAGTACACTGTACTGTATACTCACCGCTCGATACTGTATACTGTACCGCTCTTGCAATTCAATGAAAAGTACGATGTAGAAATATTGTAAAACAGAAACTGTAAAACAAGTATGTCAATGTTATTGTAAACATCGGCAATGACAATGAAATAATAAATGTATGACAACGAAAAGACTGTGGAAGTGCTAAGTAGTGCAACTGCAATAACGTTCTTTATATACCGCAACCGATAACGATTATAACGGAAAATTTCGTATTTGTTATTTTGCAATTTTGAATTTAAAGGTAAAATCCAACTCAGTTACTCCAGATATTCAATAATAATACGAAAAGCGAACAAGTCATTGTCAATAACAACAGTACGTTACAGTACAAGGCAATCCAACATTAATAAGATCTGCTGTAACGGCTCTAACTAAACTTGAGTGTAATTGCAAAAGTTTAATACAGTAATACTGAAAAGGTCAACCGCACTGACTTACCAAGAATCAGAATATTGATTTCCTTGAAGGGCTTCACGGTTTTCAGCACCGCCTTCACATCACCGAAACCAACATAGTCCCGCCCATGCCGCGTTTTCCCACAGTTGAATACGAAGGAATCAGCTGGCGCTTTTCCACAGTCGCAATACAAATACCCATCAAACCCGTATTCCAGGGCCTGGCTGCACTTGGAACACTTCCACCGATGTAGTTCTTTTTCCTCGCTGCAGTTCTTTTTGGCCGCCAGTGGGCACGGAAACTCAGCATTCCCGCGCTTCTTGGCCTTCTCACTCGGTTCCGTATCCAGCAGTGACTTGGCTGTGGGCACATGGATCTCGCGCTGATCCAACGCCAGGATGTTCTCGCAAATCAACTGCCCATGTTGATAGTGCTGCAGCAGATTTCGCGACGCCTGCTCCGCATCAACGCCGGGCGTGGCGCCATGACCCCCCATACACGGATCGACGAACACAAACAACCACTGTTCCTTCACACCAGAATGCATCGCCTGGTCCATCAGGCTGAAAAACGCTGCCAACGCATGGCTCCACTCATCAGGATCATCCTGTCGTGCCGGTTCGCTGGACTGCAGCACGTACACATTGGCCACTTTGCGCATTTCGGCCATCAGTTCCGCAGAGATCTCGCCCAGAATCAGTACTTTATGAGTGCGCAGGATGTCAAAAGCTGCTTCTTTTCGGTAATGAAACAATTCTGGTGGGAAGCCGGCAGATCAAGATTGACAATACCGAGTGGGTGTGGCATCAGTGCACGGGATTGACCGCCGGTAGGGTGATCTGGTTGTTCGTCATCGCTTTCATTTAAGCCCATCAGGTTATCCGCCGGTTTCTCGAGCACCTATGAAGGTCCATCAACTTACTTACTATGACTTTTACTTCGACTTTTACTTGACTTTTACTTTCTATGATGCTACTGTACATTATGATTCCTTTACTGAAAATCGATCGCCACATAAACAAGCAATGTCGTATTACTTTAAAAGAGAAAATAACTGAAGAAATGGTATGCATACATCTACTGATTACGTGCACTGTGATAAGTAAAAGTAAGCAGTAAACGTCAATTGCCAGCTGCCACAAATTTTTTAATACGTACAATAATACTTACAATACTTAAACGCACGATACGAAAATGTGCAGTACTATCAATTTTGCATGAAGCGATAAGTTAAGTACTTAGTACGACTAATTTTGCTGGAAACTCAAGGTGCCTTTTCTGATTTTTAGTGATGCCTTTTCTGATTTTTAGTGATACGAAAAAGCGTTGCAGCAACCGCAAAACAAGGTATTTATATTTATTGTAAGTACGTAATGTCGTGCACCCCAAGGCAGTTTTAAAAACTTCTATATTGTTATATTTTTTCGGAAGTACACGGTCCTTGCACGTGGCCATGTACGTACCCTTTCCGCACAATCTTCGATCGCTGATTGGTCGGTACGATTAACTGAGCGGCTTCCTTTGGGACGCCGACGTCCATCCAGGGTTTCTCCAATGGACACAATAGCGCTGTCGGCTGCCATACAGGACGAGGGGCTGATTTCCACGACGCTGACTTCTTCATCCATACCATTCGTGTTATTTGCGCACTGCAATTTTGGCATCGAAGCTATCGTCACAATCAAAATAATTATTATGAAGTAATAAATCGAAAATAATTAATACGAGCTGCAATACTGCAGCAGTAAAAAAATTAGAAATTTCTCACAAAATAAAATTTACAACAAATCAACCAGTCGTAATACTTTTATTTATCTTTTACTGTATTAAAATTACCATTGTTGGGCCCACTGCAAAACTACAGTAACTGTAATGAAATTGTAAACGACAACTTCCTTTGTCGGCGTTTGCCATTGAACTTACGCGTTTATCTTCAGAAACCTCAGGCTGGGATATTTCACCATCCCTGTCGTCTTCTATCACTTCAAACTCAGCTGATGAGGACATTTTTTCCGAGCTGTGACGCTGATAAGGAAGCGTTCAGCGTTGCCGTTATGCTTGTACAGTAGTTGTTTAGCAATCGTTCGTTCCTCGGACAGGCGCCCAGCTAATGATGCATAACCGAACAAGAATTGATACATTTGACAGCTATTTCGACAACTTGGAAAAATTTAACCAAAACCATCCAACGCACTGATACCGTTATGAGCGTTACCGGTTATAATGTTATTGCACGTGCTGTTATGAGACTTATGACTGAATTCTCAGATTCTGTGTTTTGTATTCGTAAAAAAAAAATAGCATATGCATGTAGCAACTACAAAGTACTAACAATAATTATATCGTACAGTCTGAGAGCACGGATAAAATATTGTAAACAATGTTAAAACTTCTCAGAACATGTAGACATATGTCAGATTAGTCAGAAAACCGCGACTAAGAACCATATATTCGTGGTTACCAAAGCAAGGGCTAGCTTTGTTTCCGTTACAGCTAGCTTCTTCCTTTAAACTAACTTACTACTAACGCGCTGCGCTCCGGTCTACCAATGCACAGTTCGGTACATTTTTCCTAGTTTTTACTTACTTTGATTGTTCTAGAAATTCATGAACCACGGTAGTACGTGATGGAACACAGGAATAGCAACTAAAACAGCCTGCATAGATCCGACAGTAAACCTCCAAAATACAGTACAATGGATAAGAATTATTGAATTATATTCAGCTGATTAAAGTAAACAACAAACAAGCCATTTGGTTTCACTTACAGACTTACTTAAATTCGCCGTGATGGCACTGGCCCTCAGATCGAAGTGATCCACGATTTCTCGGTCTTCACTTAGAGTCCCTGATGCATGGACCGCATGAATTTTATCCTTCCAAGTTCCAATATCATGATGTCACACTTTGCACAGGATGAGGTCAGAGTTTCGATAGGTCATCCCGCAACCCGGTGTGATTGGCTGGCCAAGTGAGTGGGTGGTGCATTCGCTAGCGCAGCTTTGCAACATTTAAATACGGACAGCTGATACGAGTCAGAGAGGTTACAGTACTTATGGCTAATGGCTATAGTGTGCCTGACTAAACAGCAAAATTGTGCGCTCTTGTGATTCCGACACGTTAAGCGGCCCCAGTGAATCATTGGAGCCTACAGTAAGCTTGCTGACTTACCAGTAAAGTTGAAATCAGCGCATATTCACCAAAATATTGAGACTTACATCACTAAGTAGAATAAAATGTGCTGTATTTAAATAAATTTTTTATTTTCCGGTGAGTATTACTATTTTCTGTAATAATCATCTAAAGTAAGTATGGGAGAACGTTCGGTGACGTCTACGCGCGCACATCAAATATGCCGCCCATCGCGCACCTGAGATACCGATCTTCACTCCGATCCTGAGCGCTGGCCTGCCTGTACGGCAGCTGCGTTAGCGACAAAAGAATAATTTTTATTCGCTCCAGTTTTCGTTTTACATAGAGCGCCGACGCATTGCTACTATTTTCATGATTTTTAAATCTGGAATTCTCTGGACAGCAGTTTTTCTGGTTCTACGAAAATTATGCCGTTCAGTGCTCAGAAGATACAGCTGACTTCGCTTCAGCTCGCACTGAATCCGCGGATATGATCTGCCAACTGATAACCCTGCGATGCAGCATATCCGCGATCCGAGTTAAAGAAGATCCGTATCTCAGATGCGCGATGGGCGGCATATTTGATGTGCGCGCGTAGACGTCACCGAACGTTCTCCCATACTTACTTTAGATCATTATTACAGAAAAATAGTAATACTCACCGGAAAATAAAAAATTTATTTAAATACAGCACATTTTGTTCTACTTAGTGGTGTAAGTCTCATATTTTGGTGAATATGCGCTGATTTCAACTTTACTGGTTAGCCGCATTTCGTTCCCTGTTCGTCTTGTACGCCGTGCTGTGGCGTGCACCGCGTGATTCACAGTGTCTGCTCGCTGCTCGCGGCACACTTCTAAACAACAAAAATTAATACCTTATTTAAAAATTGTTTTTATAGTTTGTGGTTTTTACCTTAGTACTAGATTGCGTCAGAAGTGTTCAGTCTAAACGGTCTAACAGTTTGACCGTAATTTTTTTAAAAAATATGCCATCAGCACGAAAGTACAAGGGCAGCGATATCAGTACGCGCAAATATAGCATTTGATTTGAATTTTGAAGGTGAGCATTTCACTGCATTTGCCATTTCGTAACTACTTTGCGTATTTCTTATTACTTGCGCGTGGTTCGAACTTCGAATGTTCGTTATTGACCAGACAGAAGCAACTGCCGATGCACACTGGAATAAACTTTTACAGAATACAACAGTCATTAAACTTCCATAATAATTTCATATCAAATCAATTAAAATAATCGTGTTCCAAAAGCAGAAAACAGTTTCATTACCATTTCCGCATGTACCGTATTTTGAACCAATGGTCTGTTCAGGGGCTTTGGCCGTCGGATTCTTACAATGGCTGCACCGCCAGGCACTTGCAAATTTTAGGTTAAATATGTACGACGACAAGCGCAGTATTGCAGTGTGTCATGCTTCGATTCCCGCCCGACGTTAGACCCGGTTCAATAGGAAATTAGCGATTTACTGCACTCTGGAATCTGTTTCGCCGGTTTTTGCACCACATGATGCGTATTCGGTTTGTGAATGATCCGGGTCTACACTCGTACGAGTGCAATAACTGTTAAGCTTTTCAGCATGGGCTTCTATGGCCTAATTCACTATTACCTTGTTAAATACATATTGATACGAGTATGTACAGTACAGTACAGTACAGTACATTCGTCATGCACCCGTGTAACGTACGTACATTCAGTACGAGTAGAGCTCTGGTGAGTCTTGTCCAGTTGGGCAACGGACTGCGATCACGTTGATTTATTGAACTTCTTTTGTATACCAGACTAGTAAGTACTAGTACCAAAAGTAAGTTCAGTTTCTAAATGTTTGGTTACCTAACTTAACTTCATCCTCACAGTCATTTACAGATATTATCATCATATATGGAGAATTTCTGAATTCTTATCCAGTGAGTTTTATCCTTCCTAGCTGTTTACAGTATTTAAAAAGAACACGCATCCTTCGCGAATTTTTGCGTGCAAATTGACGTAGTTAGCTTTCCGTTAAGGATACTTTTACCTAATTGCTCGTGTATTGTTAGTAGAATTGCAACAGATTGCTCTGACTGGTGAGTGTAATAAGTGATAACAACTGTTACTAATAATTACTGTTTTAATGAGTAACAATAAGCCAGTCTGTCAGGCTATCAACCAGTTTCTGAGTGTCCTCATATTGCGGTCCGTACGTGGCACGGTAACAGGATCAGCGCCATCCGGTAGCCAGTAGGTGTAATCAGCAGGTGCTTTCAGGCTTGACATCCAGGAAATGGCATCCCGCATGTCTCCAGTTGCAGAATCTGAGTTCGACATTCTGGATGACGCTTCTGACGAGGAACTCGCCGCCAGTCGTCTTGCGTCCAGCACAGCATCGGCCGATGGTTTCCTCATGGAAGACGTCGTAAGTCTCCTTGTCATCATATGCCTTACGATTGATAGTTTGTTTCGTTTTCCTTTGTTGTATGGCAAAATGCCCTGCACGAAAATTGCTGAAACGTTTTTGGTTCTGATTTAGCAGTTTAAATACTCGTAGAATTTTGGTTATGATTACTGAAAATCAAATATAGTATGATCATATAATATCAAATATAGTATGTATGAAAGAGTCATGATTACTGAATATCCTCGCGGTTATTGGCTCTTCGGTTACCCGCTACTTTTCCTCAATATTGAACGTTGTATGTGATACGATATTTAATTATGTGATTTTATAAAAACAGCCACAACGATACAAATACTGTCTTGAGAAATGCTGTTTGCAAATCACAGTTATTTTCAGTTTGGGCGTTGCTCATTCTGAATGGAGACTTGACAAAATTTTCGAATATCGAAGAACTTCGCTGATTATTCAAGCGTTTACTGCAATCGTTTCATGAAAAACGGTTGAAAACTAATACCAGAATGATAACAAGTTGATTTTATGATGTGCAGGAAGGATATTCGCGCGTAGTTAAGCCGCTGACCTCCGTGGCTCTACCAGCGGTGGAAATTTCTTCTGTTCAGGTCGACGCGTCTACGCCCGCGCCGCAACCACCGGGGCCATCCAAGTTAGCTGCAGCTAACACCCAACCAGCCACTAGCAACCAGCCAGTTGTTCCTTTCATCAACACACAACCGCCCCCGGCGGCCGACCACCCAATTATTCCCGTAGTGAACACCCAGCTGTGCGCTACCGATCCATCTAAACTTCCGGTGGTCATCGGCGTCCCCGATCTCTCCTCTCATTCGCCTATCTTGACCATCACCGACAAGAACGAGCTGCTGGACATCCTGCGCACACGCGCTGTCCTCATCCTGGGCGAGATCCCGCCGGGCTTCCTCAAGGACATCGAGAAGGTGGCCGATGTGTACGTCCTGCACAGCAGCGAACAGGCGCGTCACCGCAATCCCGAGGAGTTCAACAACGCCTTGGGAATCTTCCTCAGCCTGATGGAGGATGCCGAGAAAAGCCAGTGGTTTGTCTTTGTGGATCCATCCCTGGTCGGGTATCCGCTGGATCCTGGTCCGGAGGACACGGTCATCCAGTACTACCGCAACGGACAGCTGGTTACCGGGGATCTTGTGCGCAATGTGCCCGACGAGAATGCGGTGTGCGCGGTGGCCAAAGCAGTTATTGCGCCGGTGAAAGCGGATAAACCGCAGAAACGCGGAAGTGTGGTGCTGCCGTGTCCCGGGGCCAATAAAAAGAGCTGTCAGATGATGAAAAAGACGTTTGAGTGGAAGTGCGGAAACTGCAATCAGGTGTTGGAGTATGGGTTTGATGATAATTTCTACTGCGCGTGTGGAAAAGCGCCGGCCGAGGCATTCGTTTTCCAGTGTGGATCGCCGAAGCACGGCTGGGAATACGTCGGGTTTGAGCCGGCTGATTTGCGCTGGGTGTTAAAGGAGATTCAGCCGTTTGAGGAAGTCAACATCCTCGTTCTCGGTAATTGCATAAAATGCTTGCTTGAACCATTCATTATACGTGCACACGACACACTGCGTTTTAATATGGACTGACGTGTGTTATTAACCGAATAGGCGAAACTGGAGTGGGAAAGTCAACGTGGATTAATGGTTTCGCCAATTTCTTAACATACGCCCACCTGGAAGATGCTCTGGCCGACCCGATATTCCTCATTCCCAGTCGCTTCACGATGACTGACAAGAGCCTGGAGGAGAAAGTGGTGTGCATGGGTGGGGCAAATGCCAACGAGCCGGAAACCGGGCAATCCGACACGCAAATGCCGGCCAGCTACGCTATCAAGAAAGGCAGCACCGTTGTCCGGCTGATCGACACCCCCGGCATCGGAGACACCCGCGGCGCCGATCAAGACAAGAAGAACTTCCAGCTGATCATGCAGCACCTGGCCAACTACGAGAAGATCCACGGGATCTGCATCCTGCTCAAACCGAACGATTCCCGACTGACTGTGATGTTCCGCTTCTGCATCAAGGAACTGCTGACACATCTGCACCGGGACTGCTGTCACAACATCGTTTTCATCTTTACCAATGCGCGTTCAACTTTTTACCGCCCGGGCAACACGTTTCCCATTCTGAAGAAATTGCTGAAGGATTCTCAGGGTGTTGATATTGCGCTGAATGAAGATACGATTTACTGCGTGGATAGTGAAGCGGTGCGCTTTATGGCGGCATTAAAGGCCGGAATTCAATTCAACGACACGGAAACGCAGAATTTCTTTAACAGCTGGGAGAAATCGGTGGAAGAAACAGAACGCCTTTTGAAATTTGTTGCCTCCCGAACCCCACATATCTTACAGAATACCATCTCTTTGAACGAGGCACGCCGGATGATTCTGTCGTTTACGGAACCGCTGGCCCACATCACCAAGAACATTCAGATTAATTTGCAACTGGCGGAAGAGAAAGCCGAAGAGATCCGCGAACGTGAGTACTCTAAACGCCAACTGAGCCAGCAGCTGTATGTCCCGGTCATCGATCTGGAATCCGTCCCCTTGGGGTTTCCGCGCACTGTCTGCGTCTCGCAGAAATGCATCCGTGTCGTCGGGCAGAAGGTGGATTACGTTACTTGGTGCCACGATCACTGCTACCTCAAGGGTATCCAACAGGAGCAGTATCCCAATCCCGGGTTGAAGCAGTGCGATGCCATGATGCCCAGTGGAGAAAAGTGCAACCATTGCGCATGTTCCTGGGAGAAGCACATGCATATCTCCTATGAAATGCGAGAAGTGGAAGTTAAGGAGGTAGATGAACGTGTGCAGAAGCTGCTGCGTCAAAAAGACGGGGAAATTGTGGCAGTCGGGGTGTTTCTGGACGAAGTGGAGCAGCGAAAGTTGGCTTTGCATCGCGAGGAAAAGGAGATCCGTCTAGTGGCGGCCAAATTCGGATGTTTCTTGAAACGCAACGCCATGATTCCGTATAACGATGCCATGGAGGAGTATTTGAATTACTTGATCTCCAATGAGAAGGAAAAGATCGCTGTCGGTCTGCCGCGGGATCATTTGGTCGGGTACGAGCGGATGTTGCGGGAGTATCGTGAGGAGAAGCAGTTGTTAGAGGAGTCGATGCAGAGCGGGGAAAAAGAGCATCAGCTGACAATGGAAAATATTGTGGAGGCTATTCAATCTCTGTACGGTCTGCCCATCAATGGACGGCGAATCCGCAGTTTTGTGGAGATGATGCAGGATGTGCGCAAGCAGCAAACGCAGCATAACGAGATGTTCTACTCGCCAAAAATCTCACGGGTGCGTATCAAGAAGTACCGGGATGAGGACATGTATGGACGACGGCGTGTCAGTTTAGCTCCACTGCAGTATGATTATTCTCCGTATGGGATGCATGTGCGCCGGTCGGGGTCACCGTCGCGTCTGCCGATGGCTAGCTCGCCGCGAGACGGTGGTGGAATGTTCAATCAGCTGTGGCAAGGAGCGATGGGAAGGTTCTGGCCGGGACGCGGGAATTACTGAGGTAATACTACAATCGAAAATTTAATTTCACTTGTGATGAAGGGCACTTCCATTTGCTTCATTTTCTATGACACGCATTGAGGCGAATACGTGCGGCTTTAATTTACTTCCCTCAAATGATGATTTAGAAATGCGAGCAAAGGCTGCATCGCTCGAGAAAATTTAGAAGTAATGTAAAGTAATAGTGTTACAGAGCAGCATCATACGGGGAAATGTTTAACTGGGATGTTTTGTAGGAATGAGACAAAGGAAATAATGAGCCTATGGCGAAGGGACCGGAAATTGAATTGCGCTTCTCACGCAGAAACCGTGTTTGTGGAATGGCGTAGATCAGAGCGTTGGTTAATCTTTTACTGAATATTAATAATTGTGTCTTTCGTTGAGGATTATAATTGTGTGCTGCATCAATTTCCGGTTAAAATGGTTGTGATTATGTTACCAAATTTGTGCAATCTGTGTTTTTTTGTAAATTTTCTAAAATAATATTTAAATAATATTTGAAATGTACGGTAGCGGTGACGGTTGGTTTCCTTCCGTTAAATCTATAACGATTTGATGATGCGTTTGATTGATTTGAATATTGAAAAAATAGCCGCTTGTCCGAGACAGTGCAGTTGGTGTAGACTGTGTCACAAACGGATCACTTTCTAAGCAAGATAGCTGACGATGCTGTTATTTTACTATTATGTATGGTAGCATCGGTCGGCGCTTGGCAGAACCACAAGAGAGCTGTAAATTTACTGTACTGACGTTGCTGGATTTTAGAAACAGTTACCATACGTATGGTTATCATGCAATCCAGGATAACCGGAAAGTATTAAAAGGGCTCGAACTAGTGCTTCTTTGTACTTCCCTATATACTATTGACCTTGAAGTTTTGTTTCACACTTTTGCTTTCGTGATCAGTAATTTGTGCCTATATTTTTTTAATAATTAATTTTTTTGTATTTTTTTAAAAGTTTATTGGTTTACACCTGTTAACTTTAAACTAATTTTTATGTAGAATATACCGCGTGATGCACCGCATTTCTGTATTTAAGTCAGTATCCAAAACACGGTTTGAAATCGCTGCACACGATTTTTATTAACTTTGGTTTCAGTTTCCGGTATATAATTATTAAAATTAATTACGGTAGAACTAGAGGGCAACGAATTAATTTGCTCATCATGACGTCGTGGTTATGCTACACTGTCGTTCCATAAAATGGTTGAGCTGTAAGTTGAACGAACGTGGCGTGTCAGGCAGGACAATGCGGTAATTTGCAAATCCCCGCGGAGTATATCAGGTTATTAAGCGGCAACCCAAAGGACGTAATTGAATTCGGTAATATACGAGTGCAAAGGCGCCGGTCCGGAAATTCGAATGCGACACTATCTTGATCCTTATACCGCTTTGGGCCAATAATATTTACTGTGTCGACAGGTAGAGATGCCGCGCGCGGATTTGTTATCAAACAAATGAACATGTGGTCTCGTTCACAAGGCTCGGAGTGTTCTGAACAAAGTAACGAGGGAACGGGCTTCCGGTGGGTTGTTACGCGGCCAACTGACACACTTTCTTTCATTACAGACAATTGTGGTTTTATTAAAAATGAAAGTACAATAAGCAAACGATCGCTAATGTGCGGTGCGGCTTGAAACTGGCTATATATGTTGTCAGAATTTGATGCCAGCATGTTTTGTTTCCTTCAAAAAATACAAATAAAACCCATGTTATATCTTGCCATTAGACGAGCAGGATTATACTAAAAACGAAGGACAGAAATTAATATGCAAGGTATCGTATTTTCTGCAGGTTGTCGAGAAACCTCTGCAGAATCTCTCGCATGTATGGAGTTTTAGGTTTGCATATTTTTTGATAGTACGAGAAGTTAGTTCTGGTTCGCTTTTGGAAGTCTTGGATGCTTTTTTGAATTTGTTATGCGCTTACTGTAGTAAAATTGATCTGGATTCTATGTAATGTAGCTTGCAAAAGGCGCTTTAGGTGTACTTGTTTATAGAATGGGTGCAAGGAAATTGCTGTAAGCCTTAATTTAGCAGCTCTGGTGCAGCGTATACGCAATCCGTGCACGCCACATCAGTCTTTATGACTTATAATGCATAACTCTGATCAACGGATAATATGGCAAATGAATCCGTCCAGCCACATCCGCTGCTGACCATGACCCTGGCGGTTAATCCCATTAATTTCTACACCTGCGCCCGGCGCCGGTTCCGTTGACCCAGTTGGGCATGGTACGGATTGTCAGGATTGATATGTTGTTTCGCCTGTTCGCTCTTTGACCCATCAACGCGCGAAGGTGGTGCTTACCTGTCGCCGGAAGTGAATCACGTAACCGACCTGTAATTCACTTTCGTTCGATACTAATTTAGTTGTGGAAAATGTCAAATCAAAATAAAAGTGTACGTACATTATGATTAAATTGTTGTTATCAGCGTCAAGTTCTTGATACAAATCAATTTTTATCCAAACACGATTACGTTTGTTGCACAATATGTAAGATGAAATCGTTGCATCGATGTGTCTCGAAATATGACTGCAATCATAATACTCGTACTTTAGCAAATAACAAAATGATTTGTGTAAGATAAGTGTTTTAAAAATATCAAATTGTTATGGGAACAGTATTATGATTATTCAAAGTATTCATTCATTGGCCATTCTCCCGAAGATGTCTGTACAACGCTTGTGGTACTGTACTTATCGAACATCGAGCAACCTTTGGGGTGTTTATAATTGTAGGAAGCACAAAGTGGGAAATTTTGTAGTAGTTCTTTTTCTCGTTGCCTCAGTGTGTATCGCACTACTCGCCATCAGTTCTAAAAAGCAAAACCAAAAGCACATAATCTCTAACAAAAACCGAGAGCTGCAAAGTCGTAATGGCCTTAAAGATTCAGCAGCTGAGAGGTCATTAATACATTGTCCATTTCCAATTAGAATCGCGGTGAATGGTGATACAGTGTCGACACGAACTCGCGTATTGATCCAGGCAAAACACAACACTTAACCGCTTATATACACGCATTACGCCAAAGGGACACCCGTAATACATTAGCCAAGTGATGTTGAAGTGATCCTTGCGCTGATTGGCTTAAGTGCTTTCCTATCCTGTACGCGTGCATGCCGTACACGCGGTACGGCTACGCGCGCATCCAGTATCCCGCATCAAAAGGATATTCAAGATATGCTGTACTGTTTCTTGACCGACTGTCACACTTCAGTGTACAACACATGCACCTCGCGTATGAGTAGCCGGCAGTATGTACATGTACGACCCGGACCGCCGTAGTTTTGGTATCGTTGGCGGGATGCGGACACAAATCCAGGATGCATTTCTTGGCGCCATTCTGACAGGTCTCACACTCAACAGATTAGTGAGGCATGTGTTTGGTCAAAGATTAGTTGAGTCAACCGAATATATCGACATTTGCATACTTGTATCCATTGGCTTTTGTTGTCAAACGGATATTCATTGTGATTGTGCACGGCTGGACGCACTGTGCCAGAATGGACTGCGGATTCAACATTAACCATGTGCTGCCGGATGAAATGACCATCGTTGATGCCGATGCTGACTTCTGGAAAAACACATCCGTCGGTGGCGGCAGGCAAGCATTATTCAACAGTAGCTACGTATACATTGTCGGTACTCCGACTCGAAGAAGTAGGGATTAGCAGATTTCTTTTAATTGTTATTGTTATTAAGAAATACATGCATATGTTAGCCGCAGCTGCATTATCGCCATATTTAAGGTTTTACTGTTTTCTTGTATTTGAACCGTTTGATTGTGTGCATTTTATGAGCAACCGAACATCGTTCCCTCAGTATTTTTTTATTTCGTTGTGAAAAATAAAACATCTGTTGTCAATTATCAAGAAGGTACGGTACCAGTGTCGTTCTCTAGCGAAGAGCAGCTGTGTATAATACGAGTTATAACGACAAAATCAAATGTCTTAATATTGCAAACGCTAGCATTAATAATTTGTATTGTTAATTTATTCCGCAATAACAGCACAGATACAGAATTCGCACGAATGCGCGAAGTATTGACAAGTGAATAAACATACTCTCCTGGCATCCTGATTAACCCAGATTATTTGCGGGTTATTGCAGAGAATTCCTGCGCCAGGAGATCACAACCATTATCGATCGAATTGGCGAAGCATCCGCGCAGGTATGCTCGTTTGTTAATATTTTGATATTTTCTCTCGTTTTCATTTAAGGACTGTAATATTTTTATAACGATTTTGTGGACCAGCTTTTAATTTGTAATTTAACAGAGGTCATACTAGAGTAGGGTACGTTTTCTCCAGTGGCCATCCTAAGCTGGGATATCTATATAAAGTACCAGCTGCATTAGGTCAGTAAATAATACAGCAATTGAATTAATGCTTGGTGAGCGCAGTTGAGCAGCGATAAATGTGCGAAACTGCTCCGGCACTTACAAAAGTCGCCCATTTTTCTCAGCTGATTTCCATTTTATTACCAATAAAGCGGAAAAAGCAGGCCAGTTGAACTGTTGTGCATCCTTTAACAATTACTGCACGTCTCCCCAAAAGACCAAAGCGATCAGAATGTGTAGCACGGACACTGGAGCTCATCATTCTGTTGATAATCATTTGGCCCCGTGTAATGGGGGTCATTCTCGTTTCAGCACTCGCATAACGTGCAATCACCAATAAGACCCGCTATTTAACCAGCCCTCCTCACCAGCGCCGCCAGGGGAAAGGAAGCTGGCTAGTTCGCCGGTTGTACACGCCACATGCTACCGTCGCCGGGGCATCCCATTAACCTACTTGCCGGCATTCTCTAGCTCAATAATTTATCCCAGTTGGCGCTCTACAGAACTACTGTTGGGGTGTCGTGTAGCGTGTGCAATTATCCACTGATCGATTTATTGTGGCGAGCGGCGTTGTGGTCCGGGAGGGATGTAAGTTTGGAAAAGGGAATGGGCAGGGAAAAGGTAGCCAGTGGGGCTATGCATCGATCAGAGGCTATAAATGTATTAGTGTTTACTCATTATGGCCCGGGTCATGAATGATGAGTAAGCAATGGGATCAGCTTGCACTATTCATGATTCCGGGGATGGTTTATGCCAAACTGCTTTAACCGCGTATGGAATTATTAATTGCATTATTACCCTTTGGGAAATGTGTGCTGACTTGCTGAGGCAGCCACAATACTGAAAAGGGGAAACCAGCTTAATTTTCAGGCGTGCAGCTACCTAGTGACTCACGACAACGTATTCGTCATACGGAAATTGTTGCCAAAATTTTCAACAGACAGCAGTAATAGTAACTTTAAAAGTGTTAGAACTTGCTAAATTATCTTAAGGTACTGTATGTTCATGGGTGACTACGTACGAGCCGGTTTCCAAATTATATATAGTATTTTATTATCCTTTTGGATGTAGCGCGACATTTTGGATGTGATAAATTTTTACCTACTGTACGTACGATGCGTAACGAATAATTCGATTGTGTTGTAGAACCAAGGTCTTTTGTCACCCATCACCAGCAGCGCCAAACTGCGCGCGTCCAGTCACAGGCTATATATCATGAAGGATGCGAATGCCCATCAGTATGTCCAAACTTCCGATCTGTCTTTATTTAAATTTGGATTTCTTACACAATTTTTAAGCCGGCACTTTATTAAACCTCTCTTATTGATGTTGTTTCCAATCCAGTTCCAGTTAATTATACGCTGTTGTAGATATCGCGGTGGCGTTATTGGTTACGTCAAGGTGGCCCGGAAGCAGCTAGTCATATTCGATAGTAAAGGTCAACGTAAACAGTACGAGCCGGTGTGTGTGCTGGACTTCTTTGTTGACCCCGGCTATCAGCGTCAAGGTTACGGGACAAAGATCTTCAAATACATGATGCAGGTATTACAAAGCCCCGCCTAAAACACGTACTCGTATATACGCCGAAAGTCTTCTACCGCTTCAGCATACCGAACTTCCGACAGACGGTCGAAAGGGTATTAGCACGAACCACTTTGTGACTCTTTGCTCAAGGATTAGTCTCCATTGCCGTCTTTAAGAGCCCAACGTGATCGCATTTCCGGTTTCCGGTTAAAGCGCTTTCGTGGCAGATTTTACAGCATTTTCGGTGCAGCGCTTATATTTGACTCGGCGAAGCTGACAGATGAATTGCCTTTATGCATTGCAGCGCGAACACGTCGCCTCGGCTGCTGACCTGGCCATCGACCGTCCCGGCGCTAAATGCCTGTCGTTTTTGGCCAGAAAGTACGGCCTCACTGACACCGTCAAACAACCGTCGCATTTTGTCGTATTTAAGGAGTTCTTCACCAACAATGCGGGCACTGATCTCGAGACGGTGTTACAGAACGGACATAGCATGCAAAACGGACACCAAAACGGAACAGCACAGGTACAGCAAAGAGTAAAGACTACGTAAAAGCATAACAACTGAAATTTTAATAAAGAAGAATAGTGCTTTTTTACCATTTCCTAGGCACTTTTAACGTTATTTTTAAGCATCCTATTCTTACCTTCGTTTCGCATTTCTAGAATGGTTATAAAAACGGAATGAGCAGCGCCGCGGACGCTGCCGGTCCAAACGGCATGGAACCAACTTCCAACGGCTGGCAGACCGTTTCCAACACCAACGGCTACCAGAACGGCAATGGTATGCAATACGACAACGGCGAGATGGGGAAGGATCGTGCTGCCGGGATGGCCAGCTACCCGTTGGCCAACGGGAAGCGGGATGATATCGGATTAGCCGGAGCGCTGCGCCCCACCAAGGGGCCAAATCTGCACTATGTGCACTCGCAGTTGTGGTGACCTAATTCCAACAGGATAATCACGGGCTAATTATATCCGGCTTTGTGTGGCAGTGTGTCAGTTTCTCTTATAGTTGCAATAGTCATTGACGAGTCCCCAATACTGTATCACTTGCCGTTGGTAATCTGTCTGCAATACGTATTGTGCCATACCTTTCTTAGTTATCTACTTAATACTTACTAACTTTCTATCACTGAAAATATTTCTTTCATTGTTGTTTTTGATACATCTTTTTGAATGGATGTACTTATGCCGTTCTATACCTGCACACGATATTTTCTTGACACTATACTCGTATTCATGTTCTAATTATTCTTATTCATTGTGCACCGCATTATAATTTTAGTCTGTATAGAATATTACCGTTATTACAATCTACATCATCGTTTTAGTTGTACTGTTGTACATGAGTATAAGTACCTCCAGCCTGATCAATAAAATTAATGTCGTGCTTTTCGTGTGCGGAACTGTAATAAACATGTACAGACGCTTCGTAGACCGCAGACAAAGAGTACTCTTTAATTAACGTAGGGTTTTATTTAATTAACCACCCTGCGTTCGTAAAAAGTCAGCATAGATTTTATTACAATGTAGGTACATGTCACGTACCTTATTGTATGATACAGTGTGTTGTACATATTATATATCTATAGATACAATAGGCAACGTTATTAAACCGTAGTTATCACTGTAGCATGCCAGTATACAGGTGTTTACGATTAGTCGGTATAAGTTTACGCGACCGGTGCCGATAATACTATAAATATAATACTATTATTGCCGTATATCGCGTCTGTGGGGCGATAAGAATCGCGATACTATTATTGCCGTATATCGCGTATATATCCGTATAATGCCGTATATCCGTATATATCCGTATATGCCGTATATATCCGTATAATACTATTATTGCCGTATATCGCGTCTGTGGGGCGATAAGAATCTATTAGATTCTTATCGCCCCACAGACGCGATATACGGTCCGGTATACGATACGGTGGGACACCGTATCGTGACCATACCGTCGATAAGTTAAGTGATCGCAACGCGCAGACGGTAAACGATACGGTCCAATCCTGCCTCTGACGTGAAACATGCTGTGGTTCAAATCAGTTTTAAGGCATTGGCAGATGATAACAATCGTGCAGTTCAAAACTCGATGAAAACTAAAATTCTAAGCTACTTTTTGATACCAAAACATCCGGATTTAACAGCCCATGAATCTTTCTACGAGCATTTGAATTTTAACACAGCGCCTATGGAGTTTAACTGACAGCTCGCGCAGAGTACTCCAACGGCTCCGTAAGCTTGGCATGCTAAATTCAGACGGTTGTAGAATCGCTAGTTTTCAGATAAGCTGCACTCGCTTGGTATCAAAAAACTCCTTAGAATTTTATCTTTCTTCTAATATCCTTTTCTGATGAATCAAGAAGATTTAAAATCTACCAGAACAATTTTGAAGTTTCATGATTTGGCAGCTGCAAACGTTGTGCTTCATGCCACTGCCACTGAGGGTGGTTGCTGTATCGCGCAAATCAACGGTAGGCATTACGATATCTCAGCCTTCTACCGTCAATCCTACCGTCAATCCTACCGTATATCGTACCGTCTATCGTAGGTCCATTTTGTGTTGCGATAAGATACTTAAGTACTCGTACTCTTACATCGAGCTTTCTATCACGCTACTACAACTACAACTGACGCGCTAACAACTGTACTGTAAGATGACAAGATCGGTGCGGTGTTTATTTTCTATATTTCCGCGTGCGCAACACACAGCAGCTTCGAGTCCCGCAATGGCTCAATCCAAGGAACTAGACCATTATAAACTGATCTTCAACGACGTCAAAACCCGTCCATATAACCAAGACCTGGGTTGCCCAAAATCGAGCGTTCTAAACGATCATCTCAAAGACCGTTTATCTGGTTCCTTGGTCGGTTTAGCTGTCGGCGATGCCGTGGGCGCCTACTTCGAATTCAAATCCGCGGAATTCGTGCGCCGGAATGCACCAATTGGTATGCGCTCAGGTGGAACATGGAGTCTAGACGCTGGTCAGTGGACGGATGATACATCGATGGCATTATGTCTGGCTGCTAGTCTACTGATGACGGGAGAGTGTGATCCCTATGATCAGACGATGCGTTATCTGGCCTGGTACGAACGCAGTTATTTGTCGTCCAAAGAAGGGGACGGACCGGCGTTTGATATTGGTATCGGCACCAGGGGCACATTGGATAAATTTTCCATGTGGCAGAGTGATCTTGTATGCAAACTAATTAAAAATAATTCAGAAAGAATTGAGGCGAAGTATAAGTTCGAAGGAAGTGTTTACGATGCGGTGAGAAAGGAATTCCCATCGGCGGGAAATTTTGCGCATGCCACAACAGGTGGGGTACAAATACTCAGATACTGTAAAATTTAATAATCGCTGTTGTACTCGAGCAGTGATGATTGGTGATTGTTCAATTGGTTTTTGATGGTATTTTCGATACCGCAGAGTTGCAAACTTATTTGGTACTACGTGGCTTTTTACTGGCGCTCCCAGGCTGACTAATCTGTAGCGGTAATGCGTGATAAGAAGTTCTAGTCGACAGGAAAAGTTAAATATGGCAGCTTTTTTCGCGACCATTTGAAGGGGGGTTCGCGTTTCAGATATTACCCGTAGATTTTATACTAAGCAAATCAAAAACTCGATAAGGACTTAAGTACCTCCACAAATATTTATATTATATTAGGTATGACATTTCGGTTGAGGTTTGAGGTTTAATGAAATTGGGCGCAAACGAAACAAAATGTTACAAAGAATTTGCGAAGGTACAGTAATTTTGACAGGTTATACAAAGATTATGGTTCTAACTAAAACAAATAAACGAAGTCACCCTACTTAACACGGTGCCGCACGAACAAGCACTTGTCGAAGTTACTTCTAGCTGGTTTTCATGCTGCAGGTGGAAATGGTTCGTTAATGCGTTTGGCTCCCATTCCCGTGTTCTTTCACTCAGATACCCAGGCGGCCATCACATCGGCCGAGGTCAGCTCGATCACAACGCATCGCGCCGGTTTTGCTATCGACGCGTGCAAATTCTACGCGGCACTGATCTGTGAGGCATTCAGACCCGGTGCGACGAAAGCTGTCCTGCTAGACAGTGGTTTTCGTGATAAATTCCCCGGGCTACGTAATCTGGACCGACAGATTGTCGAAATTGCTGAAGGGTCGTATAAAACGCCGGTCAACGCTCCGCCACACGATATAGTGGGTAACTCCAATGGCGCAGCTTCCAAAGCGCTGAAGGCAGCACTGTGGGCGATCTACAACGATGAGGATAGCTTTAAACGTGGCGTGGAACTGGCGGTGGGATTAGGTGGCGATACGGATACGGTGGCCGCCATTTATGGGCAACTAGCGGGGCGTTATACGGACATACAGATACAGGAATCCCCAAAGAATGGCGTGACAAACTGTACAAGCACGATTTTATACGAGATCTTGCGCTGCATCTTGGTGAACGACATGCTCAGTAATGATAACGATTATTTTTGTACTGATTTTACTAGCAGATTTTTTTATGATAATGATAACTTACATGATTTTGGTGTTACATAATTTTTGGTTCGAAGGTGCTTCTGCGAATGTTTTTTGCCAAGGATTTCATAGATATGCGTTTAGCACGACTGCATGTCCTGTTTCTCAGCGGTTGGAGACTGTTTGGTCGGCACATTTTACCCAGACTGGTTTGCGAGTGATTTGCAGGATTGCTGCTGCATGCAATGTCAGCGGATATAAACAAAATTAATTGTTTGACGCACGAAACAGTAACCGTTTCATCCGATTCGAGGTGTACCAATCGAGAAAAGACACCTGTGTCTGTTTGTCATCGCATTTGTTACACATTTAAAAAATGAATCATTTTAAAAATCTCAGCACAAATTTCCTCATTTTAAAATTGTACGGGTTGTAGAACCTCGGACTGATGTCACGGAAAAAGTGTTTCTGAATACATGTAGAATTGTAGATGAAGCGCAGCGCTGCAAAGGGGAAGGATGTGTTTTTGCATTTTTTAGCAAAGAATTATATTTTATTGTGTTGGTCAAACTAAATTCTTAGTCAGTTAAGGTATGTAGGTAGCGGCGTTCTTGTAAAAAATGTTAACTCGGCCTCAGAGGATGTCGATCCACGTCGGAAAATTTTGTGTCGGTTAACAGGAAACCGTCTTCGAACGGTCGGTGTAACCAATTCGAAGATCCGATGAATTCAGGTACCTGTACAACAAGAAACTGTGAGTGTTCCGAGGATTATTTTTGTAATCTATGTATTAGTAAAGTCTGCAGAAAATAATCTTTTAGAAATTACGACAAATGACAAACTCATAGATCATCTGCCCGCATGGGTCGGTTTAAATACGAGTATAATCAAAATATATCGTCATATCCCTGATCCGGAGAACGGCGTAACGGAGCCTCCGGCAAGGCACGGACCGGCTGATGTCACATCCGCCGTTGAAGTCGCGCGCCCGTTTGACTGGTTTCCTTACCACCCCACAATCAGGCTTGTTTTTTTTGTGTAGTTGCATTTGACTGTCTTGTGCTTTCTGGCAGGTTGAAGGCAGTAAACGATGAGGTATGAGGATAATAATCAAAATTTCTACTTGTTGTCGGTAGTGTACAGTGCATCGTTTGGAAAAATCGGAAGTACTTGCATTTTACGTCGCCATCCGCATTCGGTTTTAAACAAAAGTGTACAGCAATAGCGAAAATGTGCAAAAAGTGCGTGTACTTCCTCGTGTAATACTGTCAAAGCTCTCGAACTACAACAAACTCCACTGATATTCAGGAGGGTTGCGTCGAGCAAGAGACTGAGAAAAAGGTATTTTGTCCATGTGCTTGAGTACAATGGGCCGGCAGAGTTCATCGGTGAAATCATCCCTTCGTCAGGCGACTCAGGCGACTGTTCATAGCCTTGACTACTGCTATGAAAAACATACAGATAGTCACGAATCCTCAAGACTTTGACAGTCTCCGAATTATTTTCAAGAATGTTAACATCCGTCCGTACAGTCACACCCTAGGCACACCGGAATTTCATTCATCAGCCCTCGCTTATCCAACGCAGAATAAGTTGTCTGGGTCGCTGGTGGGTCTGGCGGTGGGCGATGCTGTTGGGGCATCGAATCCGCTAAGTATGTCCGTGAGAATTCACCAATCGAAATGCGTGCAGGTGGGACATGGAGTTTGGAGGTCGGTCAATGGACGGACGATACATCGATGGCTTTGTGTCTTGCCGCCAGTCTTCTGATGACCGGCGAGTGTGATCCGTTTGATCAGACAATGCGCTATCTGGCCTGGTACGAACGCAGTTATTTGTCGTCCAAAGAAGGAGACGGACCGGCGTTTGATATCGGTATCGGCGCAAAACACCTTAGATAAATTTTCTATGTGGCAGGATAGTGTGCTTTTAAGTTTGGCCAGGACAGAAAATATCGATGTTTTGAACGAAAAGTACAATTTCGAAGGAAGTGTATATGACGCAGTTAAGAAAGAATTCTCTTCCGTCGAAAGTTTCGCAAATGCCGACACAGGTATGTAAAATCCACTACTCAGTAGGTAACAGATTTACTTTTGGGTGATGAAAAAATTGCTGAACATTAATAAATTTTCGCTATTACGAAAACCACCAAAGAAATACGAAAAATAGCTTTACGCAGCCAAAGCCTCCCAGCATCTGCACCGTACGGTACTCACTGTATGCACGCTAACTGATCTTCTGTTTTAGGTGGAAACGGAGGATTAATGCGTCTTGCGCCAATTCCGATATTTTTCTATAAAGACACCAATAGCGCCATACAATATGCAACCGTTAGCTGTGCGACAACACACCGTGCCGGGTTCGCCATCGATGCCTGCAAACTGCATGCGGCTTTAATCTGCGAAGCATTGAAGCTGAATTCGAGCAAATCCGCATTGCTAGACAACGATTTTTATAAGAAATTCTTTGGGTTGAAAGATCTTAACGAGGAAATTTTGGAGATTGCCAAAGGATCATACAAAACTCCGGCCGACGCTCCACCCGAAGGCACCATCGGTAACGCCAACGGCAAAGCGTCCAAATCTCTGAAAGCGGCACTGTGGGCCTTCCATGATGGTAACAGTTTCCAACGTGGGTGGAGCTTGCGGTTGGATTAGGCGGAGATACCGGTACAATTGCGGCTATTTATGGACAGTTGGCGGGAGCGTTGTACGGGCACGAACGAATTCCACGGAAATGGCGTAAAAAGTTGTTTAAACACGATTTTATACGAGATCTGGCTCTTCGTCTTGGCGAACGGGGAACTCCGCTATCTTCATGAACCTTTTACCTGGACTAAACTTTGACTGACTTTGTGCGCAGCTCTTGTACAGACTGTAATTAATGGTTTTCCTGAACCCAGCTAATACTTGAAATTCTATTTGTGTATTCTTTAATTACGGTCTTTCGGTGTCATTGCCGCATTGATTACATACTCGTAGATTCCAACATGTGACCTTTGAAACAATCGTGTATAGAGCACGTGAAAAATTACATTCATTCCGAAATTAAGGTGGTTCATCTTGTGTTTACCAAACATTTTGAGGAGACATTACGCAACAACGTTTATCATTGTTACTGTATTGATCTGACACGGCGGCATCTGTCATTACTTCTATGCGCACTGATAATTAACAAGCTGAAGTAGGAATTAAAGAGGTGCGTCAGCGTCTTGTTGTTTCATACTTGTGCCAAGAATTAAACAACGCTGTTGTGTCACAGTCAATTTGTCACGAAACATAAGAAACAATAAACAAATAGAAATTATTTGAATATTTGAAACTGGTCGTGGATCGCAAGAAATGCGGAGGCCCAGCTGTTTCTTGGAGCACCCCATGGCCTCTACAGACAACCGCAATCTCAGCGTACATACAAGAGTAGTTTCCAGTATCCACACAGCTGATGAAATATCGCAAAACTTTTTTGATCCGTTATATCGGATCAAGAAATGTACGCGTTTGCTTTGGTTCACTGTTTAAAAAACACCGGACATGCTTTGGAACACTCGAAATGTTTTGGAACAGTTATCCACAGTCTGAAGACTTTTTGGAGTTTTCGTCGGAGGTGATCTGTAAGGAGGTAAGTACTGCAACCTCTGTACTGTATTCGCATATATTTTTGGGGCAGATGTCGTCAGCATATAAGTACTGTATTTGCAGACGCTAGATATATGTAGTTCGACAGAAAGTTTACTGCATTTGACTTCTGGATCGATGGTCACTTAAGTTGCTTTAAGTACTTCATAATTCAATATGCAAGGGTGTCACCACATATGCAAGGATTACAGTATGTACGGTTTGTACCTTATGTTCTCAAGGATTCTGACTTCAGATTAAAATTCATGACAATACTTAATGGTAGCCTTGCGATATCGAAGAGCGTATTAGGATTTAGAGATCACAGATAAATCAGGTGAAGGCATTAACCACACGTAGGGGTATAAATGGTGTTGCTAGCATTAAATCTTTGCAACACGCTCTCTGTCAATTAACGTAAAACTAAAGTCAGCCAAATATTGGCTAAAAATTACTGTTTTTCATTTCGGTACAGATCTCTCCTCCTCACAACATCCACGTAGCCGAACATGGCCAATACCGGCACCAGGACAAACGCCGCCAGCACATAGCACAGTCCCGACCACCACGAACTCGTTCGGGCGAACATGTTCGTAAAGATCAGCGCTCCCACCACCGGTATAATACTCTGCATCGACGAGATTAACGACATACTCTTCCCAATCTCATCCGAATCGACCAGACCGCTCATCATGGATCGCACGCTGACATACAACAACAACCGCAATAATCCTAATCCCGCCCCCAAATACAACATCCAAGTGGTCACGGCGATACCGTACGTAAAGTATCCCAATATGGCGGATAGACAGGCGATAAACGAAACCAGTGTATCCGACACCTGCAGGTATTTCCTCAACACCAGCATCAGTACCATCACCGAAACAGAACTGACAAACCCGGAAACACAGGAAAATATTGAGTATTCGTATAGACTCCAGTAAAACGGGGCAAATTCCATGAAAAGCTGGTTGACCCGACTGTCACCACTGTCGCAGATGCCGTAAATGGCTAATGACAAAAATACTAGCCAAATGTGGAGCCGGGTTCCACCCAGCCGCTTTCGCCGCATCATCTGGAAGTTGTCTTTCAGGTTTTGAACCGAAAACAGGCTGCAAATGCCTAAAGTTTGGCCGCTGGAGGTGGAGTTGATCTTTACATCGCGGATCACAGCCCAAACGTAAACAATGGTTGCCAAGTATACACCGGCACAAATATATAAGGGCAGGGTTACGCCGTAGTACTTGAAAAGCACTCCGCCAATCAGAATGGCGCTGTTGGTAAATAAACTGTACGAACCGTCCAATAGTGCAATATTCATTGACCGGCTCTACAAAAGTTAAACTTTGATTATGAAAACCAAGTCATAACATGAGTGGACAATCGACATTAGTTCGACAAGAACGACGTGGTTAATGCAAACGGTAGGGTGAAAAATACATTTTATTGTAATATTATTACTGAAATATATTGCTGTACTGTTAGAACATTCACGTACATGATCGGTTGTATGGTCGCCGATGTAACTGAACATGGCCATGATGACAATCGTCCAACCACCGGTTATCGTCGTGACAATAGACCCTATCAGCAAATACCCTGGATGCAAATGGGGAAATGCTGCAACGGCTGCCGTGTAGCCTGCTGACAGTGTTGCACCGATCAGCGGCAGGATCATTGGTAACTTCCGCCCGACTTTATCACTCCAGGCACCTGTTACGTTTAAACCGGTCAGTACCAACAGAACATCACTTTTCTTAGTACTAATATAGCAGGGACTGGTTACCGACGAAAATGTTAAAGATGATGGCCGGGAGACTGCTGATCAGCGTGTCATACTGCTGGTAATCGGCGGTCATACTCCGCACGGCGTCGCCTTGAGTTTTAAATTCATCTTCAGTTATGAGAGCGCAGACATTGGCTGGAAACTGCAATGCCACCGAGCACACCTGGAAGGAGATTGTTTTTGCACTTTTTAATGTGAGTTTTGCACTAAGATGTATGTGTGATACAGGTACACTATATCTGTATATCTATATATTGCTTAATTGTAGTGTCGGGAATTGTCATCAAGAATTCTCACTCGGTTTTTAAGCAGCTCGATCCACACCGGTGTCGATATTCCCCATCCCATACACATAATCAACGCCATTGGTACCATCCGGTACGATGCGTAAAATGTCGATAACTTGGAAGGATCCCATTTCCCCTCACGAACTTCATTCAACAACGGCTGCTCATCGTCATCGATATCTTTGGGATGTTTTTCAAAGGGACCCCCAGGAACGGGATTGTAGACGAGCGCGGCGACTAGTCCGTCTTCAGTGGCTGGCTCCATGTTCGACGCATCCGGTTACGAAAATTACTGTACTGACATTGTAGTTAGGATCATGGCACGATCATGATCATCGGTACTAGATATACCGGTAACGCGACATGGACTTCGGTAAAGCAGCCTGAATTTAGTCACGAGGTAGCTGACTGATAAGCAGAATATAAGGAACAATAGGCCCGCGTCTGCTGGTTTGAACGGTCGCATGTTGTTGTCGGAAAAAGTACTGTTACCTTTACGAGCACAAGCAGAAGAAGTACAGCAGCTGTTGGTTTCGTCAATTTTCGTGCCAGTGTCACGGCATGCACTTTGCAGGCTAACACACCCCATCCTTGTGACCAATGACCATCAACTTCTTTTGGGACTTGAGAATACTTCATAGTGCATATATTCCAGAGTTATTGTGGTCTTAGTCGTATCTACATTAGCTAATACCATAGCACAAATGAAGGTCTGTTATGCCTTCATTAGTGCTATGCTAATACCTACAACGCAGCGCAGTTATGCCTGGAGATCAAACATGTAAAGTGTCCGGGATTCCCTTAATCTTCCGGTTTTTCCCCGAAAGCAGCGATTTAATTAAGCGGAATTTTCGCAAGTAAAGGTAATAAATTATTTTGAGTGTGATGCTTAGCATTCACCGCAGTGCAAAATGCTTTTGAAAATTAATGCTAACCGTAACTTTTCCTCGTAGAGCACCGCATACCTACATTAAAACTGTGGACATATTGTACCTGCAAAGCCATACCGCAATTCTTCGTATTTTCAAAGTGAATTATCTTGCAATTTATTCATACTTATCGACTAAAAATGACGTGTAATCTTTTATTAATTTTATCTTTTGCACTCGAATTGGTTAAATTGTGAGCATAACGTAAAATTCGTATCGAAGCCATGAACGAGAGAACAGCCATCCATGGGAACTGATCATAACAAAAAATCACAGCATTCACAGAATGCACAACAAAACAGCAGTATCACAGACAAATTAAGTCAGCCCTGGTGAATTGCCTCCTCAGGCCTTGATACTCTGATACTTGTAATCCTCCCGGTACACCGCCCGCCTCCGCATCACATCCACATAGCCCAACATACTCCACACCGGAACCAGCGCAAACGCCGCCATCACATAGCAGAGCCCCGCCCACCAGTGACTGGTCCGGGCGAACATATTGGTAAAGATCAGCGCGCCTAACACCGGCGTGATACTCTGCATCGAAGAGATCAGCGACATGCTCTTCCCGATCTCATCCGAATCCACCAATCCGCTCATTAACGATCGGATACTAACGTACAATAATAAACGCAGTAAACCGACGCCAACGGCCAAATAGAGCATCCAGCTTGCCCACGCGATCCCGTAGGTAAAGTACGACAACAATCCCGAAAAGCACGCCATAAACGCTACTAATGTATCGGAAACGTGGAGGTATGTCCGCAGAAGGTACATGGACACGATCACGCAACTGGAACTGGCGAAACCGGCAACGCAGGAGAAAACGGTGTACTGGTACAGTGACCAGTGGAAGGGCGGGAATTCCACGTACAGCTGCATGACCCGACTGTCACCCGATTCGCAAATGCTGTAGATGGCCAGGGCTAAAAGCACGAGCCACAGGTGGAGACGGGTGTCGCCCATCCGGGGTTTACGCAACATTCGGTAGTTGTCCTGCAGGTTGCGCAAGGTGAAGAGCGATAGGAGGCCAGGTCTTTCGCCACGTGTATGTATGGGCTGGTCGCGGATGACCAGGAGGACGTACAGAATGCAAGCCACGTACATGCCGGTGGCGATGTAGAAGGGGGTGACGCGACCCAAGTGGGTGTAAATCACGCCGCCCAGAAGACCGCCCGAATTCATAAACAGACTCAGGGAGCCGTCAATAATGGCGATGTTCATGGCGCGAGTCTGGAACAATATTATACCGCTTTATATATAGTACATAACCGATAAAAGTTCAATACAATAAATTACTGAGAAATCTGTAAGATAAACCGATCGGTGCAATAACGTTTCAATTTCTTTAACCTTTCAATTACCATAAATACTTTGCTAAAAAAATTATTTTACAATAATCTACAATTAGTTGGCGTTATCAAAGTACTGAGTGTATTACATAATTAAAAGGCAATTCCACTAAAACATTATTATTAATAACGGATTAATATAACAGTTTATAATTAATTTCACTACAGATACATACGCCATTTACAAAACTGATGTGAAATTTAGTAAGTAAACGGAACGGAGAATGCAAGATATTTTCGAAAACGTATCATGCATAGAAGTATGGCTAAAAAGTAAACGATTTCTCCGAAGAGATAGAGTTGTTTCGTCATCTGCTATGGCCAAGAATAATTGGATGAAATATTGGACAGGGAAACCTATTATGCAAATATCCCCACGGAAAGTGCGCTTCCAGGCACAATTCGATAAGAATGCGCGCGGCACATGGTTATTTGTCCATTACTGACAATCTTATCAGTCAGGAGCTGACATAAGTCAGTGATAAAGTGCGTGTGGACTCACATGGCTGGTTGTGTGATCGCCGATGTAGCTGAATTTGGCCATAAGGATAATCGTCCAACCGCCTGTCAAAGTACTTAGAATGGAGGCTATCAGCAGATACGCCGGATGCATGGGAAAATATGCCACCACAGCGGTGAAGGCCACCGCTAAGGTCATCCCGATCATCGGCACCACCATCGGCAGTTTTCGCCCGAAGCGATCGCTCCATGCCCCTGTTCAAACCATTTATTAAGTTGCTTAAATACTTATTCACCGGCTTATGTAAAACAAATGAGCAAAGAACGAAGTCATAACTGCACTAGCAAACACGATAGCAAATTTTTTAAAGTTAAAGTTGTAAATATTTTTTGTAGTGCTTCCAGGGATGCTTCTTTAAGTTTACTTAAGATTTCGAATGCCTAAACAACCTACGGCAGCGCGTGGACTTACCAACAAAAATGTTGAAAAAAATGGCTGGCAGACTGCCAATAAGGGTATCGTACTGCTGATAATCGGCCGTCATACTGCGCACCGCATCACCCTGCTCTTTGTACTGGTCATCCGTAATGTGCGCGCACACATTCGCAGGAATATGCAGACCAATCAGGCATACCTAATAAAAACAACAAAACGTTTGCAAATGTTTTAACGGAAATAAGCAAGAATTAGCTTAAGACCAGTCAATGCCAAAAAAAGGTAATGCCATAGAACATGCAAATAGTAGCACACCGCACCACCACGAAAGAATCATCATACTTATACGGATCGGTATAAAATTCAGCACGAACGTTATTGCAACTATAATTAACATTAAAATAAGACTCAATCATTCGTCATAACTCATAAATATTATTTGTTCCAACAATAAAATCCTCGTACCCGATTCTTTAGCAACTCGGTCCAAACCGGCGAATAAATCCCTGCGCCCATGCAGAGGAAGAAAGCGAACGGCACCAAGCGCACGGCGGCATAGAATGTGGGCAGTTTGGTGGGGTCCACTTTATCCGGCTCCAAGAGCGGTTTCTCGTCCTCCTCTACCGCCGCCTCCGGAAAGCCCTTATCGAAGGGATCCCCAGTTAGGGGGTTATGCAGAAACGCGGTGGTCACACCGATCTCTGCGGGCTCGTCGATCTGGGCCATTTCTCACAATCGCAGCAGTGTGTAGAAAATCGTCCAACGATCGTCCCGCGAATTCTCTTCCACTGAACATGTGAGAAATGCTCTGTCATGGCCAAATGCAAATCACCCACTTTCCGCTTAAGCAACGGTTACGATCATGTACAAGCAACGAAGTTTAATCAGCAAACTGATATCTTCCGTCAGCTGATCAGTTTTGCTGTTCAATGCTGCTGTACTGCAAAATGCAGCGAAAAGTGTGACAAGTGTGTCAATAATCCAAAACGCACGACGCATGCACTGCGTAATGGTCGTTTTGTGTACGGTGGTCATGTGTTTCTTCGTGCTTCTATCGACTTTGGCTTTAACACTCCCGCTGTACGTGCGTTGAACAACGTTGCACCAGCTGCAGTTAGGAATTGATCGGAAATAGCGCTGCGTTTTGGTAAACAGTAGCCGCACGTGCGAGTTATTTAATATACGAGTTAATATCGACTCGTATTTGTTGACGTTATATAGATATAACTAATACCGTACTGGCACTTATCACCACAAAAAACTTTGAGCACACGCTTCTGGCAGGGTAGTTTCTTGTTAGCATAACTGCATAAGTACTCGTACCGCACAGACATTCGGGGATTATTAGTCATACAGCAAAGCTGCAAATATTAATAACCATCCATCCCATGATCCCACTGATTGTGCAACGTTAGCAAGAGAACCGAATTCTATTATTATCGTATCACATGCCCATGGATAAAACATGGGAACCTGTTTGTGATTAATATGATTTTGGACTATCCGAATGGTTTATTTGATACGACTACAGTACGCGAATGTGATACAGTAGGCTAATCCCAGTACACTGTTAAGTTGTCCTACGATGGGCTGCTGGACATTGGCCATCCGATAGTTTATTTATTCATAATTATCATTCTTTACCGAGATAAATTTGCTGTTGAATTTCTGTGTCCGTTTAAAAACATTTTCAATAATCGATCCAAGCATACCGACGGCTTTTTTCGGCTCAGCGAAAATGCAAAAATGATGTGACTATATCTGTTGCTCTAAGTCTAGAATCCCAGTAAATCGGTAACGAAAGCCAGTTCGAAAAGACGGAAAAGTATACTTTAATAATGGAAGTTGACAAATGTTATGTTGATAACAACTGTCAGGTTATGAGCTATCCTGTTACAAAACGTTTAAAACATTAATTAAATGATATTTCAGTGTGTCAAACCCCACTGCCAGCAAAAGATAATACAATATTGCAAATATTATATTTCTGGTTGCACTATAGCAGTTCAAAATTTCTGATTTCTAAGCTTTAATCGTCTGCCAAGCTACAGAGTAAATACAAACGTTCAAATGAACGCAAACTTTCCGCGATCTTAGTGTAAAGGGATTCTTTTTCTTTTTTTTCACATAGATCCACTTCCACCATAACACGAAAGAATTTCAGATTCTTTAATTACCGTTCAGTTCACTGTTCACGTTGCTGTCTTTTTAAGAACACTACGACAGTACTTGGAATAACAAGACAAATATCCCTGCACAATTTCTCAGATATATCACAAACTAACAAGTCCAATGGGATTTATTAAAAAAATACAATGCATAATTTAAAAGCGGAAAACAAGGAGACTCGTAACATCAGATCAATGCGAATTCGCAACTGCAAAGGAAAAGAGATTCATCCTCGATAGGCAGCGTCTTGAGAAGAAGAGTATTTAGCATAATAATTTAAATGTGAACAATAATTCACGTGTATTCAGCAATTCTATCGAATGTGAGGTAAGCAGACCTTTCCGGCGATCAGCTCCGACACCACGGTAATCCAAAGTGCCAGCACGAATAAAATGTACGAGATCCCCACTTGGAAGCTGTTGGGCAACTGGAAGGGATCCCCACCGATGGCATCCATTGAAAACCCCAGGGGAAATGTTACAGCCACCAAACAAAAAAATATCACTGCAAAATGCAAATTAATTATTCAACTTTTCATTAATTTTTTAAGCAGAAATTTGAATAAGCAAACAAAGCCACATGGAAAAATTGTTGACACGGACCGTGGTGGTTCCCTGTACAGCTTCGTTCAAAGTTAAGCCTTTACATTACCGCGACAACATTTGTGCGCCATAAATAAGCTCAACCGGATATACGTGCTTAACAGGAGACGACACAAACCCATCGAGCAACTCTCCTGGTGACTTTTAGACCGCATTAAAGATTAAACTACTAAGAGCGCACAGCGCCATTCTGCTGCTGCGTATAATTAAACAACGAAAAAAACAAGTATGCTTACTGCCAACGAATCCAATCCAGCGAGCCGCATTTGTCACAGACGATCTCCATTGCGATATAACGAACAGAACGGACGTTATAGTGGATGTTAGTATTCCTAACACCAGAAGGATCAAGCTGAACGTCCACTCGGTAGGCAAAACTGAGGCTTCGCATGTGGGATCACGACCGTAAATGATGAAGCATGTCTCCAGCAGTCCAATGCGAGTTCTACCTACAAACAGCACGCCCTAATCAGACCCTTTTAGTTTGGTTTACAACTGTACCCTATAGGCATAATGCAAACTGCAAAATATCTTTGCTTACCTCCGCCAATATCACTGACGATCCAGTCGGGAAGAATTAAGCTCACCAAGGCAAATACATCCGCCATGACGAAAAATAGTGTGGAGATGGCATTCAACTTGTCCATTGCGTACAGCAAATACTGTTTTACAGTGTACCTGATTTGTGGTGGAATCGCAGGGGAAACTAAAGTTAATTACATAGTTAAGAAAGCCTGAATTTGTACCGTACAACAAAGTTACACAACCGAAAAGACTGAAAAGACTAAGGAGAGTCAAAATAATCAAAAAAACACTCTGAACATGATCACAGCATCAAGAAAACTTGGAAAACAGTCCAAAAAGTTTCAAGCTTCGTTTACGTAAGCGTCAGCGCCTAGGCGCAAGCAACTAGATTATGGCCTTATTTATGGGCGCCTCCTCTAGGAGAAGGCAGCGGCAAACAGCGGTGAATTTAACGTAACCGCAGTTATTTAGAATATACTGTATTTAACTGTATTTAACTTCTGTTTTAACATGTTCTCGTAAATACGAGTATCAATCATGAACCTTCAATAGGCATTAGCCATTACACTTAGCCGACAGCGATATTACTATTTTAATAATTGCAATCTTAAAATTAGTCATTCATAATATTATGTTATCGACCTTTGTCACTGGGTTCGGTATGCACGCCCTATACAGTCTTGGTTTGTTATTCCTTTTACTAACAATTCCACAGTACACTAGTAGTTTTTCTGCAAATTCAGTAAAGGTATGTGCATGTCCATCCGGCATTCACATTCCGATATTCGATTAACATGGTAAATTAATTCGTTAATTTTACGTTATAGTCATTGTGTACGGAATGTATAAGCATTCCAGTATAGTGCCCTTTAATTTAGTGGAATGCCGACTGTTACCGACATGAGAAAAGATCAATAAAAATATACATAGGTATTATCGATCTCAAATCCTACACGTTTAGCGCTCGTACTCGAAGTAGTGGTGCAAAAAGTAGAAGTATTGATCAATACCCAAATGCTAACCAATACACACCTTCACATAGTTTTCCTCCGTGTGGATGCGCCTCTTATATCAAGACAGGAAGCATTTTACTATAATACATTTCGCAATTAACTAATGTGGACTTATATTTAGTGGATCCCTGCTACGTTGCTCCTTCTGTTCCACTACGTATGCAAAAATATTTGTTATTACGTATCTGTTATTATAGTAAACTGTGCGAGTTTCGAATTGTATTCTTTTTGTGATAACGACTATGATCGACTATCTTGGGCGCCATCCATAAATTACGTCACGCAAAAAATTGGACATTTTGATACCCCCCTCCCCCTGTGTCACCAATGCTAACAAACTGAGATCCCCCTGAGCGTTACGTAATAAAATGAGAACCCCTCCATCGATATAGCATGTTGACGTCATCATCGTAACAAATTTTTAAAGCCCCCCTCCCCCTCGTAACAAACAGTAACGCTTTCAGGACCTCCCCCCTCCCCCAACTTGCGTGACGTAATTTATGGAGGGCGCCTTGTATCAAGTTGTACGCACGCAGCCCTCCCTCCGTCTTGTTTGTTGCATCCGGTTTAATTTAATGTACAATTCACAACGATAGCCACATTATTAGCCAGTGGCTGGCTGCAGTCTGCATTTTTATGTGCTGTACATCATCGCGCACAGCTGGAGGACGTTTAAATTTACTGGTGACCGGTCATTCCCGGTCTGCGTGTCTTCGGATCAAAAACATTTTTTCGCTGCGATGCGTACACTCACAATCAGATAACCACCGGAAAACCTGTCGTGTTAGCTTTGCTTGTTCTCTATGTATGTTTTTCAGCCTTCATTCATCAACGACGATTCCAAAAGATAATTACCCACCACGATTTTACTGTAGCCTAGAAGAAAACCACAGCAAAACCGCTTCAGCTCGTGTTAGACTTTTTGCAGTTTAACAACGATGTATGTATGTCGGAATGCAAGAAGCATTGCATGATGATGCGCAATACAGTAATTACATTTTCGTGATACTGTGCTTGTGTTTACAGGGAATGCACAATCAAATTACTCGGTATGGAATCTTTGACGGGCGCACGTGGACGAAGTGTACCTGTACAGCAACATACATCGCGTTATCAGTGACGCTAATGACCCTTAATTACTGTAATTGATAAGTCTGCTCCGTTGTTGTTGTGTGCTGCAGCTGGCCTTGTGCAATAACCGGCGCATGCATGCAAACACCGCAGTTCGGCATCTGTGAATTTTGATTACGCCGATATGTTGACCATCATATCGGCAACCCAGGAAGAATGAAATTACTGCGCACTCATGGAAATAATTCCGCGTATTACGGGATGCCTTATCACACTTATCAGCTGTAGCATGCTAAATTGTGCAGCGTCACATCAGCGCCAGTTGAGCAATTTAAGAACGGTATCTGTTAATGGCATACTTTGGATTCCTTCCTCACAAAGTTCACTGCCGATTTTTCTATGCAAAATTATTATTTTTTTATTTTTGCTTGAACTCGTTTCTTTATCGTTTATGTTTGCTCAAAGTTTTGTTGATCGATTTGCGGATTTCGCTGTGATATTTTGCTATCAGTTATCATGCTAATTTCAAAGGATTCAGACAGGGCGACCGAAACCCAGGTCCACTCCGACGAGGAGGACGAAGTGGGTTACGAGCGCCATGATCATGCGGCGCCGACTATTTATAAACCGCATCAACAAGAAAATGGCTATCCTGACGTGCACCAGCCGCATTTCCCCAATGGACACACGCCAGCCGATTTAGTAGTGGCGGATGTTCATGATCCACAGGATACCGGTGAGCGGTGCGGGATCGCCTGCTGCAAGCCGGACTTCCTGCAACCGCTAAAGAACATGAAAGTGTTCTTGGTGTGCTTCGTTATTGCCGGTATCGCGCAAGGTAAGTACTGAACAACACCGGTACAGATAAAAAATGGTTATTACACCGATAAAATATTAGGATTAAATTTCTTAGCAAAACAAAACTGTTTTTGTAGGAATGTTTTACACATACTGGAACATGTCCTTGTCTACCATTGAAAAGCGCTTCCAAATCCCCAGCAAGACCACCGGCATCATCGCTGCTATCAATGACGTTAGCCACATCGCGGTGGTGCTCTTCGTAGCACACTTCTGCGGACGCGGCCACCGCCCGCGGTGGATGTTTGTTGGATGTCTGACTGTGGGCATCGCCGTGCTTATCTTCGCCACGCCGGAGTTGTTCGCTGACCGCTGGGACGCCGACACGTCGACGATAGTGTCGTCCAATTCCACGGGGAATAAAACGTTCGACAAGGAGATGTGTCTGTCAACGGCACAGGCCAAGCAGATTGCTGACCAGTGCATCGCCGATGCGCCCAATGAGGTGAATAAAAACGCTTGGACGTTTGTGCTGTTGGGCCTCGCGCAGGTCATCCTGGGTATCGGAACCACGGCACCCATTGTATTGGCAATGCCGTTCATTGACGATAACGTCAAAACGAAAAATACACCTATATATTTCGGTGAGTTATTTTAATTTACGTAGTAAGTTTTTGTTACAGTATTAAATTGAAACTCGTGCGATTGGTGATGGTTTGCAGCTTTGGGAATGACTGGACGATTGTTTGGGCCACTTATCGGGGTGTTTCTGGGGTCATTTTGTCTATCAACATACATCGATTTGTCAAGTAAGAATTTTTTATTAGCCATTACTTTATCTAGCAACTGTTGCTAATAAAGGTTACATGTTTTGCAGAAAAACCAAATATACCCCAGACGGATCCACGATGGATGGGCGCTTGGTATCTTGGCTTTCTCATTACGGGAACGATAATCTGCTGCGTCTCGACGCTGTACCTGGTATGAACACTTCGATTTCATCTGGTCCAGTTATTCATGGTTTGTGGACTATTCCAGTTTTTCCCGGCTAAAGTGCCTGATTCCAATCCCCCATCTAAGAAAGCTGACAAAGGCAAAGCTGAGAAATTACAACTCACGGAAAAAGTGGCCTACAAACCGGTGGTAACCAACACCAAAGCTCCGGCCAAGAAACAAGAAAGCCTGAAAGAAATGTTTGCCGGTATAGTAAATTCTTGTGATTCTGGAGCGCATATCGGCCAGAAATTTGACTGTTTGGAATTTTATATTCAAGCATTTTTTAGCCATTCCGCGTGATCTCAAACGCCTCCTTGTCAACAAAATATTCATGTGTCGCGTTGTGAATGATTGCATTGACATGCTGGTCGTATCAGGTATGGACTTGCAAGTCACAACAACTTGCAGTAAAAGTAGTTGATAGTTCTGATTTAGTAAGCAATAAGCAATAATAGAAAAACGCTTTTGTTTCCCTTGGATAATGATTTTTTAATATCGGCGATGACGTAAAAGCAACATCATCGGATTATAAATATTGAAATACGTTTTGGGCCTTTCTAAAGGTCGCATTTTAAAGAACTACTGGTAGTGTAAAAATGTACGATTTTTTTAGGTTATTTCAGTTTCGCACCGAAATACCTGGAGTACCACTTCGGTGTGTCGCCAGCAGATGCCGGTAAGGCCAAAGGTCTGACCAGTATCTTAGCGGTGACCTGCGGCGCTTTTATCGGCGGATTCGTTATCCGCCGTCTGAAACTGCAGCCAAAGCACGTCGCGTTGTTGATCTGTTTTTCCTCCTTTATGATCTCCATATGCTACTTTTTCCTGATGCTGGTCAGCTGTGATAGGCGAAATCTGTACAGCAGTCCCGGTGTTGACTCGTACGTAACCGGTTACCTACAGTACTTACTAGAGCAATATATTACCAGAGCAATACCACCATTCGCAAACAAAGCGCGATTGTACGGTGGAGACTTTTTGTACAGGATGCTGATTGTCAATACGCAGTGCTCCAACAACTGCTATTGTGATGGACGACCTTTTTCGCCAGTATGCCATGAAGAGACCGGTATCAGCTATTACTCGCCTTGCCACGCCGGCTGTTCGGAGGTCTTCGTACGAGACAAAGTTAGTGGGTTTGTGTTTTGATAAAGCCATATTTCTTACTGATAAAATATTGCAATAAAATAATTCGTTCCGATTTTATTTAATTATTGACACCACAAGAATTTTAGCATTCGACAAATCAAATTTGGCATTACTTTGTCACGTTTACTTTTGACCCACTGTAATTTACGTTCTAAATACTGCTCTTGGTACTAACTTTGTACCGTACAATGTAAGTATAAAATGTTCGTGCTTGTCCTTTTACAGCCATGGTTTAAATTTCTTAAATCCTAAAATGGCTGAAGAAAAAACTGCTGATGAGTTAATTTTGATTTTCGGTCGAGTTGTTGTTACTTGCAAAATTCTTTTCGTTGATCGGCATTTTATGATTGTATATGAGTGTGTTTTCATTGCAGGTTAAATACTATACAAAATGTTCGTGCTTGGCCAATTCTGACTGGAAATACCCTGAACCGCTGGACGGCATGACACCCACACAGTTCGCTTTTATTACGGCCATAACCAACCCTCCCAAGAGCCTTCTAAGCGAAAGCTACGCGGAAACCGGCGTTATAAGAAATGACACGGTGAAGCGCGGATGGTGCGAAAACAACGCCTGCCGCACCGGCTTCTGGATCTACCTGATTATCGGCACAAGTTTCAAATTTATTGGATCCTTTCCGTTCTCCGGCAACCAGATGCTGTCTTTCCGGTAGAACAGAGTCCTACACTTTTCTCACTTTTTCATACATACACTGTTGTATTTTGTGCAGAATTGTGGATCCGGATCTGAAATCGCTGTCGAAAGCAGTGAGGACGTTGATGGCGTCTTTATTCGGTAAAAAGCCGGTTTTATTTACCCTCAGATTTGCGAAGAATTTGTTTAATTTACGGAAACTTACGGAATTTGTTTAATTTACATTGTATTGATTAGCCTTCATTCCCGGTCCGATTATTATGGGTGCTGTGATTGATTCGGCATGCCGGTTGTGGAATACACAGACCTGCGGTGCGAAGGGTGCCTGTTTGATTTATGATCTGGACAGTCTCCGCGTGAAGATGCATTTGATTGTCGCTATTGTGAAAACAATTGCCTGTGTTATGGACTTTTATGTAAGTCATCCTCACAAAGTTAACGTTAAATATGATTACTAAAGATTAAAAAATGAAGATATTGGGCACAATAAGTTACTGAAATCGAAACCATCCATAATGACATCGCAGTTTCTGTGGTTTGCTTTTACTTTGGTGTTACGGCATTGCACTATTATTAAATTTTGATTCTGCTGATTTAGGTGTATTACAAAGTGCGAAATATGAAATTCGAGAGGGACCCCGTAGCAGCTGCCGAACCGGCTGAAGAACTAGCCGGTCCGAAAGGTGACATCAGCGGGAGTGTCAAAGACTTAACGGCCAATCACTAAGAACTCACGTGAATTTTATTTCGTTGCACCATTCTGTCGATACGAAATACACTTTCACATCCAAGATTGTTATGTAAATACCCTATTTATTTATGCACATTTTTATAAAAATCACAGTGATTCACAATAAAGTCCCATGCTTGGCGGCGACATACTGCAGTATTCCATTAGGCGACAAAGTGCCCTTCCTATCACATGGTGTCGTCGTCTCGAAGACTGCCGTGAGATTGGGCGCCGTATGCGAACGATACATAGCGGCGCTGTCCTCTACAATTTGTGGTCGATTGCGCCGTAATACTTCCGAGTATTCGAGGGTCTTCAGCTCTGATTTGGGCGTCACTGGTTCGCAGCCGGGAGTAGCCAGCCCACGGGCCCGGATTCCGTCGGCCAGGGTTTCCACTTTAGGCGTTGGATCGCCGATGCGGCAGACTGGCCAGGGCGAACGTGCTGCTCTTGATCAGACTAGTGCGGCGGTCCACGGGGGAGAGAGTGGCGCTACTTGGTAGGGGCAGGGTCACCGGTCGGTTGGCGGCGTGTCTGGGTGGAACCGTCGTATCTGCAATAGTTTCACAATCCGCGAAAAATTCACTTTGGCGCACGATATGGACTGAAACATCGTCGGCCAGAACTGCATCGCGTGAATACTAACTACTCTGTATGTTCAAAACCAAATATGCTATGCGCAAAGGAAGGTTTCTGGTGCATTGGAGTCGGAGTGCATAGGAGCGACCTATGTACAACCGTGTGTCCTTCCTACAGTACTTATGGATTCTGTTGGTTCTGCCACATTCTCTCATCCAATGCCGTAAATTTTTCACTTAATGTGAAGCGCTAATACTTTTGCTATAGTACCGTTACTCTTGTGTTTACGCAATCTCGAGAATTCGCTTCCTTACTTGTTCCGGGCTATTTCGATGCGGTTGCTTCCATTGCTTTATGTTTTAGGATACGACTTAGCATCAACCCTTGTTTTTTTGGATTTGTTTTTAGTAAAGGATACACTCAGCAAATTTAAGATAAATTTTGACGTTGTGTGACGTCAAGCTATCACTAGCCGGGATAATTATGAGTTCCGGCGAAAATGACAGAACCCATGGCTATTAACTGGCGCCAACGAGCTGGCCGTGTGTCGCTTAAAAGTTATCTAATTCGCCAGCTAGAAATGCGAAATAGTTCAATCTTCAGTTTAAATGGCAAACACTCACATGTCTGCAGCATAATTTCCGAATAGCTGGGAGGCAGAATATCGCGCTGGATAGGCAACTCCGGCAGCGTAGTACACTGATCCGCCGTGGGCACCAGCGCCAATGCGGGATCCCAGTTGGATTCCCGTGCATCCATCCCGAACACTTTCAGCACATTATAATGCACGGTAGCTGTCTGAATGGACAGCGCAATGCGCAGTGGCGCCGCTAGGAGCAATAGGACGCAGACGATAAACATCCATCGCCGGCGCCACCACGGCAGTCTCTGTGGATCCCGGACGACGACCACCTAAAAAAAGTATCCCATTTTTGAGCATATTTGTATCAGCAGCTTTCTTGTATAAACACAATGGATGGCGTAAGCGCGTGTTCAGCCGGCAAATTAAGATTTATTTCATGATAGCGGGATGATCGAGCGCCCGGCACGCGTCTTCTTAAGCAGTTGGGGAAATCAGGATGACATTTATCGGGGCTGGGATGATCGCGGAATGAGGGAGAAAGAGCGTTTAAATGGGAATTAAATGCCATCTTCAGACTACTGTGTGTATGTGTGTGTGCATGTTGGTGTGTATTTAAGTAAGTCTCTACAAGACAAACGACCTCATCAGGAAAATCAATATCCATCAGATCCATCCCCTCCCGCATCTCCATGTAGTCATCACGGGCTTCGTACTCCTGAAAGAACTGCTTCCGCTGCTCCTCAAACTCTTTAGCCGCTTCGCGGGTGAAGAAGACAAAGGATTTACTAAAGTGGATCCGGGCCATGGGCTCACTGTGCAATCCCTCCAGTTGGCTGGACACATCGCGGAAACCGTGGCTGAGGAAGTTGTAGCGTCCGACGCCGCTGCAGCTGTTGATACGCCGATAGGAAACGTTGGAGTGGATGCGACTGCCGGCGGAGGCCGGTGAGGAGTTGGAGGAGTGGCCGTGACGGCAGGGGTATACGGCGTAATGGTACTGCAAAAAACAGACAAGAGGTCACGATATGCGCTTCTGCACGGTGAAGAGGTTTGTACTTGAAGGTCATCGTGGATGGTCTGGCCGTTGATATACTCGTATTAACTTTATCGTGCGTGAAGGATGGGCTCCGTTTAAAAAGCATAAACTGTGCTGAAGCAGTAAGCTGTGTTGAAGAGTTTATAAGGAAAAAATGAGGATCTCAAGAGGATTACTTATTTAAGTATATTAGCAGCAGAATGGTGCATGTCTGCACTGCATGAGAAATCGCTTGACTGAACATAATTAACATCGGCTCACCAAAGATTTTCTTGCCACTTATTTTAAATTGTTGCGCTAAATTACTACTAAAACACTTACGATTAGAACATACGTATATTATATAATCTTCTTAAAGGTCATCGAAAGTGGAAACAATAGCACTTCAAAACGAATCAAATCACTATCTGCAACATACGTTTTGGTTAGAGTACATGCTAATCTATGACAATATCTATCAAGGTCTCTATTGTTTATTTACTCGTATGTATGCAGCATTCTTGGCTTTGTTTTATTTCCGTGAGCAGACATCTACAAATAAGCACTAAGTAGCGACTTAGTCAGCATCTGATGCCGGCGGAAAGTATTTAAAGGTTGCATTGAATGCCGAACGGAAATTCACTCAGAGTTATTAGGAAGAAACCTTGCGCGTTAATGGGACATGCGAGAGAGGATAAGAGGGAGCACTGATATCCCTCCGGCTTTGACTGCGCACCACATCTACAAGTACGCACTGTGTCCACATGTATTCCGGGTTGGGTTTGATTGTGTTGACAGTAAATTTGCCTGGGCGATTAAAACACGCAGTTGGCTAATACGGTTGGCATGATAAATATATATGTCAGCAAACAAGAGGTTTGTTGCCCGTGTCTCTCCGTAGCTGTCTACTCTCTATGCACATTGCACAGTTTGTTAAGGGAGATGGGACTATGGCAGTGTAGTGTTTGTGTTACTACGTTTGCATACTGACAATAGGGAAAGATCGCGCTGAGCATAGCCCGGGACTTACACAAGTCACTTTCCACCAAACGATGGGCAGCGATCGTTTCATCTTATCGATCCACAGCTGAATTGATGGGATACTGATGGTAATCACGTCTTCCTGCTTGGAGTAGTACTGCCAGTTCTCCATTAGGTAGATTATGTAAAACAGTGATGCGAAGATGATCGGCACGGCTAGATATTTCTGTAATGGCAGACATTTATCCATCTTATGCCGTTAAATGTCGTCCATTTAACGATCTTGTAAGTTGTACCAATAAAAATTTCCGAAAAATTTAAAACCCAGCTTTTGCCTTTTTGTAGAGCAATCCCAATCAAAAAACAAATTTCCTTATTTATGCGTTTAGATAATTAATAATTATTTATTTGGTCGGTTTTGTTTAAAAAATCAAAAATTGAAAAACCTGTTTGTTTGTCCAGTAAAGCATTCACGAAGTACTAATAGCAAAGCGTGTGTTCATGGTATGCAATTCATAAGACCCATATAAGATCAGGGAGGGAAATTGTTGGCACTTAATTTTCAGACGTACGCGGTGAAACACCTACTCTACAATCATTGTCGCTTATTTAGTAAAGCAGCGCATCCTTGTTACGAAAATGTCGGTATTTATTTTTTGTGCTTTCGGATTATTGAAAAACAAAACAAAATCATCATTACTTTTCCTGATAGACATACGTACTGTGCACTGATATTCGCCGTTCTCGTAATCGCTGTTCTTAAGGTCATCATCCCGCGCTAGTATTTGACACCATGTTGATACGGCAATGAAGGCTGCAATGTGAGAAGACGCAACACTCACAAACATATAATGACAATGGCCCACTTGATTTACAGCCTGTCGTCCTGCACAATAGCGTGTAGTGCGCTTTAGGCCAACTAAGCGTATTGGACATGGTGTTACACGCCATACCGACAACCGTTCCCGATAGTAAGGCGCACTTGGCATTTCCGCTCTCAAATACAGCATGACAGAAGCTCTTGCGTTGCGGTTTTATCTATACGGGAAACATAACATGAAAAACCGCATTGCAAATGATGCCTCAAGAGCGTGCTTAGCATAAGCATCTCCCGACGCGATCAATATAACGCATTACAATAGAGTGTTCGAAATTCACACGTCATTAAAATGCTCTTATATAAAATAACTGCTGTTAAAGCCGAATACTGTTTATAGTTTAAATAAAAAAAATGCGCGCCTTGAGACAATGGAAATTTAATCAAAACTTACCACTTCCGGTTGTAAATCTCCAAAGTTAGTGGTTGGTATGGAGATAACCGGCGACGTGGATTGGCTTGTCACCGGCATTTTTATCCCGCGTGTATACAAAAGAGTGCAGTATGTGTGTATCGTATATCAGGATAAAGAAGGTTTGTGATCAATTAATCGTTTATGCGTGTAGTTAAGCGAATCATTCCTGTCCAGAGCGGGCGCATCTGTAGTATTAATCCAGTGAAGATTGCACCGTCTTGGGCATGCTTAGAAACGGGAATAAAAGACGGAGCTGGGAAATGGCGTTACGGATCGCTTGGTCGGCTATGTGGCTCTGCACAGCCATCCAGTCAGCCCAGCCCGGCACAGTCGGGATCATGCAGCAGCAGCTGCGGAAATGCAGAGAGCAACGCAGAAAATGTCTTGTTGCTCCCTTGATAATTAGGCCTGTGCGTATCTCCGGCTTAGCTGCGCCATTGATACGACTGCCAGTCACTTCAAGACGGGCTTACAGCATCCGTGATTCCCGGCGCATTCCCGGCGCATGCACTGTAGCAAGAAAATAGATGGTATTGGATTAATTTAGAATGGATTGTGTTGGGATGGTCAGTGTTCAAGGGTCCTTGTACAGACTAGTAGTCATCACCAGTTTAACGAGACTTTCCGTATAATATATTTGGCAATATATATACCACTATTTTGACCAAAAGACAAAGAACACCAATATAGTATTGCTGCGTTTTTAACACGATATATATACTGTAGTTTTGTTATTCAAGCTCAACATTACTGATTTGCTTGTAATTATAATTATCCGGCGCAGATTCATTGTTTCAGATTGAGACGTAATAATCCGAGGTCATACGCACCTTGCATTTGTCGTTACCTGTGTGTTTCTGACATTTGTGTTACCTGTGTGTTGTTAAATTTTAAGATGCAGCATGTCTTGTATCGCTGGAAATTTCCAGTCACTCCACTATCAGTCTCAAGACAAAATAAATGTCATCCTAAGGTGGCATCAGATGTCGCTATACGCTTTCATCGCCCGAAACATCGTCATAATTAGCAGACCTCAAGCATATCCAGCTTTATCATTCCCAGTCTGGTATTGCTTTAACAATTTTTTTGGTTCGAAGTCCAAAGAGATAAGCGATAACCAATAACAACACATACCGATAGACTTATGCGAGCGATGTTTGAATGCTACGCTTACTAGTCACGCATCACCGGTAAAATGCATTTATCGTAAGACGATTTGCATGAGCGGCACCGGAGACCCGAAGAGCAGTGAAGGGATAAAGAACGAGAAATAACAGGAAATTATATTGTCTTCAAGAATTCTGACTAAAAGATTTCATATTTTTCTTACAAAATAATTGTCGCTTTAAATTTTCTACAGAGAAGCTACGTATTACGCTGCTAATTGCACGCATAAAAGGGAAACAATTAGCGCGATGGATCAGAATGTTTTGCACCGCTCTTCTAAAAAATATACTGGGATGTTTTTCGCAAAGAAGGTTTCGCCTTTGTCAAAAAATAATTAATTAAGAAAATCAATTAACTAATTAAGCAGATCAGTTGCTAATTGAGTGTCAGTTCATTTTGTAGCGCTGAATTAGACTGGAAACGTTTACCGTTGTTAGCCTACATGGTAAAGCACATTTCTGAATTAATTAACGCAGTTTAAACTGTAACTGCAATTAACGTACGTAGATAAATTACCTAATAGCCTGATAATGGATTAATTTTTAATTGCTCATTTAGATGCTTATATATATGTATTAGAGTGTATGTGCGTAGTAGACTGTTGTTTTCATGACTTGCATGTCTGATGCCGTGATGCGTATTTGCAAAACGGAGCTGTTCACGCGGGTATTTGTAAAACGTGCCGTATCTTTCCTTCGACCAGTTAAAAAGCAGATCGGTTCGGAATGTTATGAATCATAATCCTGGTCAAAACAATACCAGACCGGAGATAAGAAAGCCAGAAGTGATTGAGGACGCGTATTTATGACGAATTTTGAATAAGATGATTTTGACCGGTTACATTGCACTCAGTACCTGCAGCAGGAATACGAAAATTCGACGTCTTAAGTGCAGTGTGAACGGTATTTCGCCGCGGTCTTATCACGGTGCTGACTGCGGGTTTTTTCTTTCCGCACGAGTCAGTCATGTGACGATGGTTTATTTACTGTTTTTATGAAATTAACATTATCTATGTTTTTCGGTTAAAATTGGTTGAGTCTTTTTGGACGGCTATAAAAAACCCTCTGGATGGTAACTGCTGCTGCAAATACTTGAGGGCAACTGTACCACAAATTTGGATTAGTGGGAGCAGGCCTAGGTCAGTCAACAGGGGTTGACAATTAAAGTAACTGCTTGTTGCATTGCTAACTGACGCTTCACATGAAACGCACCAAACTGGTGCCGGACTAACCTTCGAATGCAATTGCATTCATTCAGGACCCTGGCTGTGTAAATTAACTCGGTCACTAAAGGTCACTGCACGCAAAATAGATTCCAATTGCCAAAGATTCCCCGACAAACTAGTTTAAAAAATTACTTGTTAACAAAGTAACTAACTGGCTAACAAATTTCCATCTTTCATTATTTTCTTAGCCTGCACTATTTAGTAAAACAGCGGAGTGTCTGTGCTGTAAGGCTGTAAGCGTATCTGCGTATGTGCTGCTGCTTGGACAGTTTTGTCGACAACATCTTTTACCACATGCCTCGTCTTTCGAATTCGTTGGCAAAAAATGTGCTAGGGAAGTGCACCGCTTTATGACCGACGCGAAGCCAGAAACTGAATCATAATGAGAGTGTTTGGAGTTGCTGGTATCAGTGTGTACAATAATGTTATGGAGTTCAAAAATCGACATGTGATTCATGCTCATAATTTGATGCAGCCACACTAAGAATCTACGGCGTTATGCCTGGTAACGCGCTTCTCGGAAGTGGCAGAGGTCCTCGGCCAGGATTCGCGAAAACCGGGTATGAAACCGTGTGATTTAATACAGTATGATGTTGAAAGATTTAAATTACAGAGGCAGATAGGAAACCTCCTTTGCAGGAAAACAGTTGTTGGTAGGAGTAACGATTATCAAATTTCCAAGATAGTACAGAGTACGACACGAATCAGGCTGCGATGCTGTGCTACACTATGACGCGGTTGCCTTTCTCGACAGTATCCGTATAACCTCGACCAACTGACACATGAACTGATGTGACGTATCAAGCACGTAAATCGCTATCGGTAGGTGACAAATAAATTAAGTAGTTAAATTTAATGCGGAATTTACTTTTGATTTGAACTGTACGGAACTCCAATGACACGGATGCATCCCTTTAGGTGCCTAGATGATACAAAAGGAAGATGATTCAGCTGTCTGCAATAATTTATTAGCTCACGAACAGTACTTGTACCAATGTTAACGAATTCTAATGGCACCAGCGATCGATAAGACCATGACGTACAGATGTTCTTATCAAGTTTCATGGCAGTATAGAGATGAAGAGGTTACCGGCAAAGCGTAAAGCGGCGGCATACCTACAATATACGGGAACGTTGGAGCAACTCGGTAAGTGTACTGCAGCTGTGCCTGTGTTGAATTCCGTACAAGTATTTTTAGAAGGGATCCCATTACGGCTGATCAAGTGGCTTACTTACAAAACTGTAGACCATGACCTTTCCCACTCTTCTTAGCTTGTATTTGTGTCGCTGACCTTATACAAATGACCGCGGCCAGCACCAGACGGGAATGGAAGATGACAAGCGTAGACATCCGCTAGGACGATGATCATAACTGTGGCTTCTGTGGCTACGACACTGCCAGAATCACAGGAACACGAGCGGATGAATGCTTAGCTAGTCCACTGTCTGTACAATCAGCAGTGCGCCCATTTCAGCTGAAACCTCTCCACCAAATACTGCAACTTGAAACGCAACAAGCTTATTGCAGACCGGAGTTATAACGGTGCTATCTGTGGATTCAACCCGCATCGAACGCAACAGCTTCTCTATCCGAAAGAACCAGTCATTTAAAGACCGAGAAAAAGCCTTTTTCTGTGTGGCCATTTTAGTGACCGGCAGTATAGTATTCTCGAACCTCGGCGGTGCTTTATTTTCTTTTTAGATGAGTTAGACTTGATGTTGTACAAATTACTACTCAGTACGTTTCTAATGAATTAATCGCCAACTTGAATGGCTAACAGTCACCCGTTGTCTCCCTTAATTCTGCTTAACTGAACAAACAGAGATACCAACTGGCAGTTACAACTAATTACACTACTTAGAAATGTTTGCACAAAATAATGCGAGAGACATATGCAGTTAATTGCATTAGTTGTATAAAACCAGTTTAGCGAGAAGAGGATGGTTTCATTTCCATAACAGCGTATCCCGCAGTGTGATGGCCAGTATTTCTTGCACTTGTGTTAAAGTAACCTGTCTGGTTTGTTGACCGCGTGGCTATCCAACGGGAGACAAGGAAAATGGCGGGGCTCACCACCACGATGCTGTAGGCTGCAAATGCAATTCTGTACAGATAAGTCAAGAGAACATAAAGAAACAATAACTGCAGTTTGGAATGGCGATTTGCAAACCCCAAATATTTTGCCAGTCTTGGTACATTTTTTACCTGGCAGGATCAGTTTCTCGGTGAGGTCCGTCGAGTCTTCCGACGTAGCCCAGCTCCAATCGAACATATGCCTCAAGTGCAGAACGAAATATGGTGCTGCGCCCCAAAAGCGTTAATTAGAACAATGTTTTGTCAGCTGACAGTAACATTAACTTACTCCAACACAGACAAAATGCCCAGGCAGTGCAAAAGGTCATCCACACTCCCACTCGTCGTGTTGGCGGATGTGGTTGTGTCTCCGCAAAGCTGATGCAGAGGAGCACCGAGCAGGTGCAGATGGCAGCCAGCGGACCGAAGAAGGCCAGTGCAGCAAAGCTGGCGGTGTAATAATGTTCCTGCTGATCTGTGGAGAATGAGCCAAAGGTTATGCACTGGTAGAAATCCCGGCACACCGGCGCTTGCATGACGTGAAAGATAATTGCCTACGAGCCCAGAATGTGATTGTTATAAAGTTGCAGTCGAGCACGGTTTTACTGAAAGCGTGAATTCAATGTAATGGAGAAAAACGCAAACCTGCGGAATTGCTCCGACTATCGCGATTACCCATGTTAAACCGGCAATAATCCCGCCTCTTATTCGCTGCTGCCGACGGTTTTCTGCAGGGAAAAAGGCATTTGCGCATCCATCCACACTCATTCCAGCGACTGTCCAGGCAACGGCGTATACGCTGTGAAAACACAATCTGTTATTGGTGGCACCATAATCTGCCACGTTTAATGTTTATGATACATAGGTTACTGTACGAGGACATTTGGGTGCTGTGAACATACCCTGCACGATTAGGCTGCGATGAACAGCCGGCTAGATTTATAGCCGTTTGCATTCAGACTGTGATATCAGTAGCGTTGCGAGCTACGGCTAACCAGCTGTTCATCGCAGCCTAATCGTGCAGGGTATGTTCACAGCACCCAAATGTCCTCGTACTTGATGGTCCGCTCAAGTTTGCAAAATGTTTTTATTTTTTGTTTAAGTTTTCAGCAAAATTTTTTTCAGACTTGTACTGCGCTCGTTTAGCAGCATACAGTGCATCCGGATACCTGTAACGATATTGAAGAGAAACAAATATGGGACGACCGCTGGCGACTGGACCTAATGACACAGTTTATACCATAGCGATCCTGTCGTACATGACACACAAGTGGTAATACAATAATTATACTGTAATATGGTTATCGCTCACCCAATCATTTCCATCATTTTAACAAACTTGCATAAACCATTCCCGCCCATGAAACGTACGGTCAGCCTCCACGCCCCACCGGCAAATAGGTTAAACAACGCCATTACAACGTTGGCTACAGCCAGCTGTACGAAGAGGACGGAGTTGACAGATTGGCTGGAATCTCCGCGTCGCACCGCCATCCAAGCCATGACGGTGTTGAGAAGCAAGGCCAAGGTTCCCATTGTAAAATAGACGCTGATTGCAGCGTAGTCGATCGTAATACTCGACATAAAACTGGCACAACTGGGATCGTCGTAGAGAGATACGTCATGGTGTCCATAGGAGATGTTGTCCATCGAAGACATTCTTCTGCCGACGGATGCACAGAAACTTGTAAACAGATCGTAAAAACGGCATTAAAAATGTCTTAAATGACAGTTGGAATACTGGAGTAGGTGAACTGCAACACTGTTATGCTGAAGTGTGTGGCGAAGTAACACAATCACGCGAAAGTTATCAATATAAGATCTGTACACTCTGAGTGGCTTATTGAACCTATGACCTTTGTGCATGAACTTCAGAATGAGAAGTCAATGCCGTCGTGGTACGTTTGTGTTAGCGTTGTCATTCTTGGGTCCAGTATTAAGGTGAAATCTATTTCTTTAATGTTTCTTCATTACTATGTGATCCATCTCTTTCAGTGTTTTCTTTTTGCCGATCCGCTGGACACTGTCTGTACGTGGCATTTAAGGCGTACCAGTATCATAGCTTTTTCATTTTATTTGCAATTCAACATCGGCAACCATAAAGTACAAGCACACTTAGTAAAATATTTTTTTTACGGGCTAATTTATGCAGAACACAAGCAATTTGTGGCGGCCGTTTTCAGAAGTGCAAGGTTCATTCTGCGCTGTGGTAATGTAGATATGAAAGGACTTGTGAAAGAGCACAAAACAATCAATTTCAGCAAAACCAGGCGGCTTGCGGAAACAACATAGTACTGTAGTTATGTTGCTTCAAAATTGATTGTCTTTTCCGGTGTTACTTGAGGACCTTTTTCGAATTTTGGGTTATTTTCACTCGCGGTCGGCCACTCGTTATCTGTTCTGTGCGTGCATCACTATCCAGTCCGTCTGGTTAGCCCAGAGAAGTAAAGAAGATAAGCTGGCTTAGTAACATGTTGGCGATGTTGTTATTTTTGTAAAAGAAATTCAGAACGAATAATTTACCACTTCTTTGTCCAACTACAAAAATTACTACTGCCTAATCGCACCCGGTAGAAGAAACGCCTGATGCAATAAACCAGGCCAGGTGAATTAGGCAGATTGCACTGGGACACGTATCCAAGGTACACGTGAAGTGCGGTGCTTTCAGCCACGCAAAAAAGAGTCGCGGGATACGTGGTATCCAGGTCACAGTACAAACGATTCAGTGCCGATTGCAATTTAAAATATTATTTCTTATTACGGATTTATCGGTTTATTTCATTTATTATTTTATAAATATAAAAAAAACGAAAAGCATGATAACTGGGGCGATTGAAAGTCGATGTAATTAGGCAAAAACCCGCAAACCGGCACCGGCCTGATCGTCATCGTCTTCGACGTGAAGCGAAAGAGCGATTTCAGATCAGCGGCATCGCGCCACTAAATTTCCACTCTAAGTGTTAAATTCCTGCTCATTTCAAGCTTAAAGCCACGTTGACCAAACCCAGTACCAGAGCCTGCACAGTGTGCACACACATGAAGCAGCAATAATCTTTATTGAAACGTAAAAGAGCGGCATGCATGCATGACTACAATCATGCAAATAAAAAGCACATAAACGGCGGTAAACCTACCATAAAAGATACAATCATAAACACAATAGTGCTACAGAATAAAAGCTTTCCGGCATCTGCCAGTCGCTGCCAGTTCGAAAAACGGGAAAGCATTCGGAAAATATAAACACTATAACCCGACCAACGCCGTCCATTGAACAGAACGGACTGGACGCAATCACAAGGAAACGCACCAAAGAGGCTCGTCTGGCCAGCCTAGGCGCCACTGCTGCATTACTCTTGCGAGAAGCCCTCCGTCTCCTCGATAGCATAGTTCAGCTTCTCCACCAGCTGCTCATAATTCTTGTAAGGCGGCAGATCCAGCCGGTTGAAGCAGGTATGCGATCGCGGTAGCCAGGTTTCTTTGCCTACCTTTTCGATGCAGAACTTCTGCGGACCATTACTGCCTGTAAACACAAGAATGTTTTACCAATAATTAAGCAACCGTGGCCTTAGGAGAACCCCATCGTAACAGACAGCCTTCCCCGTACCCATCAATTCCGCGAAGCCGCCCACGGGAATGCGACATGTCCCTGTGACAAACTGTAGCAGACGCGAGCGTTTTTCATTGTCGATCTCTTTAACGAACTGCAAAAATATTCTGTTTGAAGGCATGCCATAAAGATATACAACATGACAAATCAAATAATATGGTGCTGCAGTTTTTAAAAGGATCAGGAACTCAACGCCTTACCTGCCAAAACCACGTGACCTGTTTGCTGGTGCGCGTGTAGTTGCGATAAACGGTGTTGCGCTGCCAGTCGTTGACATCAATCTCCTGCATTCCGCACAGCATCAACTGCAATAACAGACAGGTTATTTATTTTATTTGGCATCAGCCAGTACAGAAAACGTAATTCCTGGGCAGATTACACCAATTCACATGGCTGAATTTTGAACATCTAAAAAACCACCCGATATCGTCAAAGTTCTTCGTGATTTTGGAACGTGCATGAAGTGCATCAAGGTTATTTCTGTACTCCACTTAAATACTTATGTAGATTCATTCGACAGCCGAGATGTTACGGAAAAAGCATTCGCAAACTTGCCATTTACTACAGCCTTATACGGTTACACCTATCGCATCAACGCGGAATAACGTACTTTGGAACATCACTTGAATCTACCCCCTTACTAAACCCAACGCAGATAAAACTACGACTCTACCTCCAACTCTTTCTCATCAAAATACTGCAGCCACTGCTGAGGAATGACGTCGTTGAAGCCCTCCATGAAGGCCTTCCACTGCTCCTCGACACCGCGCGAGAAATACCACTGTGTCACCAGCTCCAGATACTCCTGCTTGTTCTCCTCCGTCACTGGAATCTGTGCTCCGCCCGGCTTCAGTTCGTGCTGCGTTACCTTGCCCAGCACTTCAAAATCGGACGCAAAGAACACTTCCAAATCGCACTCCTGAATGTCGTTTTCCCTGTAAAACACCAACAGACATCGTGTCACTAATCGCACAGTCAATCTCTACAAAAACAATCGTACTTAATCCAAACCAGGGAATTATAGAACTCCGGATCCACAGATTCAATGTCTTTCATCACAAGTTTCCTATTCAGCATCCGTTTGTAGAAAGGCATGGTAAAACCCGTGTAGATAAATTTGCCATGGAAAAGCGCCTGCGAAAAACACACAGGGTACATAGAGTGGATACGGCCGCGAAATGCGACAGTCTGATCACAAAACAATCACCAACCATGGCAATAAAGCGGCCAATAAACTTGAAATACTGCAAATGATCCGGGTTGATGTAGGACCCGGCGTTAATTTGCAAGCCGTAATTGTTCTTATTGGCGTACTCAAACAGGCAGTACATGGGATTGAGAACCTCGTGCGACAGCATAAAGAACCATTCCCGCGCAATACCGCCGTAATCCAATCCCTCTTCACCCCTGAATGATATAAACAGACGCCGGCGCAGATCATAAGCCGGAAAGCGCATAATCTGTGCATAAGACTCCTCGAACAAACTTTCCCGGCCGACGATCAACTTCAGATGACTGGCCACCTGGTTTGACTGGCACAGATAGCGGAACTGCGACAGCTTCCAGCGAAAATTGCGTTCATATGCCACCGGCAGCCCGTAGGCGCCTTTGGGACCCGCCAATTTCCCTTTTCGCGGATCCTCAAACGTGGTGGTGCGCGTGTTGTGATCGATAAAGTAAGTGCGGTTATCCGATGTGACGCACATTTCCCAGCCTTCTGGCAGCGGCTCCTCATCGCCGGCGCCCTGGGTGCGCGGATCCTCCCACTGCGTGGTGCGGGTACGGTGGTTCACGTAATATGGCCGGCCGCTGCCCAGCTCGATGCGCCGTTCCCAGCCCTCCGGCAGCGGACCGAGCTTGTCGTCCTCTACCACCTGACCCTGCTGCGGCAAGAAACGTTGGTCCACTTGGTGCATATCTGGTCGATTCTGCTGCCAGTTTTGGAAATTGCGAATAGCATTAAGGGTTGGGCGCTGCCAAGTTGTGGTGCGCGTGTTGTGGTCGACGTAGTAGATGCGGCCCCGCTGATCGCGCCGCAGTTCCCAGCCCGGGGGCAGCGGCTGTGGACGCTCCCAGGTCGTGCTGCGGGTGTTATGGTCCACGTAGTACGGACGACCTAACAAAATCGACCAACAATGATAAACTTAGGTCTTCTAAAGGATATAACAGCCAACCTAAAGGATCCTGCCGCTGCTCCCAGCCAGGCGGAAGGGGCTCCACCATTCCCACGGCGGATGGTTGCGGCGCCGGTGATTTCGACGGACGCGCACGAGGAGCCGGGTTGTTGGCCGCGGTGGCCGACGAGGAAGGAATGGGGGCGTTGTTGATGGTGGCAATAGGATTAGGTCGACTAGGCGAGGCATGAGTGGATGGATTGGTGGTCAGCGCCTGGCCGGACGACGCCCGTGGCAGGCTCACACCAGACCCGGCAACTGCTTCGTGCGAAGAGACCGGTGAGGTAGCGGCGGCGCCGGCGTTGGAGGGAGTGTTGATGGTGGGCTCGCTGTTGCTGCGCGAAGGCCGACGCGGCGCCGGTACGTCGGCCATATTCATCTTGACGCCTGATAATTTAATAGATAGTTCCCCAGCAGAAATCGCGGCGCTTGCGCTGGATGAACTGGTGGGGCGTGGCGCGCGCAGATCTAACGTCACCTGGACGTCCTCAACTACACAACAAGAATTGTGTATGATTCAGACTATAATCCGACAGCACTGCGACGCATCGCTTACGGTTGCCGTCATTTTCCTTCAGCACTTTGTACAAATGTAGTCGTTTGGCGCCCAACAGCGCGTCCATCTTCAGGGTGCGCTTGTCGAGGACGCGGAATTCCAGGACGGAATGTGCCGTGATCAATCTACGTGATACAACAGATCTCGGTAATATCTCACACATGATGCATCAGCGCCCAAGAGAATTAGGCGCGCCACAAAAGCACTTGCAACATGCTACATAGTTATATGAATACTAATTATCTTATAGTTTACGTACACGACAAAGTTGTCGTCCCACTTGGGCGTCTGCGACTTCTTCACCACCTCCGTCTTCTTCGGTGTTTGTCCGTCCACCACCAGCTCCACGTAGGGCGAGATGCCGCCGAACAGGCCCGTTCCTTTATTGGCCAGTTTGCCCGCAACAACTAAAACGACAAGCATTACGTGGCCGACCAGGGAAGAGAAATTCTCAAGCAACACAATCAATGCCAGCATACTGCATAGTACGAGTACAGTATTTGCGTAAACTGCGCATACGGTATACACTTGGGAACACACTTCCTATCCAGCCAATATTATCGACGGGCAGCCAGGCAAAAAAAAATGCTGACCATATCAGCATCTTTTCCGATATTCTGTGCCATTTGCCAACTAATATAAATGTATCAAACGCCACCAGCTCATGAGAGCGATTTGGCCTTGGACTGCAGCTACAATCTGGGACAATATTCCCTGTTCTTTACGTTTAGACTGACTCAAGCCAAGCGCTAGTCAACAGCCAACGCAACAATCGCTACTTACTATCCACTTTTAGCTGATAAAATTGGGAAGCAGCCGCGCTGCCATTGACGGGAGAAGTGGGAGTGGGGGAGCCCGTCAGGAGGTGTCCATTCGTACTGCCAGCCGCTGCAGTCGTCGCTGCTGCTGCAGCAGACTGGCCCACATCGCCGTTCTCGCTCATCTCCCTGATATATCCTTGATCCAGGAACACCTGCGCTTCCTCACCTTCCACTTAAAACCTTCCCACCAGACCCCACTGCCCGCTCTTAGGTAAGCCCTCACACTGACATACCACCAAAACACAGTCAACCCACTGCTGCAAGCGGATAACAGCGCATGGATCACAGTTTGCCAGTATCACCAGACCACAAACTTTCCACTGTCCCGAAGAACAATCGGCATAAATGATTAACAAGCTATCGACGATAGATCAATTACTAGGGAAACTGATGACACTTCGAAATTCGAAACAAAAAATAACGTATAAAGCACAAGCAGTAAATAAAGTTGTAAACGGGTCAAATAGTATAGTCAAATTTTAGGGTTTACAGTAAACCCTAAAATTTGCTAAAAATAAGCATATCAAACTTCAAAGAAATGTCACTATATGTCTGTATCAGTACCACAGCCCCATTCTGTGGAATATAACGATTTTCCTTTGGGAGTATAAACATTAAAACGGACTAACTAAAAGTAAGCAAAAGTGGGACACATCGAGAGATCTTCGAGATCTTGAAAACATATAAAATCTGTGATTTTCCTGTCGATCTCTCGATTTATTACCCTACGGGTAGTTGCTTACCTCACCAGCACATCATGCGTCCCAATATGGCCTATGAAGGAATCTCACTCCGATCATGCTTTGGAAGCAGGTTGCATGACCTGCTCGTCATGAGCACCAAGTTGCCACTCGAGACCGGTTATGCAGGCGACAAAGTTAAAAGAATCTACCGCTGAGCATTCGAAAGAATCCGATCAACTGCGATTCGTGATTGCGAGACTGCAGACTGGCAGTCATTTGACGTCACTAACAAACAGGATTTGACCAACAGGGAATCATGCATGTTTCTGTTCGTGTGCTAAAATTTTCGAGGTAATCAATATACAGCATTAACGCTAAATTTAACAATACCGCAAACATTATACACAGTTTGCAGATGATGCTTTGTAATTTTCATGTATCTGTAATTAACAACATAGTTTGCGAACGCACGCTTTAATAAGCACAACAGATGACTTAATATGCGCATAACCGGGTACCATCCTGGCGATCGTCAATTGCGTTGCGATGCACATAAGTACTTTATACAGAATCTGATAGGGGTGGCAGATTAAAAATTACGGAAGGTACTTTATAGACAGACTGCAAAATTAATAAAAATAATCAAATAATAACTTAATTACAGTGCTGTTTCGCATCCGTGTATTACTAACTGGTATTAGAGTCAGAAGGCTGTTTAAAATTCTCACCGCCATTAGTGCATTGTACAGTTCAATCAGCTTTATTTTTCTGAAATCACTTTCGGCAAAAATGCGAAGCGGAACCAACAAACAGGAACAAAATAAGTAGCACATCGGCGCAATAAACAAGGGTTCTCATCCATGAGGAGCTCTCCATTCCGAGAGCCCAGGAAGGTTAAATTTAAAAAATGAATTGTTAGACAAACAAATACAGCACACACAAACACAACCGTATGTATGGCAGTTTCCCTGGCCATGGTGAAGTCATCCTATCCCGTTTCCGCGGATCACACCGTCACAACACCATCTTCTACAACCCTGCAAGATGTCGCACAAAATGTTCAGTTGTAACTTTTGAAAAAACAACAGCAAAATTATTTTCGCCCAGTATTGTGTCCGAATCACATAGCGATGTAAGTACTACGCCATTTTCCCGTTCCCGACAAATACAGCTCATGCAGCTCAGCTCATGTAGCACCATTGCGTAATTAAAAACAACAAAATGTGCTTTTTCTTCTAGAGAAATACTAAAGAACGCCGATGGGGCAACGGCACAACGATCATCAATCAAGTCTCAAGCACGCCACAGACCGGCCCGCACAGCCGTTGAGAATTCGGCGTCCCTACCTGGACGTACGTTTACGGACGTCGCAGTGACTTGCGCACAATGCTACTAACGGGTGCGTGTAGGTTGGCATTTCTGGACTTACTACAAGCAATGACATTGTTCAAGGGGTTCGTGGTTGTGTAGGCCCGGAGCGACTTCGCATCATCGAATCGGTCCTAATTTCCCTGCTGCGACTAGGCATTAACCTTTCCATTCATCATTTCTAACTTGCCTGTGAGTCTGTGACATTAATCGCTGCCCAACCGACCTGTGACATTAATCGGTGCGACTAGGCATTAACCTTTCCACTCATCATTTCTAACTTGCCTGTGACATTAATCGCTGCCCAACCCCCGAGGGGACAGCATCTCCCTTTGAAGGTGCGTTTGCCGCTCCTCTTCTTGCGCTATAAGCACAGGAAGATGTTAGTTCAGACCTGCCAATTGCTAAAGGCGTTCCCACCTCTAACTGATTTAAGCAGTGACGCCGAAGTGTGCAGCCGGCGCGCAGGCTGTCCCGGTGCCGGCTTGCGTTGGCCGCCATCAATGGGACCCAGGTCGGTGTCAAAGCCTTTCTGACCTTTTCCATCGCGTCTATCATCACCAGTGCGCTCGCGCTCAGTGCCCTTGAGTCCGCTCGCACTGTCCGGGCTGACGCAACCGCCGCCCTGGGCCTTGGAAGGAAGGGGATCGCCGCCCGTTTTGGGCTGCGGTGTGTCAATGGGTGGTTTGTGGGTGATCGCCCCGTCGTTGATTAAAGCGTCATGACCTGTTGCCCCATCAATCTGCATTCCCGCACCACACACTACACAGGTAACGACCCACTCACCTGCACCCATTGCGGAGCCTTTGCTGCCCTTGCCCGACGGCGTGGTGGTCGAATGCGCCGCCGAGGTGGAGAAGCGGCGCTTGCCTTTATCGTCGCCGACCAACGGACCGGACTTGCTGGACAACGCCTCGTCCAGGTACTTGTCGTCCTGTTCGCGGCCGGTCCGACTGGGATTATGTCGTTTGCTGTCGTAGCCATCACCGCTCTTATCCTGAGCAGAGCCACCAGACTGTCGGGGATTCTGATTATTCTGCTTCTGCTGGCCGAGTCCCAGTTGCTGCTCCAGCCGGCTGCCGGGCTTTTCAGGGTAGAATTCCAGCATCTCCACCGTACCCTTGTCGATGCTCGGCTCTGGATCGACATTCTTCTTTGACTGCTCGGAGACAAAGCCCTCCTTATCGTCTTTTTTTGCACCGGAAGTGGATGCGGCAGGTTTGCGTGAATCTGCAAACATATTATCTCATGACCATAGTTGTAGCCAACAGCAATATTATCACAACCAAGTCTATACAATTAACAGAATTAACTCCTAAACTGATCTAACCGAGGCGGCCGCGTGACAGGGTATTGAATACGCGATCGGCATTAATCTCTAATGATTAATTTGGCAATAAGCCATAAAGCATGCTGTGTATAAGACGGCCCCTTGGTATTGACACTCACCCTGTGCGTAAACGGACCAGCCCGTGAGGAACGTTCGTTTCTGCTGGTAGTTGGTGTTGGGCGCCTGTTGTTTGGCCGCCGCCCCCTTCAGCGTTTCCTCCTTGCCCCCTCGGTTGTCCTTGCCCACGGCCCCTGGCCCCGTGCTGCCCACCGTAGACTGGGCGGTCGCCTCGCTCTTTTTTGGGCTTCCGGGATTCGGTTTGGCGCCTGCGCCTTCCTTGCTTTTTGGATCCGCTTTCGCTTGTGCGTCGGTCTTCTTGGCCGCATAGAAGGCCCGGCCGTATTGCGACGGAAGAACCCCGTAATACGACTTTGGCGTTCGCGCCACCAACTGCGCCAATCTGCAGCTCATCATTTTTACAGCTGGTTGTACTTCTGTCTATGCAACGCTAACTAACGCTACCACTGCAAATCTACAATTTGTGATATTAATTTTTCACACGAACTTTGTTTCACCATTAAACTCGGAAGGCGATTCTAGTACACCCTTATTTCATACAACACTCAGTAAAAAGACAATGATAATATCAATGGCAATCTTAAATAAAAAAACCAAAACATCGCACAATCCGTCTTTGCAACCCAGTCGACAAGCTAGCCGTCTCAAAGACAAGGATTTACCGGAGTGCGCCACATTCGGCACAGCCGCAGCACTGCGTTATACAGATATAAAAGTGTTAAAGATGAAATTAAAAGTATTAAAGTAAAAATATTAAGTATTTAGTATTAAAAGCATTAAAAATTTAAAACACACACTTATATCCACAAGTCAGTGTCAAATTAAGGTGCTAAACCCTAACTCCCTATTCCCTAAATAAACAATAGTGTTAAGTTCCCTTATTAGTTACGTTAACTTACGTATAACGGTATAACGGTATAAGCTAATAGTACACATTTTGCTAACAATACGAATTACTTATTTTTTATTTTTTTCTAGTTTTGCTTGAGCGCAGTGGTCCACACTGACTCCACAGATACATATAAAGGTGACGAATCTTACTTCCCGCATGATAAAAATTTCTTAATTGTGTTTTTTACTCATATTATCACATAAACTTTATATATAAATGATATAGTCATAATTTATCGAAATATGTTTCACTATTCTGCAATTAATTTTTCAGACATCATTAAAATAATTTACTAATATTATCAACATGTACCCTAGTGACTGTTATTCACTTTGATATTGAATTATTTATTATTGTAACTGACGATGAATAATAAATTTATTGTATAATGAACGATACTTCATCGGGCACTTCCAAGGTTGTCCGAATCTTTCCTTTGTGCCGCCCGTGTTACAAACAAACTGTACGAGATGTATGAGTCGGCCAAAATCTTTGGGATAGTTCCCTCTGGCCGATCGCATCAGCTGAAGGTCCGAGCCGATGGAAAATCCGCCGGTGTTCTGGGTTCTGTACCGCATCGTGTGATGTTGGCTGCATCGTTCGTATACAACGTATGCACTTCCGGTGTTACGACACTTTTGGTGGACCCTTTTCTGACGGAGCCGGCGAAGAAACAAAAGTAGAGGCACGAGTATTCTGTGCCGTATGCTATGTTATTCAAGATCGGCTACGGGGAATTCCTGTGTGTGGTCAGCCACTAGTACATAGCCGTAGGCGGTCTGTTGCGCCTTCTAGGTCGACCATTAGCGCAGCGTCCAAGCTCGGCCCGGCCCTCCACAATTCCGGTTGAATGGAATTTACCGCGCCCGATGCAAACGGCAGACACACTGTAGGATGTTATAAGCAATCGCAACCGCAGCAATGAGCTTCTCAATCATTTGATTTGCAAAAATTTTCAATGTGCTTGAAATTTAAGGGATTTTCGAGTTTTTACGTGAATTCTATTTAAATTCTTACGAATAAAAAATGATGTCAACCCGTGCGATAACTTCGATTTTACTGCGTGGCAGCCAGATGACCGGCGCGCGCGCTTTCGCCGGCCAGTCAGTGTTGTACAAGGACAAGGATTCGTGGAGCAAAACGAAGGATGCGGCGGAAGATCTAGCAGACAAGGCCAAGTCGACCGGCAAACAGAAGTGGGAGGAATTCAAGGACGAGTCGAAGGGACAGTCGCTAAGCGGCAAAGTGGAGACAGCCAAGCAGAAGTTGGGCGAGGCCAAGGATGAGCTGTCGCAAAACTTCAACAAGGATTCCTCTTCCTCCTCATGGAACAAGGACGCTAACAAGGACAAGGACCAGTGGAATAAGAACAAGGACGCGGACAGTAGCAGCAGCAGTCAGTGGAACAAGAGCAAGGATGCCACCGGTAGTAGCTCTAATCAGTGGGACAGCGACTACCTGAAGAAGAATAACGACCCCGCAAACAAGCAGCAATGGAACAACTCTTCGTACGGCGGTGGCCGATACGGCCAGGATTTCCCCAGTCAGACGTCGCGTTCATCCGGCCAGCAGCAGCAGGACGATTTTAAGGATGCGCAGGCGCAGAAGATCGATCAATGGCAGATGGAAGCGGTGGAAGGTGACCGCAAGTGGCAAAATCGGCAGAGCAGCGGTAAGTTCCGATGTGGTAGTAATGTGCCGTATTCGTATAATTTTTTGTAAATGTTGCAGCTATTTACGGCATATGAAACTTGTGCATTCCATTCTTTTTTAATTTTAACTTGCCGGTATTTTCTGTACTTTTCCTTACACTTTTCCCGTAAGTTTCAGTCCAAAAGATCGGTCGGGCCTTTTCTCCTGTTGCTCCCGTTATGTGATTTTTTAATACCTAACGCTGGGTTGTTTAAATAATTATTAAAACCCATCTTTATAAAATTTGAAGGAATATCGCGAAATGGCTTGCTGAAATCAGGGCAAAGTGCGGTTATCTTTGGTGCGGGAAAATCCCAAGCGCGTATGATAAGTTGTTTGGGCCAGCTGTTTAGTAGCAGCCTTGCCGGCAGCTACCGTGTGCGGGCGGAAACGACCGCTGTCGCGATCCGATAGTCATGAATCATTACAAGGGGGTGTGTCCTCTTGTCTACCACTGGTCTACTGCAGCGTGTTTGAAAACATCGATCTCATAGGATAGAAAGTTTGAAAACGGAAAATGGGTTTTATAGCACAACATTCTTCGATATTCCTGGAAAGTTTCCAAGAATATGTGTCATTCTTGTTGACCATGTGTAAATTTTTTGTCAGACTCTTCACGGAACACTTGGGATAGCGCCTCCCCTGATCAGTACCGGCAATCAGGCTTCCCCAGCTCCTATGGATACCAGTCCTCTGGTTCTGGATCCGGCTCCTATTCCGGCTTTCAAGACACCCGTCGCGATGCCGACCGCAACTGGCGCCGCTTCGAGGATAACCAGAACGACCTGAGCGGACAGTATCGCAACCGCGGTGACTTGGACCGGGATAGCAGCAACCGCTACGGTCAAGCGTACTCCCAGGACCAGCAGTACGGACAACAACAAGGACGCTACGGCAGTGGTCAGCAGTCGTCATGGGGCCAACAACAGTACCAGCCGCAATCGTACAGCTCGGTAAGTTTCTTTTCTTTGTGCCGTGTCGCTTGAGACCAAGACAGTCGCTGCTGCAGTCTCAGCAGAGTTGGTTCGATCCATACTATCCCCGCTTCGCGTATTCCCAGGGTCGCGGAGGAAGTTTCCAGCAGTACGGCGGACATGGCCATGAACCATACTCGGGCAGCCAACAGAGCCAGTATGGCGGTGGATGGGGTAACCAGGGATATGCACCGTCGCGGGGCGCCGGTTACGGTTCATCCAGCGGTCAGCAGTGGGAAGGACGCAATCAGTTCGATCAGTGGCGTGGACAGACGCCTAGCTATGGATCTGGATACGGTCAGCAAGAATCCAGCCAACAGTCCAGTTATTCGCCTTATGGTTCTGGACATCGCTGGGACTCCTCCTCGGATTATAGCCGCGGGGGCCAGGATTGGCGCGGACAGTCCGCCAATCGATCGGGTTACGGGCAGGAATCGAGCCAACAGTCCACCTATTCACCATATGGTCAGGGTCACAAATGGGATTCATCGTCGGATTACGGACGCCAGAATCAATATGATTCTGGTTACCAAAGTATGTCTCGTTTGTGGAAGGTGTTGAGCTTCCGTAATAAAGTTATTTTTAAATGCAAGATTGAAATACCGGTTTTCAGGTGAATTTCGAGATAATTTCGATTGTTTTTCTTACTCAATAGGTGGGCAATACGATAACCAGAGCCGATGGTCTGGCCGCGACAACCAGGGCTCGTACGGCTTGCAGGGACAGCAGCGCTACGGCCAGGGTCAGGGATCGTGGGCTCAGTCTTATGGAGCCGGTAAGTATAATTCCTCTCGCTTTAGCCTCTGCTCTGTATCTGACCCACGGATTCTCCGTTGACAGGTGGATCTGACCGCGCCCAGCAGCAGTACTCGCGCTCGCAGGGCCCCTACGGCGGCTCTTCGTGGCAAGAGGGACGCGATGCACAGGGCTCCTTCAATCAGTCCAACGCCTCCGACTGGAACCAGAACCGCCGTGGTGTAGACCAACGTCGCGACGGGGACAAGAATCAGCAGCAGCAAGAGAACCAAGATGCCGGCTTGGTGGATAAGGTGAAAGATGCGGCGCACAATGTAGTGGAAAAAGTGGAGGGGATGGCCTCATCGGCGTGGGAGAAGATCAGCGGCAGTGGATCGGCTGATAACCAGTTCAAGGATCGCAAGCCGTTGTAAAACACTGCCGAATCAGGATGGGGATTTCTTTTGATTTTTTTAACACGTAGTGCTACTTTTATGTTGGCGGATATTTCGCCTGGCCGCGAGGCCGGTTAGCCGAGCGTGTGCTTCTCATTAGTTGCATTGATTGATTTGATTCCTCTGTTTTTCTGCGGCATCGACAGGTTAACGATGTTGTATTAATTTACTGAACATTGGTTGTACAGGTGTCTTAAGTGAACAGATCATCATTAAAACGCATACGTTGATTGTGTGTGATAAATTTTGTCTTCGGGTACGAGTACTCCAGGACGAACTACATAAACACATTTGCACGAGAAATAAATAATGCTTCAGTGCAGTCGCCCTCCCGTCAGGACTCTAGAAACTTACAAGGATCTTGTCACAATCGGTAACAGCAGAAGAGCAAAAGTCAGGTACTTTTGCCTGCATCCGATTTTTGAATCATCGTTTTTCGCGCTATGCTTAACATTTTCTAACAGTTCCGGTTGCCGTCTACCGATTACGACGATTAATACATTAGCACTCGTTAATACCGGCCCATTACCCGGTACGGAGTCTACGGACTGATTGATGGAGTGACAAGTTACAACTCGGTAGTCGGAAGGCAAGGCGGGCGGCTACGATGACTCACAGGCACGCATAACACTGTGTGCTGTTGAAAGCGCACCGGAAATAAGTACGTACAAGCGCATTGCAATTGTTGTGTTTGAAATTTGCGGTGATTCCTGCCTCCTTGTTTCCTACTGTTTGATCCAATTCCAGGCCGATCCCGCAGCATCGAATTATTTGGAAAGTGTATTTCCAGTCAGCTGATTAATTCTGTTGAATAAGTTGCGAGAATCGAAACTGAGGTGTCGTCAACACTTACCGTTTGACATCAGCCGTCATCCCTTGATCCATGATGGAGGTACTCCGCGCAGCGTTGATTATCGTTGTTCTCTCGTGGACTGCTGTGGGACAGGTCGACCGTTGCCTGCCGTGTGGTTGTTTGTTAGGCTTAATTGCTGGCTGTCGTTGGCTCGTTGTTGCGTGAATGTCTTGTAGATGCGTCCGCCGTCGTGTCGCGTGTACTGCTTGCATGGCATGTGCAGAGTACAGAGCATTGCCGCTTCGATGCTGGGGCCTGGGAAGCTACCCCTTAAAGTAACGATAGAAAGTTTTGATATTGCAGGAAGATGCCATTGCCGCCAGGCGAGAAGGCGCCAACAGCAGCCAGCTGTACGTCGTTCAACCGGCTGATTTGCCCGCCGTGGTTGCTGCGCTCAAGGAGCATTTCCCGCAGGCACTTCCGGTGAGCGGATAAGCGATAGCTGACTACGAGTAGCGAGACTAGCGACTGGCCGCTGGCGCAGAGTTGCTGCCTTTAACACTGTCTTGTTCGTGCCCATATAGTATAACCTGTGTATTGATATTTTACGGTTGTGCCTAAATTAGCTTAATAATTCATTGTTATTCACGTAACGTTGGACGTCTTTTGCAGCTATTCGTTCAGGCACGCAACATGCTGTCGGGTAAGTGTGTCTGGCCGTTGACACAACTCATCCTGGACAAATTCCCTGACTTTACGGTGGCAATGACCCGACCGGTACCCCGCGACGACAACGCCACGCAGGTACACAACTCCCACACTATCTTCGTCAAGATATATATTGCAGTTACACTGATCCTGGTATGGATGTAACGTGGGTTGCTTAAACAGGAGTACGTGGTGCGTGGGAAGACGCGGCAGGCTGTCAGCTTCTTCGCCAAGGATTCTGCTGCCCTGCGGCGTTTCCTGCGCGACAACTTCATGCAGTTGGTGGACTGGTACCGACCGGTGATCTTCAGCGGTAAGGCACGCCCTCTCAGCCAACTGAACACTGCGTCACACGCATTTGCCGGTTGATTTATAGCTGTTCCCGTTGAGTTTGTCCCGCTAATGATCGAAGAGACCACCCACATCGGCAACATCCGTATCGAAGACGGCCAGCACGATAACCGCTCGGACCACGTTCTGCTTCTCCGCGCAAAGGATCTCCAGCGCAGTACCGCGTAAGTCGTTTGTCAGTTTTCTTACGATAACTGATAAGTGTCAATCACGTTGTTGCGCCTATTGCAGACCGGCGTTGCCTGCCGGCTACCGCCTGGGCGTCCTCGAACCACAGCATATCCCATTGTTGCTGAGTCAATGGAAGTTTGTGGGCCGACTGGGTCATGGCGTGGACGCCACACCCTACTTCCGCTACCTACTGACTCACGGGTTTCCTAGCGTGGCGCTTTTCGACCAACAGGGTCAACTGGTCGCCGGCAACATATATGAGCCCGATGGAAACTTGGGCCAGGGATTCGTTAAGGCAGCGGACGGACAGCAGGGCGCGTATCTGGAGATCGTTAACCGGCATTTAGCGGAGAAGGTCTTTTCGCAGTTGGGACAGGAGACGGCTTGGGCTTACATCCAGGAGGACGATGCGGCCACGTTGCGCTCTTACGAGCAGCTGGGCGCCCATAAGGCTGCCCATTTCACCACACAGACCCTCGATTACATTCCATACATGATCTAAACATATGGCCAACTTCTACTGTGTAGTTTTGATTCATTTTATTTTTTGTGACGCTGTTAACGCTTACCTTAATGTGATACTCAGATTTTATGTTTTAGTTTATTAGTATACGCGCTTAATGTGCTGTCCGCGAGTAGGAAAGCTCGCAAATGATTGTGTGGAAAGATAACAACTGTTAAAACCAACTGTAATAAAAAAAAAATGGAAAGACCGGTCACCTTATTGCCTCGCAAAGTTACGTCAATCAACCAATTAACCACGGAAACAATCGCACCGCCTGTTGCTGTAGCTGCCCCGTCCCTTGTCCGTCCTTGAGCAGAAAATGGAGAATGTTGGGCTGCAGTTGGGAATGGTAAGGGATGCGGTTAGCACCGGTTGCCAGATGACGCGGCTGCACGGCCGCTCCGTGGTCGCCACACATCCACTCGTTGAGCATGATGGCTGTGAATGCGAAATGTTGTGCCAACTCCATGTCGAAAGACTGCAGCGCTTCGGCCACATAGAGACGCACATCCGGGCGTTCCGGACGCATGTGAAGCATTCGACTAGCGACACTGATTCCACTAGGAACCGCCAAGAGCAGAGCTAGACCTTCGACAGTTGATTGTGCCTTTTCGCCGATGAGCGATCGATAGCAATCACGCTGTCGCATTGCAAACGGAGTGGCTTCATTCATTCTAAGAGAAAACCAGTGCAGTATCATGCCAAATCAAATTCACTCGAAACTTACTCGGGCATACTGCCAGCATCCACACCGCCGCTTTGCATCAACCAGTACAGCTTCACGACACAGCGCAACATCTGCACACAGCCACTGAACTGTGCATCGCCGGCGTCCATCTCAGTGAGCACTTCTATCAGTCCGTCGGCGTCCTCGTAGTTACCCAGTCGGAAGTGCACCAGCAGCAACAACAGTATGCTGCACCGTGATGGCTCACTTTCCACACTGCTTAACATATCCAGAGCTTCGCTGTGCCGGTTGATTTCGCTGTAAACACATCGTTCTCGCGACGTCACCACCTTATCACTGACAACCAAAAAGAAAATCTGCTTTCTGACCTCAAGAACCGTGCCAGATTCAACCTGGATTCATCCACAAGTTTCTGCTGATGCTTGCCGAACGCGACGCCAGTTTCGGCGCACAGTTGCAATGCATTCTGGGCCTGATCCAATCCAGTCCGCAACAGACCCGCCCATTCTGCGAGAATGCAGGTCAACATACAGGATTTGCTGCTCTCGCCCATAATATCTGTAAAAAGAAGCTGCGCTTTTGTCAACCGGAACGAAGGGTAAACCACGCTTTCCTTACGTTTGTACTGGCCAAGGTAGTCTAACGCGGTGGGCACAGCATCCAGCCGACCAATGACTTCCCACAACAAATTCTGGTCCAGCTGACTTTTCAACAAAACCCAAACGACCCATTCAGCGTAGCGATGCATGGCTTCGTGCTACAACCACAACAACGTATTAATCGCTTTTCGCTTTGCGTTCAAATAGAGATAACAATCACCAAAATCAGCTTTCACATTTCTAATTGTAAGCGCAGCCAGCCGAAATTGCCTTTTACATCACTTGTGCGACAAATATTTCTCAGAATTGTGTCCCGGCAAAGTGTAAAAAAGTTGTCGGTTATAGAATAAAAAAATATTGGATGAATTTACCGGTCGGCCCAGAGCACAAGCATGGCGGCACAGATCCATCGCTTCCAAAGTGTGCCCCGTTCGCTCGGCGCACCACGCCTGACCTAGCCAGGCGGCCGCCTGACCGGGGTCGGCATTTTGCGCCAATTTTAGCATTTTATGGGCCGGTATATACCGCTTAGCGTTGAGCAGCAGATAACCCAGACACGTCCAGCTGGCAGCCGTACAAGTCGGATTGATGCGGGCCCGATTGTACAGCTGCAGGCTCTTTGTCAGACTTCGCGCTGCATCCGCCATCAGACTACTGTCCCCGCTCTTCCCCACAGACGACGTAAGCACCATGCCCAGCGTGGTCCACAACGACGGATCTAATGGGTTTCGCTGCAGCATCTCTTTAGCGGCCAACAGGGACTTGTTCCACCATTGGTGCGCCGCGTCCTTCTCGGCGGATAACGCCAGCCGCTCAGCGAGGGCAAGATAGGCCATGGTTAAACGCTCCCAAAGTCGGGCAGAAGCGCGCTTTAAGCCGATGGCGGCGGAGTAGAACAACGTCGCTAGATAGATGGCCTGGCGCGCGTTTAATTCGACGCGCTGACCGGAAGGCGATCCGTCCCAAAGAAACTGGTCGATGAGCAGGACGCAGGGAACAGCGCTCCCAGGACGACAGTGACGCGCTAAGAGGCACGCATCGCCCAGGATCGTCCACACCATCACAGATACATTTCCGGATAGGACAATTCTGCAACACAATCACATTATGTGGCAAAGAAGTTGATAAGAATTCCGTTAATAAACGAGAATGTTTACTCGGTTAAGAGATCCAGTGCAGTTTGAATGGCTTGCAAGGCTTCTCGCGGACGATACTCCTCAAAGGCCAACTGCGCTTTCCCTATGGATAGTAAGGCCAGATTTTGCAGGCACATATAGCGGAACCACGGCGACTGCTCCCTCAACAGCACCAGCTCCAACTCGGCCTCTTCGTCCATCTTCATCGTCTGCTTAATGGTAGCGCGCCGGTAAGAGCTGTATGCGGTCAGCTCAGGTGCGCTTCCGAATTTCTCTACAACCTTCGCGAAAGTCCCTTCCGCACTGCCGTAATTTCCACGGAAAGCCAGCGCATCTCCCAGTAGCTCTTGAACCAGACTAAATAAATAAAACTAAATAAAACACTTCAACTAAATAAAACACTTAAACATAAATGTTACAGGCGAAACTGCCCTGATTTTAAAAGTTGCAGACTGACCGCTCTTGGGGAAAATCAACAATACTCTGCCGCAGATAACTGATGCATTCCATCCACAGTTTATTCCGGTAGCACAGCAGCGCCAGCCGCAAGCGCATCCATCGAGCCGCTTCATACGAAAACACCCGACTGCTCAACGCTTGTTGCAGAATCTGCACCGCCTCGACATCCTTGTAGGCCACCGTCAGGTAGTCAGTGAGGGTTCGCACGATAACAGGATCGTTGGGCAAAAGAGCATGGGATTTCACCAAATGGCTGCGCGCCGCCCTATGTATTTCAAAGAGATATTACAGTATTCACAAATCGCAACAACTTGAGCATAAAAATTATCATCATCACGCCGTACTCGATGTCGCGGTCCTGCAGCCAAGTCCATAAACCGAGATACATGTGAGCAACAGCGAAATCAGGGTAGAGCTGCAAGGCGCGTTTGAGATGCTTCAGACAACGTCGCGGATCCCGCTGCCCGGCATCCCACAGGCAACGGAATAAATAATAATGGAAGAGATAATTGTCCTCGCGGACTAGTAATGCACTTTCCAATCTGTAAAGGAACAGCAGACAATCAACCAGCCAAATGCAAGATATGCATGCCAAAGGTTGGTGAAGCACACGTACAAATCGGCGGCAGCCTGAAAGTCCCCACGGTCAAAACAAAAGATTCCCTTAAGGGAGTCCACCAGCATCTGCTCACTCCTATCTGTTTGCCCAGCAAACGCCTGAGATCCATCCCGTTGTGTCGCTTCCGCAGCCGCCGTTCGGCCGAGAATAAACTGCGCGAAACCAGAATAAAAGTACACCTCCCAATCCGGCTGGGGCATTCGCGACGCATAGTCAGCCATCATCGTCACAGCGTCCGCCAGCCGCTCTCCGCCCACACAAATCCAAGCGATTGCAAGATATTTGCGACACAACAGATCGATGTGCTGAAGAAGAGGAACGTGGTAAGCGGTCGGCAGACTTGACCAGCCCTTGGCGCTCAAAAGGGCCTTCTCCAATAATTCGCAGCATTTAGCGAAACCGTGCTGGCGGTAGGCCGTGAGGGCTTTCTTGATGCGGACCAACGGATGCTGGGCGTCCCACGAAGCGACAGTTTCCTGCAGGGCATTCATTTCCGGTTCCTTGACGGGTTGACCACGCAGATCACGCTCTAACTGCAGCATGTACAGGACGGCCACGGCAAAAGGCACCATTTCCTTGTACTGCTCGCGGTATTTGTGGGCAAGAGTTTCTGCATCCACCAGGCGCTGCAAGCGCAGCATAACACTCAAGTGCTCCTGCAACGCACAATATACTGCACAACTTCAGCGGTTTTGTATCAAAAGGCGCGCAGTCGGACCTGCGCATAGCCATCTTCCAGCGTCGCCACATCGTACTCGCTGAGCAGGGCGTCAAAGGTGGTCAGCAGCAGCTGGAGACGGTCAGGCGGCAGTGCTGTGAGGAAGTCGGTCTGGTGTTTGTTCGGTAGAGGAACGATGGCGCGAATGATAGCGCGGTAGGCGTGGAGACGCGTCTCCTTGTTGCCGTAGCCCGTAGCTAACTCCGCCAAACGTCCCCAAGTTGTCAGCGCTTCCTCCATCTTTCCTGTACACAAAGTAACAAATTCTGCTATCAATGCTCTACGACAAACGCAATCATTTCAAGGTGCCACGCAACAGGTGCCCAGCTGAATATTTTGCATAGAACATTTACCGGTTGAGCACCGTAGTAGCTTTACCAATGCAGAGTCCGTTTACCAATCAGTGCGGGGAGTAAAGGCATGCGAACAGTCAAATTCAAGGAAAAAGCGACTAACCTGTGGCGGCAAGGAGGGGCGCATACCCCTGCAGATACTCCATCACTTTGGGCTTCATCATCGCCGCCTGCTGCTCATCCTTCTCCAGGGCCTCCAGACAGCGCCGATAACCCTCCAGAAGCTGATGGTCCTCCACTTCTCCCGCAACGGTCGGCGCGAAACGCTTGTGCCAGGCCAGGAGTCCCTGCCAGGCCGCCAGCAGTTCGCTTTGAGTTGCCAGCGCGCGGCGAAACTGCTGCAGCGACTTGTCGCGCTGCTGTAGCTCCAAGGCGCACTTTCCGCTCAGCAACAGCGCCGGTGCGTTCCCGCCGTCCTCCTCGCAGATACGCTGCAGAATGTCCTGCGCCTTATCCCACTTCTGCTCGTCAATCAGCTCCTTGGCGCGCTTTAGGCGGACACGCGTATTGCCTGCTTCCACCATTCTGAAACGAAGTCTCGGAAGCCTGGCTCTTTCTAGAAATGCAAATCAGCAAAGATGCCTTCCCGTACACAAAATATTCTTGTTGAAGTAGCAGTGGCAACGCCACAGGCACGTTACTTCTGGCAGTACTATAAATTAATCATCATAAATAATTCTATATGACAAAAGCAGAACTTTGCCAAGAACGGAAAACGGTACTGCAATCAGCAATCAGTGCAAAGCAATATTTATTTTTGTTTCAAATATTGGATTTTTCGATCATCTTCCCGACTTTTTACGTGACATATTTTATTAGTTATTACTTACGGTACGATAGTGTATAACAGGAGTGTTATAGTGTACACATTGGTTGTACAGGTGTTATAGTGTAGGCAGGCACGTTCTCACGTAACTGCCCTATCGCGATTGAGCCATGCCATTCTGGGCCTTTCCGGCATTTTCTAAAGATGCGGGAAACGGTCCATCCGCAAAAATTTCCGACATTCTTTCTGTCGTGGAATTCAAAAACGTGTTAATTTTTTGTAAATTCTGCCCTTTTTGGGGACTATTGATTGCCATTTGCCACTGGTACCATAATTATTAAGCAACCTAATATCTACCATTTGACTGTTAGACTGATTTATTTGCAGTACAGACAAAATGGAAGGAAAAGAGGTAGGTTCGTTGTCGACGTTGTGTCGTAGTACACAGTCCGCACATGCTGCTTGTTTTCCAACGAAAGCATTTCCCGTTTCTACGGTGTTATCATGAAAAAGCCTTTCAACAATGCAGAGATTTGAAGGAAGGTTCTGCATTTTTAACTCTGTTCTTCATGTTCTGCATAATTGTAATTTCATATTTTCATTTATCTCACTGACAAGTCATAACAAGATGCCAAATCATTGGCTGACATTAGTGTTGCCCACTGTAAACTACCAACGCTGTTCAGGACTTCGAGTGATGCAAGTATGAAGAGCAAGAACTAACATGGGCAGCATGGCCAACACCAACTACTAATCAATATTCTTCCTAACAGTTAAATACTTATTTTTTTTCCGATATAATTTTAGTTTCTTCGTTTCTTGTTAGCGACAGACCCGTACAAGCACACACGCATCGCTGCTGGAAGAAAGAATGGGCTCCTTCCAGATCTATTTGCGATGCGACAGCGTGGATGTCTGGGAGAACAGCGGTCTCCTGCGATATGGACGCGTGGTGGACGTAGCGGATAATGGGCTCTTTATCGACTTTCTCTGCCCCGATCGCCGGTGCGAATTGACGCCCTTTGACCGCATCTTCAAGATGTTCTCGCCGGCCTGTGCGACGGACTTGGATCTGGGTAAAGTAGGTGAGCGCTGCCCGGTGGAGGTGCTGCTGCGTCCCAGCCCCGCGCTCCCTGGACTTGGACCCTGCCGAATTGTTTCTAAAGATGCGGGAAACGGTCCATCCGCAAAAATTTCCGACATTCCTTTCTGTGTGGAATTCAAAACGTGTTAATTTTTTGTAAATTCTGCCCTTTTTTGGGGACTATTGATTGCCATTTGCCACTGGTACCATAATTATTAAGCAACCTAATACTACCATTTGACTGTTAGACTGATTTATTTGCAGTACAGACAAAATGGAAGGAAAAGTAGGTTCGTTGTCGACGCTGTGTCGTAGTACACAGTCCGCACATGCTGCTTGTTTTCGAATGAAAGTAGTTCCCGTTTCTACGGTGTTATCATGAAAAAGCCTTTCAACAGTGCAGAGATTTGAAGAAAGGCTCCGCATTTTCAACTCTGTTCTTCATGTTCTGCATAATTGTAATTTCATATTTTCTAATTTTCGTTTATCTCACTGATAAGTCATAACAAGCTGCCAAATCTGACTGTTAGTGTTGCCCACTGTAAACTGCAAACGTGTTCAGGGCTTCAGGTGATGCAAGTATGATGAGCAAGAACTAGCACGCGCAACATGGCCAACACCAGCTACTAATCAATATTCTTCCTAACAGTTAAATACTTATTTTTTTCCGATATAATTTTAGTTTCTTCGTTTCTTGTTAGCGACAGACCCGTACAAGCACACGCATCGCTGCTGGAAGAAAGAATGGGCTCCTTCCAGATCTATTTGCGATGCGACAGCGTGGATGTATGGGAGAACAGCGGTCTCCTGCGATATGGACGCGTGGTGGACATAGCGGATAATGGGCTCTTTATCGACTTTCTCTGCCCCGATCGCCGGTGCGAATTGACGCCCTTTGACCGCATCTTCAAGATGTTCTCGCCGGCCTGTGCGACGGACTTGGATCTGGGTAAAGTAGGTGAGCGCTGCCCGGTGGAGGTGCTGCTGCGTCCCAACCCCCGTTCTCCCTGGACTTGGACCCCTGCCGAATTGTGTCTCAAACTGCGCAAATCCTATTGGCCTGGCGATGTGGGCGTGGTGCAGCTGCTGAACGCGGAGGGCGTGGCCGACGGTCCCCTGCACGTGGTCCCGCCCCAACGGCTCCGCCAACCACGCTGCAACCTAGCCAGTGCGAGCGGGCCCAGGGATAGGGCAGAGTTGCGTAAATATTACGGGAATAAGTTCGCTTCCTGCGTCGTCCGCCCGGGGGATTTTTTTAGGGGAAGCGTGCACTTGACGGCTCAGCTGGCAGGCTTGTCGGAGGAAAAACAGCGACGCTTGCTAAATGACTGGCTGGAGGCCACCTTTTCGGACCAATATTGTGGTTACCCCTTTCGGTTTGCGCGGCTTATGGATGACGGTCGCACCTGGACGTACATTGAACGCACGCTTAATCAAAAGGTGAAAGCTAAGACAAATTATCAATAATTTGCAGGTGAATTTGAGGTTTGATCGAATGGACAGTGGATATCGTGTTTTTATCATTTATCCTCTGTTAATTTCCGCAGCATGCGCTCACTGATTGACGGTTTTGTAGACTCGCTTTTTTCGATTTGCTAACCGTTTAACGACGGACCTTCCTTGGATGATTTATAAAGCATTGCGCCTAGACACGGACACTCGATTGGCGGTGTCGAATGACTCAGATGACGATATCCTTCGGCTGCCGGTGGAAGTGTTGCTTGGCGTCTTTTCTCACCTGGACACAGTTCAACAGACACGAATGCGCTCTGTATGCAGCACCTGGGCGGCTATCCTGGAGTCGGCTGTGTTGCTCTCCCTCATTGTCATTCCCCGCCAGAGCGACGACGCTGCGGACTATTCCCTCACTGCCACCCTGGCCAACTGTCTGAACTCGTCCACGCAGCGCATTATTATCATTGGAGGCGATGAGGGCAGAGTGATTAAGACAGGAGATGTTATCGGCCTCTTATCGTCCCGCTGCGGAAGGCTTCGTTTGAGGGCCATCTGTTTCGCCCGTCTAGCCTGCAGGTTGACACTGGATCCGTGTCAAGGCAGTAAAAGGAAACCCACTGACGACGGTCTGTCGTGCTTTGCTGCCATGTGTAGCCGGCTGCCTTGCGGAGATGTCGTGTTCGTCCAGAGCCACTTCATTTTGACGAACAGAGCCATATGCAAGTATGCCTTGGGATGGCCGGGTGACCCCGGAAGTAAATTTAAACGCTTCTGGGACATGACAATTTCCACGTACATGGCATTGGCTCGCTTGGACCGTGAGAGCGGTGACGATGCCGCAGTGGCCTTGTGGAGTCTCGTGGAAACTCACATTTCATGCTCGGTAAGCAGCGAAGACCGGCAGACAGCGTTGAAGTGGTTAGCGAAGATCAGAACGGATTGCCAGCAGTTGGAGAACGAGAATAGCCAGATGATTGACTTGATGGATCTGCTTAGCAAGGTACAGATAAGTGCGGATGAGGGCAATACGGACTTCCTGCACGCAGATTTGAATTTCATTTGTTAAAAATTGTAGAATTTAACTGGTCCACCGGTCCACTAACAAGAACAAAATTTTTGCTTCTTTTGCAGACATTGTGCGCGGTGCAGTCGGCCCGTTGCGGTTGCCTCGCTTATCCCTGCTGCCGCGATTCGGTGTGGGATCCGCAGCTGAACAACATTGCACCCGTCGTTATGTGTCTGCTGGTGCAGTTCGTGAACCGTTTCAATAATATTATGAAAAGGTCTGGGTCGAACGGTAATAATTTTTTGGACGGTTTTGGAATGGAAGAACAGTAATAAATTTTTCTGTGTTTTATAAAATGGAGAATTGACAACTTGATGGCTTCGGCTTTTTGAATTTTTCATACTTCTGTTGTTAGCTGTGCTGCATTTTTACGAGTTTTCTGCGCTACTCGTTGACTCGTATGATTTTTTATGTTTGTTAGTTGTTACTCATGTGTCACGCGGCGCACGTTTCTCAGTCCGCTCGTGTTTTGTGCAAGGCGGTTTTCAATAATGCCAGTGATGTTTGGTTAATAATTAGTTTGATCCTGAATTAAATAGTACCGAATCTACCGATAAGGTTAATTAAATCAAACGATGTCCTCGGGAAAAGCGAAAAATTTTCGAAAATGAAACATCTCGATTGAAAACCGCCATCCCGAAGGCGGTAGCGTATGTGGATTACGGAATCACTTCTCTGCTCCCAGTTAAAATTTTTTCTAAAAAGTAAAAATTTCTTGCACTCTTATTACGCTTGTTAGTTATTAGAGCTCTGTTGTTTTATTCACTGCTCATCGGAGAGTGACTTCATGGGATTATGGCATATGATTAATGGAGGAATTCCAGCTGCTGACGCTGCAGGAAGAGGATGACGGTGCCAGTGAATCGGAGGGAGAACACTTGTCAAACGGACAAGCGCTGCAGGTCCGTTAGTGCGTTCGCGTAGAGTAGAGACTGTACAGTCTAATCGTTTAGCATAAAGACTGATGATGTGTGTTACCGGACCAACGATGTTGTTTGCACAGAGGAAGGAGAAGATGCGCTGGCGGAACAAGCCCAGCGGTGCATTGGCTGCCAAGGAGCGCGGAACGGCGAGCAGCGCGCACAGAGACTCAGTGACGGATGAAGGCAGCTCGCTGGAGTCGCTGCACTTCAGCAGCGGCCGGGGCAAACTGCCGCCCTTATCCCAGGTAGAATACTTTGCTTCTGCACTGAAATTGGTGCGACTACAGCTTACGTTGTGCAGAAATGGTACCGATCTCCCGCGGCCAAAGTGGCGACAGGCGCCGTGCTGCTGCTCATCGGCGGATTCCTCCTGGGCTACTTGGCCCATGTTCCTAAAGTTGTGCCAGTGATGGCCAACTCCTCCAACGCATCGCCATCGATGCTTTGGAAAGACCGTCTGCATTTTACCCCCGATTTCGCGCGCTGTCCCAAAGAGTGAGTAAATACTTTTTCTTAAATACTTGATGGTGCGTGAGTGTCGTTTTTGTTAAGCAGATTTGGCTTTGAGCGCCCAGCTGTACTTGTGCACTCCTTCGACGGCCTGGCCAGTCGTTTCCTGGACCGAATTCCCTCCTTGAAGGATCTCGGGAGCGCCGGTGTCCGCGCCGCCCACATGCGTCCCGTGTTCCCGACCAGCACCTTCCCCAACCACTACACGATGGCAACGGGACTGTTCCCGGAATCCCACGGCATCATCGACAACAGCTTTTCCTCGGTGGACGGCACCCGCTTCTTCTATAACGCTAATGACAGCCGTTTCGTCAGCGCATGGTGGGGCGGTCAGCCCATCTGGCAGGTTGCCCAACGGCAGGGGCGGCGCGTGCTGGCGCACTACTGGCCCGGCACCGACGTCAAAATTAACGGAGTCCTTCCCACCTACTGGTCTGTCTTCGACTTTAACGAAACCGTATCCAGTCGGGCGCAGCGGGTGGTCGACGCCCTGCGAATGCCGGCGGCACAGCGCCCCGATCTCGTCCTGGCATACTATCACCAGCCCGATAGCGTTGCCCACGTCCAGTTCCAGGAGAGCGAGGCGTTCAGTGACGCCCTCTTGCAAGTGGATCGACTCACCTCCCTCATCATGGAGGGACTGGCCAATGCGTCCTTACTGGATTGCGTGGACGTCATCTTCCTGTCGGATCATGGCATCGACCAGTGCCGGCACTCTGTCGATCCCCATGTGTCACAGTTCGACCCGCTGTCTGTTTACGATGTTAGTCTGCTCTGTTCCGATTTAATCTCTGTCTTGAGACTTAACTGGCTACATTGCAGGGAAATGGCTTTATGAATCGCGTACGCCTAAATGAGACGGTGGACGTGCGGAAAGCGCTATCCGGCTACGATTGCTCCATGTACTCCCCCTTCCAACTGTACGCGAAGCAGGATCTGCCCGTCCGTTTGCACTATGTTAACGCCGACGTCATTGCACCATTAATCATCACCGCCAACCTATCATATGTGATGTTTGCGGCGAACAAAAGCGTGTCCTGCAAAACCAAATTCAACATGCACGGTTGGGACAATGTGCACAACGAGCTGCAGGCGGTTTTCCTCGCCTATGGACCGTCTTTCCTTACTCACGCCACTGTGGAAGCCTTCGCTAATATTGAGTTGTTCAATCTTTTGGCGGACCTGCTGGAAATAAACGGCGTGGAAAATAACGGAACGCGAGGTAGCTTGCGGCATCTTCTGCGTCCCGGGCGCCTGCAAAATCTCGTTGAAGAGAAGACAGACCCGCTGCCCGTCGTTGTAAGGGCGACGCTGCCGGTGACAGTCCGGCCGGTTTGTGGAAAGAACTGCTCGACACATTGCAGTTGGCCCAGTCTGACAGCATCTATGGAAGATCAGGATGATTTTTTGCAACTGCATGGTAGGGAATTTGGATTCCCTGGAGGACGTGACAGTGGCGCCACGATGCTTGTCAATCGCAACTATCTTGTCGGCGTGTTTCCGCAGCGGGACCTTCCCGTGTGGAGTGCGTTTCGCATGCCGCCATGGTCGCGGCAAATCCTGCTTCATAATTTCCAGGTAAAACTGGCGCTCATGCTTCTCTAAAAATATTAATAGTATGTGTAGTAACAGATGCCGCATTTTTCAAAATTTTCTCCCATGGAAGCGCTTATTGTGGTTTGACGTTGCCGGCTAATTTTTTTGTTATACTCGTGTTTTTTTAGCATCAAGACATCTCCGAATGCCGGTTCGCCGATCCCCGGTTAAGCGGATGGGATCGCAGCGGTCTCTGCAGCGAAGTGTCCGGTATTACGCTGGGCTTATTGGTTCCTCCAGGTCGGTGGTATTATGCTCGTTTTTGCTGCACATATCAGACCCTGTCTTTCTTACAGAGCTGGCGTCAGCCGCGGCCTACCAGGATGAGTTCCTGCTGACCAGTAACACGGTGCCGGTGTATCACAGTTTTTATTACGGGATTTGGCATCGATTCCTGGAGATGCTGGCCGGTTGGAACAGTGAAACACAGCGCCTGCTCATCTGGCTTGGACCGGTGTGGGACTATCAGGCCCCGTTCGGCCTGGCTGATCCGCCGTCAATCCTGCAGCGGGACCAGTTGCCGTCGCATTTCTTCGCCGTTGTACTGCGGCAACGATCTGTTAGGCCAGTTATTTGCCCAACTCTTTCCTGTCAGTACGACGTGATATCATTCATCGTACCGCACCAGCCAGCGCCGACCAAACGCTGCCAGGTTGGTTCAGAATTTCGCTTTTTTACCGAAACATAATGAACGTAGCAATTCTGTAATCGCTGATGAACTGAATCCTGATGAACTGAATCCTGATAAACATTTTCCTGCGTAGAGCGAGCTGGCCTATCTCTTATCGCACAGCGCCACCGTGGTGGATGTGGAGTTGATCAGTGGACTGGGCTTCTTCACCGGCCTACCCGTGGAAGAGGCCGCCCGACTACGGACGCGCGTGACTAATTTAACGTTTTGGGAATCTCTTTAAGAAACATCTCCAGGTACTAAGCGGTGCAGGCCGATGCTAGTATTCCCGCTTCTTGTGATTGCACCGTGCTCGCGGATCTGTTTCGGTGGCTGTAGCCCCCAGAAATCTCTTTTATGTTTCTAAGTTGTTTTTTGTCGTTTTCTGTGATGGGAGAGGCGAGATTTTCTTGCGAATAAAATTGGTAATGGGAAAACAAATTTTATCTGCTCCGCTGTGCCTGCAATCCGTTCGTTATTAGGTGAGCAACAAATTCGATTTCAGCATTTGCCGGTTTTGTTTCCGGTTTATAGGTATTGTTTACAGCAAACTGTACAGCAGAGTATAGTCATAGGCAGCCATATACTCGTATCTGGGAGGTATATAAAACAGTAGGAAAAGTACAAAATCATAAATTATTAGGAACAAGTCATGATCAGTCCGCTTTCAAAAAGGATTTCCAAACTCGTCGGGCATCGGTAGGTTCTACATCGGATGGGATGTTCTGCTTCCTGGACTAGATGTGCGAAGAGCGGTCTCGTTCGTTGGCTCACGTAGCCTACGAACGGGGCGCCGGTCCGGACGGATACTTGGCTTCTCCGTAGATGGCCGAGTCGAAACGCGCGGGGTAAGGGGCACCCGGCGGTAGCGGTGGCTGGTAGCCCGGTGCGTAGGGGTCGAAGGGGCGGGCATAGTTCTGCGCAATTTAGAAAAATTAACGGAGCTCACATAAATGCATGCTAACCGGTGTCATCGCCATGCGAAGTCCAATGCCGGTAAACAATGGCATATGGTCAAACTAAAGAATCGGAAATATAATAAATACCTCTCGCGACGGATGAGGGTGCGAGGGCTTGGGTATTCCGAAGAATTTGTACAGATCCAGCCTGGGTACCATTTTGCACGGCACCAGAGGATTTCTGCAACGCCCCGTAGGTTAACTTGCTGCAAATTGCAACCATACACAGGCTTGAGCCATCGGTACTTACACATCAGACACATCCAGGAAAGAATTCCACGGTACACTGCGCAACTCCGTCGTGGCACATATTAACTGTGCCATGGAACTCTTGCGTAATTGTTGTAATTGCTCTGCTCACATGCCGGCATTATGCGGATGAGTACACCATTACTTAGCCAATCACCGCTATGATTACTAAGAGGCATGCCTTTACTGACCTAATGTGAACTGATCGGGATTCTCATGCCAGAACCGGTCGGACACGCGCTTTCCGCGGAACTCCAGAGCAATGACACAGGCAAAGGTCGGCCCCACACTGGCTTCTCCGTTGACCGGGTTCTCCATGACACCGCCCACCATAAAGTCCTGTTCGCAGCGAATTATTTGTTGACTGGTCAGCAGCATTGGTTAACACTCAACAGCGACACAACACAAAAATGCCCCACTTACAATATCATCCACGCTCCTGCATCACAAGCCAGCAAAAGTAAGAATAATGGTACAAGAGTCTTTGGTTTCCTCTGAGTACATTATGCGCAGTGACGTACGTACCTGTACAGCTTTTGTAGTACTTGAATATTGTCGTAGGAGACAAAGTCCTTAAGATCCGGAAAATCGTACACGCGGCCATAACCACAGGCCTCTCGGATGTCGTTGTACGTGCCCAAACCTAAAGGTCAAATCCAGTTAGGGACACCGCTGAACTGTCGTGAGGGACTTCCTGGCTAGAGAAAAAAAGAGCATCTGACCGTGGTCTCGTCCGCGCTGAAAGTCAATGGCGGTGATGTCCAGGCCGAAAGGCATGCGGCCGCGGAAAAGGCGTCCCTGCAGCTCAGCGGTGGTCTGACTGTCGAAGGCCAGCGACATCTCCTCCAACATCCCGTTGACGATAGCGTCGGCGTTGCCGTCCTCGTACAGCAGGGTCTGGTTGTTGAAGTGACTGGACAGTGGGTGCGCTTCCGGTGGCCCCGTCGACAGCACCAACCTGCCGGCCATACAACGTTAACCATTGAGGTAAATGTTAACTGAAACGGGGTTACAGCAGCTACTCGGGTACGTAGTATAGCATCAGTACGTCATGGATCTTTACCGGTGATTAGCCGATAAGTAATTCACACTGCATACATGTACAGATAGGAATGTACGAGTACTAGTACGTATTTCACCATAAAGCTCGTCGAAGAAAACACTGACATCCATATTCCTAAAAAATCAAGCTATTGAGCAGATCTTACCGTGGAACCACATCGGCCACAAGGGTATGTAATCTGCAAAATTCCAAAGCGGTCAGCAGGTTCTTTTCATTCAAGATCAGCTCCTGCACACTGTTTCGATTGTACACTTAATAATATTCCTACCGGAATGCTCCCGTTGTGAATTCATTAATGACATGCGGATCGTACGCATCATCATATCCATCAAAGTATCCCTCGTCCAGCAGCTTCAATGCGTAGCGTTTATGGTTGGCGATCTTCTCGCCGAGAAGAACTGGGAGAAACTCCTTATAAGTGATGACCTGGTAGGCGGCAATAACGATCTTGCGCGTCTCCTGATAGATCATCTCGTCCGACCATTCGGGATAGACTGCGGCAATGAAGTTGGCGATGAGGTTGTGGAAGCGCAGGAAGATGGTGTGAAAGGTCATAAGCAGCGGTTGCTGGTTAACGCGCTCGTCACCGGCTAGAAAACAGGTGCGGCGCGGATCCAGGGGCTTGCAGGAGGAGGGGCCATGAGGCGGCAGCGAGGGTAGGATCTGCTCAAAGATCTCTATCATCTGCTCATTGGGAATGCCGGTGTGGACATCGCGGAAGCTCAACTGTCCTTTGTAGTAGTTGCGGATGGCCAGCGCCTGTTGCTCGGTGCTTCCGTATACCGGGGATGCGTCCAGCCAATGCGTTACTGTCGTAAACTGCTCCCGTACGCCTATGCATATCAGTAACAGTTACATGATTGAATTACTGTAGGCTAGCCGAGAAGCTTTCTTTTGAAAACAAATACACGAAGGATGCATTCACCAATTTTGCAAGGAATATAAATTTTAGATAAATTTTTTAAGATGAGCCTGTTGTCGATCCGGCCAGCTGGCCTGCAATCGTACACACTGTACCGTTTCCTCAGAGAAAACATTTGTTTAATGGCAACTGCAACAGGTTCCTCTTAGGCGAGGATGTTAGTGCGCCGCAGTTGCTGTGTTCCCTGCGTAATTAGGTAATCCTCTATTAATTGTGCGCCGGCCCATGTGGTACTGTACACGCGTGTAAGTGTATGAGCGGCGTGAGCGGCTGACAAGGGTGGAATGACACGAAAGGAAGCACCAAGTGGAGGCTAAGACAAATTTATTCAAAACTTCCGTTGTCCACCTGTCTACCAGTTGGCGTTGTGTCAACACAGCCACTTGTCCACCAATCTGTTTACACTACTCTTGTTCACGTCAGCTGCTCAGTTGCGGCCGGCACTCATATCACCTACTATCACTTTCCCTCCAAACCGCCGCTCCATGTTCCTTACGACAACTGACGGAGGGTACCACGTACAGTCTGTACGCATGTCACCAACACAGCGCATGCGCCAGTCACTGACCAGTGTATGTACACGGCACAGAACAAATTGCCTTACATCCCGTTATCTGGCTAATTATAACGACAGTTGAACAAACCAGACGATGCGCCGAAGCATGACTGATGCAAATGACATTTGGGGATTTGTGCAGTAATTACATTTCGCCGAGCCATATTGACATGACCATAAATCATCATCCGATTGCTGATTATTGATGCGGGCTAAATTATATCTCTGGTCAAATTGAAGCGATTCATGCCTGTCGATTCCTGTTTGACCACAGTGTTTGTAAGCGCTGGTTAACCAGATATCGGTTGCCGCAGCAGTCGTTCAGTGTACTGACATCGCAGCGCACCGCGGGCTACTTAGCGAACGTTGCCGATGAACATGAACAAGAAACTAACTAAATGCAGTGGGCGCAACGTAACGCATCAATAGTAATGCGCTTACGTCGGTAATTGTCACTAGTGCAGTCCGGCGCTGTTCAATGGGTTGACTTTACAGACGGAGAGTGGTTCAGCGGACACCATGGCCAGCCAGTTATAGCCGCGCTGCGAAATTAATTTATGCATCTAAGGGCACGACGCTTTTGTCTGTTCCCACGGGCACTCGTAGCGCGCATATTACGCATACTGTCATACACCGGCAGTTGTCACCCATCGAAACGCATACGCACACCACGTTGCGATTGTGTCAGACGTACGTTTACAATAGCAATGCATCGTCTTCCGTACCGTAACGACAACGTGCATCCTTCGACGGCAGTGATCGCGCAAACTGATGGCAGGTGATGTTGAAGCGTGAATAGAAGGGATCGTAGGGCGGAATGGAGAACTGGAAGCACTCCGACACTTGGCAGTCGGCGTTGATGACGCAGCAGTCCGGCTGGCGGTTGTTCACTTGGAAAGAGGGCGCTGCAAGCATTACCACACGTAATCATACGTTTCTCCAAAACCAGTAGGTCAAGCTCCTTAAAATGAACACCGATAAGAACACTGTACTTAGGGACAAATCATGGGTGATCAGCTGGCCGAAGAAGGGCATGAGCAGATTGGCCGCCGGGTGCGGAATGGGCTTGGACTGGCTGATGGCCACGCTGATCAGTCGCGGGTTGGGCAGGGGCACCTTCTCGCCGTGTTCCGGCACCACTGAGAACAGCCGCGGGATATCTTTGCCTGCAATATGAGCATTGTTGCAGCTATTTTTCCACAATAACAAAATACAAGTGAACTGACCGTCAGCGTAGGTGCGTGCCGTGATGCGGCTGTAGGGCTGCGTGCGGTTGCCCCAGCTGGGATACTTGAGGTTATTGCAGCTGCCGTCGAACGTCCTGTACTTGAGTTGCCGGTGGCAGTCGACGTGCTCTTCGTACTTGGCCGGGCAGTCCATTCTACATGCAGCCAGTATTACACACCGTACAAGATGGCTGTATCCACAAAAAGCGGAATCGCTGTAAAGAACGTGCGGCGTCCTTACTCGTAGCCGGGTTTGGGCGGATCCGACATCTCGTTGGGACTGTAGCCGCTGTGCATGATGACTTCGTGCGAAGGGCGATTAAAATAGTCCGAATAGATGCCGAATAACATGGCGGGAGGTGCTGTAGCCTGGGTTTGCCACAATGCCAAAGAACGACGCAACCACAAAATTTACTCAAAGATCAAAGATATCATGTTGGGCAATTCCGAAAGCAATTAAGCAACCGAAAGAACGCGCAACCAAAATTTTACCAGTGCACGTGCAGAACGCTTGGAAGCGCATATCTGTAGTTAATAAACTACCGACAATTTTTTTATACGAGATAATAGCAATGCAGAAATATCAGAAATGGTAAATAAGCACATAATTACATATCTCGTGCTGACTTGGTAAAAGACTCCAGAAAATCGAATTCGGTAATGAGCTATAATTCATGAAGCTTTCCTTAAATGAAGACTCTCTATTCTTACCATTAGGTGACATCTGTTTAAAATGTGAATTTAACGCAATAATAATCGGAATGTTACCGACGTCGTCATAACTGTGTTTAATTGCATACGTAATTAAATTTTACTTTTGACGTGCGGAAAACTTGTCACGATCTGATGATTAGTCGATCAACGATTAACAAAGCCGAAGCCGGAAAGCGACGTTGCACAAAGAAAAACCATATACAACCGCCGGAAATTATGACTAGGGGAACAATGTTCACGAATAAAATATAACAGGTCGCTGGCAGCACTATGGCCTGGTAACGCGGTCGTATAAAAAGGTATATTTTCCCAACTATGGCTCAACGATTATCTAATACGATTACGGTTACTTACTGCATTTCTCAGGTCCGGGAGGTCCGTAGGGCGGTGGGCCGTAGTAGCGCTTCGGCTCATAAGGATCAACATAGGGCGACGGAACTTCCCGGTAATCCGCACTGATCACCGGCTTCCGTGCCGGTGCGTAATGATGATTATGGTTGGCTTCGGGAAAGGGCTTTCCGGGATGCGCACCGGGCACAAAGCCCCGCTGTGGCACCGTCTCCAAGGCGGAAGTGCACGCGACTGACACGGCAAGGACAAAGGTTATCCTACAGAGCGATTCCCAGCTGGCCGGCTGCATGGTAGGAGGGGGGACGTGTGGCAGGCGGCTGCCGCTGACGATGACCCTGCACGGACAATGCGCTTTAACTTTCCGGCCAAATCAGTGTGCCAGCCGCGGTGAACAATAGCGCAATAGGCTGACTAGCAGTGCTGACCAAACAGCGTCCAACAAATGATTAATGCTGCCTCTGTTATTCCGATGCTCAAAGGAGACATAGAGAGCAATGATAAAACAACAACCGGTACTCTTAAGATGCTAAAGCCATTTGGTGAAAATGTGAAATGCAGATGGGAAGCGGCACGAGTGGTCTGTCGTTGGTGAATGCAATGCGTTGCCGACTACTCCGCTGCTTAGCTTCATATAGGGATGTCCGCTACCAACCGGCCCCACTCGCGGCTGATCGCCACCGGCTGTGGACGTCCGGTACGTACAGAGACTCGGTGCGGTATGACGCGCGTGCGTACCACACAGGTAGACTGGTAGCGATGTTTTTATTAGAGCAATATTATGCCGGCCATGCCGAAATTAAACCACGCTTCATGCTGGGATATGCCCGATGGGGGCTCAACGAATTTTATATTGTGCTTGAGTTTGTCTGTACAAGCTAAAGATATAGCGATTAATTGCACTCCACTCAAGTGCACAGAGGATGTCGCACTACTGTCGGGACGTTATAGTCTTTTTGTACGAACTGACGTCATCTTACTTCTGTACTAGTACTGTAATTTCGCGGAAATACAGTATTATAGCTCTCTCTGAATAAAACTTGTTCGAATAAATTAATTAAACAGTATTTAAATTTTTCCAGTCGTTGTAATTGGGGATGTGGATGATCAACGTAAACGCCTACTAAACGGTTAAAAATTTGGTACCATCAACTAAGAAGTAAGGATCGGCAAAAGCCGAAGCATTGTCGAACGCTTACAAGTTAGTGCATTGACAACAAATGCACTCTTTAGTAAACGTTAGCGCACTGACCTAAAGATTTTCAATGTCTTCGGCCAATCTAGCGCACCTTTTTCCAACCAGAAAGATAAACTTTGATTGTAAAAATTAAACGTATACGAGTCTTACGCTCGAGTTTTTTCCGAAAATATGTGAATTTCTCTAAAAAATGGAACAAACAGAAACTTTTTATGAAAATACTGAAGTAGATCAATATTTGGTCAATGAAAACAAAGGAAGCATAGATACAGTAAGTGGCGGCGCTCGCACTAGCCCTGCCCACATGCAGTGCCGCCGCAGAACGGTGGACATCCGGCCGGCTTCAGACAGGCGCGCAGTGTAGCGGTCGGAGTGTCTCAATTAATCTGGAAATGGGCATTAGCGTATCGCGGAGTCATGATGGCAATAATTGGCTATATTGTCCGGCGGCCGGCACTTATTAACGCTAATCGTCTCCTTAATATGCGCACCATCCGAGTTGCCTACCTGTAAAATCAACATCGTCCACCAAGCTCAAGTAGCGGCCTAATGAGGTCTGGCGTAATGGCGTACTGCCAGCATAACCGCGCTTACAGCGCGTTGCAGCAGCGGACAGTGCGTATGCGATGCGCTTACGCGGGGCTAATGGTGGCACTTTGTCGGGGTGGGACGCGTCGATCCAATTCAGACATGACTGCGCAGCGGCACTTGCGCGGGGATGGCTCCCTGCCATGGAATAGCCTCCAACCGGCGACCAGTCCACTGTACTGCACGTATGGCATGGATGCCGATTTAATTTGGTCAGATCCATGCTAATTCGAGATGGGTCAGTAATTAATGAGCACTGCGACACTTGCCGCTGAACCCGAACATGAAAATGTCGCTGCTCTTATGTATGCAGATGCGATCATGTAGTGTATTATAAGCTGCTGGATGCAAGTGAGTCGCCAAGCAGGCTGCGGATGGTTTAGTTTGGCAGAGCAGAGAGCAATGTTAATTCCTAAAATTACCGCGCACACCGGTTTTCATGGCCAGCGGAAGAAATCTGGAATGGAACCTTGCAGAAATAAATACCTTGAAATCCGTCTGCGGAAAGCATATAATTCTATGCTTCAGCTTACAGTGTGTCTGACAGCCGACGTGAACATTCAGGAAGAAAAGGTCACGAATGGAGCATCAGTCAGAAGGACGTAACTAACTACCCATTCTATGACCCCGGTGTTTGGATCTAAGCACTTGGACGACTCAAACCAGAGAATCAGATGCCGAATACTGTTAAGACTGTTCAACTGGAAAGCGTCGCCTCCGTACTCAGTTGCAAGATGTTCTGAAAAGTCGACTTTAATTTCTGATGCCTCTGCACTTGTACAAGATATTCGTGCATTTCATTTGTGGTTTTGTTAAGTGTAACCCGCTGTAACCGTACTGGTGTCCGTTTGTGAACATTCGTAATTGCTTAGCTAGAGGTTCGGGATCCTGGCGGTACGTCCATGTACGTGAATGACGTTATAATATTTTTGCCAACTATTTCATCCAGTGCCCAGGAAATCTTTCTGATCCGGATATCCCTATGTCAATACTTCTCGATATAACGTTCATCTAATATCGCCGCCTTCCATGTACTTATGGCAGACCCAACTCACCCAAGTTAAGAGAACTTCAACTTAAGTGGTTGGGAAGCAGTAAAGCTACACTCGCTGATAAGCTTATCGTATTTTTTCTTTTCTTAACTTATTAAAAAAGCAAACTGCTGCTATTTTTCTTCGGCCTTTCGCTCCAGCTTATGCCTTATCGGTACATCGTGCAGGTATAGGATCGAAGTATTTCATGATCAATTACTAGTACTTGCTAACGTGGGCTTTGTTAATCTTGGTTTTTCCGTTGGCGTAGCTGCTTCGCATTATTCACGCATGGATTTAATGTTTCTTCATGATCAGTACGAAAAGGTTAATTGCAGATACAGTGACACTTGGTACTTGCGGTACCGGTACCGAAACTGGTACCAGTCCAGATACGGTACCTTCCGGCTTCTGAGCCTTTTCGTGCGCAAAAAAACAAAGAAAGCTCGAAATTCGCTGGTTATCCGTTTTACCAGTACCACTTTCCAGAGGCGATTGCTACCTGAATTTCTGACTCCACATTCATCACCATTCAGTCATTCACCAATCAGTTGAGAGCCATCATCATGTTTTTCGCGAACGAGTTGGCCTTTTCAGTTTTCGGAATTTGCAATTACAGTAGTAAGAATTCTGCCGTCCGATTGTTCTGAAAATTTAAACTGAGTAGACTTAACATCTGCCAAGATTCAAGCGGAACGAAGGAGAAAGCCAGTGACTGTCTTTGTTGGATAGAATCTATCAAGAGAGAGTGCTCGTGGAGCAAGTATGGCAGAACGCAAACAGGGAACGAGTGGCAACGTGAGTCGATTTAGCCCCGCTGTGCACAACCCCGCGTTCCCCATGAATTCTCCCCCGCCTCCACCGCCACCGCTCCCAGAAGCAACTTCTCATACAGCACATATTGCCTCCCCTGCCGTGCAGCCCCGATTCACAGCTGCCCCCGTTGACAGCAAAGCGTCGAACCCTCCGCATCAGGCCAAAGCAGTCCCCCTGACAATTGTAAGCAGTGGCAATTGACACACTGGCTGACAGCGGATACATAGGAGCATGATCGTGCTGCTCGGTGTTGACATGGTGTTAATGTGTGGAGACTGTGCTTACTAGGTGGGTAAGCGCAGGATGGGGGGTCGGGTTCTGAAGACAGGCATCATCGCCCCGGGACACAACCAGCACTCGCACGGCTCCAGCGGCAGCAGTGGCGCTGCGCATGACGAGCACAGTCAGAATAAGCGCGCCCGGACGGAGGGCGGCGGATCGCGGGCTCCCAGCTCCAAGGTACGTTGTGTCGCTCACATTGCAGACCGTTGATTCAGGGGTGAGAAGCTTGTGGTTGCGTGTTAACAGGATGCCTACCTGGAAGAGATGAAGAAGTACTCGGAGCAGTTGTGTGTTGAGGAGCGCCATGCCCGGCCGCTGGTCAAATAACCAGGAAAGGGGATGGTCCCGGAGTAATTTGGCGTTCCTTTCTCGACAGGCGCTAGTTAAGCGCTAGTGTCCTTCGGTTGTTCTCATCACTGCACTTTACTCTCCTTGGCCGTATTTGTCAATTTATGTAACATCAAGTAACCAGCCATTTTGTGTTTATCGTGATTACTTCTTATTTGAAATTGTGTTGATGTTTAGTGCTGTTTCTGGTTTCTTTGACTTACGTAACTTTTCAGCCCCGACTACATACAGACAATTTTTTTAACTGGCTGCGTTTAATTTCTTTGCTATCTATCGCAAAAGTACATTGCTGAGTACTCGTATAGTGTTGACAGTACTTGTACTTTGTGGCATTTTTCACAGTACGTCAGTAGTAAGTTTTGTAGATGTTGGGAACACGGTTTTCCTTTTATTGTATAATTTGTATTGATAAACTGATAAACTTTATTCTTTGCTGTTGTTCTGTCGCGCATGCTCATTCATTTTACTGTGTAATTTTAGGCTGCGAATTAAATAGGATCCTTAGAAAGAGTTTGGTTGTCGCACGACTAGACATTTTGCTTAGAGAATATTCACGCACGGACGCGCTGAACTGCTTTCAGGAGACTTCCGGCTAGCCCATGAATTTCAGAGCGTTTTGACACGGACTGCCCTAGCATTAGTACCCTTGCCGTACCTACGTGTTACAGTGTATTACATACATGCGGAGTGCTGACTATTAAGAAACTATCCATTTAATTCTACTAGCGCTTACGATTTCCAACTTTCCAGCGTCAAAGCGGAACTTGGCTGGCTGAAACACATGCGATGCTCACGCGCATTGACTACCCTAGCTCACCTGTCAGTGATTGCAGACTTGCAATTATTGAGTACTTGTATTGTACCTAATATTATATCTATACGCGTAATTTATTTCTGCGACTTCGCAGTTCGCACAATCCCGCTGATCACAGTCACACTGCGGCTTGATCGCGGTGTTTATGCTGACGTTTGTGACGTATGTAATCATATCTGTATTTTGCTGCAGTAGGCTATGTGGTAAAAAACATGAGCCGGAAGCATAGTCTCAGAAAACTCAATGCGACAAATTAGAAGCTATCAGATCATAGCGGCGCCCACTCAAAGGTTTTGCCGGTCAACCACATCCGCTCCGTACATAATCAATACGTTCGCAACCACCTTTGCTCTGGTTTTCCCTCCTTCAGCTAGACAATTAACGGTACAATACATCCGGCAACTGCCGCACTGCGTATCTCTCCTGTGAATCTGTGTGACTGTGAATGTATTGTACAATACATGTACTATCTTTATTTGTAGGCGTATCACAATACTGAATACAGCACTACAGATCCACGATCAAGTCTGCCTTGGCGAAGGCGATTTCCATAAACTTTTATAACGAATCCTTTAATCTTTAAACACCATTCGAATTAGAAACTCGATTCTGTCAGATCTAAAATGGATACAAAATCACGAAGCAGGTATTACCTTATTATATTACTTAAGTAGTTATTGTAATGTAGTGCGCATCTACTGTATAATATGAATGTACAGAAAAACAAGCAAACTGCTTGGTGTAGATTGACCCGGGACAAATCGTCCTGCTGAAAATTTGTGTTCGAACACAATTCAGAAACATGTAACATTTATTGAGTAGTGGACATGCAGTTAGAAAGGTCGTCGAACGGGATCTTTGTACTGCATGAAACTGCCATTCCAGTCTGACGTGCCGAAAGGATTTTCATCGCGAGACGCCACCGCAGAGGTCGGCTGAGCGCCGGCACCGAGGGAGTGGGTGCGCAGACGGGCCGGCAGACTGAGCGGCTCAATGCTGGGCACCTGCTGGTCCTCCAGCCGGGCCAGGGCGGTATCGGCATGGGGGCGGGGCTGGTAGTAAGGATGAGAGTCGTCGCTGTCCACCTCCACGCAGATGCGGGTCAGATCGTCAGGCTGGCCGTGACCGGGGCGAAAGCCGTCGTCCAGCTGCGCGTACTTTAGTTTGGCCACCCGGCTCTCATAGAAGCGGGACACTTTCTGCTTTGTGGCCTCATTGGGGATCACCAGTTTCCGGCCGTAGTCCGTCACGTCCCGGACGGTGCTGAGGACGGCGCTTCGCGTCTCCGCGCTTGGCTGTAGTTTCTTACATACGTCCGCCGCATGCTTCCTGTGAGAACAACCACACTTGTAATTGTCGTTAGTTAATCGTTCTCTAACGTACGCGTCGATCGTCAATCCTCGGCTGAATGCCGCTGATATTCGTTATATCACTGTCAGTTCACCGGCAGCGCTGCAGGCCGGCCCTGTTTAAGCACGGGCTGCGTAACCGAATTGATCGTCTGAATAAGAGCTTTGATGGCTAAGTATTACTTGTTTCACTTGCTTTGCATTTAAATAAATTATTTTTGCATAACAATGTGCTGCTTGTATTATGTAGATGGTCGACGGTTACGCTGCTACATAGGGAAGCGGAACTTTCAAGCTGTACAATACAGTAGATGTAACTGTATTAACTCGGCTGCCGTAAGGCTTGCAGAGCACGAAAGTTGCAGATAGGTCTGCGATTTTATTTCAATTGTAAGTGTGCAAGAGCTAAGCTTAAAACCATTAATATATGTACAGATATTATGGTACACACTAGACACAGCAAAACAGTAATTATTGTATCTGTAGTAAGTAAATACGTTCAATACGAGGACGAGCTTAGTACATGTGATAGACAAAAAAACTAGCGAGAGAATCTGATAACCATTTGCGTGCTGTGCAACACTGTCAGCCACCTTAGGCTGGCGGTAGCCGCGCGCCGTCACACAGCCGTCAGCTGAACACGGCCTGCTATTTTCTGTAACGCACACTCGTATTAAAATTTAAATGAGAGTTTTGTTTTGGTTTTATAACATTGTTTATAATTGGTTCTCCGCAAAATTTCCAGTAACCAGTGACTTACATTAATTAACCAAGCTCTTGATAATAATGTTATAAAATTACCATCTAAATATAAAGATTCATCTGGCGAGATGCACTACGATGAGAATATCACCGACGTACGGCTACCTGCCAGTTTGTTTTCTGCACCTGCGATGGAGATTTCTTGCGCGAGTATCAGCGTTGTTTCGGGCCTACCGTTGAGTGAGAATTGTGTGGAGGAACCTGCCAGCGACGTGCCTTTACCAGCAGCGTACGATGATTTTATCGCCTTGGCGCTGAAGGCTTGTAGAACGGGGAACCTGACAGATAGAAGAGATTGTGGCGTTCACAATCTCTAAAGCAGGTTTTCTTCCATCGGTTGCAGCAGACAAAGTGGCTGCAGATTGGCACCATAATTTCATGAGCGCTCATCCTCAGAGAAAGAGAAAACTTCAAGATTCTCGTCTGCGCGCCAAAGCAGGGACGGACAGTAAAGTAACGGACAGTAAAGTAATCGCAGAGCTCGAGCAACGGGAAGCAGAAAAACTGCTGCAGAAAAATAAGCGAAAAAGAAACACTCGTAGCGGACTTAGCGATGTGACAAATACTCCGACTTAAATTAAAAAATCTTTCAGAATTGGTAAAAGTGAGTCCTCTGAAATTTCACATGTGGTTCTACAAAGTCAAAGTGTTACTGTAAGAAATAAAGTGTGCGGTATTACTGGGGTGATTATTTGTATTAAATGTGATGTGTTTACCAGCACTGACAAACCTGGGTGGTTGCCCGTGTTGCACTGGCCGGGCATGGTTATCAGATTCTCTCGCTAGTTGTTTTGTCTATCACATATACTAAGCTCGTCCTCGTATCTATTTATGCGCGTTGCGCACTGAGACGGCGTTAAGGTGTGCGTACGAAAAAAATCGCATGCTATAAGTAAATTGTATTGGCAAACGAAGAACTTCTTATAATATCTGCAGAAGGAATTAACTTGCCTAAGGGTTTCAATTTTGTTAAATTTGTCTGTCTGTTATCCATAAAACCGAAGATCCGGTTGATGCGGCCTGGATCGCACGTTAGTATAATCACATGCATGTTCAATAAAGGAAACAAGAAGAGGCTTTTAAAAAAGTTAGATATTGTAGCGAAAACTTAATGATTGTAATGATTGCGCTGTCACCTGATCATTAACAGTAACAGCAACGAATATTATTGGCCTGCGGCTGACAGTGGCGGCTCGGCGGTCAAGTGGCAGCGAACGAATACAGTTGCGCTGCGGTTCCGTTGCCGCCGCTGATAATTGCGCTACTGTTTCTAATCATATGAACGATCGACATTAATTCACCAACGCGCAGGTACAGGTAAACGTAGAGCTGCTCTAGGGATATGATAGTACGTACAGTGCCCTATCGGTGGCTCCGTAGGAGCCGGAATGGGAGTGCGACTTGAAATCCATGGGATTGCCGGGCAGACTGAAGTTCATCGACTTGGACCTGTACCAATTCTTGACACTATCCATCCTATATTTGATTCACAGGGGAGAGATACCACAGGATAAATACAAATCCAACTCCACAATTGACAGCGGTGTGCTTTTTCTAGGTCAAACACAGATCCAGATGACCCCGTTATAGGAGCTATATATATATATATATAAGAATTATTCAGCAGTATCCGGTGCGATGTCCCTCACGAATGTTTCGATCCAATGAGTAAAGGCGCAGATACAGAGGATGGTTGGGTGCTATCGTTGTTTAGGATTACCGTAATATCCTCTCACAGATACGGTATAAATGTGCAAAGGCAATAAAGTATGGACTTTCTTTGCCGCGGCAAACTGTTATGCCGTCAATGCAAACAAATCACACAGCTGAATTATCAGCGGCACAATGGCTTACACAACACTCACTATGCACCCTCACGAAATCACCGAAATCAGATCAAAGAGTAAAAAAATTATTATCAAAGGCAACAATCTTTCAAAAGTATGCTTGAATGCCGGAGCAAAGGCAGGTAGATGAGAAATGAATGGACGCCAACGCAGCGTAGCCGGTTAATACATAGTTAGTTAGCTGGACCAACAAAACCCATTCAGTGAAGTCTCGAGAGCTTTTCGGCTTGGCGCAAACACTTTCAAGTGCATTTATGCCACTGTAACCTAATACCAGAAACCGGTAATACCGCATACGTACAACTGAACAACTGTCTCAGCAGTAAATTGATCAAAGCGACCGAAATGCTGTTTATTACGTTGACGAGCGAAGCTGTACAGTGTACATATTATTACTTCTACGGTTGCATTGCGGCCGATCGATGCGGTACTTGAAAAAATACAAACAACGCTTACTTCGAGGTAAAGCGTATAATACACGGTATTTGCGCTCCCAATGGGCGTACCTACAATTTTTATTGCATAACGCACACGATGCTGTACAGTTCTCGGAGTGCAAACGTACGTACTTTGTTTTACAGTGTATGCAGTGCATCTGCACTGGAAGATACCGCGTATCTATCATACTCTGGCTTTCCATGAAATAAGTGCCTATTTTTCGACGCTGCATCATGCGCGCGGCCGTAAAAACAAATTTGTGGGCGAACAGCAACTATGGTGCATACGTAGCCGCTAGCGCCGGCAAGTACCTAAAACAACTTTTATCACGCGTAAGCAATATTAAGTAAATAGATAATACAATTCTATTACAAAAACGTTACATCTGACAACGGGTGGTACGATCGAATTAAACGGTAGCATAATTATACGCATGAAAGTTTTGCGCCTTCGCGCGTATCATTAGTTCGCAGAGCGCGCAAACGGACAACTTGTTTTTTACGGTAGCTTGTTTTCCATAGTGCATAATCAGCGACAAATGACGTCAACGGTTTTTATTTAAAGAAAGTATTGGTGGTCGCTGTGTAAACTGCAGCATTGGTTATTTATTCGTGTGCGAAAACGTTTCCAGTTAAGCTTGCCGGATGCCCTCAGCATCTGCACATTCACATGTTCATTTGCGGCGAAATGCTATTTGAAAGGATGCACGCGTGCTAGGCGTGTATCGTACTTCTTATTACCATAGGCGTGTGAACCGGTACACTATGGCTGGGAAAATCAATTGCAGCACAGGTTGGCTTCTTGCTTTCCTTGAAAATCGTAAGCCGACGGTTTTTACCGGTCTTTTATCGACGCTGGCTGCCATAGTGCGCACAATATGTTACACAGGAAAATTAATACCATTTTTCGCCAGTATCAACGCCAAAATAAACACCATGAATACGTATCAGTATCGCAGTTGTGCACGACAAATTACAAGTGCGATGACTCTGCAATGGCCGGTTTCACTGGCGGAAGTGAGGGAATTTCCGAAAATTCACTCATTACTCATACTTCTCCGATAGGGTTACGGAAACTTCCAGCTTCCGGACTTTAAGTGCTTATTCTGCAGCAGCGCTTCTCAAGACGGTTATTTAGCTTGCACCGTAATTATTTGTACGAATGTGCATGTACAAGCGGGAGCGATATCAATGGTGCCACAACAACGGCGATCGGCTTCATAACTACGAATATACTTCTTTAGTTTTGCTCGGATCAGTTATTGCATACAAAACACTCTATGTGCGCTGCTAGCGTAACATCGCCTCCGAAATTTAAACGTTAAGGCACCGCGAAGGGAGTGGAACAAGAGAAGAATTATTGCACGTACTGTTATGTCGGCAGGGCGCTTTATAGATCGGTTTTATTTTTGCTCGATTTATCTTCTAGTTTCTCCACGTTTTCCGGTCTCCGTCTATTTAAGCCTAATATAAGCGTATACGTATTATATGCCTTATTTTTGAGCCGTAGCGTAAGGTTGCAAATGGAATCGGAGTAGATGTGAACTGAAGTTTATTCTACAGCGAAGGCTTTTTGCAAAATATGCCAAAAAAATAAATAACGGTTGTTGAATGTTGATATACCAGATTAAGTGCATTCCTTTTCCATACAGGTACATTACCAGGGTCATACAGCAGAGCATTCGCAGAGCCGCAACGGCAAACATGTACCAAATCGATATTTCGTTAGAATGGAAAACGCGGTTGCATATTGTAGCCATAAACTGGAAACGCAGGCTGGCTGCCATACATGAAGGGCCCTTGGAGAGGTGGCTGGAGCAGAAACGGGTAAACGGGCTGGCCAGGGAAGCTGCGCACTGCCGGTTGCCGAGACTGAGCTGCGCACGGCATCGGCCACGAACCAAAAAACAACTGGCAGGCATCCACAAAACCAGCGGCCGCGGGTGGTGGGGCTGGCGTTGTGCTACTATTCACGGCTAACACCGTGCTGTCGAGCGACGGCGGCGATGTTGAATTGAAAATGTCAGAAGAGTTTATTAGCTGATTGTTTGGTGGCTGTGTGGTGGTGCTGAGCGCGAACAGTTGCGCCGACGGTACTGTTTGCGTTACCGTTCCCGGGCTCACAGAGAGTCCTGCGCTGGTTTCTGTGGAAGCTACCGCCGCGGGGGCCGGGGCAGTGATCCTGTTGGGGTTGATCTGTCGTATACCTTGTCGCATAACATTTAAGGAGAAAGAGACACTAGTGCCCTGATTGGTGGCATCGCTGGGACTGGGGTCGGCGCGACCGGCCATACGGTTGCTGACGAAGCGCTCGTTGGCTCCCAGCGGACCCGGGGTGCGAGTGGGTGCGATCACCGCGCTGGTGACGTTCAACGTGTTGATGGGGTTAACCGAGATCGGCAGGGCGGGGATGGGCGCCTGCGATGGATTCGTGTTTTGACGGTCCTTAGTGTCTCCGGCGGAGCTTAGTTCAGGAGTGCGGATCACCACGTTATTGCCGCAGTTATTGCAGGCGTCTGTATTGGGCTTCGCCGATCCGTCGCTACCTCGAGGGCGGGCATTGACGCCGCGCGTCCCGCCATTGTTAGCGGCGGCGCTGGCTACATCGCTGAGTCCGCCTAGACGCGCGCTTCTGTCCGTGTTGGAAAATTGGTCTTGCTGAAAACTGGACCGCGTCCGCGGCTGCATGATAGGCTGTCCGCCGCGGGCATCCGTCATCGAAGTTTGTCTGAAACGTGAGTTACTTCTGTCATGAAAGAGGTCACCGTTAGCTGGTGGTTGGGATCGCGGTCTGTCGAAGTAGCCAGTCGGGCCGTTCCTGCCGTACAGCTGACCCCGGTTGTCCATTCGACCGCTGGAGAAACTCCGCTGGTTGGGATTGTTGCCTGTCCACATGTAATTCATCCTGGCTGTTTGATACCCTGCAAACAGACACACACACGCACATTATTTTATTAGCCCTTCTTGGTGTATGTACCGCACAACCGTGCAGTGCGTACACCTCTTCGAGCATGCTTCTTTGGCCGGCAGTACCTACGAGTACGTACTGTATTTGTACAAAGGGGTTTAACTGTAAAAATTAATATAATACGAATTACGAAGTCATTCCTTACGGCGAAGCTACACCGATTGGCAGCCGCTGGCTACTTGGTCGAAATACAAATAGCTGGTTATGGCCTATACAAAAAACTCAAAACCGCTACTTGATATGTATCGCTGTGTCCAAAGCTGCAAAAAGTAGCGGGCACGTTGCAAAGCAAGACGGCAACTGCGCCTCAGTTCTGCACTTCTACCACGCATTGGACAATGGAGCAGCGCTGTAGAACCGACTGCTACAGGTTTGATCGTGAGATTGTGCATGTGGTGGTCTGGGATGATGGGTAACCAGTATTCCACCATCGGCAAGCGGATGTTGCGCGCATAAACCATCTTGGAAGCAAAGCAGCAAACCTGACTATAAATATATCTGTATGCTGCTACAGAAAATAATTCAAGTTTTTGGTGATGTAATTGGGTGGATGCGATTTCCTAAATGAATAGATAAATTTGATGACGACGGCACCTTCTAAAACATTAGAATAAGATGTAATTGTTCCGTGCTTGTTGACTGTTCCGCAGCTTGTCTTCCAAAGACGACAGCTGTAGCAAAAGGTCAACCAGATGGCACTGCATGTACTCTACGTATGTGCTGCCAAAAAAGGCAAAGGCTCGTAATATTACGTATACGTAACATACAGCCGCCAGTGTACATACTGCAAAAAAAGCACCACTAATTTTGTCCTTACTGGGTGCATTAAATCCTGCGCTGGGGGAGGCGTGAAGCAACAAAAGGGCAAAAGAAGTGCACAGAAAGAGACTTGTAATCGAGCCGTACTCAGGATGCGCCGTAGAACACAACGGCAATGGACGCATTCCACGGATCCCTGCTTCAACTCTGGCGAGCAAGGCACTTAACCTTCTGGAGCAGGACATCTGATATTGTTTGCAGTGGGAATTCAAATATTGCCTCCGCAACATTATGAGGAATTTATGATCGAGTGAGCAAACCACGTTGCCGGACCAAGGAGGGATATGCGCTTCAATTCGGCGTACTGCCCTTTTAGAGCTGCAGGCGGACGGGAACAGAGAGCCGATGGTCAATGGTCACCGATGAGACTGCCCGGCATTCAACGTCCACCATTCTCCAGGCAAAAGTTCTCTATCAGCAACTTCCGAACCAACTTTAAATGGCTGGAGAATGGTTAGTAATGGTGTTTTTTATAAAGGCTTTAAGGCCCAGTGCAGCCCAACCTACTGCCTTTTGCCACTTGACACGCCACAAAAAACCCCAACTAATCCATTGTGTACTGCGGTGGAGACTGGCAGTCTGCTGCTGTACCTGTACATGTCTGGCCGCGTCATGGGCTGATTGATAAAGGATTACCGGCATAAATTATTCTTCTCCTAGAACAGAACACAGCAGTCATCCGCGCCACTACCGGTCTTTTTATTGTTTTCATCTGGCTGTCCATGTACGTACTTGCGGAAGCACGTGTATTCATCCGCCGCACAATGAGTGACACAAGATGACACAACACCCAGGAGCGCTTACTGCTCCATGACTTTACAAGTGCCCCTCAATAATACACCGGCAATTCATTACAGCTGTGCATCTACGCATTTTAATCAGGCAGCAGAAATTAACGCAAAACTCGTTTACAGATAGAGAATCATAATTCAGCCCAAGCCCGGCGTAATTACGGGAAAACGTAAATTAGGGACAGTGCACTTCGTCTGCTTACTCGAGTAATTTGCTACCGCATATTATTTTGCTTTGGTTAGTCTATCTATCGTAGCTGTATGATGGACAGCTGGACACTAAGTCGTCTACAGGAAGCATCGCGTGCTGTTGTCACTCGTTGTTTCCGGTCCAGCGGCAATGCGTGATCTGCAGAATGTGAGCGTTAGAACAACCGGAACTTTCGGAGGATGTGCAGCATGACCGACGTCACAAGCGCAGCATGGAGGACAATATTCTCGACTCGAGTGTGTTGTCGGATTCTTGAGCAGCCCTCCAGCTCCAGTGTTTGACAAGCCAGATATGTCAAAATCAATAAGCTGCCTGCTGTTTTGTCACACCTGCTAACAATTGCCGGTTTGACTCGGTGCAACCGAATACAGCAACATTACCCTTCGGATTTTTACTACCTGCTGCATGTATTTCTGCTGAGCTTCTACTTACAGGGCTCAGTGCTACAGGAAAGACGGTAACTGGGGCTTCTACCGCGTCGAGGCATGCTGTACCCATGCATTTTCGGTCCCTTGTCGGCAACGGGAATTGCCTAGCTCCTGTACTTGTACTTGCACACCCCACACAATGGCCACAGGCCAGTCACCCAATGCGAAATATTTCTCTCCTTTTGTGCCAATGGAAAAGATAACTCAAAGGACGAGACGGTCTGCATCGGTTGTGCATCGCTAAGGGTGCAGCCGGATACCGGATAGATCGCAAGTGACCTTTGATAATGCCGATGCTGAGCTGCGCTTGGGAATGCATGTCCCGTCAACCGTTCCGGCTATTGCAGCGGCTCAGCAGCGTACCTAGGTATTCGGTCAATTATCTTGTTTTTAGGACGCCGATCGGGTTATAATAACAGCCCCTGTTTTCACGAGTAGGTTCGAAACACAGTGTCATGCAGAAGGCCGATATCCACAACACAAGCTGGGCGTCGCTGACTAGTGGTCGGCATCGTCTTATCGCGAACACCAATTACAGTAAGATAACATAATCGATGCCGCATGCACGATTATAGTCGCATGGATAACTTATCAGTTATCATGTGGTGACCTTGGCAAAAGGTTTCCATTTCCTTCGGCAAACTGCAGCAATGCAGTTTCTGCTACTGCAGACGAAATATGTTATGGTGGCGCGTTGTATATTTCAAAGGCATGCATAGAGTCGAGCGCTCCACACGCTGGTACTTTAGATTACCTAATCAACGACTCAGCGTGCATCAGCGTTGTTGCGACCCAATCCTATCTTCAATGATTGTGTATGACAAAGCACACAGCGCGCATATCTCCCTTATCAGCAGCCATTCTGTTAGGAGGACTCTCAGCATATTTAACATTTATTACGGCATGTGCTGCATGATAACTGACCGACTTATCTTATCAGGAATAAATATTTGAATCAGTGGCTATTAGCGCCGCACCGGAAGCCATCGGTAGCTGATCTTCTTCCGGCGCAGTGCGGCCAAATAAGTTTCGAATACATATCGCAGCCACCTGTACTATCTGCTGCAGCCTCCGGTATTTTTTATTTAGTATTATTTATTATAACCTAGCTTTCCATCATGATGCGGAACTTCTGCCTTTTAGGATTTCTTGCTATCCTTGGAAGTGTCAGCGCTCAAGGTATGACGAAGTTTATTAAGGTCGAGTGTGCAAAATTTGGCAGTTCCTATTTCCGCATACAGAGATGGCCCTAGTTGCATTTGGAAAAGGATGGGTTGGTGATTAGGTACAAGCAACATTCCACTCCTGCTCGTTAATGCTGTTTTCTTGTATGCGGAATGTACCATACCATGTACGATAAACATGTACATGCTTTCATGTACTGTACATAACACTAAAATTATTCTATTAAATATGTACGACACAATACACTGAATACAGTATCGTAAATACGTAATACATGTGTCGTTAAAAAGCCGCTGCGAACAAAAACTGCGCATAAGTAAAAAACTAACAAGACCGAGGAAACGGTGACCGGATGTACATTTAAATTTGAGCTCGCCAGTGTCCAGTCCGCCATCAAGGCGTTTCCATTATTGTTCGTAATTGGAAACAAATTTCAGTGGGAGAACTTACATGGAATCCGTCGAGCAGTTAATGTATGTGACATGCTCGTCTACTCATATAATTATTATGAATGAACTTCACCTTTTGTAAATTTTTGTTTTTCACATTTGATTTTTCCATAAGCACATTCTGCTCGTACCATCTAAACCGCGACCCTCAATTGCAGTTGACTTTACAGTTTGTACTTGTTCAGTTGCCCAGTCCTCGTTGACCATGCAATGACGTCGAAACATTGTGTTTAATCTAATCATTGTACTGTATCGCTTCCGCTAATAATTATCAATAATAATGTGGTGACTACATTTTGTGGATAGAACTACACTAATGCGACAGTATACAATACAAGGTGGTTGAATGTAAACCATGACCTTTATTCTGCAGATGCTTGCGCGGCACCAGCCACGCTGACGGCTGCCAGTGGCTTAATCCAGACCAACAACCCCTACGCCAACAGCCAGAAATGCCGGTGGATTGTCAATGGAGCTGCTGGCAAAGTAAGTAACAGTGACAGTAAGTACGAGTAAGTAAGTAACAGTAAGTATTTAACAGTGAGTATGCACTGCCTTTTACTGCTTCGGTTCTTGCACACGTACATCCAGACAGAATCTACACACGTCTATACTAATACTACTTTGTTTCTCTTAAACAGATAATTGAAATGGAATTCGGGCGCTTCGGTATGGAATCCTCTTCGAGCTGCAATTACGACTACGTGGTGATCCACGACAGCGATGTGGACACCGTCCTCAGCCGGCCGGCCTGCTCCTCCCTGAATAATGCCCGCCCCAATAAGATCGGACCCTTCTGCGGTAACAACCGGCCAAACGCCATTCTTACCGCCGGCAACCGCGCCGTAGTGGAGTTCTGTTCCGACTCCAGCCAGACTGGACCCGGTTTCGAGATCCGCTACAAACAGGTCACTCCTCCGCCGCCGACTGCCGCCCCGCCCACCGGCAACACCTGTAACGAAGTGGTCGTTGTCGACGGCCGCCACACCCTGGCGCACTTTGGTAACGCCGGCTACCAGCCTTTCCTCAAGTGCAGCTACAGCTACACTTCCAAGAACGGCAAGGCCCTTAAGGTCAACAGTCAACAATTCAACATGGAAGGCATCATAGGGTGCCGCTACGACCGGGTCAGCCTTTTCGACGGCGATAATAGTGGAGCAGCGTCGTTGGGCATTTTCTGCGGCACCAACGGACCGAAGAACGTCCGCACCACTGGCAGTCAACTGCACATTACCTTCGTTTCAGACGAGTACACCAACGGAAAGGGATTCGTCCTCACCATTGAAGGTAAGAATTTGACCGTTTTATTCGCCGCAAACTAAAACAACTTTGCGTGTACTTTATGATACTATAAACTTGCTACAAAACAAATCTGATAGACGATGATAAAATGTTTTTGAGATAATTATATCTTCTTGCAGAAAGCTGCTTCGGAGACCATTTGTGCGGCAAAGACGCTTCCGGTGAAGGTGCTGATGTTTGCTACAGTGACCGGCAAATCTGCGACGGACAAAATAACTGCCCAATTAACGGTGAAGACGAGAGTGCTTGTGCTGGTGAGTACGAGTACAGCATCAGTTTGCGAATGGATGCCATTGAATATTCTTTACCCAGTGTATCAGCTGATAAGCGACGTCATACGTGTTTTTTTGTAGCGGACTGTGGTGGATACGACGGATGGAATGCCGGTGATCCTTTCCCCGGAGCAGCGGCCATCACGCATGTCGACGGCCAAATCCACTGCGGAGGCGCGTTGATTAATAGCCAGTTCGTCTTGACCACCGCCCACTGTTTCCATCGGTATGTCTTACACTTTCCCTGAGTTTACGTTGACAAGTTAGAGTGGCCACAAATCTCTCTTTTGGCATAGATTGGACGACCGGCCAGAGCGCTTTGTAGTCAAGCTGGGCGCATCTCGCCTAAGTGATGCCTATGTCAGCCAGATCGACGCCATCACTGTCCACCCGCTGTTCAACCCTAAGACGCTGGCCAACAACTTGGCTCTGGTTAAACTGCGCAAACCGGCTCCCCTCCAGTAAGTCGATCAGCGTCCGCCTTGCGTGTATGCAATGCCGTTGTATCTTGGTTTCTTGCCATGTAAAGGTCATCCATTTCTCCCTTCTGCCTGCCGCTGACCAGTGAGACGAGCACTCTGGCCGAGGGCAGCCAGTGCTACACGCTGGGTTGGGGACGCACGAACTGGGCCTCACAGACCAGTTACGGTAAGTAAAATATAAAAACAGACGTCACTATGTTTTTAATTTGCTGGCAAGATTTACAATCTAGCCGGTTGAATACGCCAGCGCAGCACCTGATCGCACTGTGTTCATTGCAGCTACCTCCGTCAAACAGATCACGGCTACCGTGCTGAACAACAGCAGGTGCAAGTGGTCGACTTCGCCGGTGGTGGTGGACACCAGCAGCATCTGCGCGTCCACCAGCGGTGGCCAGCTCTGCTACGGCGACAACGGTAAGCGTTCTGCGTGACTTTCTGGATAAAGTTTATATAATTGGCTATAATCCATGTTTCTTAATTCTGCAGGCGCGCCTCTGGTTTGCAAGCACCGAAACGGCAAGTGGCAGTTGTACGGCGTCAACTCTGTGTCCTTCGGTTGCACAGGCACCGCCACCACGCCCAGCCAGTTTGTCAAGGTCAGAATACTACTACAATAACTGTTAATACAATCGTTATACAACAATTGTTACTTACAATTGGTCTTATACTACAATTGTTACTTACTTGGTTTTGTGACCAACAAGATCGAATTTTTTTATAAAAGAGCGCAAGCAGACGAATCTTAATTAAATGTTTGCAAAGATTTGAATACCTTATATTAGAAGGTTAAGCCGACGGCATATAAAGTCTGGGGTTTTTGACTTTGTTTGGCTTTGCAGGTGTCGTCATTCGCCTCCTGGATTACTCAGACTGCTTTCTAACTCCACCGAAGCTTCTCCAATGCATTGATATTTCGCACGATCTTGTAGTCTGTAAACTTCATACTACTCCAATCATAGCCTGTTCTTATGAAATGTATCTAATAATCTTCTCAAGAAACTCAACATCCATTACTTGCGATCGTCTCTTAAATAAATGTGTAAGACGTTCTCAGTGTCTGCTCGTGCAGTAATAGTAAAACCAAATGGCCGGCCATCAGCAACGAAGTATAATTAATTGCTGATTTTCGGTAATATTCTCTGTTAAATTCTCCTTTTGCAAGCTAAACTGACAATGGGTTAAGTTGATTAACTGCAAATATTTATCTGTTGATTAATTGTGATTGTTCATCATGACACTGGCTACAGTTTCTTGTATTAATTGTACAAAATAGTCTGGGTGACTGGTCTCAAGTGGCCTTTTGCTGCAAGAAAAAATCAATATGTTTCCCTCAAGAATACGCGGATCAAGTACTATTTATGGTATTACTAGTACCAGCCACGCATCACTGAACTGTAGAAAAATTTGATGTGGTTGCCTGTAATGACTGTGCATGTGTCATTCTTATGCGTATACCAGGTTTATACTTTATATCTCTTATTACAAACTATGTTATGCGCCGCTGTGTTTTATGACACCACGAACACAACTTGATAAAAAAATTTAAAAAAGCAAAAACGTCACTACTGCATTGTGAATTTGTGATAAGATCCCAACGGCCTACCGTAGGTGCATTACCGAATAATTTTCTGCTGTTTTTTCACTTCCGGAGAAAAAGTGTAATGCAGCAGCTACAGTACTTCCGTCTCGAGTGCTCGGTCAGCTCACACTTCTCCATCTGGCGGTCACATTACAGGTTTTTAAATACAAAACTGAAAAGTGCAAACGCAAAATAAATGCGTGTTACAAAAAATTTTACTTGTTATTTTTACTGTAGCGTTTACAAAAATTATGTTTTAATTATCAGTTTTTATTGTGTGCACTGTATCAGTAATTTTGATAGGTGATATTCGTTCTTTGAAATTTTGTGCTTGCTGTTTTATATACTATCGTGTGCACGTTTTATTATTCTGCATACATTCATAAAGTCAATTAAGAGCCTAAGTCGGACCAGGATAGCAGCGGTGTTGAGCGCTGTAGCGCATGTGTATGGAGATCTTCGGTCCGTGAAATCGCAGAGCACTGAAGACTGAATGGATCTTTCTCCATCAGACAGTCAGAGCTGTTCCAGCCTGACGGCGGGCTCTAGCTCCGGAGCGGACTCTCCGGACACGGCCCCCTCCCCAGTGGCCACCTTTCCCGCCAACCACAGCATCGACAGCGTAATGGCCGAAGCCTGTGCCGAAGTGGATTCGCCCTCCCACTCCGCCTCCAGGGCGGACGACCTCACATTCGTCGCCCAGGTGAGGGAGCTCTCCGTCGACTCCCTCATGGAGTTCGCCCGGCCTTTCCTGAAGAGCCAGGCGTCCACGGTGTCAGTGCGTACGCTCACCGACGCAGATAACGATGCGGCCCCCGAGGGTGGGCAGGACGGAGACGCCTTTGGTCCTCTCGTGGAAGACTATTTTCAGGGGGGTGCCACCGCATCCGAACTGGGCCCGGAGGCTGCTCGGCAAGAAGTGGAGAAGGCTATCGATGTGCTGAAAGAACGCATCCTGCGTCTGTCGCCTGACAGCCCCCTCGAGCAGGAGCAGCGCGCGCAGATGGTGCAGGAGTTGATCATGTTGCGTCTGCGTATCCAGGAGATGGAGGAAGCCGCTGAGGTAGGCGGGGGCTCGGCCACCATCGGCGCCCTGGGGCATCAGCTGAAGAAGGTGCCGCTGCTGCAGGCCATGCGCCAGAAGAAGGAACGGCTGGGCGCCCACTGTGAGGTCTGCGGCCAGATGATGATTCTCACCAGCAGCCAGCTGCAGTGCATACGCTGCGGTTACTGCTGTCATCGGCGCTGTATCGGGACCATTGCACGCTCATGCGTCGCCGGTGAGGGAAGCGTTTGCTGAATTTGCTCTTTTTGATAAATTGTTAGTGCAAGTGTCTGCTGATAGATGAAGCGGAGAAACAGTCGGGTTTCATCTTGGATATCTGCCCAGAGAAGGGGTTGGAGCAGCAGAACTATGCCTGCGCGGAATGCCGCAAACCTTTCCCGATGGACAATCCCGGGGTGTGGGAGAGCAGTATCCGCGTGTGCGACTACAACGGCGCTTACTACTGCACAATCTGCCACCGCAACGACCAGGCCGTCAACCCTGCGCGGGCCGTCAAGAACTGGGATTTGTCGGGGCAGCCGGTGTGCCGCGCCAGTCAGCAGCTTCTCTCCCTCCTGCACTACCAACCGCTGATTCGCCTGCTAGATGTCAACCGGGAATTGGCGTTGCACGTGGAGGAATTGGCCTACGTGGAACAACTGCGGCCGCGGTTGACCATCCTGCACCGGATGATGCTGGACTGCCAACAGGCGCCGCAGATTGCTCTCCTGCGTCTGCTGCCCAGCCACCGCAAACACCTTATGTTCGCTACCGGCTTGTACTCCCTCCAGGACCTTCTGGATATTCAGCGCGGGGTGCTGGCGCGTCATCTAGACGCTTTTTATAAACAGCTGGAGGCGCACGTCCGTCTCAGCTGTCCATCGTGTGGACAACTCAGCCAGGTGTGCGTCTATTGCTGGCAGACGGAGGATAAGCTATACGCTTTCCAGGAGCATGTCACTGGCTGCGCCGGCTGTGGCGCTCTGGCCCATCGCAGTTGTGCGCGGATTGGCGCAGAGACGGCTCGCCAGTGCCCCAACTGCCGACCACCGAATTAGCTCTGAAGGCATGCACGATAACATGACGATGTGCAGTGATGGTCGTTAAATGCAAGTTAACCATAATTTGAACCTTTTTGCCGATGAAATACTCAGTTCAGTAATCCATTTGTAATCCTTCAACGTTAACCCGCCTTTTGTGGACCAGGCTCTCGTTGCTCATTTTGCATCTGTTTTCTTTCTGTCATATTGAATGTCTTTCTAAATCGTTGCTTTCTATGTTAACTCGCAGAGTTGCTGATTAATCGAGTTGATTTTATTTCAGGCGTTTTAACCTTTTAAAAAATGAGGATTGTAGGGAGTGCAAAAAGAATTGAGCTACGTAGTAAAACTTAAGTTGTTATCTCATCTTTAACATTCAGAGACCGAACAGCTGAACATCTGATAAATCTTATGAGCATGAACTCTGATGAAAAGCGGTTCATGCCGTGGTGGCGCTGTAAGATCCAGGATTGCCGGTAAGAGTAGGGGCTGCTTTGGCCAGCGGTTCGCGGACGCTGCCTTTCGGGATCGATGCAGTTAGTGCCGTGGTTGCCGATCCCGATCCGACTCGTATTCGGCGCATACTACTTCCGGTGGCGCTTGAATAGGCAAACACACCGGCAGCAGGGGCAGATCTGTTCGGTTGGGTTGCGCGGGAGGTGGACGTGCAAGGACGGGGAGACGATGGCGGGAAGTCGTGGCGGTGATGTTAGCTGGCTGCAGCGGAGGACGTTGTGCTGCAGCAGCGGGTGAGGCGGAGGTGGCCCGCGCAGACTGCTGCGGTGTGGGTAGGGTGCGCGCGTCGGTGCCGCTCTTCTGGCGGGCGGGAACGGTGGCGTCCGGTTGGTGGTCGGGCCAGTCTTCGCGATCACGCCGGTTATTGTGGCAGGCCAGGCAGAGAAGATGGCCGTCCAGCGGATAGCAGCGCTTCTCCACTGGCTGATCGGCTAACTCCGTTCCACAGTCCTATAGTTAACGCCACAGATATTCGTAACCGCCGTATAGTATTATGATCTATTATCACATGCGAGCATTAAATGGCCGTGCGCCGATGACACGCAACTTTTGATGTTAAGGTACGCAGCCACTCAGTTGATTATGTACGATATACTACTAGAGTAGTGCACGGTGGATAATTAGCCAAATTAATTGAGCATCTACCTCGCAAACATAGCAGTCCACATGGAAATCACGCTCCATTGAGACGACGCGCACCGTCTCTTCCGAGCCCTGTGTGCAGCATGCAACCATAAAGATCATTCCGTATAAAGCAGCAGTTTGAATAATTACCTTGATTGCGCACTGCAGTTTGCAAATTGCGCATTGCGCCACAATAACCGAAAACTATCCACAAGACGTGAGTGCAGCGGTATAATGCAATGCTTACCTGAACGGGTGTAATGGGCAAATGACAAGCGGCACATTTGGGCGCATACACGCTAAATAAGGAAACAAAATTGAACATAAAGCAAACAGAAAAAACACAGCTAAATTCGAATCATTCTTCGGTGTCGCAGGTTGGTGGTAATTGGTAGGCATAGACCGTACAGATGAACGCTATTCAAGATGATGTTGACCATACCCGCGGTAATCCTCCACACAGTAGATACTGCCCTCCACGTCGGCGGTGAAAGGAATGCCGTCCAGTGCTTTACTGCAGACGCAGCAGCGGAAGCATCCAGGATGGTAGGATTTGCCCAACGCTTGTAAGATCTGCCGGAGCAAAACAAATTTCAGCACAGCGCGTCATATGATGGGAGTGCTAAAAATCAGAAGCGTCACTGTTGCACCTACCATGTCCATGATGAGATGGCCACAGGCCACGCATTTGTCAGCGGAGTTCTGGAAGCCGGAGTACTGCAAACAGGTATTGCAAGCAGGCAAGCTCACCTGTCTACGTGCCGGCTTCTGTGGATGTCCTTTTCTCTAGCCTTACCAGATAATCCTCTTCGCACATGATCTTGCCTCGAACGTGGTAGAAGGCCTTCCCCCGCAAGGTCCGACCTGTAGAATAATCAGTTTTTTCCGTTACTACTCTAACGAGCCTCTTGTACAGTTGCACTTACCGCATATTATGCAGGTGAAACACTTGGTATGGTACAAATTGCCCATGGCCTGGCACGCTTGCTCCACTCCAATTACACGTTCCCCGCACAAATAGCAGAATCCTGAATGTAAAACAAGGCAGCTCAAGACACGTTACTTTAACTTGCCAATGTGTAAAAATATGTTATATGTATGTTAACGGTGTGCCCTCTAAACATCTTATATACTGCAGATATAACGTCTTACATGTGTTACCAAACACAAACATGATTCATATTTGCCATCGCATAGTTAAGGCTGGCAATGAAAATTTGATAAAATTAGAGCTATTATTAATGGTTATTATCCCAGAAAATCAAAACTGCGCACAATCAAGCGAAATTAAAAACACTATCGAAACCAATTATGGATCTGTAGTTGGTACCGGCTACAATTTTACGTACAATCAGATAGAGTCACAATCGTGTTTAAGTTCAAAAAAATTGCGCAAATTAATTTTTATACAAATATGATGGTTTCTGCCTAGTTCAGAATAGCAAGATGCACCCAAAGCGATCTGCTGGTCAGTATGGCCTTTCGCCATTTCCCAATTCACCCCAATCGAACAAAATTTCCGTTTCCGGTCATGCAGTGCCCGCAAAAAGCAACTGCACTTCCCTAGTATAATATATTCGCAGCAGTTCTACTACGGGTAGTATTCTGTGCCGGATGATTAGCTGGAAGCATGGAAGTATACAAGGGATGCTTGCGGAAAATGAAATGTTTTGCGCCACCTGTCAGGCCAAATATCCATCATAATTGCAACTTGTGACTGTAGTAATAATCTATAACCAGTTTTGCGTTTGCACGGCAGAAGACAAGTGCACCCTGCCGTTTACCGGTCAACCCTAATCAGACCTCGTCTCCCTTCTGCATGCTAGTCAACTTTTCAAAAATGCCAAAACATTTGATTATGCCGGCTGGTCTAACCAGCTACGGAGTGGTTGCATCCGTCCCTACCGCACTTTCAGCTGGAACACCAATACAACACGTATCGTGGTTATTAATTTTTCATTACAGTATGTACACCATATAGTGCGACGTGTTTACAGGTTATTTCACTTAAAGCACAAGTTCAATGTTCGTCAATCTAATGCCCCCAAATTTCACTCAAATAATAATATAAGCCCAATGGTGCACTCGAATACAAGCTCTGAAGTTCGTACACAGAATGCACAGCACTAGCTTGCATCTGTCCTAACGAATGTGATAGATTATGCCGTATTAGTACTGATTACTGTTGCAAACAATCCCAGGGAATTTTCCAAGTATATAAAAACGGTTGCCGGCAATGATGATGATGACATCCCAAATAATCCTTACTCGGTATTTCTTAATTGCATGCCAGTTTAAAAGTCAAAATGCAAAGTCAGTTTGCTTTACAGTGGGACAATATATGCTAACGAGCAGCTGGCGGGCGTGCGGAAGGAGGGTTGTGCCTGCACATAAACGGTCGTCCTCATCCCGTTGCCTGAGGGATATGTCCGCCGGCACTTGGCTGCTGCCAAACACGCACAGGCACTGTGGAAGCTGCCGGCCGCTGTCTTATCGGGCGCACACAATCTGTAGGGATGGGATTTGCGTGCCGGAAGAAGAATGGCGCCAGAGAGAGAAAGGCGCCAAGGCACAGACAAATGCGTGACTTGTCAGCAATGGCCGCTTTCCTCCCTTATCGTTAGCGCTAAAGTTTATTCGGCAAATATGGGCATGAGCTGGGGCTATCGGAATACAAGTGGCATTTGATTTGCACACAAGTAAACAGCCAGCTCAACACTAAACCCCGTCGGAATTCCCCCGATAGGCAGCGCTCTGTCGCTACATTCCTGTTCACTGCACAATCACCCATTCAAGATCAACAAAATAAACAGACTCCTCAGACACTTGAGCTCGATCTCCTCGGGATTAACGGCGAATTATTGCCCGCATCAACACGGCAGTAGATGCAGCCGCCGCCGTGTACTCGTATGTTGCCGATATGTACGAGTGACTTACCGAAGTATTCCTCATCGTCGTAGTCGTCTTCATCGCGCAGATTCTGCCGAGCCAGCTCTTCCTCCAGATTGGCTAGCTTCTGCTCCACCTGAGCGCTGGCCGCCTTCTGCTCGCCGCTGCTGACCACAGCTGTGGGCACGACGACCTTAGGCCGTGCTGTCGGCGCTGCCGGCTTATAGGGCGGCGGATCTTCCAACTCCTCGGAACAGGGCTGGGAGAAGACAGCCGCCGAGATATTCCTTGCTGCCCGGTGCATTCTGGCTTCCGCACTGGCCGCTCCCACGCCGGTACCAATTACTCCACGCACCGGACCTTTCGTCACTGGAGCACGGTCTAAATAACTTCGTTCCCCGGCGTTCTGGTGTGATCGGCAAACAGCCAACACATTGCCGCTGTCAGCCACTTGCGTGCCGCAGCCAGCTGCTGCACATGTACTAGAACACGGTTGCTTATGATTGGCTGAGCGCGCCATATTATTCGTACGCACCGCTTCAGCGCTGGCAATTGGTCTAGCAAAGTACGGTTGCTCACGCCGGTTTGTGGCTGTAGCGAGCAGAGCGTTTCGATCACCGCTGGCAGCGGCGTCGTGGCTTCTTAAATGCAGTGCGCTTTTATCTGCTTCCGCCGGCATATGCGGCTTTGATGGACTTCGGCCACTGGCCGGGATCATACTGTCGTGGATGATAACCGTTCCCGTCGGGGAGGCTGCTCCTGGACACAATTCCGCGCGGGAATGCTCGCGGGATGGAAACGGTGGCTTAGCGGGATGGGTCTGGCGGAGGAGGCCGGACAGTGACCTTACGGGAGATGTGCAGTATTGGCTGGCAAGAGACTCCACTCCTGCAAGAAAATGCACATATTCCACAACTCGGACTGATGCAGTCGGCAGGCTGCAGGGATGGTAAATGAATCAAGAGTCGGTAAAGAAACATGATTTTCTGCTGGATTACTGTAATTATGTAACTGATACCGCGGGCTCATTGGTGTCATGATTACTACAGCGGCTAAGCGCACCGATCAACACCACAGCGCACCGCAACGACATGATATTCGACGGCCGATAATGAAGAGCAGGCAAACCACAGACGTGGGCTCTACCGTTTGTGCAATTGTGCGCGTGGGACGTGCTCAGTTACGAGTTTAATTATGGATCGGTTTCGCTGTAGTGTTTCTTGATTAACCAGCCCCGCAGCACGATAGGACAATCTTATATCATCGCCGTGATAATTGTCTGCTTGTATACAGCGCGGATTACCGGCTGATCAGGCTGAGGTACAATCGCGACAGTGTATCAAATGAGCTCAAGACTAATCCGCGTGACCGGCAGAATAGGGTTTGGTTGTCAGGGCGCATGCATGTACTGTATTGCTTAACCGTCGATAGGTCGGTGCTGACGCGGGCGCATTATAATATTACAGCTTTAATTGATTTTTATGTTATTGCATCTTTACTTAATTTCCTTGTTATTGCAACTTTGATTAATTATCAAGTTATGGCATCTTTAATTAAATTTCAAAGAATCGCATCTATAATGAAGTAATTTGAGGAAACTGTTGTTGAGCGCTTACCGTTGCCGGCTGGTATGCGGTGGCAACCGCACGTCGGGGTGGTTATCCAGCGGCGTTCACCATGCGGCCCTGCGCTATCCGATGGAAAAGGACAACCGCACTGCCCGAGCAACGCCGGACTGGGTGTGCAGTTGTGCGGGCTGCTGCACGGTGATGCCAGCAGGTGACGCAGTTCAGCGTAACTGGAGCGAGATGCCAGCGTGCTGATGCTGCTGCGGGGGGAAGAGGCCACGGAGGCGGAGCAAGAGTGGTGCGGCAGCGGACTGAGGCCAGTCGTACAACCGCCGCCCTGGAAGGACAATCTCAGCTGCAAATGGCATGTGCAGCCGGCGGAAGTGTTAGTGGGATTGACAATTGGCCGACATGGACAATTATCGGCACCGCCGCTGAAAGTACGTCCGTCCGCTGGCACAGGCAGCAGAGAGAAGCCGGCCCCGTGGGGATTGGCCAGTGGCGTCAATGAGGCCGGGTGGAATGCGCGGCGTTTGCTCTCGCTGCTGGTTAACGCTCTTGCACAGTTTCCCCGTTGAATGCTGCTCGTCAGATGGGCGCCATGAGTCCCACAATCACTGCAAGAGAGATTTAACGTTAACACTCGGCTGAAGCATTTGTAATCACTTCCACAACTTGCCGCCATCCAAGAATGAATGGGTCAAGTTAATAGTCCGTATAAAACGATATTTTGCCGAACACCGACAAATAATCAAATGCTGAAATGATTAAGTATAAAAAGTATTAAAGCTTTTTCATTGTACCTGATGCTGGGGCTGGTGGCAAATGAAGCGGCTTGACTAGCGAAGGCAATGCTCTGACCATTAGTGCTACAATCCGGTGTGCTGGTTGCTGCGGCAGCGAGAAAGGCCGATTGGCAATCTCCGAGCCTTCTTCCGGTTCCTGTGGGAAATTAAGCAGCGCATTACACGGCCATTCGCTTCGGCGATATAATACGACTATCACATTCACTTCTGTACGCCATCATCGGCGGGTAGAACTTCACCAGATTCCACATATCATCCTTATCGCGCTTTATGACCCGTCAAGCAATTATTTATGGCATAGCTGGCATGGCGCTACTCGAATAAGATGTGCAGCCGATATGGATGACAAACGGAATGCCATCGTACAGTTTAACTAATTTACCATGGAATTTTGTTCTCTGGGTTGTGCATCATAAGCTGTACAGCAGCAAATGGACAGTTAGTTTTTACTGCGAACTAAGCCGCATTCCCAAGAATTACCGTAATTATCGAATTTGCACCTCCCCCCGTAATAAGGCCCCCCTCCGTAATAAGCCCCCTCCCGAAACCCGTTTGAAAAATAACGTCTCCCCCCGAATTTACCGCCCAGGGGGCGTTATTAAATGTTAAGCGCCGCAAAATGATAGATATACCGCAAACTGCTTCATAATAATTGTTATGATTTAATGAATAAACAGACAAACTTCAAAAAAATAATGTGGTGCGAGGCTTCGGAATGCTGCTCGTAAGGTTGTGAAATTGCAAATACCGGTATCTACTGAGTTCAGTATCAATAGAACTGGATGCGTAGTTGTTCGAAAAATAACGGCCCCCTCGAAAAAATGCTGTTTGAAAAATAGTACCACCCCCCGAAATAACGCCCCCTCCCCGAAATAAGCCCCCCTCCTCCAGGACGTTTGAACTATTTGCACCCCAGGGGTGCAAATTCGATAATTACGGTATATAGATTGCAGGCGAAATTGCAAATCAGTTGTTGTATCAAAGTGGTGTTGAGCCACGCCGGCTCTTGCTATAACATCTAGATATTTGCCAAATCAAGGGCAGTATATAACGGGTTATATACTGTCCATGGCCAAACACATCGCATAACTGCGGAATATTTACTGCTGCACATCGGCGAAGTGCAGCCAGATCAGTCTGTGAGCTGCTTACCGAAATCGTTTAATTTGCGCTGGCTCTTCTCCTGTGCAGCGGCCGGCGCCGATTCGCTGTAAGGAGGCGGCGGACTAAAAAGCTTCCAGTTGCTGGAGCCGGTGGCGCGTCCAGCCTGTCCGCTCATCTTCGCTGTCCATTCCTCATTCCCCGACCGCTGCAGTACCGGCTCCGCTGCTGTCTTGTCCGCGAGGAACTCTTTATTTTTCTTCGTCACCGCCGGCATCTCGTTGCCTGCTCCAGTCACGGGCGGTCAGCTAAATGGTGACTATTCAGTCGCAACCATCGGGGACATGCCTGCCAAGAGACAAAACTTTAGGCACGCGGCCGGTACGTTTCTGTGAAAACGTCCAGCGCTATCCTGGCGATGACCGTTACAGTTGTTGAACGCAGCCGCTGACTGACGGATAATGGGCACTTGACATACGTCGCTAATTTATTGGGCATATGCGACGCAAGTACAATCAAGTACTTCGATGCCGGATGCGTATGTTCTGGTTAACGTAGAACAGGAAGAATCAACCACGGGCCATCCAACACAGGAAGCGACGTGCTGCAGCGCCAGGGGCATCCCGCTCTACTGGTAGTTCAGTAAGTAGAAGTATCCATATGCTGCTACGTAAGTTAGTCGATCGTCAGTGAATGTCCGTAATCAATGTGAGAAACGGGGATAGTCGGTCCGCGCAGGCACAGGGAAAAGTCAGAAGTCTATGCCATCACCACAATGGTGCCACCAGCAATGCAAACAAGCCAATTTGAATTTACATTCCATCAACTGCTAAAGAGCGACTAGTAAAGAATCTAAAGATATTCAAAACAACAAGCCATACAAGTGGAAAAGTTGTTAACTGACGCCAGAAAAAGTTCGCTTATGAATTATAAGACAATACGAGTATTACTGTCAAACTGGAGAGATTAAACACGAAAAAGAAGCAAAAAAATAATATTAATACAGTACGTATAGAGTACAGTCAACCTTTTTTATATCCCTCTTGTTACGTTGCACGAATACAGAGCGTTGCAAAATTAAAGTTATATTCTATGATGCAATCAACAATTACCTATTTGTTTAAGCCCATCGTTCAACTATGTACCTTACGAGCTCCGACACTGTACCCCATCTGTGAACAGTGCAATGGAAAACAGCTGGTTGGCATACCGTAACGTTTTTCCCATAGCACTTATAAAATGACCACAGTCCTTCCTAATATCAAGAAACCAAATCTTCCTGTTAAGAATGTCTCGATACCAACAGAGGTTCAATCCGTGTCAATACTACAAATACTTTTTTCGGGATGTGTACGTACGTAAGCAGCTCTGCAGGAAACACCATCACTCATCAGCCCCCGCGGATCAGCAACGTCGCTTTGAAAATTGTGGTCAGTCCGGTGCATGACTGCATGCAGGCGCGATCGTCTGTGCATGGCAAAGCAGCCAAAAGTGAGGAATGCGTCTGCATTCCAACGCTAGATGAACGCTGAAATCGATTCAGTCGGACAGGACAGTACATAGGACAGGGGTCAGTCAACGCTGATCGAATGGATAACTAGTTATGTACTTTGTATTAGCTACCACGTGCGCGCGCTGACAGCACAGGAGCAGCGCGCACATCCAATTCCATTTAAATCGATGCCATTTCCAGTTCCCTTTGCAATAATACAACCTTACAACGTTAAACATAATTATTGTACTGTAGTAGTACCACAGTCAGTAAAAAGCTAAAGTACGAGTACTGAATTCAAGAAGTTGTGCATGCTAATCATCGGTACTGTACTGTACATGTATTAATGCTAAAATACTTGTACTGTAAATAAACAAAAACCTAATTGTGGTTTGCGTAAAATCTAGACAATTGTCGATCCAGCGGGCCGGTTGTCATCTAGATCTGCGAGATTTAATTTGCACAATTCATTTTTCACCTGCAACTGTAAATCGTTTCTGTCACAACATGTATAATTATGAATCTTTGAATCATTTTTTGAAGTTTGAATGAGGATTTGCTTTCCGGTTAGCACAGTGGCTTGGATTCCCAGGAATGCGTCGTGCGTGGGAACAAATCCCTAAGCCAGAACACGGCAGTACTTGACCCAAGCAGACAGACTACAGGGAAAGGCATGGCGCATGCAACTGTGGAGAATGAGTTGCAGTTATGAAGCATGAAAAAGTGATCCATCACTGTCCAGCCACAGGAAAACATATGAGCGCTCGCCATTCATGGATGCGTATCTCACAGTTCGCATCCAGCACTGCAGCAGCACTGCCGTCGCGATCCATGCTTTAGCAGCGCACCGGAAAGGCGGCACCGCTAACGTCTTCATACCTACCGGAAACCTGTAGAAAAGTTATTGGCTACTGGTAAATATAAGTTGTCTGTATCGGTACTACAATACAGGTTGTGTTGTAACTTGTAACAAAAGTCGTTTGTGCATTCCTAGCTGTTTTACATGTATCCGAATGGTCTACTGTATGTGACTGAAAGGGCATAAATAATTCCATCGCGCGGGTCACCCACCAGGACCCTTTCCCGTCCGTACCACATCCAGTCATGCAATTCGGTGAGGAAAAATGTGTGGAATTTATTGCCGGGCGGATCTGGATAAAAATGCTTGTTTATTTAAGTTGAACAGGTAGGAACTGCTACGCTTAAACTACGAAGGTAATTATAGACAATTACCACGAGCTGGACGTGGGGCAGAGGGCGCATCTGCACTGAGGCAGTTCAGCAGCGATCCAAGTGTCTCAGTTTCCGGATCACGGGTAAAGTTTGCGCAACCACCATTGTGCCAGTGTATGTAACTGATCCAGGGAGAAGATGGGTCTAATCCGTTCGTACTCATGCTTGAGCTCATGAGTCAGAAACAATGCAATCAATGGCGCTCTTGCAGGTAGATTTGTGCATCTACACAGGCCAGGGAAATGAAGCAGCCAATATTAATCGTCCGGATGTAATCTGCTGGATCAGTCAAAGTTTGGTCTAGCTAGGGAGCGGGGGGAAGATCGGTTGCGGATGAACAAGCCGGTAGTGACGTCCACTGCTTGCATTGTACATACGCAGTAGCGCACGTACGAGCCATTTCCGGCGCACTTGCACTGCTGCACTGCGTCCCGGGGTCTAATCGGCATGTAATCGCCTGTTGTACATGCATATATAAACAGCAACAGAAGTCCTAATAGCCATCACACTCTGTCAGGACTCTTGTCACAGTCAAGCGCCTTATTCAGTTGATGGAAGTTAACGCGCAGAACCAGTTGTTTGATTAGTGCCCGCAACAACCACCCGCACTCCACAGCACCAGCACTCTGCCTTCTCCAACGTGACCTCGCATTCATTACGTGGCACTACTAAGAGACCAGGAATATTTCCTGTTTCCACTGCTTTTGTTATGTTGCTGTGCGTGCTGTCCAGGTTCAAGTACTGAATTTACTTGAATCTACACAACGACAATTGAACCAAGCAGCTAACTGTAAGGTCATGACAGTGTTGCTGAATTAGCGGTTAATGTGTGGGTTACGATTGCGCTTATTGGTGTACCATTGAAATAACTTATTAAGTTTTATTTCTAACGCGCCCCTGGAACTGTGATATGGTAATTTTTATGTGTTGATTGGCTGCGATAGAAACGGAACGGGAGTTAATTGATTAAGTTGAGAGAGAATTATGGAATCCCACCAGCGAGAGAACGTGGATCCCAGCGGAAGCGACATGGCATCTGGAAGACACGTTAAGTCAGACTCGCGTCCGTCGCCTGCCACAGCTACCGTCAACAGCGACGCTAATAGAACCAACGGAAGCACCCACGGACGTCCGTATCTAGGTGCCATGCGGCAGCGCGCTGCCAGCACACCCAATGCCCACTTCAATAAACTGGCCGCCCCTAATGCGACCGGCTCTGTCCTGCATGACCTTATCGAAAAGGTACTCGTACAGTACGTACGCGCACTGCCGTTGTAAAATGTGCCCTCGCTTTCCAGCACAACTGACACAGTTCCGTTGAGTTTTCACTAGTCGACGCTGCTTTAATGAAAATTGCACATGTGACTTGTCAACCTGTCATGATTAGGTTGGATTAACCACGTCTACGTATACATACTCTGTATATGTACAATACCTATGTCTGCGAAAAGCAGTATCGTACTGGTTGTAGGATGAGATGAACAATTTCGCCGAAGAATCGGAGCTGTTCAAAAAGGGAACGACGAAAAACACCAAATCAGTGGTCTTCTCCTTGAAGAACGAACTAGGCAGCCTGGCTAACGCGCTGACCGTTTTCAAGGTGAGATTCTCAGGTTTTTACTGCCGCTTACAGTTTTTTGGCAAGAGCTGTTAGTATCCATACTGATAACGATGTTGATGTGAGTATTGACTGGAACAAGCAAGGTCAACATTTGCTGGTTCCTGAACTAATTAAACAAAACAATAACTTATTTATAACTCATACGGCAGGAGCACGACGTGAATATCTGCCGCATCGAGTCGCGGCAGACGAAGCGCAGTCGCGGCCACGAGGATGAGTGCGAAGTGTATGTGGACGTGGAGTGCGACGATCGACAGATGGTGCAAGTGTGCAACCTGCTAAAACGCCGGCTGACGCTGGCCCACCAACAATCGCTCAGCAACATGAACGCCGGAGGGACTCTCCAGCGACAGGCGACCATCAACGACTCCACCGACCTGTCCGACGGCGACATGTGCCACCTGGACACACCCGGTAAGCCACAACACCCCAACTGCACTGCTTTGTCGCGGAGCTGACCTCTTCACCCGTGCAGAGGTCTACGGGATGCCATGGTTTCCACGCCGCATTTCCGACCTGGACAAGAGCGCCCACAAAGTGCTCATGTACGGCGTAGAACTGGACGCTGACCACCCGGTAAGCTTTGCTGTACAACAGATATGCAATAACATTACTAATTTACTAGGCTACCTAAAGTGTGTACGCACAATATTTTCTCATCAGCGTTTAATAACTTGTGCATAAGATTCCCATCGTAAACAATTATACCAAAAACGCGGTTAAATAATCAATGCGCGATCAGAGATATTTCTATATTAATTTTTATCACTGCTAGTACAATATTTCCGTTTAAGTTGTCATGTACTATGCAGTGACGAGTACGCACAGCAACACATGCACTACGGAGGCGCCTTGCAAATAATTTTTAATGGGAAGGGGTGCCACACTTTTTAAGATTGAGCTCATTTTAAGTTTCCTGCTAGCACAAAATCATTATAACTTAAAAATTAAGTTAATTTTGTGCGAAATTTTTGTGAAATTTCGTTTTAATTAGCAGCCCTGTAAATTAAGCGACGTATAACGTGAAAAACACAATCTAAGCCGCATTTTAGAACTGCACAAAAATGGTCAAGAATGCGTGAACTGACGCAGATGCATTCAAATCCGCATTGTTTGCGTACAAAGGTGAGGCAGGTAACGTGTGCAACATTAACTGATGGGCTTTGCAATGAATTGTAGGGATTCAAGGATCCGGTCTACCGGAAGCGCCGACTGTATTTCGCTGAACTGGCACTCAAATACAAACAGTACGTATTCGCTCCTAGCGCTCTCTGTTGATCTTCTTGACGTAATCCTTTTATAACCAACTACCGCAGTAGTTGCCGTATCTCATCAAATAACGCCTTAAATGTTAATAAAAAGGTCACTACGGTTATGAAGTATTTAATTGCTACCGTACGGTATATCCTTAAAAAATGGCTACCCTACATGGAACAATGTTTTCGCGGCGACCGGCAGTGCCGGTGCTAGATAGCATGTACTCGTAGTTTATCGTTTGAGCTTTCTTGTTCTCGCAGTCAGTTGCATTTTACTCACACACGCAGCCCAGTAAAAACGCAGAGCTGAATGGTATTCCCACTTCCATTTCCGTTGATAATTTGGACAATACTTAATGCAGTGGGAAAAGCTCATTTAGGAAGCCATATTATCAGATGCTCCTTAAATCAAATACGAGACTGGCGCGCCTGTTCAATTTGGAATGGACGCTAATTAAAGGCGCCTGCAAATGATTTCAAAGATGGGCCGCGTGCTAAGTTCCATATTTTCGGCATGAATGGGCAATTAATGCAAAGCAAAGTGTTCCCACAATTTGCCGCTGTGCCCTGTGGTACTTTCTACAAGTAGGGAAAACTGTACCCTTCCTGTAAAGAGCTTGAAAGTACAGAGTGGCATCTTTCTGGGATCATGGGCAGTACCGAAAAATGACGATTATCCATGTCTAAATGATCGTCACAAATATAGCAAAAAATAATTGTTTGCGGAACAGCATACAATTACGTGCATCTGTAATGCGGAATCATTACATTTGCGGAGCCGCGGGCTGTTTCTTATGTAGATACTGAGGATGGTTTTGAGCTCACCACGAGCAAAGGGCAGCTTCGCATAGCATCGATGCACCCAAGCCAGCGCCGAAATAAGTTTTGCGCCAGCTACGTTATTTCAAAACAATTGTTTTTGCTGTTTCCTGCTGGAAGTTGTTGTTTGGTTTTTATTTGAAAACGGGCACACGCGAAAGTTGCGAGAAAGTATTTGCGCCGACGCGTTGCTTCCACACAAGTTCTCCCTCGAGAACGGGGAGAGAGGCACGCTCGTTTTACCAACCTACGAGTAGGATTACCTTTGGAGTCCAATTTGTTGACTATTGTTATGATAGTGTTGCAGAGTAGGTGAATAGGCTATTGACATTTCGCTGATAATGTAACGATTATGCGAATGGAATTGTCGTTCCAGTGGTCGCCCGATCCCACGCGTCAAGTATACGGAAGAGGAAACGCGTACATGGTATGTCATTTATTTAATAATTTAATTTACAAAATTACAGTACTGCATGCGCAGCAAGTTTAGTCTGCATATGTAAATACATTTGTTAATTATTTAATGTAGTACAGTGTAGCAACACTAAGAAAACTCAAATCACTCATCTGCTACGCCGCGCAGGAGATTAGTATTTTTAGTTTTGTTAATAATCGCCTACGCTGATAATTATCTATGTTTCTATTTTAATTATGCATTCTATACACATAGTTATAAGGCAGATAATAGAATTACTTGCGGCTGCTGATATGTATGGATGAAGCATATACGAATATCCATGGTATACGGGACATATAGATATATTCTGTTAATCGTAAGTATACGAGTATATTCCACTATGGAAGAATGCTGGAAGAATGTAATAGTCGTTAGGCAGTGGTATAGTACCTGCCTAGATCAACACTTCTGTTCCGCGAGCATTGTGATCATATCTGTATTTTATCTGTAGTATTGTCGGATCACTTTTGTGATATATTTCCGAAATATAGTTATATTGCAAAACTAGCAACGGTTTTCTGTAGAAGAATACCTTTCCCGACGCATATTGCCGAAATAGCTACCTATGAAAATATAATTACCGGTGCAATAGATACAAGTGACTAACGGGTGGTTATTATGCAGGGGAGTGGTGTTCAGTGAGCTGATGAAGCTGTACCCGACACATGCGTGCCGGCAAGTGCTGGAGAACATTCCCTTGCTGGTGCGGCACTGTGGATACAGGTTAGCTCACTCTGTATTATCCGTAGTATACTTCTATTTGCTCGCAAAGAAAAACATTAGGCAGAAAGCAAATTCATTATGCATCTGACAAGTAAGCTGGAAGTAGCCACATTTTGGAAGAGCGTCCCGGGAACCAGGACTCTTCTTATCGTGTCTATGTCGAGGTGGTATGGCACTAGAGCACGTACTCGCGATAACGCTATAGTTAAAGCCGCTCCCAGACGTTTGTTGACTCGGCCATAATAATTATTATTATTCATAAACGTTTTGTGGCATCCATATACTTTGCTGACATAAATACTTTGGGTCCGCTTAAAAGTGTCACGTACCGGCCGGCCGGGTTAAGGTACGCCCAACGGATCAGTTGCATCACATGTACAATGACTTACTGTAATGGTGTTACAAGTGTGACCTTGATGTGGTTGCAGAGTGGACAATCTGCCGCAGCTGCAGGACATCAGCCGCTTCCTGAAGGAGCGCACCGGCTTCACGGTACGCCCAGTGGCCGGCTACCTCAGCTCGCGCGACTTTCTGGCCGGACTGGCCTTCCGTGTATTTCACTGCACTCAGTACATTCGTCACTCCTCCTGTCCGCTCTACACACCCGAACCGTATGTAGTATGTAATCGCCTTGGAGTTACTGCAGTTGTCTTAATATTTTGTATAACCGGACATGATGCTGCTTTAATGATTCGTAAACATTGCACAGTTGTACCCAGCATCGTACGTTTATTGCAGGGATTGCTGCCACGAAATCATGGGACACATTCCGCTCTTGGCAAGCAACAGCACAGTCATATTGAATAATTTTTATACCTGTTAATGCTTCGTATAAAGGGTTTATCCACGAACAGAGTATACATATGCCAATTTCAAGGCTTCTCTTTACCTAGGCCGATCCGTGTTTTGCCCATTTCTCCCAAGAACTGGGTTTGGCATCTTTAGGTGCCAGCGACGACGAAGTGGACAAATTAGCAACGGTAGGTGCACTCATTACTAGTATAGAGGAACTGGAGACCCTGCCCTTGGAAGGCTTCTGCTGGGTCGGGATTACTAGCATCCGCATCTGGTGATACGAAGTTTTAATAAACTCGGCTGGGTTGATTTGCAGTGCTATTTCTTCACCATCGAATTCGGCTTGTGTCACCAAGACGGCCAGCTGCGTGCCTATGGAGCCGGACTGTTGTCGTCCATCGGCGAGCTTCAGGTACCGACTAGACGTTACCGGATGGAGACACCGGAGATTGCCCAATGTAAATTTGTTCATTGCATAAGTAACGATTGACGTGCCCTGATTGCAGCACGTGTTGTCGCCGGCGGCCAAGAAACTGCCGTTCGACCCCGTGGTGACCTGCAGTCAGGAGTGCATGATCACCACATACCAGAATGTCTACTTTTACAGCAACAGCTTCGACGAGGCCAAAGAGCAGATGCGGTAAGCGATCGGCACCCGTCAAACCAAAGGTCATCAATAAATATTTGTGAAGTATTGATCTGAGCAATCACCGAACGCTTATCGGGGCACATATGTTTTACGACAGGGAGTTTGCGCGCACCATTCGACGACCTTTCAACGTTCGCTACAATCCCTACACGCAAACGGTAGAGATCCTGCACAGTCAGCAACAAATCACGGCCATGCTCAGCGAACTGCGCGGCGACCTGGCCGTGGCTAGCGAGGCTTTGCGCAAGATCCGCCAGGAAGAGGGCCGCAAGGCCGCCGTCACCGTCACCAGTATCGATTTCCTGCGTGACTACCACGGCGACTGAACCGTTTGAAGGGCTTGAGTGAATACTCGACAGGGCGTTGCAGTCAGCCGATGCCTTCTGCTATACCTGTATGCTTACATAACGTATATTCCCGTCGCCAACTGCATAATTATCCACCAAAGTTCACTTCCTGTACCGCATTCAGCTAAGTTTTACCGGCATCATTATTATCGTACGAGCACATGGATGGGAATTACAACAAAGCAAAACGATTCATTCTGCTGCATGCAGTTAGAGTACTTATCCGTAACTCCGTATTGCAAATCCATCCCATCTGCATTTAACCGTCATCGACATCACACTTTGCTTCCCATGTCAAACCACCGGCATCCAATGCAAATCCCACAAGCAAATGTAGTCGTCACATCGTATCTTATTCCAATCATTTCTGTCTTTATTTTTACTGTCCAGTTATACGACACGGGTGCACCACCAGCAATTATATATAAGCAGGATCGTTCCTATGGATTTATGCGCTACGTTTAATACCTTACGTTTGCTGATTTAATAGTATTGCTCTGTGCAAATACTGACACTCGCTGTCCATATTCCCTTCGAGATTCTTTATTAGTTTTCTCAGCGATTATCCACAAAAAAAACTGCTGTTTATCAAATTTAAACTAATTCCAATGAAATGTGCTCTCCTACGCATGGGCAGAATACTTGCTGACCTTTCTGTCCGCTGTCTATCAATAACTTTAAGTACAGAGTACTTGATGTGAAACGTGCTTTCTTGGCGGCAGCAAAACACTTCACCTTTTTTCAGAATATTCACCGGACTTACCTATAGAACACTTCTGTTCTATTACTACTTGCACTACTTGAGTTTATTGCTACCTGCTAGTTCAGTTAGCAGGGTTTTAATTAGGTAGTCCGTTTACATAGGTCATCGTATGCTCGTATGCATGGCTTTGTAGTGATGTACAGTATTATGCAGTATGCTAACTGCTTATCAATAATTACTACTCTAGGGTAGGGTACGATGGTTGGCGAAAACTTCAAAAACAATAACACAAAATCAAAATAATGGGAAAAAATTATTATTACAGAGATGTGATATATCATAATTACACATTGTAATTTGGAATGTACTGTAATGTATACAGTATACGTGTGAAAAACAAAAATAAAGTCTAGTATGATGATTATTACACATTTGAGGGCAGCAGGAGGTTGTTAGGAGACACGCTTTGCGGCATTTTTTGCCCAGAAACGGTAATTCTGCATTGATTTAGGAAAAATCATAGAAAACAAAACATTAAGGGGAAATAACAATGATAATGTATGCATGCCCACATGCAGCGAGCATTTGCAGCATGCGCTTTATATAGAATGTGATTAACAATTAAGTGAGGTCTCGATTATCTTGTACTCTCCGTTGACAATAAGGCAGTTTCAAAGCTTTTGAATTTAATAATAGAAGCTGATTGTGGAAGTTTTCTTATTCGCAGTTGAGCGGAATTCATAAAATGCCAGCATAGCCGTATTTGGCGTGATGAAAACGATCTGCGTTCTCCTGTCCAGGCCGCTGCATCTAATGCCACCGTTTATTACGCTGGTTCGGTTGACTGTTGACACACAACCAGTATGTGGCCAATATGATAACTATGTAGCTTATTGATGAGCAAGATACTTTCTTCGCTTCCAACACCATTGCTCAATATTCCGGCATAACCTCGACTAATTGCGGTTAAACTTTCTTCGTGCATATGCGGTTTCCTTACTTCCAGCGCGTATATAACAAAATGCCGTACGGTATAATGACCGTTTGTGCAACATCCGGCACTGGCCGGCTGGAGCTGGTGATCCTACTTGTATGATACGCATATGCATCGTACAATACTGTAATAATTATTATGAAATGATAGACGGCTGGCCGCCGAGGAGAGAGTGCATCCCGATTTAGCCACACTCGTTAGCGCGGGAACTTACCCGGCTGACTATATCCTATAGGCATAGATACAGTTGCCGATGCGTCATAGTGTTTGTTTTTTAAAAAAGGAAACATCTCGAACTTTGACTCACGAAGCGGCACAACGGCTGACTAGCGACCGCACAGCAGCGGAAGTCAGCCAGTCAACTATAAAGATCTTCACGCGTCAAGCCCAAACCGTTTTGACCCACTCTATCGCTTCTTCGCACAACATTTGCGGTAGTTTTCTTCCAGGCTGACATACGGCCCTTTTTAAGTATTTGGCTTACACGTTCCCTAATTACCCGCCACAATGCCTCATGAGTACGGATTGACCGCTGCTATGCAGAATAAGGTCGGTATACATCTCTCGCACTGCACTATTTGACCTTTGTATATCTCTGGCTTTCTGTGCATTTCGGGTTTTCCGTCACTTAAAATTGTCGACAAAGTATAACCGCAAACTGTGGTTAATAATTAAGAGATGATTCGAGTAGTAAAATTTGGGCGCATATCTGGAGTAATCCAATTTTTTTATGTTAGGATGACAAATTAATAGTAATTCTCTCATTGCCATATTTGGCGATTTGAACCTGTGCGTAGCAAAAGCTCTGCCTATTTCCCGCATTATATAGCGCTGTCTCATAAATATAGCAATTAGATCGTATTATAGTGTGCTTTGTTCGTTCTTACCTAATACGAGTATAGTGGCGTCGTAATTCTACATTTTAGTATTATACAATATGATACTTATTTTGCACGCATTGTACGTTCAGTTTACATAATACTGATCGTTGTGTCTTTCGGCACAGATCGCCGCCAAACGCGATCCGGAATTCGAGAAAGCTGCCCTGAAGTGGATCTACGGCTATCTGGGCGAGCCGGTGCCAGAGGAGCCTCTGGAGGTGGCGCTGCACGACGGACAGGCGTTGCTCAAGTTCATGAAGAAGGTCAAGCCGGACCTGGTGTCCGGCCCCATCCACAGCGGCAAGATTGACGCGCAGCTGCGCGAAAACATCGGCACCTTCATTCAGGCCTGCACCAAGTTGGGCGTCCGCGGCACCGACATCTTCCAGACCAATGACCTTTGGGACAAGAAGGACATCCCACAGGTCTGTGTCACGCTCTCCGCCCTTGGCACCGAGCTTCAGCGCAACCATCCCGAGGTGCCGGCCTTTGGTCCCCCGCCCAAACACTGAACGAGCAGCGTAATATCCACCGTTCAACGGGCGGCCGACAAATCCTGTTATCATTTTGGGGCCTTATCTGTTTAGCTCGACGCATCAAGATATCGTCCTTGCTAGTATTTTATGATCATGTGCAGTAACTGGTTTTTATCTTTTTATGCTCTTTTTTATGTTGGCATTGACCGCGTAACTGAACGAAGGAATTGTCATGAAAACAACAAGAATACAATGCGCGCCTTACAGTTTCAAGAATCATTGAATTTCGCTGAAAGTGATAATATAAATAATCACCGTTCGTGGAGCATATATATTATGTATAATCAGATACCTACCTAGCTCAAGCATATTCAAAAGATATAACACATTGTTCAGCCTTTCAACAAAAACTGGAGTGCAAAAAACTGTTACGGACTGATAAATGCTGTAATATTAATTTGTAGAATTCGTTTACGCCGGAGCCGGTGTGATGCATGCTGCATGCTGCATGCATTTACAAGCAAGCACTAGTTATACGGTAATGTGTGGACGTTGGGGACATCAAAATGAATTACTACGTAAAAAAAAAATAATTATGCGAAAGTTTCCAAGCGATTTGACCAGCGTAAGCGAACGGCACGATGCCCGTGCATAAGTAATGCTTGTTGTTTACCGATTTCTAGCATTTCGGTACAGCCCAGCCTAATTGCTCATCTTTACTGCGCCTCCAGGTGGGACGCTTAACAGCTCCAACGGTTCTTGCCATCGCAATCGGTATATGAGGTCAACCGCAGCAGGTCAGCTAAGTCGGCACACCCAGTACCAGCGGCGGGTGGTCGGCAGTCACAGTTATGCCGGTAATGCTTTAATCTTCGTTCCCACGCACTGCTTGTTCGAAAGCCATCCCGCCCGCCGACGAAGAGCGCAAACACGCTGATTAAATTTTCAGCGTGGTTGCAGCCCGACCTTACGTCGGCGGTGGTGTGCCTTCTTCTTCGTCCGCTACAGCATTGCACCGTATTGTCATCCTGTGGCATTTATATAAGCTCTCGATCATCGTTTCCCATTGTGCATTGATAGCTTTAATTCTTATACACTCTTCTTTAATCGTTCGTCGCATATCCGGAAGGTCATGCTTCACTTTTTCCTTTAAGCCGATCTAATAGATCGCTGACGGATAAAGTGAGAGCTCTACGACCACCCTCCGAGCTATAACGCAGCGCGATGGCTGCTAAGCGGCCGCTGCACCCTCATGATAACCTTTATGATTTTAGCCGCGGTCCCCGCAAATGGCGCACCAGTTCCTGCTTGGCGCCAATACCGGTGACCCAAAAAAATTTACCCATGAAGGCGGACAGAGTGTGGCCTTGCAGCCGGGCGAAGCTGGCGTTCAGTGGGCGGGCCTTTCTCTTGCGTAACCTTTCCCTGCTGCTGTGCTGTGCTTTGCCTGCCAAAAGTGAGCCCGGCGTCGTTGTTCCCCGCGCCGCCATCATACCGGACTTTTATACGGGTAACGTCAGCGACACCGATTTGAATCTGCCCATTAGCATGAAAGGCGTCGGCGATGTGCAGCAGCTGTACCAAATATACCGTAAGCACTTTTGACTTGCAGAGTATTTGCCGGTTAGCACGTTTCCGTCAGTTTTGTCAGTTTTTAAACGAAAGGTACTGCTAACAAGCCGATTATGCGTTTGCAGGAAACCTGCACTCCATATGCAAGGACTGTGACCCCTCCCGGTTGCAGAGCTGGATCTCCTCCTATTACACCCCACAACTAACTGCCAGTCAGTCCCTTTCTTTTATCGGCCAGTTCGCTCCTGGCCAGCTTAGTCTCTCGAACAGCAAATCCCCCAAAGCCGCGTGGTATCTCGGTCGCCGTAAACGCCAAGCCGGTGAGCACTCCGACATATACGAAACCGACGACGAGTCGTCCGAACTGACTGTCAAGCGCTCCACCTCTACCCGTTACCAGTCATGTTTGCGCCGCCACAGCGCCGGCAAAGAGCCACCGGCAAGCGTCGTTCGGTTCTGCCAACTGGCCCAGCCCACGTCTTCGCGACTTCCCGTGGAGCGCTTCCATCTCCACCCCTACCTATCTATACCGCCGACAGGGAGCCATACCCTATCGACATCCCCCAATAAGGCGCTCGTCGCCGTGCGTCTGGTGCGGCGGGGACAGAACCTAGAGGCATCCCAAACGGGCGCCGCTCGAGTGCGCTCCCGCTCGGCCTCCGGACCCGTCTCATGGTACCTGGGCAAACGCTCCGGATCCGCTCCCGCACCTGTTTCCTGGTATCTAGGGAAACGCTCCGCCCCCGGTCCTGTCTCCTGGTATCTGGGCAAACGCTCCGGATCCGCCCCCGCACCTGTTTCTTGGTATCTAGGGAAACGCTCCGCCCCAGGACCTGTCTCATGGTATTTGGGCAAACGCTCCCTCACCCCTACCTCCAATAATGCACTGTTGCTCGTTGACCTTATGCCCATGAGTGTTTCGGACGCACTGAACGAAGCCGAATCGATGTTGCAGTCGTCGTGGATGAATAAAAGGTCCGCCACCTGGTACCTCGGACGCAGGAGGTAGCATGGGTATTCCATGCACTGGGCCATTTGCCTTGAAACCGGCACCATGACCATTTGGTTCTCAATACTTCAGCTGACTGCTGCGTTTACTGCTCATGCCGATTCCCAGGTTTTCACATCCCAAAGGTCAACACTAGTTTACCTAGCTACCGTACCCGCAGTCGTTCTTTCACTGCAACCCGTTAATCTGAAACAGCATTCACTTATTCCTACATAAGCGCTTGTGCACCAAACAAGGCTCACAATCAGCTGACAATACTCGCGGACCGGATGCGATTAATCCCATTTATAATGCGCACTCTCGACACCCTTTACCCAGGTTGTGGGGATACCGTAAATCGGTAATTTATAGAAATAAGTGTTGAAATTTTCACGAAGTAGTTTTTGCTTAGTAGCACTCTTAAAGCCGGTTCCCCTGTCCTATGGAAACGCATGCAGTTTTCGCACAATAACTATAAGGATGACAAAATTAATAATATTGCTATTCCTGCCTTACTTATATTTGATAAACAGATAACTACCTGCTGTGTGCATATGAACCCCGCTGCCTTTGATCTCTCCTCAGTGAGTAAAATTTAAGTACTGAAGCGCACAGTTAACTAACCGAATGCACTCGTTGTTGTAAAGTACAGCGATGGTCAAATTAGCACATCCCTTGCAAAAATGTCACCTTCACGGTCAAACCGATTGTCCCCGTCTCATTAAGTGTCAGCTGACCTGCACATGCATATGCGGCGTCTGGATCCATTAAGTCCAATAAAAAGTATTAATATTTGTCTATGATGAGTATTATTCTTGATGTACTCGCACTTTAAAATGCATGATCGACCGAAGCGAAAATCCTGCTGCAATATTGTTTCGGGAACTGGTACATAATCGTGTTCCGCGCTTCGCTTCGGTATTTTAGTGCTAGCCGAAAGCGGTGCACTTCCCTAGTAGTTCTTGTAAATCGAAGTTTACTACAAACACCTGCCCATGCATTCCGCACTTGTTTAATAAATAACACTTTCAAACTTTAAAACTTCCCCCACACGAATGCTAACAGTAATTTACCTAAAGTAGACCATTTCTAGCACGCACATGCCAGGGTGCAAGACAGGCAATAAAAAATTAACATCTGAGAATGACTACAAGGATGCGTACTATCTGTACAGAAAAACCGGCCCAGGCGCGGACAGGACGGCGGTCAAGACATCACGCAGTTGGTTTTTCGGCTCTGTTGCGTCTGTACCCGCTGGAACTCCGCTTCGCTAACGGCCAGGGCGCGCGCCAGCTCCAAGTCATCGTCTTCCTGCGCTGTGGGCGCGGGGGCGGTGCCGGATGGGGAATCCGACAAGGACAACTGTAGGGCACGGGCCAGCGCTTCATCCTCCGACATGTTGGGAGACTGAACTGCAGTTGCCACACCTGGCTTCCCGGCCGCGGGAGTGGCTTTACTGCTCGTTCCAAAGCGCGCCAATGCCGCCGCTCTATGAAAATAAACCAGTGAGGCGGCGTCGCACTTGACTACATTACTATGCTCTTACCCAGCTTTGCTGGCAGGCGCCGAGCGTTTAGCGCTGTTGTCAAGGGGAAGGGCTTTGTTGGCGCACTGATGATCATCGGGGAAGCGGTGAGCCAGACAGAAGGATCGTCGACAGTGCGGGCAGTCCACTTTCAGCATCTCCTTGCGCTTACAGCCGGGGACAGCGCAGCCGTGGGCGTACACCTGGCCGGCCTGTCGCTTGCGAGCCTGCAGCGTCAGTGCCTTCTCCGAGCGGCATTCCGTGTCCAAATGCTCCGAGACGACGAGATCCGGTAGTTGGCCGCGCTTGATGGGCACGGGGGCGTTACACAATGGACACACCGGGACCTGGTTATCCTGTTGGCGTCCGCTGGAGCACTGGTGGTGCTCGTAGCGATAGTGCTCCTTGCTGCAACGGAAAGACCATCAGATTATCGTAAAACTCTCTAAACCCATAAATTGCCCAGAGCAGTCGCATTACGGTATATTTACCGTATTTACTCACATAGAAATGGCAGCGCTACTTACCAGAAGGTTTTGCCACATCCATCACACTTGACGGGAAGGAAATCTGCCAAAATAACAACATGCATCAATACGCCTTGGTCAATGTAACAGTCGGAACTGAGTCAAACTGAGAACGGAGAGAAAACTAAGTTTTTCCATGAAGTTTCAAAAATACTGGAAAGAAAGAAGGGCGCTCTTACCCAGGCGATTACAAGTGTTTTCCTCGCAGTGCGCGCCAACGTGAAAGGCATCGTGTTGTCTGAGATCGAGATCAGGCGAGTTGCTGCCCGACCTGTTCTGGCGTGCTCCGCTTCCGCCACCGCCACTTTGTTCTCCCTTGCCATACATGTCTCCCCACTCTGACGCCCCTTCGCGGTAAACAATTCCGGATTTAATAAATCACTCTACCTCTGGTGCTACAACGGAGACGGCTCCAGAAGAATTTTCCAGCGAGATCACACCTCTTTACGCTTCGAGCTTCGCAGGCTGCTCGCTCGATAAAATTATGACAAAATATAACAAGCGAACGCTTTATCTGAATATTCCGATCCGATAAATTCCGATCCGATAACCAATCCGCGAACTTGTTCCACACGGTACAACCAGAAAAATACTATCGAAACTCTCCAAAATAAGTATCATTTAGTAGTAACACAGTTTTCGAGAAATTTTGCAAATTTTACTGCGATATCGATATGGAACCCGTCTAAATGGACTGAATGAAAAGTTGAGATATGCACCATGTGCAGCCACGGCGCGTGTTTATAAATCTGTTCGTTCAGCTGGCTAATGATGAGTCATGATTACCAGCATGACGTAGCGGTAATGCTGCCTGGAAATGTGAACGAAGTATAGCGATCGCGAAATTTCTCTGCTACTGTGCATTTGTCATTGTCAAGCTTCAACTGACGCCCCGGGGGTTAGCCACCAGATAATCGACAACTTGAGGTCAGAGTCCACGTTTTCGCATTTGGAAAAAATCAATATCGCATTATCGCATAAGTGCTGCTAATGCTATAACCATTAATTCATTTAGTAAAAAATTAGCTTTTGAAAACAAACGAAACAGGAACTGCATTCCGACTGCCTCCATGACACATTACGGTAACTGGAGGCAAATTAAGCATTTCCGGTGCTTGTTTCGGCTTTACTTTATCAGAATTAATAGAGGCAGTCTGTAGATATGGAGACATAAGAAAAGACGGTGGAAGTGGAAATATCACAACATAAAACATGAAAATCGTTATTTTATACATAATTTCTTTCGTTGCTTTATTATTTTAATTTTTGAACGCTCGTCATAAGGAGGCATGATTATGCACTGTGCCGCGAGGTGGAGTGCGCTATCTGTACTCAGACGATGTTACCTCGTACTTCCGGTCGTTTAGCGGCACCGCCGGCACGTGATGCGAGCCCAAATCCTGAGCACCGTTGTAGTCAGATAAAGAATTTTCATGAACCATGAGCTCATTGATTATTGTCACTTTACTGATCAGTATTAAATATATGATGTCGATATTCCCTAATTGTACGTAAATTAAGTCAGTAAAAGATTATTATCGCTTTTAGTTTCGGCATTTTTTGCTGAAGTTAAATTTGGGAAGGTAAAATCCTATAATATTACCTCGAGTCAAGACGCATATTTGCAAGCAGTCGCCGTACCGGGGTGGTAGGCAAGAGAGTCCCAATGTTTTGGTCATAACAGCGTCTTTTAGGTGCTGCACCAGCACCATCGACTATATTTCTACGTGAAAAGAATGTAAAGCGATTGAAAACGATAAAAAATTTTGTTATGGACCACTTTTCACGCCTCCGTCGTTCGTGCTGATGTAATCAATTGTGGTGTCTAATTTATTAATAATAGTGTTGTTTGTGCTGTTGTGTGGTGAATGGTGATCCCATTACTCAGTCTAGCTGGAAAATATTGTGATGATTACATATTTTTATAACCGATTTCGGATTTTCATCCGCGCTTATCTGTGCCATTGAAGGCTGTCAGACGCGAGACAGTACGACCTGAAAAGCTATGATATCCTTACGTAATTGATAATTCATAATCACTGTCTCGCGATCAGAAGAATTTTGGCTGGACAAAACAAGCCCTCTGTGTGGAGCAGATAAAGCGTCGCCTCTGTTGATAGCAACGAGGGGAACAACAAGTGGGTGTGCTGTGTGCGCGATCAGCTGGGAGGAGAGCAGCTGGACTGGCATGACGCTAGCTCGGTTAGGCAGTGTGTGTCCTCACTGTGGTTGTCCCCGGAGCAGGTCGTGAGCGGGAGAATGGTGCTGGCCGATGGTGGCCGTCCGCACGCAGTCTCCAGTGGGAGCGCGCGGGCTTCGGCCAAGGAGCAGCTGCAGCACTGCTGGGTCCTGTATTCCATGCAGGCAAGTCACTCTTCTTTGCTAAGCCATACTTACATGTCAGCAGTAGTGTTCTCCATTGTTCTGTCCGAAGCAGACGTTTGATGAGCGGCAGGTATGGTTGCAGGGGGAGAGTCGAGCAGCGCTACAGAACTGTCTGGACATCTTTCTGGAATTATACGGGCGCTACTTGGAGGGTTGCGATGGCGGCGGGGAGCCGTTGTCTTCCAGTTCTTCCTCACAAAGGCACTCGTCCAGCCCTCCTGACACTAACGGTCGTGATGGGCAGTATCCCCCGAAAGATGACACGTCCGCCTTCCTCGCCCCCAGGGATCCTGGGGCCGGCGATACCAGGTAACAACGATCCTTCCTAAGACAATCCATCGTCAGCGCGATTAAAATGTGACATGTTTAAACAGAGACAACCCAGTGAGCGTGGCTTCCCTGCGTCGGCAAGAGTCGGTGCCGACGGAAGCCAATCTGAGTGGTCCGCACCTGTCCAGCCTGCCGGACGGCTTCCTGGCGGCACTGGCCCGCGCCCTGCACCGCTGCGTGGACTTCCTGTACGACAAGCCCCTCAGCGCACTGCCCCTGAACTCCGCTGCCATCAACACCCAGATCACAGGCGACAGCCAGTTCGCCGTGCAGTTGTTGCAGGCACTGGTCATCTTCAGCCGCAACGTGGACAACCTGGCCCAGCTGGCCAACTCCACCGCCGTTGTCGACTGCATCGATCTGGCGCTAACATTTCTGACGGCGGCGGTAGATGATACGCCCAAGGTAAAACAGATTTTCCTGAGCGTTGGTTGTCATGAGTTTCTCACACATTTGCCGCGTGATCTAGGCTCAATCTGTGGATGCGATTCTAGCGCTGACCAAAGAGTATATACGCATTGTCTATTACTTCTGCCAGTGCCTTTATGATCCGTACTCGTTGTGGAACGTTCTGGTCAACAGGTATAGTTTAACAATGCAACGCTAACTAACAATGCAATGCTATGCTATCACTTTAACCGGCCATATCGACCTGTTTTCCTTAGGTGTGCTCCTAATGCGGAAGCGGTCATTGTCCGCCCACCTGCCATGCATCCATTACTCCCTAAACTCATATCTAGTAAGACCGTCAAGTCGATATCTGTTTTGCTGCCCATTTCGATGGTGCGGAATAATTTGTAGCGGGTTTGGACCGCAGCGTCCAGTCGGATGATTTCGGATTATTGCGGTGCTCGTTGGACACTCTGGGAGCCGTGCTCGTCGGTTCGAAGGTGAGGGCTCCCGTGTGAATCAGTACTATGCTACGTACTAAATTACCTCCTTTTTTCGGTTGTTATAGAACAACGGAGTACGTATCACCTCTGAGGGGTTGGTCAGCAACCTATTCGCTTTAGTGAGACGGAAGGCTGCTTGGAGCGATGCAGAGCGCATCCAGATCACGCGGCGGATCCTGAGCTGTATCTCCGTTATTGTCCATAATCTGCACGAAGCCGATCCCGATCTGCGACAAGTCGAAGTCGTTACCGTCTTCTCGCAGTTTTTGCAGACGCTGCGATCCCTGGCCGTCCATGACGACGAGAGTGTTCAAACAAAAATTGAAATGCTGGGTAACCGTATGAAATTTCAGATTCTTTAATGAAATTTTTAAGTATGTTGTCTGAATCGCAAGTGTGTCATCATGTAATTGTTTTTGGTAGGTTGTGTCCATGACATTCTGGCTTATTACGATCGATCTGCGCTGCAAGCCATGTTTATCGGTGTGGGTATTTTTGAACAGCTGATTCAAATAACCCAGCAGGGCGCCGACGTGGTGGACATTAAAGGTGGTATGCTGCAAGCTGTTACCGCTGTTCGCGCCCTGGGAGCCATCCTGCGCGGCTCGGCCAAATGCAAAGTAATAGCATAATAATATTTGAAAACTATCAATTTATGGATTAAATTTTTAAGGGTAAATGAAACTTTTGTATAAATTATAGATTTAAGATATATATTAAAGATATAATTATGTTTGTGATATTTTTCAATATTTATACGCTAATATCCTGTGGTAACAGTAAATTGCTGCAGTGGCTTTTGTGCGTACTCGTGACTGTTCATGGCATTTCTAGGAACTTTTTGTGGAGCGCATTGGTTACAGGATGCTGTTGGACGTTTTGAAGACGATATGCGAGCCCAGCGCCGATTTCGTAGACGCTTTGCTGGAGCTGGTGGTGGAAAGCGAAGAGAAGGATTCCGCCTACCTGATTGTGGCCAACCCTCAGGCGGCTGTCATGCTGCTCGACTATGCCGCTGTGTTGCGCTCTCCCTCCTTCCAGCTACTAATCATCGCGCGCATCTCGGAGCTGTTGAAGAAGCGCATGCACAGTCGCATCCAGTGCGCCGCTTTTGGCATGCTGGATGCCATTCTGCATCTCTTTCGGGCATGCAATCGTCTGCCGGCGGATGTCGCTGGTAAGAGCATCGAGTTCCCGTCTCATCATCTCTTGACGGCTTCCCCGCCTCTTGCAGACAGTCTGGTGAAGTTATTTGAAATTCTGGCGGCCCATTCCATCGAACCTGGTGAACTGAAGGAGCTGTTGTCGTTACTGAAGAAGGACGACGAGGGCGTTCAGCCCAGCTACATTCTCCGCTTGATGCATTCCTTGTCTGTGATAGCGTGCAATACGTCTACAAAGAGCCCTTTCCGCTATTTTGATATACAAGGAGATTACGATGTGAGTTGTTGAATAAGATGATTCATTATTTATTATTTATGCTACCAGCAACGTTTTCCAGGGGATTACTGTGCCTTCCATGCGGAAGAAATGGGCCGGTCCGGGGTTCACTTTCCATGCCTGGGTGTGTCTGGACGATAATCCCCTATCCACATCCGTCTCGGCGGATAATGCGTTCATGCGCCGGATTCTCTATAGGTTGTTCGCACATAACCTTTGTGTATTGCCACTGGAAAATTAGAGTTTCGGTGTTGCAGCATCACTAATAACAGTGGCGGCGGATTTGAGGCCTTTTTTACTTACGACTGCGTGCTGGTCGTGGCTGTGATTCATAAAAAGGAATACATCGCTCTGAGCTTAACTGACCATCCGTTGCGGGATCTACGATGGGTATGTACGTATCGTTAGAGCAGTTTATGCAGAATTTGGCGATCTGAAGTTTTATACCCTGTGCATACTATGCGTTCTCTAACAGTACCTTTTTCTGCTTATGGTGAAATGGATTAACGATAGTGTAAAATATTGCGTTTTCATGAAACTGTTGCGGAATGTTTTACCTTGACTGAAATCCGTAAACTGTTTGAAGTGTCTGAATTTTGTTGGGTTCTTGCAGCACTGTCTCGATATCATCCATGCTCCGCCGCGGCGTCCCTTCGGCAGCAGTACCATGGCCGTATATATGGACGGTCGCCTGGTGCACACCACTAACATGAAGATGCCCTCGCTCAGCGAGTCCTTCACCTTTTTCCGCATCGGGGCGGCGCCGCTGCGCATGTCGAAACAGCCGGATGTTCTGTCCCACATCACCGCGCCCGGCCAGAGCCCCAAACTGCCCTCCTCGCCCATGTCCCCGCGTCTGCCGGTGCATGAGCTCATCACTGTGCAGTGCGGCACTCAAGATCACATTTTTGGCATACCCGTGTCGCTCAAGGGCCAACTAAACTCCATCTGCATTTTCCATGATGCCATCCTCCCGGTGGAAGCCAAAGAGCTCTTCGATCGGGGTCCGTCGTGAAACTCTGTCGACTTAAACCTGAATCACGTCTTGCAAGTTTCAAATATTTGCAGGGCCGAACATTGTGTTTCCTTCGGATGACAGCAGCGATCTGGCCAATAAACTCTTTCTGTACTACCACAGCAATGGCTGTCAGCGCAAACACTGCATCGACCTGTCGCCGGGGCGACAGCACGATGGCACTTTCACCGGGACGGTGTCAACAGCCTGGAGTTTGGCCAATAGTCTGTGCTGTGTTGGCGGTCTTCCTGCCCTCCTTCCTATCCTGGAGCAGGCCAATTTTCCCATTCGTGGTCATGTTCCAGCAGTCGACAGTAGTGCCGAGATATCTATGCTTCCTCGGCCGATCGGTACCATCTACCAAGTGGATTCGGTGGACAGCCAGAAAGATGATTGGGTCGTCATCCAAAAGTGCACCCCCGGTTAGTGCGATGTGTTGAAATAATTTTCACGTATGTGTTATGATATCATGTGAAACTTATTAAAAGACTTTATGCGACAATGTGTTGTGCAGAAGTGGGCGTGGAGAGTAACCCGGTGGCCGCCTTCCTGGACTTGGTGCGGAAGATCCTGACGCGCAACGCAGAGCTGCAGGATGATGCGCTGCAGTCGCAGAGCGTGGCCATCTTGGGTCATCTCTTGACCAAGGTGGAGCCGCGTTTTCTGGATGTGGGAGTGTTGTTCGCCGTGCAGCTACTGGTGGAGTCCGGTCAGTCCAGTCACAGTTGGGCGGAGGTGCTCAGTGAGATATATCAGCACATTCTTTTTGATTTCCGCATCTGGATTAAAGCGGACTTCACCGTTCGTCTCGGTAAACCAGTTACAGGATTAGTGATTTATGTTTTTTTGTCACACGGCTTGCGTTTCAGGTCATCTCCAGTACATCAGGAAGATGGTGAAGGATGACAAGAAAGTCTTTCGTAAGAAACTGGGCGTACAGTTCTTCCTGGACACACTGCGGATGTATTACGCGACCAACGCTTCCACCGCCGTGCTGTCGGTCGAGGAAACGGAGATTTTGCGGCAGCACACACTGGGCATCGTCCAGGAGTTCATCTGTCAGAACATCAACGTCCATGAAGTGGCTGCACTTATTCGCTTCTTGCTGGTGATCAAGGATGAAAAGACAGTGGATGATACATTACAGCTGCTGTTAACGGTGCTGGAGAACCACAACAAGAGCGACCAAATCTATCTCCTGCTCTTTGAGCCGGGCGCCGCTGATGCTCTGCTGTGTCTGTTGTTGAAGCGCCACCGGGAGCTGCCGGCGGAGACCAAAAGCAAGATTGTTGCTATTGTCAGTCATTTGTTACGCTCTTCTAAGGTGTACGAGAAGAGTAAGAATCGACTGCGGATGCTGGATGTGGAGATGGGTGGACTGCTGCTGCTGATGCCCAGTGAGCTGCCCACCGATTTTGCCCGATTATATTTGGAACAGTATTTCTCCGGAAACTTAGGTTAGTCGAACTTAATCCCAGGAAAATGTTGTACTCGCAGAGTTAATATTTTTCGTACTGATAGTTTATTTTATTTAGAACACCCCGCCAAGTATGCCTGCATCATCGCTATCTTCAACAAACTCCATCACGCCACCTTACCTCTGAAGGCGGAATTCGCTCGTAAAGTATTATTGCTTGCGCTTTGATTTCGAAGTAGCTGTAGGAGATGCAAATAATTGTTTTGTTGTCTTGCAGTTTTTGTACGCTATCTATATGAAGCCGGGCGCTGCAATGCAGATTGCCAGCCAAGCTGGTTGGTACCACTCCCTGGCCGGCTTGTTGGTAGAGACACCCATGCTGGCCAGCCCATCGTCCACGCACGGAGGCCAAGTAACGCGGGGCAGTACTCACGGTGGCACCATCAGTGATTTGATCGACTTGAAATCACCTGACGAAGAAGAGAACGTCTTTTTGGAAGACTTTGTCGACGGTAAGCATCGTCCCTTGCGGTGGTGCTGTTCATGTTAGTAATGGGTTCTTCCAGGTACGACAATCATGCCAAACGACGATAAAGTCAGCGTCATCGCGGCCAGTGAAGTGGCCAGCTCCGAGGACGCTGACCGCAGCTCCGTCAGCTCGGCATCGGCTCTCCGTGCACCCCGCAGCGACGTGCAGTCAGTATACAGTGATTCAGCATCCACCTCGCCGTCGGTCAACAGCGGCTGGACGCCGAGTCATGGATCTGTGTCCCTGTCGGACGCTCTGCATTCGCAACGGGACTCATTTGCCTTCTTGGACGACACTTTCGCCACAGACCATCTGTCGCGGCCGGAGTCGGCGGTGGATGAACTGTGCACGGTGGTGCTGAACATCCTTTCGACCGTGATGTGGCAAGGCATCGAGGGATCGTCCAGCAGCAACATGTGGGGAGCGCGGGCGCAGGTCCTGCTTAGTTTGGATATGCTGGCGTTGAACAACCATCTGTTTAAGAAACCTGAAGAGCTTAAACGCCGTCTTTATGAGATGGCACTTCAAGTGCGTATGGCTAACTTTAAAAGGCTGTGCTTTCGCGTGCTTCAACGAGAAATGGTTATAGGTAGTGATCTCGGATCTGAAGAAAGAACCATCGAAAGTTGCTAATATCGAGAATGCCGAGCTGGTCATCCGTCTCATCCATGACTTTATCACGGCCCCTGATCTGCACACCAATCTGGAAGTGAAACTGTCCGATAAGGTGCGTTAATGGATTATTGAAATTATTGTACGATGGAAAAAAAGGAAAAGGATGTTTGTATTGGTAGTTGTTAGAAGACTTCTCGTCGCTGCTGGACAGCATCCGCGTGTGGGAAGGCGAGAGTGCCGACGGCTGGTCGGAGACTCTGCAGATGGGCATGGCCGTACTTTTAACAGTTGTGCGCTGTCCGGACGTCAAGTACTGCAGCATCGTGATCCCTAAACTGCACTACGCCATTCAGTGCCGCCTCAACTGCTCCCGCCGTGAAGTTTGCTATATTCTCGGTAAGTATATCAGCAATGTCCGGTATTGCTTGATACGATAATGGATTCATGTGCTTGTAGCGGCGCTAAACGAGACTCTGCTGATGTCTATTGATATGAGCAATCAGGAGCACTTCTCCTTTGTCATTCCCGTGTTGCGATTGATTCTGGAAAAATGGGCAGCGGTGTTAAGTACGGCGCGCTATCTAACCAACCTTCCGATGCCGGCTTTTAATGCGTCACAGCACAACTTTGTCGTCCTCCAAAAGTACTTCCGCTCTACGGAGTGGGGCGGTTTTATAAGTAACACGGTACAGCCGTTGGCCAATGATTACCAAAACAGTGTCTGCAAAGTAAGCAGGATTTTCAGTACAATGCTACATTTTTTAGTACAGTGTGGGGATGGAGACTGATTTAACAGGTGCGAAAGGAAAAGATGGGTGAATTCTGGAATGAAGCACACGATGCGGCCATGGCGCAGCTGCACATGCGGAACAAAGCCTACGGCGAAAGCAAATTGAAGTTCCAGCAGGAATATGCTGAACCGGTGCGGAAGAAGGTGAAGGAGGAGAACTACCGGTTCAGCTGCGTTCAGCAGGACGCCCGAGGCGAAACGACACGCATTTGCCGCAAATGGGAGGAGCTGAAACGGTATCTTTTCCGGGAGCGCGGACCGTGGCGGGAAGGGTACACAAATATTTCACACAGCTCTGACATGTCCGGTGTGAAACAATCGAAATTTTCTTAGAAACTCGATGGAGGTGCCACTGCGTATGTCGCACTACGAGAACTGGATGCGTATGCGGCTGAAACTAGTGGAGAATCTGCACTTTGATGCCCATACTGAAGCCAGCAATCTGCGCGACAACACGGCACCGCCGGCAGTGGCAACGGTGGACGAAACGTTTCTTGCACACATCGGCGCTGCCAAGGAGGCCAAGTCGACTGAGCAGCTCATGGAGGAGAGCTTCTTGGATGAGACCGACGAATCGGAGAGCAGCGTGACGGGCCGGGCGCCCGCCCTGGTCGGAAGTGTGGCTGTTGCGGCAGAGAAAGGCGACACCGTCCAGCGCGAGAAATCGGTGCTGCAGGAGAATTGCGATCTCATCACTGTGACCGAGAACGTCCAGGGCCGTTTCGAGCTGACCACGCAGCGAATCAAGTTCCACGCCATGAATCCCGCCTATGATTCTGCCACGGGTATGGTGGTTCAGTGCTTTGCTGCGAACAGTGTCCAAGTTCAACTGTTTATGTAGGAGAGGGCTATAGTTTCGAGATTTCCTTGACCTCATTGCGTGAAATGCATGTACGCCGCTACAATCTGCGCCGTAGCGCCATAGAATTATTTCTTGTGGACCAAACCAACTACTTCCTTAATTTTACTTTGAGCGTAAGGGGTTTCGCCTGTTTATTACTGCCTTGTCGTATTAGTACTGAGCGATGTATTCATGCAGACACGAAATGAAGTGTACAAAAAGGTCATCGGTTTGAAGCCCTCTGGATTGATGCAGCTCAAATACTCCACGCCGGCTGCTTTGTTCAAAGCCTCGGGCGTTATGCAGGTTAGTGGACGTTTTTGAATGTTTCCAGTGCAGGCGTCAGTTATGTTTCCTGTAGAAATGGGTGCAGCGGGAGATGAGCAATCTGGAATACCTGATGGCGTTAAATACCATCGCTGGCCGCACTTACAATGATCTCAGCCAATACCCGGTGTTCCCGTGGGTGCTGCGTGATTACACCAGCGCCCAACTGGACCTCCACAATCCCGATACATTCCGCGATTTTTCCCGTCCCATGGGTATACAGAATCCGCGCAGTATTCCCGAAGTCCGGCATAAGTAGGATTTTGTCTGCTGTCTAATAGGTTTAGCTTTGCATTTCCACAACGAGAAACGCCCAAGCAAATGCAGTTTTTCTGGTTAGATACGACAATTTTGAAGATCCCAGCGGAACAATTGAACCGTTTCATTACGGACAGCATTACAGCAATCCGGCCAGTGTCATACATTATTTACTACGTCTGGAGCCCTTTACCGTAAGCAGACAGACATCTGCACGATTGAACAAGAACAACGAATATGAGTGGGAAAACTGGAGCCATCACTTCTCTACATTGTAGACTCTGCATATTCAGCTACAAAGCGGTCGTTTCGACGTGGCAGACCGGCAATTCCACTCCATCGCCGGCACCTGGGATCTCCTTTGGAATAATCCCAACGATGTGAAGGAGCTCATTCCTGAATTCTTCTACTTGCCTGAATTTCTCGTCAACATGAACGGTTAGCGCATTGTCTTCCAGACGATTAGATTGCAGTAGATATTGATCAGCGCTTGGTGTTCGAGCAGATTTCGATCTGGGCTGTCTGCAGCAAAGCAAAGAGCGCGTTAGCGACGTGTTGCTGCCGCGCTGGGCCAGCAGCGCTGAAGAGTTTATTCACCTGCACCGGGCGGCGTTGGAGAGTGAGTACGTGTCGGCGCACCTCCACGAATGGATCGACCTGATCTTCGGCTGCAAACAGCGCGGCCAGGCGGCCGTAGAGGCACTTAACGTCTTCTATTACTGCACCTATGAGGGCGCCGTCGATCTTGACGCCATCGTTGATCCCCTTGAGCGGCAAGCAACCGAGGGCATGATCAATAATTTCGGCCAGACGCCCTGCCAGCTGCTGCGCGAACCCCATCCCCGTCGCTTGACGCTGGAGGAAGCCACGCGTCGCTTTGTCGGTCTGGAGACGCCGGGAAGACTGCTCAATGCTTTCCATTACACGACGTATCTCAAAGCCTTCGTCGTTGAGGTAGGTGGCTGCTGCTCCATTTATGAATGAGCTCGCAATTGAAGATGCTTTCCGATAGGCCAACGCGGAGGATGACCCGCTGGTCTTTGTGGCTGTTCCGAAAATCCAAACCCGTAATTTGCTACAGCAAGGTATGAAGAGCGACCTCATCACGATCGGCGGCACCGGTGCACTGGGCCTGCACGTGTGGACGCCGTATGACCGAAACTCACCAAAGAATATGGCTTTCGAGCGGGATCCGACCTTGGTCGCCTCAAGGTGGGTGCCGTTGTGTACTTAGCTGTGATATTACTTTATTAGATTAGCTTCTGTAGCTTCCGTATTATTTTATCTGCGTAGTTGTTTTACGGTTTTACGCTTGTTTTTATTTTATTTTGTGGTGTTGATTTATCTGTTTTTCACATTTATTAATATTTGCATTTATTCAGATGATATGTTTCTGTTATGAACAGATACACTCGCAGCGTCGCTGGGCCCTTCCACCCCAGTCTCACCGTCACCTGTAACCTGTTCGCCGTTACGGCCGACTGTAAGTTGTTATTCTACGGCGGCAGCTGGGACAACAGTCTGCGCGTGTTCAATCTGAGCAAAGGCAAGACAACGGCACAAGCCGTCCACCATCGCGACCTGGTGACTTGTCTGGCCCTGGACAGTTTGGGTCTGCATCTGGTTACCGGCTCGCGCGACTGCACATGCGCTGTGTGGGAGGTATTACAGCAGGGCGGGCAGGCTTCAGGGCTCAACGGGAAGCCGTTGGTCAGTCTGTACGGGCACGATGAGGAGGTTGCCTGTGTTGCGCTCAGCGTGGAGCTCGACATGGTGGCAAGTGGGGCGCGCGATGCCACGATTATCCTCCACACGCTCAAGCACGGGTTGTTTGTGCGGACTCTGCGTCCGGGGCGCGGGGTGCCTATCAGCGTCAGGAACGTGGTGAGCCAGCTGATCATCACGTACGATGGGAAGGTGGTGGCGGGTTGCTTCTTCCCCGAGTGTAGAGAGGTGAGATCCACAAATTAATCACCACGGTCGACGCATTTAATGGAACGCAATTCACTGCAGGCCAAGCACAGCATACAAGTGTACTCGATTAATGGCAAACACCTTCACACGGCGGCGGTCGGTGCTGCCGTGACGGGGATGGCCGTGGCCGACGACTACATTGTCACCGGGGACGCTGAGGGGCGGCTGGAGATCCGCGAGTGCTTTCGGTCAGTATCACCATGTGACTGATGGTTGTGCGTACCAGCTGTAACTGTATCGTGTCGGTCGTAGGTTACGCACGGTGTACAGCATGCAGGTGTCCAGCGGCGTCAGCTGCATCAGTATCCCGCGCTCCAGCAGCCACATCTTCGCCGGCTTGAACGACGGCAAACTCATCATCGTGACCGTTGCACCTAACGTCCTGGAACTCATGCAGCAGCGGGACGCCTTTGGTGACCGATGAACTAGACAGATCATATAACGAGCAAAAGTGTGATGACAGTGGACGTGGTCTTTCTAACTCCCCGCTTGACGACAGCGAAATGTCGCTGCCCAAGCGAAGAGCGCGATTCCGCCCGCAGAGATGGCTATATCGAAACGAATTACTGATCTGACTGAGCAGTAGCACATGTCGATGCCGAAGAGCAATAGTCGGTGCTTGGCTGCCTTCTTTCCGTCGAGGACCACCGCATGTTGCCGCATTCCTTTCATACGACCATGCTTTCATTCTCCTGTCTCTTTTAATTTGTCGTTTTGTCCCGCACTGTTCTCTGTTGTTTTGTGCCTGTGTTAGTCACTGCAGATGCTCACTTAAATGGTGGCAGCTACCTTCTCTTTTACAGAGTTTTTCCCACAGTTTGCATGTAAATTATTCTTTACGATAAACAACAAAATTATTATTTACCAGTGTCAGTGTTTGACTCAAGCTCAGCTGCACACATCACTATTGAACGGATTATGAATAATTGGACGCTTTCGGCTATCTTATGGTTGTCAATTTGTAATCAATTAATTTTGTAACCACAAGTTTTTAGGCTTGGCGTTGGTTGGTCATCTGTCCGGTGTGGTGCCGCGCAATGCCTGACGCTGCTGATTGTAGAACAGCATTTCGTATGGCTTGCTTATGACGACACAAAAATTTCTCCAGGTTTGACATTGAATTACGAACGCGAACAAACACAGCGCTTCCCCTCGGAAATGCAAATCTTCGGCGTCATATCTTGTCAGTGGTAAGTGGTAACACTGGTACGTGCACGGTAGACCATGCGATGCTGGTATCAAAACTGCGGTCGATCCAGAATCGTTGCTTGTCTCGTTAAAGAATATAAAATTAAAAAGTAAGAAACTAAGCAAACTAATGTTAATGCAGATGGCGATACTTATGGCAGATGCTTAATTAGAGAAGAAAAAATCAAAAAGATCGTCGCGAACAGGACTTGAACCTGTGCGGGCAGAGCCCAATTGATTTCTAGTCAATCTCCTTAACCACTCGGACATCGCGACTTGCACTTCAGTTAAAATTTTATAAATCTTATAAGTACAGAATCGCTTGACAATGCAGTTTTCAGCCCAGAGAAACAGCGACCTGTGCACGGGCGGCATTTACTGTACAATCGAAAGCCGATGGTGAATTTTTACTGGCTTCCGTTTGCTGTGCACAGTGTGCAGTCCTTATTGTATGCAAAGTCACGCCAAAATGCAAATAATAAAAGCGAAGTAAACTGTAAATTATAAATACAAGTTTTTAAACGTTCATAAGATTTCGAGTCCTCACATCGGTCTGCAGTTTAATGATAGGTGTAAACTTTCAGCTTATTTAGGTCTTAGATCAGCCAAAAATCTTGTTGCGACCAAAATGCGCGATTGATCCATGGACGTGAAACGGCGCTGCTACTGCTAGCTTCAACCTGTTGAAGTGTGGTGCTGGTGGAACTGTGGCAATCATCACAGCCACGACACACCGGGTAAGGCGGGAGAAGTGTGGAAAAATTTCCTTGAGTGCAGACTGCTGCGAGAATGAACAGCGGAACGGGAACGGCATGGAGTCCGCTGGTGTTAATGGAGCGGCTGATGGGACACGAAGAGCGGGTGTGGTGCGTCAAGTGGAATCCCCAGGGCACTCTATTGGCCTCCTGCGGCGGCGACAGGAAGATTCTCGTCTGGGGCCAACAGCGACCGCCGGAGACCTCGACCGCCAGTGGTACGCATTCCTGTAACAAACTGGTTTTGGTGGATTCTAGCGTGATAATGATTATTTTTCGGCAGAGGCGTCACGCGTCGAGGGTAGTAGCAGTCGTTGGGTGGCCAAAGTGTGCTTGACAGAGGGCCACACGCGGACAGTGCGAGGTGTGGCTTGGTCGCCCAGCGGCCTGTACCTAGCCTCGTGCTCCTTCGACCGCACCATCGCCATCTGGAAGCGCCAACTGGATGATGACTCGCAGCAGTGGACCTTCGGCGCCATCGCCACCCTCGAGGGGCACGAGAACGAGGTGAAGTCGGTGGCCTGGTCCGCCTCGGGACAGTACCTGGCCTCCTGCAGTCGCGACAAATCCGTATGGATATGGTCATGTGTGTAATGCCCTCATTTCACACGATTATCGAGAATACTTATAAAACTATGCTTGGGAAACTGTTTTCGTAACACCGATTCTCGGTTGTGCAGGTGAGTACGACGACGAGTACGACTGCCTTAGCGTGCTGCACTCCCACTCGCAGGATGTCAAACGCGTGGCTTGGAGCCCTGTAGATGATGTAAGTCCACAGTCGATCCATTTGATAATTGCTGGTGAAAATCGCTCGTTTTATCCGCTGATCGTCTGGTTAACGAACTCATGACAGCCGGCGGGAAACGTGTTAGCCAGGTAGGTTTTCAGTGCATACGGTGAAATCGCGAAGGGCGATGTATGGTGATTCACCGCGGGTGTGTTGATCAGAAAAAGGGCATCTCCCGACTGGTGGCGTGTTGCGTCGCCGGTCATCATGGGACAGCCCGCTGGGCCACAAGGCCGCAGCCGTGGCTGCTGAATCGCTATCAAGAGATTTGGGATGCATAATTTTTGTAACACGTGGCTGCTGGCTGCCCGCTGCTCCGGCGCCACACCAACACCAAAGAAAGTTACGGTATAAGAGTTTTAATTGCGGATATTTCGATACGTTTGTATCAAACTTTCTCTAAGTTATACAATTAACAGCAGATAGGTGATCGTTGTAGGTGCTGGTATCGTGTAGTTACGACAATACCGCCAAACTGTACAAAAACGACCCTAATGATGACGACTGGACGTGCAGTGAAACCCTGAACGGTCATGATTCCACGGTATGGAACAGACGTGTGAAATCGGAAAGCAGTGATCAGGTCGTTTCATGGCAGGTGTGGGGAGTGTGCTTCGATAATTCCGGTCGGCGTCTGGCCACCTGTAGCGACGACAACACCATCAAAATCTGGCAGTATTTCGAGGGTGATGTCCCGGGTACGATCTGTTATAAATCAGTCAAAATGGATGCCTTGATAATGAGTGGATACGTTGCATTTGCAGCGGCCCCTGGAAGTCAGGGTGAAGGGAACGGCACCCCGGGATTTAAAGCGAAACGGAAGACTGAAACCTCCTCGCATTGGCGCTGCGTGTGCACGCTGAGCGGCCAGCACGAGCGAACTATTTTCGACGTGGATTGGAGCCATGTGCACGGCGCTCTGGCCACAGGCAGCGCAGACGACGGCCTGCGAGTCTTCGAGGAGGATTCCAACGTCCGCGACCGGTTGCGCGAGCCGCAGTTTAATTTGGCGGCACACCAGCGCAGCGCCCACGCTCAGGACGTCAACGCTGTCACCTGGAATCCACATTCGGACACGGCTGACCTCCTGGCATCCTGTGGCGATGACGGCATGGTGCACATATGGCGCTACACACGGCCATCTTAAGGTCAAGCCAGAGCGTCCTTGTAGCGTTCCCTTCGACTTTCTGATGTGATGATGCTTGTGGCTATTATAGTACGTACAGAGTCACAGACCGCCTTAAGACTGACAAATGCCTTTTTTATTGTGACGCTAAGAGAATAAAAGATTGCCGGCAAAATCTGCACAAAAATAACAACTGCCACGCTGTGTCTGTAAATGCTGACGGCAATTATCCACAAAAAAAGGAATAGGAACACAATAATATCAGTGAGCAAAGCCAATCCTCACAAGATACTGAGCGTCATTGTAATTACCAGCGCTAACAAAATCAACAATTCGGAATAGAAGAGATTACGATACGCGTAAGGTATAACAAATAAACAAAGTGCTAATAAGAAACAATTAAGGGTTCATCGGTCAGAGTGGACCGGGCCGACGAGCGCCCCGCGGAGGACGAGATTTTAAAGACGATTGTCGACGATTCGCGGGAAAAGCAGGCCGAAAAAGATACCCGACACCAGGAAAAAGGCCGCTGTTTGGCCTGCCTTGGGCGCCAGACGCTTATCCTTTACTTGTCTGCAAAATAGCGCGCTTTATTGCCACATCCGCAACATTAAGTGTTAACCCACCAACAAATATGAGTAGACACTTACTGTGGGGCGTACATCATCGTCAGACTACTGAAATAACCACTGGTAAGCCCCAGTAACATCTGGCCGCCGAAGAACCACCACTCATTCATGAAGTACACCGGCAGCTTCCGGGGGTACAACTCCTTGCCGCCGGTATTTTGCATGTTGCAAAAGATGAAGAAAGGGATGAAGAGCGCTCGCAGCAAAACGGGGATCCACACCCAACGGGGACCCGGCTACAATTGCACGCACGTTCTAAGTGACTACATACCAATCGCGGAACACCTTCCTGATGCAGTTACCCAGATGAAGAGACTGGGCAAGAGGTTGCCAACAAATGCAAACAGATTGAAATTGAGGAAGAGGCCGATGGAAATGAAGTAGGCCCCGAAGATCGACCCCCCCTTTTGCGGCTCTATGTTCAGTCCGAAATTGGGGAAGCAGGCCAAGGTGACGAAGAAGACGAAGAACACGTTCCAGCACTGAATCCATACCTGCAATCCATCCGAGCAATATCGTTATCGAAATCAACCGACGACGGAAATCAGAAATGCAATCAAAGCGTCATATATGCTCATATATGCGTTGGCTTGCTCTACGTGCATGCTTGAAGTGCATACCTGCTTGAAGGTGATCCATAGCGAATGAATGTGCTCTTTGAAGGATTCTCGCTCTGGCGCCGGTGTATTGATACTGCGCTCTTTACGGCTGAAGAAGTGCCGGTAGTAGGCCTTTAAAATCATACAACTGGGTATTCTAAGCATTCACAAAGACACAGTTGTCTCGCTTACCAGCGAAGGCAGAATAAAGTAGGTGCCGAAGACAAAAATCATGAAGAGCAGCGCAATGAGAAAATACGTGAATCCATGCCAGCCTGAGCGGCCTTCAAAGACTGCAAACCGACTCGATTAACGCGTACAACGATATGGTAAAGTGGCGATTTCCTGCTGACTTACCCGACTGGGACATAATGTTCAAGAGCGCGATAAAGGTGCCGCAAATGTTCTGCCAAAACAATTGCATTACATCCTATACGCAACCGCAAATACAAGTGATTATCACTTACATTGCCGGTGATGATGGCGTTGGTGTAGCGGCCGGGAAGTGAGGCTCCCACTCCGAAGAGACTGTTCTGGTAAATACCACCGGCCACTAAACATTACGGATACACTGAGACCTTAAACACTGTTCGCCATTTAACAGCCGTCAAGGCGATACTTACTGTTCACAACCACCACAGAAGCCATGGAGATGACGTAGAAGGTGGGCGTCCCTGTGAAAACAATCAGAAGTCAGCCGGGTAGATTGCACAGATAGCGCGAAAAAAGCCAGGGGCCTTACAAAGCGTGCTGTCGATTATGGCCAAAATGCAGGTTTCCATCAGGACCACTATGAGGATGACGATGCTGATGGCGATGCGTATGGTCAGATTGCCGCCCCTATAACAACCTTGTCAGTTCTATAATCAGCGCACACACCAGACACCTTAACAGTGCTCAGCTCACCCGATATTCACGAAGAGATTAAGAGCGTTGAGAATGAGGTTGGGCATCTGGGCGGCGACAACCATGTCGTTGGACCAGCTGTTGCGGAAGAAGCGGTTCACTTCAGCAGGATTGGAATCATTGCAGACCGCCGAAAACGACTCATTCAGGCTGGGACAGTAGTACCCGAATTTGTAACCCTTAAAATACTGAAACAGACGAAGTCGTTTTTTTAAATAGTTTTAAATGTTTATAACTGTCTGTGAAGTGCACAGATAATGGAGACTGACCTCGGATGCGTTGATAAAGACGTTCCAAGGCAGCAGCACGCCCATGCCGTGCACCAGCATGATAAGGAAGACCAAACGGTAACTGCAACACAGCAGCAACCGTAGAACATCCCAGGCAATAATCACTGCAAATTGAGACGGAGCGACGTGCTTACCGATCACTGGGAGCCGAGAGATCCGCCTTCTCGTAGTCCTTGGCCGGCAGTTCGTCGTCGTCGGCGGGACTGGAGCGGATGATGCGCACCGTGGAGACCTCCGTCGAGGGCAGCAGGGCGCTTTTCTCGGGGCTCTCCAGTCCGTCCTTCCCATCTACCCAGGAAGCACAAACCTTCACCACTCAAACCAATTATTAGTTCACAAATTCTGCTATGTGAGGTACGAGGTACTGGCAAAGAACCTGCGCGGTTCGCTGCCGCGCTCGCTTCCGCCGCTCTTACCCGGAGAGTGCAGACCGTTCAGGCGCAGCTTGCTGGTGTCGCGCCCACTGCTATCTGGATAATAGCTCACTTCCGGCATCTCGTAGGGCGCCACGGCCGACCTGTCAGACCAGCGCACCATCAGGAATACCCACTTGAGATGCCAATGGTACCTTCGAGAAACCACAGGCTGTACCTGTCATGACTTCGGCCCGAATACGCCATTTCATCCGCTTACAGTCTCTGCTTCTCCCGGGAACAGACCGCTTGTTGAGGATTTCTCACCACACCGCAGAGGCTGATAAGAAACGTTGCGGTGGAGCAAGAGTTAGCCTGCTAATATGGGGGCCTAACGAGCAGCAGTACAATCAGCTGACTTCAGTTCAACTTGATCAATGTCCACGGTACAGAGCGTAACCGACAAACCTGCGGATACTGGTAACCTCAAATGATAAACAATGAAATAGGGAACAAAACAGATAACCCACTTGAATCTGGTTCTTTTGTATTCTGCAGACACTTGCACTTTCCACGATAAACGCTGCAACAGCCGAATTTGAAAAGCCACGATAAAGCCGTTGCTGCAAGCCTGCAACTTGCCATTCTGTCTTGTCTGATCACTCTCTGATGCAACTCATGCTGATAAACGCGGCTTCTGTCATTCGTTCGTGGCTCGGGCTAAACCGCTGTGACGGCTCACGCCGGTCCGAGTGCGGATGATGTTGGTAACTTGGTGTGTTGATGACTGCTGCCGTCTCTGGGCGGCTGTCCCTGGCAATTGTTTCGGAGACCGAGCATCAAGCATGGCGTGGTCAACTATGGAAATCAAATTAAGATTATCATTTTGAATAACAGAATCTGAATAATTACATATTAATATTAAATATTAATACTACTAAGTAATAGATGTTCAAAGACAATGTCTCCCGGCCTTTCGCCTTCAGCGGCCGGAACTTAAACTATGTACACCAACTTTCATTAATCATAACGCAGCGTTAATGCGAGTACATATTGTAACAGTGGCCTATCTGGCTACTGTTCTAGTGGGGTGGCGATCAGCCTTTACCACGATTAAACGGCTGTTGGTGTGAAAGGTGGCACGGCCGGCAACGATGCTGGCCGAGGACGCTCTTACTGATGTACACAATTACACAGGTGGCTCCGATTGGGATGACACAGGTTCATCCCAAAGCGGTCAAACACAACAACGTAACTCAAGGCATGTTTAATGACAAGAAACGGAGCAAGGTTGTAAGCAAGGGTTTCGGCAAGAGGAACAATCAAGTAGATGCAAGCTGTAGCAAGCTGAGCACAAGACTGAATTCTAGAAATTCATGAGAAAGGAAACTAGCCGGTAAAATGGACAAATTCATAACGCGATGGAATGATTCATCATAACTAGGCGGTCTTATCGTTCGTACAAATACTATCGCTACATCCCTCACGGTAGCGATGAGATATACCTGTCTCATCAAGACAACAAAACAAGTGACATAAGAAAACAGGAAAATTAAGCGTTAGGAATTAGTAAACAGTAGAACACAATGGTCCGGGATGATCCTTAACGTACGGCATGATGGTCCCTCCCGTTGAACTACCACGAGAATCCATCCGGCGATCGGAAGGATCCTACAGTCAGGTTCCGCTGGATTGTCCGGGATTGGGAAGGGGTTCCTCACGGTATCCGGAAATTTTCCGCGTTTATCCGGCGATGTGGGGGAGTAGTGGGAGTTTCACATAAGGGCAATGTGCCGTCGTTTGGGTGAATAATTTTATGAGGTTGTCTCATTAACTGCCGGTAGAACGGTGACTGAAGAATACTTTGTATGATCGAAGCCATTGCTTTTAATTTGGACTTTAGAGGTGTTGATTTTAATTTACTTTTTGATAACTTTGATGGAAATTTAGCTTTTGACACTTCTTGTGTTAAGGAAGTCTGTTCTGTATGCTGAACTTCATCGCTTTCGGCAACTGCTTTTAATTTCGGCGATACCAATGCGGAGATTTCAGTTATTAATTTTTCGCACATTTTCAATTTTTGTGGAATCGTTATGTTTTTACTAGAAACAGTCCGACAATTCGAACAATTATTATTTAAGCTTTTAACGACAGATGACTGAATGTAAGGTGTTCGCGGTCTGAGAAAATCAGATGTTTGCATATTTTCTCGTTGTTCAGTTAATATCAGTCTGCAACGAGATGCCGATTTATCCAAACGATTACTGTAAAAGTTAATTTCTTCAGTATCGTAGAATTTAGGGGGTACATAGGCATGTCCATAAGGCCCTCCTTTATTATAAGATCTTAACCGTTTTCCTTGTTCACTGTACCAAAAGGAATCTCCTCTTCGGCGTAACATGTATTTTATAAAGTTGTCGTACTGTGACTGCACTTTGGCTTTAATGTCATCGGGGCATATGCGCGGTAATGTTTGTTTGTCGTCAAGGCTGAAATTTGTGCATTCACCATACGAATGGAAAAAATCTTTACATTTAGGACAAAATAATTTCCCATTGTGTAGTCGATAGCTGTCGAAATCGATGAATTTTGGATGTACAATTTTGTCCGCGTTACAGTGTTTCCGATTATAATATTTTGAGCGATCTCGTTTGAGGGAATTCTTGCAAAGTCGTGGAGGATAATATTTTTGACTGTGAACACGTTCGCGCGAGTAACTGCGGTGCGACTCACGACGATACTCGTAACTACGGTTTCGTTCGCGATAATAATTTTGGCTTTTCCAGTGACTTGAACGATAATGTCTTTTATTGTCTTGACTGTCGGGCGAGTAGCGACGGTAATGTTCACGGGAATACTGCGAACGTGAGCGGTCACGATGCGCACTGGGTGACCGATTGCCATCATAACTGCGGCGATCTCTGTAATATTCATTATGTGCGCGGCGCCGGCGTGGGACCGGTGACCGGTGGTCATCTGAACCGCTAAAGTCACTATAATTTTCATGACGAGCGCAATGTCGGTGCACGGCGTCGTCTCTGTTGTTACTGTACGAGTACAGGTCACGATCAGCAGGGCGATTAATTTCTACATTTCTCGACTGTGGAACTGAGCATTCTGCTTTGTCAGCATTATGTAATTTTACGAGCACAGAACGAATGTCAGGTAATGTAACTGCCTTTGACAATGCCAGAAACTTCCGGTATTCTGGTACATCAAAAAGCGTGCGGTGGACTTCAGCAACTTTATAGGAATCGGGCATGTTAGGATCGATTTCGTTAAAAAGTATCTGTAATTCATCGAGAAAATCGTTAATGTCTGTTCCTTTTTGGTACATCATTTTGGATAATTTAGGGCGTTTCTTGACGACATAATCAAAAGGAAGAAAACGATCAATTAATTCACTTTTCCACTCTTCGTAACTTAATTTTGAGCATGTAGGCCAATTGCACTCAAAGTATTGACGTGCTGCATCACCAAGGTAGGTAGGTAATATGCAAATTTTCTGGATTGAACTCCATCCGATTGCATCGGCAGCTCTCTCGAATTGTTGGAAGAAAGCTGTTATACTATAATCTGGTTGATCGTTAAAAACTTTGATTTTGAAATCCTTCCCACTTAATCTTTTTTGCGACTGTAAAGCAAGCGCTTGCAACACGCAGTTAAAATCAAACTGTCCTTGCTCATTTGTAATGTTCGCGATATGAGGAGGTGCGATGTGCTGCGCAGCTGTGTGTACGGCAGACTCTCTCTGGGCAGTTGCTAACTGAGCGCTATGCAAAGCAATGGGAGTGAGTGACTCATCGGAAGGCTCATCATCTGAAAATGAAATTAATGTTTCTTCCCGTTTATAACGTTTCTCCAGTCTGTTGTGTAAAAGCATCGGTTCTGTCTGACCGGCATCGGTGCGTTCTGTGTTCCCACGCGCTGTGGTCTGTTCAGTGCCTTTCCTTGTATGTGCGCGTGCATCTGTAATGTTGCAGGCCAGCAGGGCAGGAGACACACGCTGGACAGCAGACGTTGATGTTGTGCTGTCTCTGTGTAATGTCGGCACACTCGGCACTGAAGGCGCGCGGAGATTTTCAGTGTTGTCATTCTTCACATATCCATTCGGCAAGGTGATGTTGTGCTTCACCATGTGGGAAGATAATTTTTCAACATAGCCTGACCTAGACACTTTCCGGTTAATGTAAACGTTAAGACTATTGCTGATGTCCTGCAACTGCGCTTTGGTGAGTTCACCAAGCTGAGACTGCAAACTTATCTCCTCAGATTTCATTGAACTGGTGGACCATGACAGTTAATGTTGTGCTCTCAGAGCATCTAGACCAGTGTTTACGATTCACAAGGAAGTTTTGGCGCGAACCAGACCACGGCGGCACAGCAGCGCCGGGTGAACAACGGTAATATAACGGTTAGCCAAAGCGCGAACAAATAATGCAGCAAAAATTATTTTTCTATATTCGCAGTTTTAAGATTTTCTGATAAAATGGCATCGTAACAGGAACAGTGATATTAATTAATTTAGCGTTCGGAAAATTAATATAAAACTTTGATGTTATTAATGTATCAAGACCGAAAAATGCAAATCTCACTGCATCAACTGACACAGTTACACTCACGAAACGGCGATCCGTTCCGGGACTTCCGTTGGTTGGTGTGGGAAGTGGCGATGGTATGTAAATCGCGGGTGTAGGCTGCAGGCGTCCAGGTGGTATGGTTCTTTACAGGAGCGCCATGTAACAGTGGCCTATCTGGCTACTGTTCTAGTGGGGTGGCGATCAGCCTTTACCACGATTAAACGGCTGTTGGTGTGAAAGGTGGCACGGCCGGCAACGATGCTGGCCGAGGACGCTCTTACTGATGTACACAATTACACAGGTGGCTCCGATTGGGATGACACAGGTTCATCCCAAGCGGTCAAACACAACAACGTAACTCAAGGCATGTTTAATGACAAGGCGTTCAAGAAACGGAGCAAGGTTGTAAGCAAGGGTTTCGGCAAGAGGAACAATCAAGTAGATGCAAGCTGTAGCAAGCTGAGCACAAGACTGAATTCTAGAAATTCATGAGAAAGGAAACTAGCCGGTAAAATGGACAAATTCATAACGCGATGGAATGATTCATCATAACTAGGCGGTCTTATCGTTCGTACAAATACTATCGCTACAATATTTTGCATGATAAACCGGACTACTGCCAGTACTCGTACTTCCTTACTCGTAGTCGTAGACTCGTAGGTACTGTATTTCGGGATCTCCCCTTGTGGAAATAATTTAATTTTAAGAAATAATTATAGTGCACACTTTACATGTCATCAGCTTCCCGTCTTGTGGCAGGTGATCGTTACCATCGTTAGCACAAAGGCCAGATTCCAGAATAAAGTACTGTACAATATAACCACTGCACACCGATATTACCGTGTTCGCGTACAGAAGCGAAAATCATAAGTACACACCCGGCAAGCAAATGCCAGGCTTTACAAACTTATTCTACATACTGTACTTATTGTTAATTATTGTACCGTACTCATATATTGTACACATGTCATATGTTACTGGCTTCCGCTTAGTGCAGTAACACATCAAAATTTACAGAGATAACTCGATTTTGCAGTTTTTAGGGACATAACAGATATGATTCCCATACTCCTTTCCGCCGTATACGAGTTAAACAAGGAAATTTACGCTCCTTCAGTCACGTAGCGGCTTCGCGGAGTAGTGAAACCTATATATACCTGAATAATAACCTAATATGTAGTTAAACGGCTTGCAAATATTGACAGCACCATTCCGGTTTTGTGATATGGACAATATGCGCACTTCTACTACCGTCGCGGAAAAATGAAGATGTTCGGAAGTGGAATTTGCTGGCAACGGCATGGCATCGTTGTTACTCATTGTTAAGCTGTCCGCAGGCAGTATGTCAGTAGCAGCAAGGTGTTCGTACGCCGAATCAACTATCAATCTTCGGAGACTTGGCGGAGGAACTGTTTCACTTGCTGCTTACCGCACGCTGAGCACGCGCTGATTAATATTTGTCAACCATGCGGCAAGTAGCGGTGATATTCCCGGTCTTCCTCCTCCAGATAGTCAATGGTACGTAATCTGCGTGTGGCGTATAGGTGTACTTAAAAACCGTGACGAAATGGTGACCTTTGTGCAAATTATGTTTGGCGCGCAGTGTACGGGTCGGAGGCCAAGCTGAGCCGGCGTGTACGGCAGGCGGGGGCGTTGGCGCGTGATGTGGAGTGCCTAAAGGACGTGGGTCTGTACCGGAGACCGGTGAAGGAATGGGACGATCCCACTAACCCGGTGCTGACCTGCAGTGATTTCTACGAATGCACGCACCTCGGCACCGTGCGCTACTCCTGCGGCAAACGTCAGCGCTTCAACGTCTTTAGTGGTTCTTGTGACTACGCCAAGAACGTCAACGAAACCAACTGTGCCACCACGTCCAGTAAGTCATGCAGTAAAAATATAGGAATATGACCTTGTAATCAAAAATAGATATCTACACTCATATCGCCTTATGCGGCACCATTTTGCTGGCTCGAGCGTTAATGTCGAATTATTTTTTTCAGAGGCTAATTAATATAATAGTAATGATCTTTAACTTGTGATTTGTGAATATGTAATTGCACGTGTCCATATGAATATTATATGGTTGCCAACACAGTTACGCTTTCAGAGGTGGGTCGACCGCAGCTGCAGGCGGCCAACTGTCCTGCCGGTCAGCTGGGCTGTTTCGGCAAACAGTGCATCCCCACGGAGAAGTTCTGCGATGGCAATCAGGACTGCCAGGATGTAAGCAGATTTAAATTTTAAAACTTTTTTAGTAAAGTGATATTGTTCACGTCAGCCGTACGTGCATATCCTAATTTATGACATATTGTGTTAATTATTTGCAGGGTTCGGATGAGGCTTACTGCGGTACGTACTCTACCCCACGTGCACACATGTACAATACATATAATGTACGAATGTAACAGCTACGGGTAGTCCACCGGCGTGGTAATCCAGCCGCGTTTCTTCATGGTCCCCATATGCACAAAAAACCGGTTGATTAACGGTTAATGTCTTAATCAGTAACGGCATGGTCGATATGTACATTAATTGTATGTTGGCACTTGGTAGGAATCAACGATGATCCTAATGCGGCCCCGGTGTGCGACGAATCCAAGTGCAAGCTGCCCAACTGCTTCTGCAGCCAAAAGGGCACGCGCATCCCCGGTGATCTGGATCCGGCGCAGGTGCCGCAGATGATCGTCCTCAGCTTTGACGATGCCGTCAACTCCAACGTTCAGGTAAAGCACTATAAGAACTAAGCCCTAAGCGAAATATACGACTGCTGCCGGAAACAGAGAAAGGTGCTGGCGGTACAATGTCATAGTGGCAATAAAGGCAACTAGCACTCGCTACGCTTCTTATGTCGTCGATATCTAACCGAGTAAATTATTTTTTGTGTTCTAGCCCATTTACGACGCATTATTTAACCCCGACCTGAAGAATCCCAACGGATGCCCCATTCGTGGCACTTTCTACCTGTCGCATCAATGGACTGACTACCGCATGGTGCAGCAGCTCTTCAAGGACGGCCACGACTTCGCCTTGCACTCCGTGTCGTAAGTGCATGAACATCCGCTTGCTAAACCCGCTGCCTGCATATACACACAATATTTACGCCACTGACACCGGCTTTCTTTTCTCTCTATCTTCTTCATGTGCGTTGGGGGCAACAGTGGCACCGAGGCCGCATCCCCGTAAGTTGACCGCTTCCCGCAGTCACTAAACTGTTGTAAACCTGTACGAATAGAAAGAAGTGCAGATAAGAACGGAGCATGCTCCCGAGAAATGATGACAGTTTAACGGTCTGCAGTGTACGCTTTGATATGCCGGTCGTTAAATTAATGGCAGTCGCCGCTACTGACCGACCTTGTGTTTAGGCAATAGGCCACTAGTGCATGCGCTATGAATGGCTGGCATTGAACTTCTTGTTGCCGAATGTTGCATAATTGTCCACAGTGCCAAAACAAACCAGCAATTTTAACTGCAGCTGTGTAGCATGGTTCTTGTACGTCTATCGCTGCTGTTGTTGTACGTGACGTGCTTTGGGCTTGGCGTAGCTTACTGATATGCTTCAGATATTGTGCGCTGGACTACCTACATAACATTCATAAAATTAATGCTAATCATACTTCTTCTGTGATTATGGTGGTTAAAAAGACTCACGAGCTTACATACGTACACAACTGGATATGTATACGACCGTGTTACTTTGCATTATGTTAACAATGTCTTTAGTTGGACAACTACAGTACCATAATTATTAACTATTAGCAACAGACCAACAGTAAACGCCATAGTAGTTACAAAATTCGTTATTTTACATCGGAAATTCGGATGCGGATATTTGTGGCATCTGTTAGTGCTATATCAAAACAGTGAAAATACATTACATATGTTTATAAATTACAACCTCTGCTTTGAGATGGTATTATAATTACTATTAATTTTATTATAATTATTATTATTTTTTGCTGTACGGTACATGCGAAATTTCAGATTTATCCAGCAATGCTGGACATTCTTCGGTAGATTCGCTACCAAGCCTTTCGCATGTATTACAGACACAAACGCCCCGAGAACTACTGGGATTCGGGTGACATCATCAAGACGTACACACAGGAGTTCATCACCAACCGCAAGATCGCCAAAGAGTTCTCACAGTTCCCCGATGAGGCCTACTTCAAGGGAATGCGCGTGCCGTGGCTGCGGCTGGGCGGCAACCGACAGATCCAGTTCATGCAGGCCAACGGCATCCTGTACGACCACACGGTCTCTGCGCCGCCCGGGCCCGCCAAAATCTGGCCCTACACCCTGGACTACCGCATGCCGCATCGTTGTATGGCCGCCAACGACCAGTCCTGTCCCACACGCAAATTCCCGGGATCCTGGATCTTCCCCATCAACCAGATCAACGGCTCCATCGAGAGCGGCCCGGCCAAGGGTCAGTACTTCTGCACTATGATGGAGATCTGTCCGGCACGCGGCTACGACGAGATGCTGAAGATGCTGCAGAGTAACTTCCGGGCGCACTACGAGACCAACCGGGCGCCGCTGGGTCTCTATTTCCACGCTGTGAGTCTTATGTTGCCCGTGTTATGGTGCTAACAGCGCTGCCCAGTTCCCACGAGTATGCGCGTCACTTGTGGCCAGATAAGCAGTTAAGCAAATCTGATAGACCGGCGATGACGTTGGCCGACCGGGCCAGGCCGGCAACGGCAACACAGTAGACGGGGTAGCGACGGTTTTGCCGGCAAGGCAGTTAGTTGTCTTATCAGCTGTACATCGCTTTGACCTGGATAAACATCATTAACGTCAATTGCGGCCGCACGCGCTGATTCATGATGTGTTGATGATTGCGCAAACCCGGATCAATATAGGATGGTTTTGTTTATCGCGCCTATTTTCAATCTGCACCCGTTCTCGTATAGTTGTTGTGTATTGGTTACATAATTAGGGAATCACTTTGATTGCCCCTGTACATCAGGTTGAGTCATGAGTAGGTGTCGGGTGATAATTGGTGAACTGATTATGCGCGACGTGTGATAGTACAATGACATCAAATTGCGCAATAGTATGCAATAGTTACGACGCGCCTTTTCTTGTAGCGCTGGTTCATCGACGAGGGTCACTTCCCGGCCCTGCAGGACTTCATCAAGCAGGTTCTGAGTAATTACACGGACGTCTACTTCGTCACGGCCTACCAGGTGATGAACTGGGTGCAGAACCCCACCCCCGTTAACCCCAAAATGGATGCCTTCGCTTGCCCCGCCCGCGACAACGTTCCCGCTGCCTGCGCGCCGGCCGCCGCCGCTTGTGGTGAACTCCCGCCCATTAACAACGCCACTAACACGCCGTCCGGTGTGTTTTTCACCTGCCGACAAAATGCCAACCGCTGTCCTCTTATGTACCCGTGGATCGGCAATTGGCTGGGCATGCCCGACACCTACGAGAAAGGTACAACGACAAGTGCAATACTTCTGTAACACACGTGCTACCGGAGGTGGCACAATTAAAAAATTGAAAATTAACAATTAATATTGCACTAATCCTGCACAACGAGTACCACTCTAGTTTTGTAATATGGAATACATATATGTTAAGATTCACCATAGTACAGCATGATGAATCAACTCGATATTATACACAATAGTATTTTAATGTACTAATTTAATAATTTAATAACTATGCGCTTTTTCCTGCAGGGTTTGAACCAGTGGGCGGTCCACCGGTGACCGCCGCCCCAGCGCAGCCACAACCCCAGCAAGCGGCAGCCCAGGCGGCTCCCGCTCAGCCTCAGCCACAAGCCCCGCCTCCACCTCCACCCCCTCGGGCTTAGTTTTTATTTTAGCGACAACGATTAAGCACAATTCTTATTTGCTGATTAATTGTTTTTTAAGTTGTACCTTTGCGGTTGAAGGCAAACTCAGCGGGTAGACGTTACATTACTGTTTGGAAAGAACTTCAGTTGAAGACTTCAGTTGAAGAAATAAAACGGAAGTACTAGTGATGCAGCCGTACTGATTTTTTGCGCCTGGTTATCACACCCAAGAAAACTGGAATGCGCGAAAGAAATACAACAATGAAAAGCTTTTTTAGCCGAAGTAGATGTATTTTTATAAATAATGTATGTCTGGAGTTATGGGAACTTGGTACGCGCAGAGCCGGAAGAAGTCATTGATACGCCGTAGCACAGAAGAAGTCATTGATACGCCGTAGCACAAGGCTCGAGTATTGAATATTGCGGTTTCATTTTCAGGTGGTTTCTGCATAAACTGGGACAAATGTTGATTCCCAGCTAATACGAGCCCTTTCTGAGTAATACTGTAGTACTAGAATGTAAGAATAATCATTCAAATGTAATTGGCAAACACTACTGAAACCAATAATTTTTGTCGTGAACTGGCCAGAGCGACGGGCCGGGCCAGACAGCCAGACTGTCTGCGTTTAGTGTGTTATGCTGCGACGAGTCGCTTGCCATGGTAAGACATTTGTCCGGTACGGCTTGCATGAAACTGAGCACAACATTTTGTGGTGTGGTGGCAACAGCACGGTATAAAAGCTGGCAAAGTGGCATCTTCTAAAATTGTTTCTTGAATTGTAAAAGTAAAAGGTGTAAAACTATTGATAGACTGATATAGTTAGTTATCCAAGCGGTAATTTGCTGACTATTTGAATGTTGGTTAATAGTTGCGTCAGTAAGAAGGGATTGTCTTTTAATTGCAACAGTTCTTCGCTTGATATAACAATTGCAGCGTCGTTTTCTGTTTGTTTGTTTTGATCCAGTGTTGCTATCCGAAGTCGGTCGTAGTCGAGCAGTGCTGTGAGAGCCGCCGGTCCTTTCCTGAGACGATTGGACAGAAGGGTGCACGTGGGGGCTGCAAGTACTGGTGTGAAATAGCAGAGCGACGGTGGATGGGAGCGCCAAGGTAATTATTGATCGGGGAACCAACTGTGTGTGTGTGCTGCGAACGGCGAGCGAGTGCGCAGTGACTGATCGCATGTCAGGGACGGAATGCTGCTGATGTTCTTATCCCACGGGACGATTAGCGACTACGCTCACAAGGCTCCTTAAGGCTTCTTTAGAGGTACATGTTCGATAATTTTTTGCCTTGCTTGATTTTTGTGTTGTCGTCGTTTGTCGAATAGATTGGCGCGCGTGCGAGTGATTGCAATAGCAGGCAAAAACTTACAATTGACGTCTAATTGAGCAGTAAATCAAGGTGATTTCCGTGATTTCGGTTTTTTATTGGTCTTGGGAATTTTATTTAAAACTCCTTATTTTGCGTTTGCGATGCGTTAATGCGCCAACTGAATAGGTGGCAAGTGTTGCGCTGGTTGTTGGTTGTTACTGTTTGAATTTACTATATTTCCTCGTTGCACCTGCATCGTTAATATAATTATTAGTGTGGTTAAATTTTTACGGTAACTGAGTAACTCGCTGTGCTTTTTTAGCTTATATACATGTATAAAACATAACCTTTATTGTTATCTCCAGTAATTGTTGGGGTTTTACGCAAAAATCACCTTTATAAGTCGTAAGTGTTTCAGTATATGATTACGGTACTCGTAGTAGAAATAAAAATGCGGGATTTATTAATAATTATTCAGCATCTTACCATTAGTTCAGTTTAAGGCTATAACCTGTAGACTGTAATTAGAGACTGAAATACGTACAGTAAGTAGTAATCATTGTTGACTTGACGAAAGTTGGAACAAGTGTTTTATATGTTTTATGAACGTTTCTTATTGTTTTATTTGTAAACCTTTAGGAACGTTTTTTGGTATTAGCTGTAGATATTCGATTTTAATAAAATGAAACAGTTCGCTGATTAATTTAGTATACTGTATGGATATGGAAATGGTCGACCAAATCGTGACTGCAAGAACTGCAGTATGTCCTTATCAATCAACACTTTCAACAGCAATAATAATTGTTGTTATTGTGCAAGCAGTCTCAGCTGGCTGGCGAGAGTACTGAAGTACTGCGCATGCATAGTTGTGGTTTTCGGCTGCTTATTGTTAGCGGTGGTTGCAGTTTATGCAGCGGCGAAGAAAGATAATACGTGAGTGGAAGGTGTTGTGGAACTACCTCATCGATAAAATATCATGCGTTGATTGTTCTACTCGCGCCGCACACCTTATTTCCGCTGACATCAGCCGCAATGCGCTAGTGCAGTACAGTACTACAGTGGAAGTACGACGTAACCTGCTGCGGCAGCCGGCCAACGTTGGCTGGTACTTAGGTACTTACTCTACTCTGTACTACAACTGCTAACTTGTAAGGAAATGATGAGTGCCATGCAAGCTGCTGAATTTCAAGCGTTTTCCCTAAAACTGCGCGCGTCTTCTCGAAATAGAGAAGAGTTTCTTTTAAAATACTGCTCAGTACACCTTTATTGGTCAAACCAAACACAAGGCGCAATGTATCGAAACATAATAGATTAACACAAGAATGAGTTACAACAGGTAAATCTCATTTAATTTATCCGCTTCCCCAACGGTCCCGAGTACAGATGTCGCGTTTCCTCTTTGGATTTCAAGCGACAATCGTTGTCGCAGAAATTCGTGTGAGCGAGACTCCCCGGTATGTAGCTGCAGTCTTTTGCCTAATTCTTTGACAATGGCAATTGCAGAGGGTCCCCATGGTCCCATCGTTTCAAAGGCAATTGGTGCAAAAATGTAACGGCCGACTGCTCTAGTTCTCCTCGCACAGTCGCACCCACTGGATATTCTGCTGGCTTTAATTAGAATTAATTTGCAGGCACTCAAAATATCTGTTTTGTTCTACTGCTGCTGAGTACAGACTTACTTACCTTTATGTAAAAGTGCTTAAATTGCACTAAAATATTTTCACGTTGGGGAGTTTGGCAAGTCTCTTTTAAATAGAAATTATTGTAAATTAAAATAAGATGTATGTAAATACTATAATATAGTACAACTCACAGCGGCATAAATTAATGTCCAGAGTACTGACTGTACTGTATAAAATATACCCGCAGAGTACTGCATAGAATATATATACCCGCGCAGGGTTTGTAGTTATACTTCTCGTTTGTCGACCTTATGTAATAATTGTTTCTGTTCTGTGTTGTTTCCGGTAGTGCTATCGTTATCTGCCGGTTTCAGGTTTACTTCTTTCGGAGAAAAGTCTATAAGTAAACGATGCTTGTGTCTGTATGTGTTAGATTAAAGAATTTGCGTGTATTTTTAATGCACAACGTTGTCGCAGTGAATACCTTGTGCAAACTACACTGTTCCATCGTGCTAACCAACCATATTCTGATATTCATTGCGCGAATTTTTTTAAGCCGTAAATTGTAAGTAGGCTTGATTCAGTCCATTCAAAAATTCACGCGTGAATTAACTTGGTAACATTTTCGTCTAAAGTATCGCTGACCAAACCTGTTTTATCCATATCTAGTATCTTGCACGTTTTCCGCAATATATTTTTCACGAGACAGTATGTTGAAAATCTTCGAACAGCGGCGAATTAGCTGCCTGAAATTAAGCGAAGCTTTAATGCGAAGTGTTAAGCTTTTTGCACTTAGGTGATTAATATTGCTTATGAATGATGAATTTCGTTGCAGGTGGCCTAGTTTTTTTGTCTTGCTATTGGTGTGCAATAACTATCCGTTGGAATAATAATCTGGAGCGTTGACGTAAACGGAATGTCAGGGATGTCGGCACTTTTGGATATCGGCGAGCAAGTGTATAAGTGTGAGTTGCTCAAGGAGCGTCGAGTAAAGAATGGTCGCACGGAATACCTGGTGAAATGGCGGGGATGGTCGCAGCGCCACAACACCTGGGAGCCCGAGGAAAACATCCTGGATCCGAGCCTCATCCGCGCCTTCGAACTGGAACAACAGAGCAAACTTACCCGCAAACGCCGCCGTGGACGGCCCCCTACCAAGAACAAGGAGCTTCGCCCGGAGAACACGGAACGCACAGAACGATCCCGGTCTCCATCCCGTCCCAAGTCCCAGGGCCAGAGCATCTCCACGCCTAGCCCGCCGCCGGCGCAACCGGCCGACTCCGATGACGCCGCAAGTGAGGTCACGGACCCGGACAGCATGGCCTTGGAGCGCGGCCAGCGCCGACCCAGCGTGGACGTGGTGGCGGGCGGACCGCCGCCGCTGCCGGTGGAAGCGGACCCGACAGAGCCGGTGCGCATCAAAGAGGAACCGGTGGAGGCCTGCATTCCCATGACCGTGCATCCAGGGACGTCGCTGCAGCACATGCTGGATTCCTCGTCCTCAGCAGACGAGGAGAGTGTGGAGGCGGATGGGGACGAAGTGGAGGGCAAGCAGTATACCCAGGTGACCGCCGGTGGGGTGACGGTGACGTTTGAGGAATGGAAGAGCAAGCGCCTCTTTTATGAGGCCTTTACGCCCGAGCAGCTGCGCATGGCGCCCCAACCGGTGGCGGACGCGCGCGCCGGATGTAGCTGAAAAGCAACTATGTCAGTATGTGTGCCCCGTTGTCGATCGGTGAACCGTTTTAGTTGAATTGTGATTTGCGGTGCGTGTATCGTTGTGTTGTTCGTTATTGACGTATAGTAATTTTTCCTATCGCACGCTTGTATATTCCTGAGCGGCGACGTTCTCTGCCGGGATGCGGACCTCTTGTGAGTAGCAAATGTCTGTCTGGTGTCAGGCGCATACGCTTGGTTTTTTTCCCATGATTTTAATTACATTTTTTGCCAGTCTGCCGAGCCGCCGGCATAAGTCTGGTGGCTGCCGGAAGACGAACAGATTCTTATGTAGATTTTGTACTTTTTTTTGTTTGCCTCTGCACTGACTGCACCGCGTTACTTGTTGGTTTTTTTGTTTTGAACAGCTAATATATAATTAAAACAGGCTAAAAGTTTGATAGTGCTTCTGGTTAACTTTGATTGCCTCCATGTATCGTTGTAAATGATTCTTGAAGTTGGTGAGATGATGATGGTACCGTGACCGGCAAAGGGCGGCAGAAATCTTTTAAAATCGCTTCACACTCAAGCAAAGTTACTCGCAGAAGCGTTGCGTTTCCTTCGGTAGTAGAGCCACGCCGGTGTCCTTCAAGACTGCACGCAAGGACGCACGTTACCCAAAATTTTCATAGGAGAGAGAGTCTGGGGATCTGATCTGATCGCACGTGTTTACTCAGCGGAAACAAAACAAACACACCGCGAAAAGTAGCTGGCCGGAACGTTGTTGCTGCCCATGCGGACGCGGTGCGCCGGATGCTGTCATCTATGAACGCAACGACTCCGTGCTATGTAGAAATGTGGAAACACCAAACTTTTTTTTCAAGTTTGTTTAGGACGTATACATGCGCCAGGTTTAACAAGTAAGCTGCGCTGCTGCAGCCGATGCCGGTAGAAGATCCATTCTTTGCTAAATTCTAAGCGCTAAATGGAGGGTGTTGTCGACAAATATTGGCAAACTGCCGAGGTTCTTTAAACGTAATAACTGGGGATTAAAAAAACGAAACGCCATAAATAATTATTTTACCCAGAACACATACAACCACGATGTTTAAAACTTACCACAGACCGCTACGTAATGAAATGACAAGTACTCGTACTGGCCAAGGAAAGATGAGCCGCCCTGTGTACACCTGCACCGACAGCGTTAACGTTACGCCGTCATTCACGAATCCCTGCTGGATGGGATTACAGCTGGGAGAAGCTGTCAGCCGGTTATTTGTTTTATACTTCCTGCACTCTCTGGGCTGCTCAGGTACTTAACTTAGCGATGAGGTAGTGATATTATCTAGCGAAGGCTAAACGCTTCGGTAGCATATACGAGGTGTATGCGCGTGCAAAACGAAGCAATGTATCACTGAACTTGCGCATATATACCCACTGCTTTTGTTTACGGTTTTATGATTATCGTATCTTCATTACGAGATGTACACAGCAATCCTTTATGTTGTATTGTTGACGCTGGTGGGGCGGCTACACCTCTCCTTGGCGACCGGAAGCGACGACGCCGTCGCACCACGAACAGTCGACTCGCTTCGAAGGGAGAACACAACTGGCCCGTTGATCGTCCGCGTGCGTAAGTGATGTCTTGAATCGTTCGCAATGATTAGCAATGATTTATTTTATATTCGGAACAAGTAGAGAAAGAGTTGATTGCAGTTGTGGTGGCTGATGCGCGGCACTACATCTACGCCGACTACGCTCGCTTGGCGCTGACCTTCCTGCAGCAGCGGCAGCTGCTGTATTCGGCGGACAGCACAGCTGCCACGGGGGGCAATCATACCTTAACGGGCTACACCGCTCTCCATGCAGGCGAGGATCCACCAGGTCGACACGACCGCAACGATGAGCAGGCGTTCGTCCTCGAGACGAGCGTGGTGCTGGCACCCAGGAACGACAGCGACGCCACCTTTTACCGGGGTACACAATAATGTACATATTTGCATGTGCGATTTTGTATTTACGAAACACATTCAGTGTGTCGAAAACTTAAAGTGACCTTTCTCGTAAGCCCGTAATTATGGTGATTCCAGTATGCCGGGCCTACCGCGATGGCTTCGGCGGCTCAAATCCGGCGGACTTTATCTTGGATCTGACCGTGGCGCCGCTGTAAATGACTGCTCGACTATGATCGACAATAATTGCCAATGCATTAAATTAAGCTGTCGTTTGTTAAATAGCGTGCGTAATATGTAGGTCATCGGCAGTGATCAAGTCATTCGCCGTTAACCAGGACGTGCCCAGTGTTAGCCTGATGTGTTGCGGTCCCACCGAGCGCATTCAGGACGTCTTCTCGTCGCTGCCCGCCCGGGAGCGGGCTCGTCACCTGGTGTTGACACCGCCGTCTAAAGTATGGTTCCGGGTGATCCGCGACTACGTTGTCAGCGAGAACATGTCAACTGCCGCCGTCATCATGGACGACACTTTCGGTAGTATCCGTTGTAATGTCAACGGCGACCACTTTGATTTCTTAGATAGGCAAAATAAAGTGCACTAAAATATACCAAAGAATCAAGCTGATCATGACAAATGGTATCGATGTACGCAGAACTGGAGCGGGCGCAGCGGATGCTACTGTCGGACCTGGGTTGCAAACACATCATCCTCAGACTCAACTTCGATGACGAACTGGCGCTGCGCAACTTCACCACCAAGATGATCGTACAGGGCATCCGCAACTTTTTCATCATCGCCAAACCTGACAATGCAGGGAAATTTCTCGAAGAAGTGAGTGCGATGCTAGCCGAGAATACATGTGCGCGTCCAAATCTTGTTTGAATTTTAAGCGTGATAAAAATCGTATAGCGCTAACTATTAAGGTCGTCAACAAAAGACTGCCGATTCTAGCTGATTAAAAGTCTGCATACAGGAATGTAAACTATTTACACCAATTTGCCCATTTTATATAACACTCAGTTTATTCACAACCAGCTTAATAATTTGCTTGCAGGCATACAACCTCGACCTGGTGGACAGCGGTCGACGTCCGCACTGGTTTGTTATCAGCAAGGCAGGAGTTGCTTAAGCAATTAGCAAAATACCGTAAATAGGAATATTAGTCAGCCGTTTGTAATAATGATATGATTTCGCAGGAGTACGGTCATGTGCAGTGTCCACAGTGCAGCAGCGGACAAATCGTCAAGCTGAAACCGATGATCCAGGATGGCGATCTGCGCTTCCAGTTCACCACTTTCGTCAGCGACCACTCCGACATGCGCGACATTGCTCGTTACGAGAACTATAACGAGGTGAAGGTTTCGGCTAGTTGAATGCATCTTCCGCGTTAAATGTCTGATTAAAGTCGGCTACGTCATACTTAAAATTCATTGGCTAACTGGTAGATCGATATGCTGTACGTGCTGGACGGCAGTCGTGCCGGCCTTTCCGCTTACGTGGCCGCTGTCAGATCACTCAACAACAGTCACGACACTCAACCGGCTCAAGCCGGCACTGTCGACAAGCAGGAGATAACCGTAACGTGCGACGATAAACCGCTAGTCGGCGGTAGCCCGACAAAGGTCAAGGTAAACTTGCGACAAGGTAAACCGACGGTAGATTTGCTGGGTTTCATCAGCGGGCAGCAGTTGCGGGGAGTGCTGGGCCAGCTCATCCCCGGCAGCAAACACAACACCAGCCTTATAGATGCCAAACTGGCCGTCGAGGAGCAGACCATCCTCTACGAAATTACCAACATCACCAAACAGGTCAGTGGCGCATCTGCATGGTACGCTGTATTATGATATGTCCTGGCTGTCATCAATTAACATGCGCAGGCGGTGCAGCTCCCGACTTAAGTTTTTCAACCGCTTTTCCTTGTGAACGGCTGTATAAGACACGACCGCAGGTAGTGCATGCGCAAAGTCTTACACCGTTAATGTTGTAGTACGGTACATGGAGTCATAGCGAGGGCTTGCGCGACACCCGTGGCCGCTTTCCGCGGGCCATCACTTCTAAACGCCTTAGGGTCACCATTCTCGTAGTAAGTGCGGTTGAGTAGTTGTAATCATATGCCGTGCATTATATGTACTCGTACGATTCTCCTGATTGCAACAGAAGTGATGCATGCATACGCTTGTACACAGATTCATTTATGTAGGCAACTGAGCACCAGTTAAACAACGGTCGATATTGCTTGTGCATTTACTGTTGCACTGTTACAGGAAGAGCCTTTCATTTTCCGGACGTTGCTACCGGATAACGACACGGCATCGAGCAACCGACCGGTGTTGGCTGCGCTACGCAAGCCCAAGTACAACTACACAGGCTATCTCATTGATCTCATCCAGCGCATCTCTCAGGAGCTCAAGTTTGAATATGACCTTTACGAGGTGCCAGATCAGCAATTCGGTGCGGTGGACGAAAACGGCGAATGGAACGGGCTCATCCGCGAGCTAGTCGACAAGGTACGTACATTTCCGGGCCCTAAACTGCAGCGTGTCACTGTCGACAGTAAATCTATTGGGGGATATTCCTGGCAGAAAGCCGACATCGCCCTGGCGCCGCTGTCGGTAATGGCGGAGCGCGAGAACGTGGTGGACTTCACCGTGCCCTATTTTGATCTGGTGGGCATCAGTATCCTCATGAAGAAAAGCGGCCAGGAGCAGTCGCTCTTTAAGTTTGTCACGGTTCTGGAGGCGCCGGTCTGGGGTTCCATTCTCGGCGCCTACCTCCTGACCAGCCTTCTCATGTTCATCTTCGACCGCTACAGCCCCTACTCGTACCGCAACACCCTCCTCAAGACACAGCAGCAGCAATCGGAGGCCGCCGGTAAGCCGGCAGCGGACGCCGACAAACCCGAGGGGGCTGACTTTAATAAGGCCGATCTCATGCAAGCGCCACCCGCCGGATCCCTCCCAGCCGAGCGCGACGACATCCACGATGAATACGGTGCGCTGTGATGTGGCAGAATCAGTCAGATTTTTGGTTGTGCTTTTATCTTCATAGTCAAGGCTTCTCATTAACAGGCACCCGGGTCTTCACCCTCAAGGAAAGCTTGTGGTTCTGCATGACGTCGCTGACACCTCAGGGCGGTGGCGAAGCCCCACGGTATGTAATGAGATGAGAAGCCAACGCCCCTTGCCAACGAAGTCTTGACCCGTTGCGCGGTCTGTAATCACTGCTTTGTGACGGATGCAGGAACTTATCGGGTCGGTTGGTGGCGGCGACATGGTGGATGTTTGGCTTTATTATCATCGCCAGCTATACGGCCAATTTGGCCGCCTTCTTGACCGTCTCCCGCCTGGAGACACAGATCGACAGTCTGGACGCCTTGGCCCGACAGTACGGTATCCGATACGCGGCACTGGAGAATTCCGCCACCGAGACCTACTTTAAAAGAATGTGGAAGATAGAGGAAAAGTTTTACGAGTGCGTAGAGATCATTGTTTCGGCTCATCGGTCAAGTTTGTCATTATAACAATGCTGACTTCCGATTGCGTGTATAATGGCGTGAAGTTCGTCGCACATACAGCTGTGCTAGATACCTTAACCAAAGCGCATTCATTATGACCTTTACTAGTGTATCCAAAACGTTAGCAACTGTTTCACGTTGTATGTAAGCGTAACTATACTGCCAATGTAGGATTTGGCGCGACATGAGCCTGAACGAGAGTATGAGCGACAAGGAGCGTGCGGAGCTAGCGGTTTGGGACTATCCAGTGTCGGACAAGTACACGAAGCTGTGGTTGACCATGAAGGATTTTGACAAGCCCAAGACTTACGAGGAGGGCGTTGACTGGGTTAAGGCTACCAAAGTTCTGCCGTCCGGCGAGAAAGACGGCTTCGCACTCATCGGTTAGTGTCTTACTTCCATGGAATTGTTTGCCCTTCTCTTGGGACTGCGCATGCATAGATGGCTAACCTTCACGCGCATTGACAGGTGACACGGCCATCCTGCAGTACAAGGCCAACCTCGACTGTAATCTAACAATCGTCGGCGAAGAGTTCTCGCGCAAACCCTACGCTCTGGCCGTTCAAGAGGGATCTCCGCTGCGAGACCAGTTGTCGGGCGTGTAAGAACATTTACAATGTGTCTTGGTAGTCAGACTCGCTACGATTAATTTTTTATCATTCAGAATCCTGAAGTTGTTGAATCAGCGCGAACTAGAGCTAATGAAAGAGGAATGGTGGCAGACGCGCAACCAGAAGAGCTGCCAGAACAATGAGGACGAGAACGCCGGCATCTCCATCGAGAACATCGGCGGCGTCTTCATCCTGGTGCTGGTAGGCACGGTGCTGGCCTGCGTCATGCTAGCCTTCGAGTACTACTGGTACAAGCGTCGCGCTCAGAAACAGCAAGCCGACATCAGTCTACCGGGCGGAACGGCAGCGGCCCAGGGCACTGCCAAGCCTGCAAACATTAACCTGCAGCGCTACAACCCCAACCTCAACACCAACCCCGATCTTAACTTCCACAACGTCTTCTCACAGGCCAACCTTATTCCGGTCAGCAATAGTCCTGAACTCGACGCCACACCCAAACATCTCGATCCGCAACGCAACGCGCACTCTCACGCCGAATAGCAACGGATGATCATGTACTCGTTTGCTGTTCGGTTTTCGTTCTGTTCGATCCGATAATGCTGATATTTGCTTAGTTCTCTGTAATCAGATAAAATGCTTACAAATTGTTCATTAATGAGACAGACTTGCTAGAAAAGAGACAGATCTATCACAAAGGATCATCGCACAAGTTCCAACCATAAAAAATCCGAGAAGCAATAACAAAAGAGCAAACTGTATGAAGATCAAATATGCGACAATAATGCGCTGGGCTACTATATCTATAGGCTCAAGCCATGAGCTTATTGGGAATGACCAGAAATCCCTCCACCTCCATATCCGCTTCCACCAAACGTCGTGCTTCGGTAATGACTAACTGTGCAGCCTCCACGCTTGGCAAAGCCAGCATCCCGTTAAGCACCACGTTACTCTTCATTCCGTCAGCCATGTCCATCCTAAAAGTAATAAATCATTATTTCTGCACTACGGAATTGTAAGTTCAAGAAAAACAACTTACAGCTCGAAGGGAGTCGCTTTGCGCAGCACATCGGCGACTTCCGGCGGCTCAGCCGTGGCCAGTTTGGTCAGGCTGGCGAAACCGGCATCATGGAGGCACCGAGCCTGCAGAGCACTGAGCTGGACCACCCGCACTAACTGCACCAACTCCCGCTTCACCCCGAACTCCAATCGGCTCTGAAACTGTTCGAAGAGCAACGCCATACTGTCCCAGTGCAACTCCTCACAGAACACCGTGATCATCCCTACACTTCCATAATAAACGCTTAAATTGCGGAAAAAAAGCGGAATTGCACCTCTAACCTGAATAGGAAGCAGCTCCATGCTGCAGCGACTGCAAGACGCCTTTGTTGACATCGTACTTGCGCGCCACTTTTCCCAGACCGGTCTCCAGAACTAGCTCGTTCAACATCAAGGCACTACAACATACGCACTTACGCTGTGACCGTTCAAAATACACAAACATATTTTCCTTCTGCGCTTGTAGATGTACATACCACCAGAAGCGTTTAATCCGGCTGAGACGTAGCGGTTCCTTCAAATCGTTCCTGACCCCTTTGAGCAGTGCTGCTTCATCGACGCCCACCAAATTACCCACTTTCTGCCATTCTGGCGACATTTTATCCCAGATGTTCATGAACTGGTAGAAATTGATGTCGCCGATGCTGCGCACCACGTTTAACGGCGTCACCAGATACAGAATATGCAGCTCATTCTGCAGGTTGACGTTGGGCCGGGCGGCGGACAACTCTTCAAACACTGTCTTCCCGTCTTCCGGCGATAACCCTGAACAGATCACCGCGTTGCCCAGCTGGGTGGCTCGCACACCGCTGCCCCCGTCTTCGTCGGTCTGGATGAAATGTGACTGCTCTAACGCGGCAATCACACCAGCGGCGTATCGCTTGCACTCTTCTTCCTAAAATATTACTCAACTCACAAAATGAAAGAATAAGATAGTCAAAACCACAGAAGCACCGGCTACAGACTGCAATAAATTTTTTACAATCAATGGCAAATGAAAGAATCGTAGCAGTTTCTCAATACACGCTAATTTTGTAAGTTTTGCTATTAATATTCAAGTCCAGTCAGCAACGTACGCTGTTCAGTTCACAGGCAAAAAGTGCCCCCTGAAGATATGTGAAGATGTGATCGACGCATAGCGCCGCCTTATTAACAATAATTTCCAGGACAGCGCGCTGGACGGATGCGCTGGGAGCGTCGCACGATCCAATTGACAAGCAGCTTTTCAAAGGGCGCGCTGCGGCCGAAAAGATGGTGTTGACTGCTCGCACTTCTTCCGGGGTGTTTTTACATATCAAAATGCTTTCGCCTGCAAACACGCACAAAGTCGAAAAAGTCGCAGAAATTAACATTTACATAGTTAATAAAGTGTGACCTCAAGCCTGTTCGTTAGTAAATATGAATACAGTATTTCTCTGCTGAAGGAATCGATATGATACTGCAGAGTGCAGAGTGATAAGAATAATACTTCTACAAAATAATAATAATAATTTGTAATAATAATAATCTGCACTTTACGCTGTAGTGTACGTACTTCGTTCATTCTTTATTGTATGTGTGTAGCTAAGCGGTTTTCTAAGAGTATTCAGGACATCGAATCGCACCTTGTGTGTCCACTCCCTTCCGACCCGCTCTGCCAGCCATCTGCCGATACGTCAAGGGATCCATCCCCTTCATAGTGCCCTCGTATACCATTGGCGAGCGAATAATAACCCTTCTAGCTGGCAAATTTACTCCTGCCGACAGAGTGGTAGTAGCCACTAGCACCTTAATCAGTCCCTTGCGAAACCCGCCCTCCACCACTTCTCGCTCATCGGCCGTCAAGCCGGCATGATGAAAAGCCACCGCTTGCGGGATGGTCTTCCGTAGGATGGCGTCCAGTCCGGCCGGTGTCCGTTTCAGCTGATCAAGGAGTTCGTTCAAATGTTCAGTGCGTACCGTGTTGGGCGGAAGGGTTTTGACAAATTGTGCACTAATGTTGAGAGAAGCTGTCTCGCACCAGTTCTTCGTGGGACAGAACACAAGCACCGAGTGTCCTCCCTGCACTGTCTCCAGACACAAACCGCACATCTGTTCGGGGTCGAGGATGTCAGAGATTGCAGAGAGGTCGCGCAGTTTCGTCCACTCACGATTGTATAAGAACGAGCCGAGTTTGATCGTTTCCGTCAATGAAACGGGACGGAAATCTGCGAAATATCACCAACAAATTTTTGTTAAAAAAGAAATTTTACCGGCCTTGCCGGGTTAGAACTGGTTAGCCTCCAGAAAAACAACAGCTAGCGACTAGCGCTGTCAGTCTGTCGTTGACAAACACCGTCAGATCTGAAATTGCCAAAGATTTCTGTGCTAAATGCCCAAAAAACTATCTGGAGTTTTTTAATAAAAAGAGAAAACTTCAAGTGGGGAAAACGAAAATTAATTTAGAAATTCGTACTGAACTTGAGGTCCCAGAACAAATGATTTTAGCCACAGCAACAGCGCACTGTTACGTCTTACGGCATGACGGCTTTGTATGAACGATTTTCCTGGAAGCGACAAAATACATACCCGTGATATACAAATCCGCATCCAACCATTTCTTCACGAGCGGTAAATTCGGCAATGTCGCACTCATGCCAACAATCTGAATCCATCCCGTCTCGGGCTGCGATTCGTCCTCGCAACTCCGCGTCCGGTTTACGTACATGACTTTGGTAAGCAGCAGCTCCAAAAGATATCCCCGGGAATGATCACCCACCAGGTGCAATTCATCCACCACGACTACGCCCAGCTCCTGCAACTTGCCCTCCTTCATCAGACGATTAACCAGTGAGTTGGCGCGCTCAATGGTGCAGACAGCCACGTCCAGCAAGGCCAGTCCGCCGCGCGGATTGCTGTTGCCGATATAGCCGCCCACACGCAGACCACTGCCTTTGAGGAGGCGCTGCAGGCCAGTGAGCTTTTCCTGGGCCAGGGCCACGAAGGGCAGCACCAGAAGGCCCTTCCGTTTGGTCTCCACCACGCGCTTCAGCAGCAGGATTTCCGCCACCAGGGTCTTGCCGGCGCTGGTGGGCGCCGAGAAGACCAAATTACCTCCATTAAGGGCGCGGCCGGCGCCGATGGACAGGCAGGACGCCTGCCAGGGGAACATGCTGGTGATACCGGCTCGACCGTAGGCGCATACGATCTGATAAGAGAGTAATCCATACCATTGCCGTGTAGTCAGAAATCAGTCAAAAACTATCCATTATAACTTTTAAATTATAATAAATCACATTCAACTGACTTAAATTCATCCATAAATTAAACAATTTCAAAAAAATTCCACAAGCTAAATCATGATCGTTAATGCAGAAACGAGAGGAAGTAAGCCAAAGCAATTAGGTAATTAATATTATCCACCGCAACTGCACTGCATTAATTCACAACAGACCACCCCCATACACACTGCCATAAATACAGTAGAAGTATTAAATACCGTTCATTGACGTATAGCACTGACTACTAAAGTAACTAAATTCATAATTTACTATGCTTGCTGCCTTGCACCATTCTTGCTAAAGCACCATTCTGGCTGAATCTGGCATTCGTACGTACCTGTTGGGGCAGTCCCCACGTCGACAGATCCGTAGAACATCCTTCTAGGATGGGCCCTTCGGGTGAACTATCAGCATTCTCCCCTAAAAAGTACAAAAAGGTTTAGGCTCTACAATGTTTTTACTGACGCCCAACATTCTTACCTCCATATGAAAGCTCCTGCGCCAAGGAAGCAGTATGAGTAGACTCAAACAGTACGTCCTGGCTGCGGACGGCTACTGGGTTGCGGTTGGCAGAATAACCAGTGGAATTAAAGGGTTGCGGGTAAGAAGCGCGGCTCTGATCCGAGGAGGCAGACGGATGCAGCCGGTTGCCAATATGACCAGTCTGCAGCGGGCCCCTGGGAGCACTGGCCAGGGGCAGACAAGGGACCGAGGCGGTGCTGGCAATTCCGCGTCCTACGGGCTGCGGCCGCGGAGGATTTGGGCGAGGTGGCCGAAAGGCGTTTCCCGGCACCATGTGAGGGTGGTAGCGCACGGGAGGCCGGATAAAATCAGCACTCCGCGCTTTATCCTTGCTGGTGATGATCTTTCCCATTTTGGATTTATGTTCACTTACGGTTACCAGTTAGAAGACTGGATCGTTTGCATGAACGAGCACGCTAGCTGGCCCCAATCCACCGCTTGGTATCGCATAACGATCATCAAGCGTTAGCTAGTAGAACTGGCAAAAAATTAATTACAAACCAAAAAAAATGCAGTTTTGATTTTAAAAGAAACTCGGAAATTTCGAAAATGAAAAGTCTTTAAGTAAATACATAAACGGCCAGAACTCAGAAATAAAAGGCATCAGGTGTTTCAGGTTTTTGCGAGTTTTGGCTGGCGCGGTGTCGAAATGGACAAAAGTTGCGCAACAGCACTAGGCATAGCAGGGGGTTGATACATTTAGTATTTCTGCAAAACATAGTTGAGCCCGGTACGCTACTACACTGTTTTATTCGTGTGTATGATGATGTATCGTTCAGAGTTTGACTTATGTCACTTATCACTTATGATTTCTGAGTGTTGGTATTTTAAGTCTGTGAAAAGTGCGCTCTTCTAGTACGTAATTTTTCCAACATTTTTGGCAGGAAGCCGCAGGATTGTGCCCTGAAACTTGCTCATCATCGTGTTGTTCTCATATCATATTCGACTGAAACTGAGAAACTGAACGGGCTTGAGTCAAGTTTGCTAATCCTGAGACCGCGAGCGAAAATGGTGGCTCGATAACCCGAAATTCGTCTGTAGCAACACTTTTGCAATTTCGCTGGCTTTCATGCCTTTCAATTGTCAGTTAGGAGTCTTGTAGCTCTAACTGTTGAAATGAGCGGGGACTTAGGTGGATCCCGGCGACCTCCCACAGGAAAAGGTAAGAGAGAGCAAGATTGTGCCGTTGTGCGTCTCACTTGCTTCTTGATCTGGCAAGCAGCAAGCTGACAGCTCAGAGCTGAATACTTCTTTTGCCGAACAGGAATGGACACTAACTATGCATTTCCTTTTTAGCAGGTGGTGCGTCCAGTCAGCCAGTATTTGCTCTTGGTAAACCTCGCCATTTCTGTGCATGCAGCTTTTTATCGCAGATTGGAAGCCCTTTTTGTTGCAGGGAAGAAGCCACATGTACCGTCTGCAGCGCCGACGGCGGCTGCCATGGCGACGCAGCCGTCGCGCAGTGGCCTCTTCTCCAACACCGACGCTGTCCAGCCCAGTTCCGGGGTGTCGGCAGCGCGCAAAGCTCTCTTCTCCACCGGTCCCAGTCAGCCTGTCTCGTCGACGGTGGCCAAGTCGCACTTGTCGCAGAAAGATTCGCTGAAGAGCAAGATTCACGCCGGGGCGCGCACATCGCAGCCAGTCTCCTCCGCCGCCGCCGCGTTGCACCGAGCTCCGGCCTTCCGTCAGGACCAAGCGCACAGACCTGACCATTCCGACTGGCACCGACAGGCACAAGACAGTAAGAATTCGTAGGCGAATAGCTTTTTCGAATTGTTTCGGCAATCGGCCTCAGGATTGTCCTTTTAATTTTTTGTTTAATTTTCTTCTCTGTATTTTGCCACTTTGTGAGTATACACTATACAGCCGTATTCATTTATCTGGTTTTGGAGGTTGAAATATGAACTTCAGAATTTAGAGTAATGAGCATCATAAGCTAATTCTTCAACGTATAAAAGTATTCGACTTTCCGCAGCTGGTTTTACTGGGCTGCAGTGAAAACGGCCTGAAATTTTTTTCTTACAATTGTTAGCGGACGGGAAAAGCCTGGCCACAGTGAGCAGACAAGTGGTCTCCGGGGAATGTTCGATGAGCGATGAAAAGTTATGCGCACTGATCTGCGGTGCCATCCGGCAGCTGCACCAAAACCGCCACAAGGACGTGGATGAATTGATGTTGCTCTCTTTATCACGCCTGGCTACGGTCAGACCGGAATTATTCCGCAACAACACCGTCCTCACGGTAGACGCTCCCCGTTAAATACATGTACCCTTTGTACGTATGTCGATAGGTGTAATAGGAAAATAAATTGTTGTTTTTGGCAGGCGCTAATGTCCTTGATTAAACGCGACCCCGTGTACAACTCATCGATGGGCTACAAGAGCAAGAGCACCATTATCAACTGCATGATTGGCGCCAGTCTGCTTTACACAGTGCTGCAGGACATTCCGCGCTGGCCGGCAGCTGTTATGAAGGTTTTCACTGACAACAGAATCCCTGGCTTTTTTCGTTTCGTCCACTTTTAATGTGAAGTTTATTGTTATAGTTATACTTGGAGGATGCCGCGTTCGATCGCCAGTGGGTGGATTTGGCGGAGACTAAAGAATTCGTCCGTGCCATTCGTTTCTCCTTTGGGACGAAAGCTCCCAGTCTGGCCACGCCCGCCGTGGCTGAAGTGGCGGAAACTAGTCAGCCCAAACCGGGTTGGTTGTTTAATAATCACATATAGCGCTTTGTTGATGAATGAGTACTGTTTAGGACAAAGCCCGCGGCATCTGCAGCCGGAAGACGCCGAACGCCTTGGTCGCGCCTCACCGTCTTTACTCACTAACCGAGCGCCTTCGCCATCGTTCTCCACAGGCACCGGCGACGATTCTATGTCCGATAGCAATTTGTCCGCTTCTGGCTCGATAGTTAAAGATGCACCTTCTGTTCGCACTGATCGGTACATCTGCGTGATCGCTTGCTTTTCGTTTGTGAATGTTCTTACAATCGTTTTCACTTAGGTTTGCAGATTTGCGCGCCGACATTCCGCAGATGATCATGGAAGTGACTAACGCTTTCGTAAGTGTTTTTTCTGGCAGTTTTGAAACATGAGTATCCGGAGTTTTCTTGCCATAGAGAGGCACAGACGGCGGGAAGAACATGATCCGCCTGTTAATTAGCACGGCAGGTGTCGCCGTAACTCGCCAGTACGCCATGCAGCGCATCGACGGTTGGATGACCAATTCTAAGGTACGAGAACATTAAGCTTCCTTACGATTGACTAATGATCGGTAACTGACTTTTGCCTGTAGACTGCCAGTGCGGCCATGTCCTTGATGGCCACAGTGTGCGCCAACTGCACAGTCAGCTCAAACACAGACGAAGACCTGAACGTGATTTCCATGTTTCTGAAGACCCGGTGCAAAGGAAAACCAGCGATTGATAATTATCTCCTATGCTTGCAGTAAGTTCGGTGGCAAAATTTTATCCTGAGGCTTCTTATGGCTGTTAATGCATTTTGCAGTGAATTGTTGGAACGTAATTCCGATAACCTGCAAGTCGTTTTAAAGATGATTTTCGAGACGGAGCTGGCCGACGCGGCTATTAACAAACGCACCCCGTGGACTATGATCGTCATGGCGGCAACCATGCGCTATAAACCCTTGGAATCTGCTGTGGTATGCCTTCTAAGGAGGGTGTTAATGAATAAGTAGTCATGTTATTTTTTTGTAGATTGCGGGCAATCTTTTTGCCACTCTTATCGTCAATCCGGTGGAGGACTACACTCGCCATTTGAAGGTCATCATGCACGAACTGGTGAAGACGTACAAGACGGATGTACGACAGGAGAAATTCATCATGTCGATGCTGACGGGCAAAGCGCTGTCCAACCAGACAATGCTTACTCAGCTCCGCTTGGAGGATCAAGGCAATCGCGATAAGAAGCTACTGGCGCTGCTGGACATTGTGCTAGCGGCGGAAGTGCTGATGCTGCTGACGCGCTTCAAAGAGGACTTGGCCAGTGGTGCGAATGCTTAGCATCGCCACAAACGTATCTTTGACTGATGCGTGAATTATTGCAGGCAATTCCGACGCTTTTGTCACGGCCTTGGCGCCATTGCAAAGCATTACTGTGGAGTTCGTGAAGACCACGGCCAAAAAATGGTTCGGGCCCACTAACGACACCATTCGCGTGGCTTTGCGCAAGATCTTCCTTCTGGACAAACCCAACACGTTTCAAGTTATGGATAAATGGCCGACGGAACACGAAAGAAAGTATGCTAATTTTAGCGGCCTTGTTGCAGAACGCTGTACAGCTTGTTTGTTTCAGTACATTTTTCAAATGGGCCGCGCGAGTCCCTGTGACCGCGCACACCATCACGCAGATCCAACTGCTGATGGCCTCTTGTGAACCGTTGACCTGTTTGGAGATGCTGGAGACAGTTCTCGTCCGAGCACTGGGTTTGCGCGCAGAAAGTGCGTGCTTTCTTATTATTTTTTAAGACTGTGAACCGTTTACAAAGAAGCACACAATTAAACTGGTTTTCTGACAGATTACGAAGCTATCCGCATTGGCGAATTGATACAGAGCGGCATCATCGAATCGCTCTTCCAATTGGGCATTTACCGTGTTCCCGAAAACGCCGTCTTTCCTCCCAAGTACCGGGTGCCCCAATTGATTCGCCGTGATATCTTCTGGCAGTGCTGGAAAATTATTTTGCTTCTGGGATCGGCTGATCCAGCGCACTTTGGTAGGAACGCATTGGGAACAGTTTTTGCTTCTCAGTAACGGATTGTCATTTTCGACGAAAATAGGGAAATTCATCTGGGAGCGGTTTCCCACAGCCCGCGCTCTGATGCAGATGCTCATCATCAGCCGCTACGAGTTTCCGCCGGAAACCATGACTACACCGGAAAAGACTAGTCGATTCTTTTTGGATCGGGAGCAAAAAGTACTCTGATGCAAAGTGCAATAGTTGACATTGGTTTTATTTGCTTCGCTTTATCAGTTAGCGGAAGACGAGAAAAAAGTCATCGTGGAGCTGGAAAACCGTCTGGCTGGTGGGAACGCCAAAAATATTATTGTTTCTGATGTTAACGCGAAACTGCCAAAAGACTATACACGTTACGACATAAGGTGAAGATTTGGTCGGCAACTGACTATATTTTTGGTGCAGATAATTATAAAACGCATGGTGTTCAACATTCTGTTACGCAGTGGACCTTTGCGTTGTCCACCGGAATCTTTTCTGGGTGCCCTGGAAAAATTGAACAAACAGCTGGAGCTGGGGAAGCTGCTGTCGGGATGCCGCGATCCGGATTTCCTAATCGAGATCCTTAGCGAAAAGGGCACCGCCGCTAGCTTGCCCTGGCTGCTGGAGCTGACCACCAGTGCCAAGTCCATGTTCGACGTTCTTCCCGTGGAGTGCGTCTGCGAAATGCTCTCCAACAGTCTGCTGAAGAAGCCCATGGGAGCGGCCGACAAACGCGATCAGGACTTCCGGAAATGCTGCAATCTGGCGCTGCGTCTCAGTGATTCCATCATTGGGGCCAATGTGGACTACAGTAATGCCACCAAGACGGTGAACTTCTTCAGCGATCGGCTAGCCAGTGAGACGGCCTTGGAGCGGGACAATGCCAAGGTGGCGCTGGAGATCTTTTTCGACCCCGACAAAATTGAATCGGCGTTGGCTAATCTGTGGGGACTATCAGACAGTGAGACCGTTAGTGAAGGTTCCAGTGAACGGATCATTCCAGAGCCGCGCGTTAGGCAGGGTATCAGCATTGAGGCGGCTCTCATGAAAGTTAGCCCGGATGCCTGGTGTCCGCCGTCAGTAACGATGCCGAAGGAAACACGAATGAGCTATATGGAGAAGTTCAAGTGGCTCTTGACGGACATTCCTGCCCGGAGCACCGATTTTGAGGTGCGCTGTTAACTGAAACAATGGATGTTTGTAATTCAATGTTAATTTGCCGCTTTTTAGATGCTGCGAAACGATTTGTGTTTGCATCTGGCAAAGGTGAGTTTAGTTGATTAATTGGTCATTTGCTGAGAACAATATTTAATGGAAGTGTATGGAAGGCCATCGAAGTGGAATGTGACACGGAGTCAATCTGCGCCTACCTGGAATTCATTTCGTGCTACGCCCAGTATCCCCCAGCGGAGCGCATCAAGGACTACATTGTGATGCAGGTTGTGGCTGATTTACTCGTTAATCGACGCGATTTGCGCGACGCGGTCTTGCTGCTGGGCACCGGCGCGTTGACGGAGGCGGAATGCCACCGTGTACAAGATCACCTCGTTAAGTATTTCGAAATATTCCTCGGAATGGCTTACGACGACTTCCCGGAGAAGTTCGCGTCTTTTGTCGACAACGGATTGGTCAGTTACACTCGTAGTGCATGGTGCCCGTCAAACGTGAAGATGTTTTCTTTATTGTACAGTTTCTTAACGATCCGCTGTTGCGCATACATTACGGAGCGGGAGAAAATCGCCGGACATACTGCCTGACTTCGAAAACCGGTCGAGCACTGCCCACATTGTTGGCACTCGTCGGTGATACGGGTCAGTATGATACTCTTCGTCCGGTCCCTCTCGCCGTTGAACTAAATGGTACTTTGCAGAGAGCCGCGGTAACGAGGTGTTGTTGCCGTTTTGTTTGAACTCCAATCTGATTCACTCCGCCGTCACCTGGATGACGCGGGAGCCGGCGGAGATCATGACTGACGCGGTACGGGAAGTAATCTTCCAGTTTTCACGGGTGAACGCCCTGGTGGACATGGCCCTCGCTGACGTCTCTGACGAGACATTAATTCGCCAGATCTGTCGGGAGAATATACCGCTGGACAATCTACGGTGAATGCACGCTATGACTTTATATTCAAAATAGCTTTAATAATTTAAAAGAGTTGAAAATAAAACAATTAATCAAATAACGCAGTGATATAATGAATTAAAATCCACTATTACTGTCCACTGATGTCCAAAATCCACTGTTAAATGTATAATGCACTGACCGTCGCTGTTGTGGTGTGTCTGCAGAAGGATGGTGAGCGCCGTGAATATCAAGAACCACACTACGCTGGCCAGTTTGAAGCATTTTGTGCGGCAGCATGTGCTGACCTCAACCGCTACTCTGGAGTGTCGGCTGGCGCAGGGACTCACTCTGGATGATCCCGTGCACGCCCTCATCCACAGCACGCTGACAACAGCTCGCAACCCTTTCGCTGTCCCCTTCACTTTCTGATAAGTTAGCTGTGTTTCGCTTCGGCTCTGGCGGCAGAGCTTCAAAGAATCTAACGATGATGACGCGGAGCTGCGATGGTTCTGTTCTTTTGTTGTTGGTTATTTTGAGTGCAGTAAGTAATGTGCAATGGCCATTGCTACGGCAGTTGACGCCAATGTTGGGAGATGTCATGTGATATTCGCTTTTGGATATTTTCTTTTTTTATGAGGCATCATCGAGGAAACCGAGTTTTTTTGTAATGCTGTTTTTGTGACGGCAGAAACAAGAGCTTTGCCAGATGCTGTACTGTGTTTTTATTACGAATTACGATGAAAATCGTAGCCTAATATACAGTGATACTCATGGTACGAGTATGGTATCCTCCCGCCGTCCATGTGGCGATCGTTTGGCGTTTACACATCTGGTGGCAGATCGCATTATTTTCTAGGTTTTAGTGCTGTTGATTTTATCTATTTAGATTATATTTTTAATTTCTAGGAGCAGTACTTTCCTTTAGCAAAAACTTTATAGCAGATAGATTAAAAAGGGTCGAAGACGGCAGTCCGTGATTGATGCAATCATGCAAATGTGGGCGTTAGGAAAGGTGTGCGATGATACGGTGAAATTACGAATTCCTGCTGATTCACGATGAGTTCGTATACGTACTGTAAGTCTGTAATAACGCCATATTACGGTTTTAACTTGGAAGCTGTGAGTCTCCTTGACTTTCAGTTTTAACAGCTGATCAGTGATAACTTGCCCATCTTTGAGATGATTTTTGTTTTCGTTCAATAGCAGACTCTCATTCTTAGGATTGTGTTTGTTGTGTTTATTCCGTCTCTGATTTGAATCCGTAAATCGTGTAAAATCCGCCATCATTGTGTGGGACGCTGAGTTGACTTGTTTATATTTCACGCAGACCAGGACCAAGGTGAGTGATAGGATAAGTCACTGATTAAGTACAGTACTGGAAGTTTGGAACTATAAGGTAGACACAGCTAAATTACTGTATTTTCTGCAGCTGCAGTTATGCTGTGGAAGTTATGGCTTTGCAGTTATCTATATTCTGCAGAAAATACTGCAGCATCGCGTATAGGCAACAGTGAGCCAAGCAGCTGGCGGACGGTATAAGGCGCTTTTTTTATTTTAGTGAGTCCTCTTCGACTAGTCGCGGCCGTCATGTCGGCTGAGAAGACCACCAAGGTCCTGCCAGAGAACCCCGACTCCTCCCGCCACCCCTCGGTGCGCCCGTCCCCCGCGCGGCCCCTCAACATGGAAACGGACGCGGAGCCGCGTCCGCGCACTTCCGCCGTGCCCCTGCACAGCCAGGTCTCCTCCACTTCCGACCCCGCCCGCCGCGTCGACATGTACAACCGCTTCCTGGCCTACCCGGTGGACGCGGAGGCCGACGCCTGGTTCGCCGAGACCAAGGCCAACCTGGCCAAGTGTCTGCTGGAGGCGGATTACCGGCCGGGACTCTTCTTCTGGACGACGCGGCTGGAGGCCTATGTGGCGCTGTACGGGCGCCGTTTCAGTAAGGCCGACCATGTGCTGCTGGTGGAGATGTATTTGGCGCTGCTGCTGGACCCCGACATGGAGCCCAGTCTCGTCTCGCGCTTCGCCAAGGTGGTTGCGCTCCTCCTGAGGAAGCTGGAGCTCCTCAAGCCCGAGGACCTCACCATTGAGTGGCGCCCGCTGTACAAGCTCTTCCAGCGCGTTCATCCTTCCACTGATCAGCTTCATGTGAGTCCTTAAGTTCTCATTCTGCCACTTTCGAATGTTAAGTCTGTTTGTTTTCTCTCTTATTAAGGATAACCCTATAGTTTGCATCCTGCTAGTATTTTTTCATCTGTACTTGAATTTAATCATATAGATTGCCTATATAAGGCTGCTTTAAGTAGCCGTATTTTTTTTCCGCCGGTATTTTCTTTATGCTACTTTTTCTTTGAAATCATATGTTTTGATACAAATACTTGCAGTGATTCACAAAATTTTAATAAATAAATAAGGTTGCTTTTAAATGGGTATTTCGGTAGCAGGTTTGCTACTAGTTCCAGAAAACGCTGTTAATTATGGTAGCTTGATATTTAAACCGGCTAAAAGTGTATTTCCCATGCTTTTTTCATATATTAGGGCGTTTTTTACTGGCCGGAGAAACTGGACGATAAGCTGCGGGAGCTGATCGGGTTCTGCCGGTATTACTTCCCACTGTCAGCCACTCAGGAGATGCTGGACGAATTTCGCCCGATGCTGTGCCCCTTCGACGATCAGATGAGCACGGCCATGGACTACCTCTCCATGTTTCTGCCCACTATGCTCAAGCCCCACCAAGCCCAGTACGGCTACGAGTTGTGGCTAGAGGAATTCCTCAATATCTGGCTGGCCTTCCACGGCGTTCCCGCCTGGGAGATGTCCATGCTACAGTTGTTTTCGCGAGCTGCTGCCGAGAACATCGGCTACATCCAGTGGGAGAAATATGTGGCGGCCATCTTTACTAAATTCCTGCGCACCTTGGAACTGCCGGTGGGAAAAAAGCAGCTGCAGCTGGTCTACTCCAACGACTCGTTTGATGAATCCTCCGCCGTTCTGTGGCCGGTGGCTATGATCCACAACGAAAAGTGCCTTCAGGCGCTGGAAGTGCTTTTCCGCTCCGTGGAGTCATATTTTCACCCTTCCAACTATGGCAACTGGACCGATAAGCTCAGCCAGACCCTCATGTTCCTTCCCATGGGCATGGTGGCCCGACTCCAGCTCGAGCGCTTCCGTCCCAAAGACTGGATGCCGGAGATCCCCCCGGAAGCCTGTCTATCCGACGACACCGTCCGCCGCTTTGTGCGCGCCTTCAAACCGCTGGCGCTGCTCAATCTCTTTAACAAGTCCGCTCCTGAGGAAGCGGCTATCGCCATTCAGCAACTGGCGCTTTTGGCACCTGAAGAGATCTTCCCTGATTTACTGGATAAATTCTATTCCTCGGTGGAGAACATGGTGGAACCCCTGCGCTTTCAGGCCATCGTGGCGGCACTGTCAGCTTCATTGCCGTTTCTCTTCAACTACAAGGACGGTCGGAAGCACGTGGTGCCGCTGATGCTTGCACTGCTCCCAGGCATTGACTCCAACGATGTACGCAAGACGGTGAGCACGCTGGGCTTTTTTTCCACCATCGCCACCATGATTCCGCTGCGCCCATGCTACGACCAAGCGGATTCTGCGCAGGTGACTAGCGACGATCGTGAAGTGTGCGGCCAGACGGCGGAATTTGAGAACATCCTGCTGCAGCTGTTGGACAAATGTCTGGCCATGCTGGACAATTTCGCGGTGGAGCCGGGGGCGCGGACAGATCATATGAAGGGAGTGGGACTGGAGGCTAACATGGAGGAGAAGATCGTGAAGATGCGGATGGAGATGCTGTGGTTTGCCATTTTGACGCAGGTCGACGACAACACAGCGCAGTTATTGGCTGATAAACTGTACTCGTAAGTGTTACGCACGCCTCACCGCTCTAATCGTCGTAATGTTGATCGTTTGTGTGCAGAGCCGCGTCATCCCGAATCTATCCGGTGCAACAGTTGGGTGCCTCGCTCGTCAGCTACATGTGCACCGTGGTGATGCGCCTGCGACCGGAAATCGGCAAAACCCGGCTTCTGCACGCATGTATCCGTCTGCTGGAGATTCGCCTGGCGGAGCGGGACAACGTGATGGACTTAACCAATCTGGACGATGAGCTGTTGTGGTCATTGAAACTGGTCGGCGATGTTGTGGCCAGCTCCGGAAAGTAAGCTAATTGACCCTTCGCTTGGCGACTGTTTTCGTTGTACAGCGTACTGATGTAATGAATTGTAGGCACGTGCTGGACTATGTAGACCGCATCCGCAGCATTTTGCGACAGACGCTGATGATGAAGTGCAACAGCGGCCATCGTTACGCCTGCATCATCGCCCGCGCCGTCCTCATCACCCTCCTCCGCACGTATCCCATCAATTACTACGAAGCTCCAGAGAAAATCTTCCCGGATTTCCCCGCGAAACTGTCGACGTTGGATCTGTGGGGAAAGCGCGTGCAGCCGGAAGATGTGCATGTGCAGTGGTATGTTCCCGAAGCGCAAACCGTTGCCGTCTGTGCCGGCTTCTTTCAGGTATACCGTGCAGCCTGTTGTGCGATTGGCAGTCTAAGCCAGTCTTTAAGCAATGCTGTGATTTTAGGAGTTTGCGTCGGAGGCTTTGGATTTGCTGAATCAGTACGCCAGTGGCGGTGTCAGCCTGGAGGACAAGAAGATCCAAAAATGCTTGCATGTGCTAGAAGCCACACTAGTCGGGGTGATCTCCCACTGCGGCTTCGATTTCGATGAAATGGTGGCGCTGCCGGGCTATGATTTGACGTATCCGCAGGAGGATTTGCCCAAGATCAGCGGGACAAAACAAGAAGAAATACTGCTGAACGGGCAGCCTGTGCGGAAAGTCCTGGCGGAGACGCTGCAACGCGTAGTGGAGCGCGTACTAATGGGGCATCAGGACGAGACTAAATCCCTCAAGAGCGTTCTCGTACTCTACAAAATTATCCTGTTGTCCCGCGGTCCTTCGCCCGAAGACGTGATGTTGTTGGGAGGAACGCTGTGTATGAATTTTCCTATTCGGTGTTAATAATGAACTTGTAGTTAAAGCTTATGTCTTTACAGCGACGATAAAAAATGAACTGCAGAACCGCTTGTCACTCAAGAAATCCCGTTTCCGAATGCTGTACATCGAAAAGGCCCGCATGCAGCATGAGCTACGCGGTGTGTACCAGCGCGCCAGCCGCATGACGGCAACGCGAGTGGCCATTCTCAAAGTCATTGTCCGTTTGGCGGTGTCGCGCTACAAGGAAGTGCGGAGTAATGCGCAGACCCTGTTCGCCGAAGTTACCGGCCAACTGAATCTGGCTTATCGCTACGTTCTGCCTGATATTTTGCATTATCTGGCGGACTCCAAGAGCAAGACTGATGACAACGATGCTCAACTTAAAGGATGCTTGTACCTCATACTCGGCAGTAAAAATTTATCGCTCCTTCTCAAACACGACTGGGACACCATTCGCCGCGTCGTTCCCGCCGTTGTGGAGGCGCAGCACTCAGAGAATGCCACGGTGTCGTTGCTGTTTGATGCGTTGAGCGAGAAAGTGGAGACCATGTTCATCACCACGGGACTGGTCATCAAGCCCGCGGTAGACGTAGCGGTCAAGGTGGCCACAGAGATGCTGGGTCTGGAGATAGTCTTCGAGCAGGCGCTGAAGATCGGCCAGCAGAAACTGGAGGTGAAGAACGCCAACAACCTCCGCCTGTACGTGGAGTTGGTTGAACATCTGGTGCAACTACTGAACGCACCGCAAATCCGACTAAAAAACTTCCTCATCGGCCAGGTTTTTCTTAGTTATTTCATTCGAAATGACGTCTTGCCGCCGTTGCGATTGGTACAGTTCACCCTGGAGCATCTCCTTGATTCCAACGATAAAGCCCGTCGCACGAGCCTCCTCATGATGATATCCATAATGCGGGCACTGAAACCGCCTCGCAAGAAGATCCGCATTGAACCCTGCCATGATCTGAACAACCGGCCGCTGCCCCTCCCCACCACTATCGGGATTCGCGAGGATAATCTGTGGGTGTGCGTGGACGAAACGCGTATTCCCACAGCGGAAGCGGATTACGACAACACGGTGTTTATCGACAAAATCTGGCCTGGTTATTACGGCTGGCCCAAGAGCGGGCTGATGGTATCGGCGCCAGCCGCCCAGCAGAGCAGCTGGCAGCGCACCCGTGATCAGATGAAGGACGTTGAGCTGCTGATTTTGGATAAACTGACTGATGAGCAGTGGGTGGCGGCATTGATCAAGTTCCTCGCGGCGGAAGATTTCGCGCACGCTGAATTTGATCAGGAGCACTTTATGATGTTTCGCGGCTGGTTCCGCCATTTCAACAAGGCGGTTGTGCCGCTGTTTTTACAGCATTTGCAACAGTTGGTCAAAAGTCGTGAAGAGCACAGTCAGCGCGCGGCGGCGGAGATCATGACGGCCCTCATCCGCGGGTCGAAACGCTGGCCCTACCGAATGGTCTCCAAGCTGTGGGCCGATTTGGCTCCGCTCATCCAAACCGCGCTGAACAATATTTCTGGTGCGTGAAGTCATTCCTGTCTACGTACAATTTATAAGCAATTACAATGTGCAATTTATCTATGTACAGTTTTAATTTTTAGGAGAGACATTGCCCGATTGGATTGCCTTCGGCACCAACTCCATCGGATATGGTGATATGCGACAAATCTACCCGTTGTTGCGTTCCGTCCTCATCCTTTCTCCGACAGATACGGGCTTTCAGACCAGCTCCAAACTGGCGGTAATCCATGGCATCTTTGAGTGCTCGGACTGGCGCCGGCGGAATCTGCACTACATGGTGCTGGAGATGCTGGAGAGCCGCTTAACAGACAGTTACCGCGACCATGTGGCTTATCTGTTGTCGGTGGCCTTCCGGCACGACATCAACCTGCCCCACATGGACACTCGGCAAGACCAGGGCCCAAAGGCCACCGATTTCTTCAATAAGTACTTTGCGACGTGCTTGAGTCTGCTTGAAGATGAAGGTCACACAACGCTGCAGACGCTAATCCTTTTCAAGACCATCGTCAAAGCCATTGTCACTCATGTCTCATCGTTGGCTACTCTGCGCCCCGATGTTCTGGTAAAGATTGAGCATTTTTTCACCCGATCGCATTGAATTAACAGGCGGTAATTTGGTTACAGCGATATTACCCGTTGTTGTGCCGTTTTGAGAACGATACCCGTGACGCGGATCTGGCCAAGGACTGCATATCCGCCCTGACGTGCTTCTCACAGGTCTTTCTCTCGGAGAACGCCATCCCGCGACTGCTGAGCGAGGTGCACGCGGTCGTGACCAAACCAGATATCCCGTGGCGCGCCCGCGTAGTGGCGTTAGACAATCTGCAAGTATGCATCTTCAACAACCTCCTCACCATCCTGGAGCGGCCGCTGTGGATCCAGGACATCGCCGCTCTGGTGCGGCAGCGTCTGCTCGACGAACAAGTGGAGGTTTGTGCCTATTGGACATGCATTGCTGCGAGATTGTGCATTGTGGAGTTTCTCTAGGTGCGGCAGATGGCGGCGGTAACGCTGACGGGGCTGTTCCAGTGCCAATTCCTGCCGATGAGCCCGGAGGAGCTGGGGGTGTTCCAGCAGTGGGCTAATCTCCAGTTGCCACGCGGCGCAGATAAGACCAGTCCGGAATATCTACAGACGCTGATCCGGCGGCATGCAGGCGTCCTGGGCCTGTCGGCCTGCATCGCTGCCCATCCCTACGATGTGCCGGCCTTCGTGCCCAATGTGCTTATGGCGCTGGGTGAGCACATCAACGATCCGCTGCCCATCAGCCAGACGGTGCGCGCCACCTTCGGGGAATTTCGGCGGACACATCATGATTCGTGGCGGGAGCACAAGGAAAAGTTTTCCGATGACCAGCTGGCTATCCTAACCGATCTGCTTGTTTCGCCCAATTACTATGCTTGAAGTCGTGTGACGCTGTTGGGAAAGTCGGGACAACCTTGATGTCTGCGGGATAATCGTTGAGGAGAGCGCTGCAGAGTAGCTGCTCTGCTTGCACTTTTTATTTGTTTGTTTGTTGATGCTTAGCCTTGCGCGCGAACGATTGATCCTTGATTATCATTCTATATTCAGAGTGTTATCGTTTTGTTAGAATTCTTATTTATTTATTCTTTACATCGGTCTACGTCTGCCATTGATGCTGCATAAATTTGAAGTCAGTTTTACGGTGTTTTGTACTTTGCACTGTTGACGTTTAAGGGTAACTAGTCTATCAGTCCAACAAATTTATTATCGATCAAATCGAAACCGGCAGTGCTGACATGAGTGCACTGGTGTCTGTGCCGATGTGCGCCACACTACGCGGAATGTTGAGATTACAGCGGTTGTTTTGATAACATGGGTGCCGAGACCCTGGCATAGATAAAGTTGAATTATCAACATAATGGTATAACATAAACAAGAAATTAATCGTAATAATTTAATAGGCCGAATTTTAATGTTATTTTCTGCAGTTTCCAAAATAAAATGTTTCCCTTCTGACAAGTGGCAATTTCCGAGTGGCAACTGAAAACACCCTGCACATGAAGATTTTAAATACGAGTTCTTGTCCAATAAGTAGTATTATTAAGTACTTACTAATTTCACGTCTTTATAATTAGCTTGTATTAAGCCAGCATTCGTCCGTTTTCGGTTTGTAACTTTGTACATACATGCTTACGATTAATACACGCCAGGCATGAATACAAACTTCAGCTGAAAATCTGATTAATGTTCCCATACAGCTGATTTAACGTGTGCTGTGCCCTAATGAGAGCATTCAGTGCTCTACTCAAAGAACAAACATGTACAAAGCGTGGTGGTTGAGATGATAACGGTCAGCTATATTACGGCCTTGCCCACGTCCCGCCAGATACAGCACCCAACTAAGCTAAACTAAACCAAACCAGTTCCACTGTTGGATCTATTAGAGACTTTCCGGTCGGATATTACAGTTATTTTCGTGGCGAAAATGACAGTGACCTTTGAAGAAACTGGCGCCGGTTGGACATATGGCGGCGAGAGGATCGTCCTTGCCCTCGTCAGTATCGTGACAGGATGGTTGTTCCTGCAGCGTTTACTGCGCTCCTCCTATCGCCTACCTCCGGGACCGTGGAGTGTGCCCGTGCTGGGCTGTATGCTGTGGATTGACCACAAAGCGCCCTTTCGCACCTTCTCACAGTGGGCCGATAAGTACGGGCGTTTCTTCTACGCCCGTCTGGGCAAAAATCCGGTGTTGGTCATCAATGACGCTACCCTAGTGCGAGAAATATTTTTCAGCGATGCCTTCCAGAAACGGCCACATATGCCTAGCACCACGCAGCGCCTGAAGGAAACGAACGGCCTGCATTGCGGTAGGTTGCAATGCCATTTCCGGTCATTTCTGTCACCTATCTTGTTTGTATACGCATCTGTTATGTCATTAATACAGAAAGCAGAAAGTGGTTGATTTATTATTAGGTTTGATTTTCGATGACGGAGATTCATGGAAAGAACACCGGCGCTTCGTACTGCGCACCCTGAAGGACTTTGGCATGGGTGGGCGGAGCATCGAGGAGAAGGTAGCGGAAGAGGCGGGATATCTACTGGAGCTTCTCCGGGGCACACGGGAGGCGCCCTTCGACAACAAGGTCTTTATCAGCACCGCCGTGGCCAATGTCGTCTCCAACGTGGTGGCTAACCAGCGCTACGACGTCAACAACCCTGAATTTGTGCACCTTCTGAAGGGCATCGCCCATCTTTTCCGTTCCAGTTTCACCAAAACCCTCTTAGGTGCCTATACAGCCCTGAAGGCCATCCCACCTTTTGACGCCGTTTGGCAGAGCAACCAGTCGGCCAAAGATACCATGGCAGCCTTCTTCGGCCGGCAGGTGCAGGAGCACCTGGGCGCTTGGAGGGAGCATGGCGAGAGCGATCTCATCGACGCATATATCACGGCACTGCGGCGGGGGGAATTTGGGACCTTTGCAGAGCGCCAGCTACTATATTTGGTGGAGGATCTCATGTTGGCTGGGTACGAGACCACTACCATCACGTTGCGCTGGGTAAGTCAGTCTCAGCTCATGACAAAGTGACCTTTGTAATTAACTTTCGGGATCCGTTTCAGGCGTTTCTTCTAATGTGCGCGTACCCGGAGGTCCAGGATCGGGTGCAAAAAGAGCTGGATAGCTGCGTTCCCGCCGGTTCCGGTGCACGCCCTTCCGAGCAGCTCTCCCTGCCCTTCACGGAGGCCGTCTTGGCGGAGGTACACCGCTACGCCAGCATCGTTCCCTGGGGAGTCGCGCACGTGGTCTCCGCCGACAGCCAGTTGGAGGGTTATGACGTGCCACGTGGCACCTGGATCTTGCCCAACCTCTACCATATCCATCACGATCCCGCACTCTGGGAAGAGCCGCACCAGTTCCGGCCGGAGCGCTTCCTGACAGCGGATGGCCAGCTGCAGCGGCTACCAGACTACTGGATGCCCTTTGCGGTCGGCAAACGACGATGTCCGGGAGAGAGCCTGGCTCAGGTGGAGTTTCTAATGTTCTTCACGGCGGTATTGCGGAATTTTCGTCTGCAGCTGCCGGGCGGGCCGCAGTCTGCGGATCTGCGCCCGGTGCCAGGCGCCACGTCCGAAACGGTTTTGTATTCGTTAGTGGCCATTCCGCGCTCGTGATGGCGTGCCTTGTCAGACCTGCTTAAAGCTGCTTGCTTTTAATACAAGTTATACTTGCACGTATGTTACAATTTCAGTAATACCACCGACCGCCGTTATGCCTATAATTTTTAAAATCATGGACTTACGACGTGTGAAATCATTTTGACGGTTTTTCCAATTAGCTTAAACACTACTCTAGGTAACGCACGCATAGCCGGCTGTGAGTTGGCTTTTATACCGGTTACTGCATTTGATCTCACGGTTTCATCATGGTCGTCTGGCCCTCTTGCTAACAAGTAACTACATTTTTTAATGTTTTATTTTGAATCACTCTATTTACTCAGTGCCCATCAGCGCAGGCATAATTATGTGATGTGTATAATTGTAGACTTGTAGTCGCTATTGTTGAATAAAAAGAAAAACGTCGCGACATGAGTTCAACAACAATACTTCGTACAAGTACCGAAGTACGTACAGTACTCGTTGTATACGCAGTGCATAATTGTGATTTTATAGCCATGATTTCGGACAAAGGCTTTTATGACTTGACTTTTTTTATCAGCAGTAAGTTCTACTGATCAGCTTTAAAGGAAAAAATCACAATCCACATTGTTTAGTTTGTTAGTCGTAATTCGTAAGCACTACAGTGCACGCTTTACAACTTTACCGGCCAACAGCTGATCTGCCGATTCCGGCAGACCAGGACAGCGGCAGTATTTTTGTGCGCGTTAGTTTCAAATGGAATTCCATGTTGAGGCTATTGGCATTCCCAACTGAGGCAACGTGTTAAAAAATGAAACGTCCACGTAAGTAAATAAGCATTATTTTCAGAACGGTATTTTTTCTGAAAAAATAATGGGTTTTTTCAAGATTGTTGGCTTTGCGGTTTCCCATTGCAGCATCCTATAGTCAAATTAAGCGTCACTTTGTTTTTTACCTACCGTAAAATGCTGCCTGTATTATTAGTGAGCAGAGCGTAGCAGAACTGGAGCTTCTGTTTTATTTGTGACTCGTTACTGTATTCTTTACTCTTTAGCTCATATTTGAGTTTTCCTTACCGCGAACATAAAAGATACAGATTAATTCCCTCATCGCTCCAGTTTTCATCTCCTGTTCATCTGTCTCTGGGTGGAGAATCGGGTTCTTCAGCTTGCGGCGTATATGATCGATGTAGAGCGGTGGATTGGTTTGGAGTGTGTTGTTGCAGTCGGATAATAATAGTACCTGATAAGCATTCCACATGTTGACCAAGTTCTTTCCCGCCTGCCTCCTCCTGTGCGGCCTATGTCTGCGGAGGACGGCAGGCCAAGGAGCGGGTATGATGCAGCCCATAGGAGGTAAGTGCGAAGCGCTGTCTTTGCCGCGGCGACCTCGTGCGTCGTCCTCGCGGGTTCCCCGCTGATCCCTCTCCTTTTCTCGTTACAGGGCAGCAAGCGCCTGCCATAGGGACCAATAACGCCGCCAACCCCCTACCGGTGAATTATAATCAGGGGGTAGGTGCGGGAAATGCCGTGACGATGGCGGCGGCGGCCGCCTCGGTGGACGACAGCGACATCATCAATTTGGCCGAGCATCCGGCCTGCGCGGCCGATGTGCGTCGTCTATGTGAGGGAATGCCCAATAAAAAGGATCCCGACGCTACCAAGGAGGCCAAGAACAGTCTGGACGTGCTCAACTGCTTCCTTGACCACGTCAGTTCTTCTTCGGGCATCCAAATTGTCCATTACTTGATAATTCCTCTCTTTTGCAGGAAGACAAGGCTGTTTCCGCCGGCTGTCATCAGGTTAGTCTGGACAATCATTATTTTTTGCTCCTTTATGCAGTAGCTCGATTCAATTATTTTTCAAGTAGTTTTTTACTTTTGATTTTTGAATTGTTTTTTCCTGAGTTTATTCTGCCGATTATATGAAACTTTCTCCGGATTTCTTTGCGGCCTCTTTCTCCTCGTTGATTTTTTTAATACTAACTGCGATGGATTTTGCTAGAGATTTCGGTGGGAATTAGTAATTTGGAGGTTCGGCTTGCGTAGCTGTGTGCGATCGTTACCGGATGTTTTCAGTTTATGGAGTTGTTTACTCTTCTCACAATCAGCGTTAGTGTACGTAACAGGTCTTTATCTGGCAGAAACACTTGGCAGATGCTTAGCTGAGCAGCCTAACATAGTGCACACTTTGCGCGAGCGCAGAAGTTACCCATGAAGGGCTTAAGGCTGATTTTCAAACGTTTTCCGTGACGAGGCAGACTGCAGTGGCGTCGCAAACCGGTTTTCGGCTCACGTGTGTTGTTTCAGTTTACACACAGGAAAAAAGTAGCCGCTGATGTATAAGGGCATCGTGCGCTGATAATCTCTTTTATTTATGTTTCTGGTTAAACTTTTTTTATTGTTCTGGAAGGTAACAACTGAATAAAGCAGTCCACGATTCCACAATGTCGTACAAACCGTAATATGCGTTTGGTTAAAATTTTGTAGAATTACAGGAAAGCACTTTTTAAACTCTTATGCAATGTTGATGGCAACGTTCCTATGGCAGAGAGATAATTTTGTGACGAAATGATTTCCTGATGTATTCGAAGTTTTAAAACCTTTTGTACATCGTGGAAAAAATAAATAAAAAATTTGATAAGACAGAGTGAATATTATTATTAGTGTGATTGATAATACCGTGTGGTTGTAGATCATGTACGATTTTAAAAAGAACATTACAAAAGATCCACGGATTGCCAATATTGCCGACGCCCAGTGTAAGGACGACCTGACAAAAACTCACTTGGCGACCTGCGCCAGTTTTCGAAAGAGTGATCCCGGCCACTTCATCTCCTGTGTGGTGGAACACAAGGACGAAATCACCGACGAATCTTGTCTGGCCTTTGTGAACAAAGTGGCCGTTGTAATTTTCTCCGACTTCCGCTTTGTTTCGCCCTTTATGAACGCTTGTGCCGCAGACCAGGAACGACTAAAATGCAAATTCCTGGACAACGACGGGCAGTCCAAAGGCGGGCATTCGCAGGGCGCCGTTGTCCAGTGTCTGCTGCACGAAATGCAGCAGCTGCAACGCAAAGCCCTGGAAGCGAAGGCCAACCAACAGGATGGTCAGGGTTTGCAGCAGATGCCGTCGCCAGAGAATCAGCTAGCGCCGGAATGCGCGCACCAGCTCATGCGTTTGTTGGAACTGCAGGCTGACGATTACCATCTGGATCGGGCACTCTTCCTGGCGTGCCGGGATGACCGGGAGACCTTCTGCCGGGATGTGCAGGCCGGACAGGGACGGGTGTATCAGTGCTTGATGCGGAGTATTAACGAGGCGCGCATGACCACAGAGGTAGGATCATGCGCCTGCTGGTTGCCGCGCGAACATAACAAACCCAAATGATGTGTTTTAGTGCAAAGCCCGGTTAGAAGAGCGTGAAGTGGCTGCGCAGACCGACTACAAGGTGGACTACGGTCTGGGGCAGGCCTGCAAAGATGAGATCTCACGCTATAACTGCGTGCCGCCGTCGACGCATCCACAGGAGTACGGCATGTCCTTTATTATCCTCTGTTTGGAAGATCCCATGCGCAAAGAAGGTAGGTAAAATTTCTACTTGTTGATGATCCATGTTTTAACGGATAAAGCTCGTATTAATTGGAAACGGACGTCGTTACTTTACTGATTCTTCTTTTACCAGCTCAACACCAGGTCGGGCCCAAATGTCAGGACGCCATGCAGTACCACCGACAGGCTTTGATGAACGACCACAACGTATCGCCAAATATTTTGGTTTTCTGCAAGACGGACATTGAGCGCCACTGCAGCAAGAAGGGCGTGCAGCCGCAAGCCTATGTGCACTGTTTGATGGGCGCCGCTCAGCCCCATTTGCAGAAAGGCCCGAACGGTCAAGCGGGCAGTTACGCGAGCCAGTTGGCGCCCGTCTGTGAGCGCGAGCTGAAGGAGCTGCTGCTAACGGCCGATCCGGCCAGCGATATGAAAGTCGATCTTGTTTTGTATCAGGTAATGTCTTGATGAAGGCATGTTGCCCAGTCCCAACCATTGGTCTGTTCCTAATCGTGACCCACCCCTACCTTAGGCGTGTGCCAACGTCATCCACAATCGCTGCGGAGGGGACATGCATGCGGCCGCGCTACAGTGAGTCATGGTTTGCATAAATGTCACATGTACGATACCGTTGCGGCTGTTGTAGTATGATGGGCTGTTTGATGGAGAACATGCATGCCCAGGAGATGACGGAAGACTGTGAAAAGCGCCTGCTGGAATCCCATTACTTTATGACACGGGATATCCGTCTGGATACGGAACTCTTCCGTGCCTGCAAGGATTCCGTGGGCAGAGTATGCGGGTTGAAGGATGACTGGTTGCCCCAAGAAAAAAACAGGCAGGGGCCGGACGTCGGTCCCATTGTCTTCGGCTGTCTGTACCGGCACGCAGTTATCCCGGAGCCTGATAAAGACGGGGTGGGGCTAACTTTCGTGATATAGTTGTTCGCTGCTATGCGGCGCTGCAGCATAGTGATTCAGCTAAATGATTTGCTTTCGTGTGCAGTTGTCGGATCAATGCAAGGCTAAAGTTTTCGAGATGTTACACCAGCGTGCCGTCGCCCGCGAGCTGCCCCCGAAGATCGATACGGATTGCATCCACGATCTGGCTTACTTCTGCTCTGACAGGCCGCCCCGCAAGGGTCAGGTACATGGAAATTCTTGTTATTTGTTGGGATTCGTCGTTTTGACCATATTAAAATTGTCTTCCGAATAGGAGATGAACTGTCTGCAGGATAATTACGCTAAACTGCAGACAGAGTGCAAGGCCGCCGTGCAGGGGTACTTGCAGGCCGTCAACAAAGACGCCAAACTGAGCGCCACGTACTACAATTGCGCTAATATGCTGGAGAAGTTCTGTCGCGGGTCACTTGATCAGGGTTCTACTTTTGACGATGCCATGCAGTGCCTGATCCCTTACAAGGAAGATGTCGGGATGGAGAAAAATTGCAAAGCTGAGATTGAGCACTATCAAATGGTCAGTTGCAGCGAGGCCAGTGTCTCCGTCAGGCAGCTATAAAAATAACCGGTGTGATTTATTAAACAGGTCAACATCCAAGAGTTCAATCTCAATTTCCGATTCAAGGAAGCTTGCAGAGTTGACCGGGAGACTTTTTGTAAAGGTCCAAATGGACAACCACTAACTGACATGTACGTTTAAACGAGTGCGTAACGTGCAGTTAAAATAGCCTAATTTTTTCCCGTTATGGCAGTGGAGAATTGGTGGTTTGTTTGAGCTCTCTCAACCGTGAAGACATTGTCAATGGCGCAAAACCCCGCATCAGCGACGCATGCCGGAAGCAGTTGCGGAGTGAACTGCTGACCCGGGTAGATGTGGCTTGCGGCTGTTGTTAGTGTAGTGTAGCTAAAGGGAGGATTTGCAGGTGGAGAATGTGGAGCTTGATCCGTATATCAAGAAAGTGTGCGGTAATGACATTGACAAAGTCTGCCGCATCCCCAATCAGCTGGATACGCTAGAGTGTCTGCGCCGTCAAGACCCAAAGACACTGTCGTCCGAATGCGCTGCCGTCGTTTTCAAGGTAGAGATGGTGCAGGCCGCCGAACCCGAAGCCGATTTCGCCCTGCTGAAGGCCTGTAAACGAATGATCAAGAAGTTCTGCCCCGACGAGGAAACCACCCAGGTGCTGACCTGTTTGATCGGGGTCAAGAAAGAGCCGGAGATGGACGACAAATGCCGCAAGATGATCATCACGCGCCAGATGGAGGAGGGCAAGGATGTGCGCCTCAACGCCGGACTGTTCAAGGAGTGCAAGAAGGATATGGATAAATTCTGCAGGACTGATCTGGAGAAGTTGGGCAGTCGCAAAGTGGAGGCACCGGAGCTGGAAGCGACCATTGTTGAGTGTCTGCGGCGGCACCGCAAACAGATCAGTGGCGCTTGCGATAAGCAGATCACCACGCTCTTCAAGGAGGTGGTCTCCGACTACCAACTGGTAGGTCTGCTTCGTATTTGGCTGTTTGTCTGTTTGCATTTTTCGCGGGTTGCAACGGTTGGCTGCTGAATAGGATAAAAATTTGGTGGAAGTATGCCATGAAGAGATCTTGAGCTGCCATAAATCGGATGACGAGGAGAAGGGCGAAGTGGTGGAGTGTCTGAAGCAGCAGTTGAAAGCAGGTAAAATGCGGACGCCCTGTGCGCTGCGTGTCTCACATCTGGTAGCCGAGGGCAAGGCCGACCTCCACGTCGATCCGCAGCTGTTTTCTGCTTGTCACGATGATCTTCGAAAGTTCTGCCGAGAAGTGGATGCCGGCGAGGGTCGACAGTTCCAGTGTCTAAGCGCTGCGCGCAGTGACGGCCACAAACTGACAGTCCAGTGTGATAGCAAGCTCAAGGAGCGGATAGAATTTGTCAAGTATGCTACAAAGGTCAGTTCCATTTGTTTTCTGCATCCAGCTTTTGCTACGTCTGTGCTTGCCCTTTTTGAGTAACTGACTGATTGGTTTGGATTTTTGAAAAATTCTGCTAATAATAAACTTCAGTATTAATATAAATTAATAATCCATTATCAGGTACTTGCCAGTGCTACTTGGTTATCTGGTTGGATGGTCTGCATTTTTGATTTATCGTAGAAATTAATATTTTAATTGTTTTTGGAAGTTTTGTATCATAATTATTTGTATAGTACTCGTATAATTAATCTGATGTTTTCGGTTTCACAGGATGAACCCATGGACAACATCGGGCAGATTGTGGACGCCGTAGTGGATAGTCCGGCACGGCACTACGTGTTTGCTGTGCTGGGTGGAGCTTTGTGTGCAGTTCTCTGCATTGGCATTTGCTGTGGCCGGGCCACGAAGCGGGTGCGGAGGGAACTCAAGAATCGATGAGGGACGGTCGTTTGTGCAGAGGGAGGGGATGGGAGAGGGCATCGTGCCAATGCATGTTGTGTCACACTTCGTCAACACTCACAAACTGAGATAAATGCAGAGTGCAGACAAAGAGAGATGAATTGAATTAATTTAACGATTCCAAAGGTGTTTTTCTTGGCTTTTCTAATTAACTCGAGTCTTCTACTATTTTTGCTGTTTTTATCTTTTTGAGCAGAGCGAAATGTTAATCGTTTGTCCATGTACGCAGTCAGTCGAAGATGCGTGATGCCGTCGCACTTGCTTGGATCTGCTTTTATCTTAGATTTTTACCGTTGAAACAAAAAAAGTTTAAGTTTTGTGATCCTTCGATGCGCACTGGGGTTACCGATGCATTAGCAAATAGCCGGTAACTGCAATCCTCATCCTTTCGTTGCCACTGTGTGCTTGTTGCATGTGGTAACTTAAAAAGTTTAATTCTCGAAAATAGTAAAAGTTCGTGAAATTCGCAATCCCAGGATCAGATTCTAAGATTATCAAAACAGCACAGCAATCGCGAAATCAACATCTACTTGATAAATAATACTAAATTAATCGACAACTGAATCTGGTGTCACCAAATTACCAACATTGCTGTGACTGGATTCCCAGTTGACACTGCCCAATCGATCATGCGGCTTCCACGCCATCAATTGGAGTACGGAAGTCTGGATGTTATATTCGTAAACGCCAGCGGTGAAATTTGAACTGCATAGCAGACCCTAAGGAAAGCCTTTTTACAGAGTAATCTTTATTTATCGAGAAAGCTTCTCCATGACGGTACAAAATAGCAGAAGCAAAACATTGCAGAAAAGGTGAACTAAACAGAAAAGAAGCAAGAATTTTGTAAATCAGTTTAATGTAATTAGGAGTGAAAATACACTACTATTATCAAATCGATCAACCAGTCAATCAATCCATTCAACTAACCAGGCCGACTGCGGAGTTAGTGAAGAAAGTGCTGAGAAAGAGGGACTGACTAATCGTCGAACACTCACCAGTCAGCCAGCCCGGCCGCTGACTACCGACTGTCTGGACACACACTGGCGGTCGGGCAGCCGACAGACAGACAGCGCCAGCCAGTCAGCTGCATGAAAAACAAAATGACGTCCACACGCAGGGGCCGCCCACACCGGCACAAAATGAATGGCGTCCGGCGGCACACAGCACCGACGACGACAACAACCAACACAGAAGAAAGAACAGTTAACGCACACTCAATCCCGTCTGTTCATGCACATCAAGACAGACAATCCTCAACCCGTGGAATCTCGTGGAAGCCGAGAGCAGCTCACATGTAGATATCTGTCGAACACCGTACATCATTAACAGAGTTACAAAGCAGCACAGAGAAACCAGCGTATGTGCATCGTGTTACAACAACTTACTGCCGGTACGGCGGTTCCCGCGGTTGCGGTCATCGCGATCACGTTCGCGTTCCCGCTCGCGGTCCCTGTCGCGGTTGCGATCGTAGCGGCGGTCCTGCTCTAAACCGGTACGGCCCTTAAAACCGGGATTGGGCATGTGGAAAAGGCCGTAGTCGGTGTGGCTGTCGTTGGTGGGGCCCGCACCGCTGCCCTTCTCGCCCATCTCCTTCCCCATCATCATGCTATTTTGCGAAGACGAGGACGAAGTCAGCATGGCGTCTCCATTGCCGTTGTGCTCAAAATCGTTGCCTGGCAGATCAAACAGCATGCAAGATACACCGCAAAACTCCAGAACGGACAACTCACTGTTTCGATAGGCATTGCGATTATCACCAGGGTAGCGCCCCATCGGCGGTACACCCCCTCGCGACCCCTGACCGCCGCCGCCACGTTCCATGTTGCGATCGTTGTGGAAACGCCGTCGGTCATCCATCCTGCCGCGATCGTTGCTATCGTCCAAACTGCGCCGGTCGTTGCGCATCGGCGGTTCGAAGCCTCCGCGACCCCCTCGATTCATGCCAGGGCGGGCGCCCGCACCGCGATCGCGATACCCGAAGCCGTTGTCCTGATCACGCCGCTTGTACACTATCGACATAACGACATTGCGCAATCATGCAAAAAGAGTCGACAAATCATAAACAACACGCACAATCATCACCGAATCCGCGGTTTTCCTGATTATCAGCCGGGGAATGGGAACGAAAGGCATCAGCACCGCCCATCAGATCTGAGGCATCTCCATCTGGATTCTTGGGATCAAACGTTCCAATACGTCCGCTTTCTGTCAACATAAAACATCCTTTTTTCGACATTCATTCAAGCATCCACTGTTCGACCACTTACGCCATGCGCTCTGCCCTTGAGCAACGGCATTGTCGGGTGGGAGAGGCGGCCGCGTCATCCGCTGCGGCGCCCCGCTGCCAATGGCCCCCACATGTGCTCCCGGTTCTTCCTTGACGTCCATCATCAGTCCGCCAAAGGAGCCGCTTCGTTCGCGGTCCCGGTCTCGATCGCCGACGGAACCGTGGCCACTGCGGTTGGAAGGGACGAGGTTTGGTCCGTGGCCGTGGAAGGCGCCCAGTCCCGCCGCGCCGCTGCTGACGGGGAAAGCGTTGGCAGTGGACGCGGCCGCCACCGGTACCGTGGGGACTATCAGAGGAGGAACGCTGACGTTGGGCGCGCCCATGGATGACTGCAAGCCGCCGCTGACAGGTAACGCGGCGGCGCCTAGTGGGACAGCAGAAGGAGACAGCCCGGTATGCGGCACTCCAGCCGAGGAATTGGCCACGATTTGCTGCTGCCCTGTGTCACAACCAACATACTCGATCTATCTCACCATCATACAAGTGCAGCAGTGATAGGTGGAGGATTATAAACCTCCGTCATGAGAAACCACGGCATTTACCTGGAACAACGGGAGGAACCATGCCGGATGAAATCTTGCTGTTAACAAACGACATGCTGGACCCATGCTGGTAATCTACAATTCACACCCGACAAATCAACCCACGATTTAACGGGACTAGTACCAACACCGTTATGAATGTTTTACCCGGCGGCGGAATCACAGGTACAGCACTGGGAACGTTTGACATCACTTGACTGACACCGGCTTCTTCACCGACCACAATCACGCTGGCTAAGCAAAGCCAATACACACGGTCACAAGCAGCCACAAAGCAACATGCACTACGCTCGCAATCTTTCTCTTCACGACCATTCAAAGCGCGCACCTGCTGACTTGAAAGAGCTGGCCTGCTGCGGCGTGTGAGTGACAACACTGGGCGACTTAATACGGGCGTCTTTTTTGGCGGCACCGGGCGCTGCGACATGGGGCTCCGTCGGCAAGGCCAAAGGGGAGCGAGATTTACTGTGAAGGACATCGGGATGGGAGGCGAAGAAGGGGGAGGCCAACAGGACGTCCAAAAGCTCTTTACAGCCCGTTAGCTCCTTCCCGCTGGGCGTGACCTGCAGGGAACGCCCATGGAGCAGATGACACTGCTGCTCCGTCACGAACTGCAGGTGTTCCGACGAGGCTCTCCCACCGGAACCCTCCGGGAGGAGGTCCGACCGGAAGGGGAACAGCAGCCGCCGTACTTGATCCACCTGCTCCCGGCAGTTCTCAGGAAGTCCCTACACACGTAGACAGATATTTTTAACGCATAACGCTTCATCTCTGAGCCAGCGACAAGTTCAGATAGCAAATCGGACGCCACTCCAGAGTAATGGACAACAAGCTGCTTAGCAACGGCACGCATCTAGCTTCCTTTAAAATTTTCACAATGGACTTCCACAAGATTTTCCAGTAAAAAGTGTAATTAACTTCTGGAGTCGTCTCCAAGAAACGGAATTTTCCATTGTTAAAAGAGTGCTTTAGAAAAAAGCTGTTTAACGTGAATAACGTCACTAAAAAGACTCAAGAACAGACTTCCCCGAATGGAGCTAAAATCACTCCAAAACATTACAAACCATCCCTCCGCACACCACATTCAAAAATCGGTAACAAATGCCTTAATCTAATGGCTTAATGTAATTAAAATATAATGCAGGAAATTGTCGCAAAAACATCAAATCTCTGATTTCAAGGTAAACAAAACTTCCGTAAATTTTTAAACTTATGTCAATCGTACTTTAAACATTCAAAAAGGCCATCCAGGGCATAAGATGCAAACTGCAAACAAGAGATTTGGCAAGAACTGAAGAACCCGAGTAGTTCCCGTCAGTTCTACCGTCACCTACCTCCGTCTCCTGGATGACATCCATGAGAACATCGGGCGACTCTAGGGCCATCACCACCGCCCGGTATCTCTCGAGATCGAGGAGGCGATCGTGTTCGGCCTGCTGTTCCTTGCGGAGGATCTTGCGGTAGCACTTTTTGATGTCTTCCGCGCAGACCATGAACTGCTTCTGCAACTCCCGGAACGTCTCTAGCTGCTGGTTGTTGTCTTCGTACCGCGCCAGGGATTGCTACAAACACAAGTGGTTGAGTGATGAGACGCACAACTGTCAAACAAGGCTGCGATCGCATCGCCCGGGCTCCTCACCGCCTGGTCTTCGTTTAACGGTTTTCCGCTCTTCTGCACTTCATCTCGCAGATTGTCCAGTTTGGACTTCTTCTTCTCCATATTGCGGATCTTTTTATCGATCCCCACCAGGGCGCTCTTGATCGGCTCAATAATGGGCTCCACCAGATCGTCCATGGAGCTGCTGGCTGACACGCCAAGTTTGTTGTTTATAACATGCGCAGCAGCACTGCTCACGCTGCTGCTCAGGCTGTTCGCAGACGCACTCGCTGCCATCGTGATCGCGATGGTCGCACACCCAACACACTCCTACTCCCAGAACAATTCACTAGCAAAGTAAATGTCAATAGCTGTTGCGGAAAAAATCAGCAATTATCAAACGGAAATTAAAATGATCACACATAATTTATAAACAGAAATCAAGAAAACAAGACGACTGGAAATTAGTGCTCGACGTGCTGGCTGTGTTGCTCATACACGGAAGTCACTGGTCAAGTCAGCGACATTCAACAGTCCCGGTGCGAGTATGGCTCAAGCAAGATACTCGAACAGGGTTACGATGTCTACCGCCGCATACTGCAAATGACACATTAACCTTCCGGATGAGTCGTGCGGCCACTTGAACCTAAATTTAAGGTAAAATACGCAAATGCTTTAAGTTGCGTACGCGTAAAAGAAGTTACTTAACAATTTTACGTTAGTTTCCAATTTCGCTAAGAATTTTTGCTATAGTGTGAATTCCGAATTACAGAAAAATTTCCGACCGTGAAATCAAGCGGTATAGCAGCTCTCCTACAAAACATCCCTGGCGGTTTGCTCGGTAATCACCAACGAAGGCAATGATATTCTCTTCTTAATCATAATTTTGCAACAAGTAAAACCGCTTTCCAAGTTTCCACCCACGAAATTACAGGGTAAGCAGAAAACCGCAGAGCGTCAAAAAGGGGAAGGGGCAACGCTATACAACACGTGACTAGTAAAAATACTAATAAAAACCGCACCCCTGCCACAACCCACCAATCAACCACTAACACCTCCCGAATTTCAGACAAAAAAGCAAAACCAGGAAAAACTCTGGCTGTCCACCCGCGTACAGCATTTGGTCCATTTGCCACAAAAACATCAATACACTAAACTCAGACATTCATCCATCCATTAATCAACGGAGCAGTACCAAGGGGCGACTGCATAACGGGCACCAGTTAGTTCACGGCTCATGGGAAGATGATACGCACAAAGGGACACTTGGTGTCCAGCATGCTGATGCAGAAGGGGCACGCCGCACTGGAAGGCTTATACGCACTGGCCTGCAAATTTTTAATTAATGCAAGTCAACAGCAGCTACGTAATCATGGCATGCTCTATGGGAAACGGATGAGCCTACTTCGTGCGGGAAAGAAATCCGACTCCAATATTCGCACGTCTCCAGAGGAGCTGAAAAAGATCTGTTAAAATTTCCTTCACGAAAAAACAAAATTTATTTTCATATGCGAATAGTTTATTACCTAGGCCGCTTAACAAAAGCTTATTGAATTCTGTTAAAAAAATTAGCGCTTTCTGCTTTATAGAATTTTTGGAAATGTTATCACTGACCCATATGACCGCAGGGATTGAAAGCATGGGTTGGATCCGTGTTCGAGCTAATATAGAAGCCCGGCTCCATTCCCATACATAACCGAACCTGAATCAAAAATCTGAATGTAGCAAGAGTTTACGCAATTAAACCAAATCCCTGCAGGTAGAAAATAGTCCGCACGTACAATGGTTCCATCCTGCAAAATAACAATTACCATACATCAATAACATCAGCACGAAAGTAAAAAATACCAAACGTACTTTAAAGCATATAGGACATTTCTTCAGTTTGTTGGGCTGATCGCCCCAACCATGGCGCCCTTGCACGTGACCGCCTAAAAACGGGATACACCAAATACATCTGCACTATAATTGAATTGTTATATTCCACCAACATGTCATGTAAATGTAAGGCTGCTCGTTGCTTCGGATGGCGGCCGGATTGCGCTGTTTGGGAATGACCAAAGTGTTCATGCCCACCTACAACAGAACGATTTCGTCAACATCAAGCCGGAACTCAGGTCATTAGGCACTCCTACCGGACACTGTGGCCGATCAGCATTCAGCAAGGCCAAACGATCTTCCAACTGGCGGACAGTCTAAGAATCACCAAAAGGTCAGTTCATTTATGACAAAATGCATAGAAACACGTTTCTCACCGGTCCCTGCTCCAATCCGTCTCGGCTGCGGAACAGCAGCGTTACGCCGCAGAGATCAATTAATGTGCCGTCGCGCAGCACGTTGCTTTCGTTAGCCAACGGCTGACCGCGCACTTTAGCCGATCGACTGGATCGCAGCGCTAATACAGAGCCGCGCACCGACACCTCCAACCACTGCGGGGCCTCGCCACTCAAATCGCCCCATGATGGAGGATGCCTGGGAAGACACACTGTTACAGCAGAAATCATAAATGAGAAAAACCTTGTCCGTACCATATGAGAACACCGTTTGTGGTCAATCCATCCATCCCGCCCTCCGTGATCCATTTGGGGGCTTTCTCCTGCAAAAAATAGTTGTGTTAAACACATTTCCAGTTATGAGCCTGTGAGAAGTTCAAGAAGCACGGACCCCCAGCGATATATTGCGGTGGTTGTCGAACCCGGCGGCCAGCACCCGCGGGAGGAAGGGCGGGGTGCGGTTGACCAGCAGACGGCAGGCGAAGCGGGAAATCGTGCTGTCGCGCTGCTGATGTTGAGCGTGATTGTTGGGGTGAGCATGGCCGGCCGGCGCGGAGTGCGGGTGGCGGGCGTCGGAGGCCACTTCCTCGGCGTCGGCGTCCAGACAGCGGGTGTCCTTGACGGTGACGTCGATGGGGCGATCGGTGGAGCGGCCCACCTGGAACATGTCGGTGAAGGGATCGGACTGGTACTCGTGGATGGTGGTTTCCGTCTGAGATTTCACGTAGGAGACGAAGTGGCGCCGTTCCCGCATCGACTGCGACATGGCCGGGTCGGTGACGACGTAGTGTCTGGCTGAGGGCACCACGCCGTTGGGGCGGGCTTTGCGCCGCAGCAGGTAGCGCGTGGAAATCATGGTGACGGCCGACGCCGCGGCGGCTGCCGAGGAGGCCCCCGACGGCCCGTTCTGCAGGTAGGGCACGCTGTCCGACCCGTTATACCTGGCAAGACAGACCCTTTCAACGTATCCCATTCCCCAATGCACATTACGCAGAATCAGTCCACCTACCCCAACACGATCAGCTGCCCGTACACATCCTCGTCTAATCGCGAATTCTCCATTTTTCAAGTACGCCTCAGTGCGTCATCCGCTGACGCTCCTTCGCTTCTCTTTGGCTACTCTATCCGCATACCTGTTGATGCGTGCAGAATGACAACCAAATAAACTTCCAGTTGTAACATTGTTGTAAACAAAGCCTACAAAGGCTAATTAATGTGAACAGTCAACAGATGGTGACAATATGGAACTCCGTACGTACCATTTTCTTTCCGGTCCCTTTTTCCTACCAACCCTTCATCACAAGAAACTCTTACCCTTCCCGATTTTATGATCATATAAAACACAGAGATCGATGACTAGATAAAATCCAAAATCTAATCCTGTGTTATAATCCCAGAAGAAATCCTTTAATCTACTTTGCCACTTAAGCTTGGCACCGTCATGCTCCAATTGCGCGCGAACAGCAAGAAGGTTACCACAAGAACAACAAAAAGACACAGGAACCGGAAAAATGATCCGGAAAAATCTCCTACGAATGTAACGAAATTTAACGCTCAAATTCGTTTTGATTGTATAGCACTCGACCTAGAAACAAAACTAAATAGTGAAATTTGAAAATAATTATTATGTACCATTGTACCTGCAGCAGATGCAAATCCAGCATGAGAGTTGCAAGTACTGCAGGGAATTTTGACTGGAGTCGTTTACCAGTAAACTGTACTTTCGTAGAGAAAATAATGGTATGGCGCAAACTAAGCCTTCCCGGTAAGCAGAGAAAGGCCTTTGATCTTTGCCGTCCATTTCTTTATCTTTTGCGACAGAAATTCTCATTCCTGACCGATGAAAAAATCATTAAAATGCCATAACACGCTATCTACGGTTTTTGTCATGTGCGAGGGCATGCGGGATGTTCTTGTACAGCCACTTTTTTGAAAACTGTTTGCTTTCCATTGTTTTCAGATCTTTTATAAAATTGTCTAAAAGTCATGTTTTCCAGTCAAACGAGCACCAACCATTGAGACGAATCAGATGACTCACGGCAAGTAGCATCTACCGCAGCCGCCCTGGGGCGACTGTATCTATAATATTCAGCGTTATTTCCTGTTCCCGTCGTAGACTCGTCACCACAAACTGCTAAGTCACAGATTTGTTTTTCGCTCCAGCTCTTGCTGCTTTGCTTTGCTGTATAAAATGTTTACCTGTGTCTGCAGAAGATTGATCTGCGGAATACTACAGTACCTGCAGAACCTTAGAGTTGCGCAAAAGTTCAGAAGCCTTGGCTAGAGCATTCTGATTGTAGTCACCGTTTCCGTGTTACTAATCGTAAGAGGAATTTGTGGATAAATCACTGACATCACTTCAACAACAATCGCATTCGCTGGCACTGCGACTGCGTGTACTTGTTTGACGTTGAACTGCAAAGTCTTGGATGTAGTGATAACCTGGCGGGCAAGCTGCGAAGGCGAGACCACATAGCGGAGCAGCCGCTAAAAGGCACCGCGGAGCGACAGCAGTTGCACGGCGGCGACGGTGGTGACAGTAGGCGCACTAGAGCATTCAGCCAGCGCGTGCACGACGAGCCCCTCGCGGCCGCCCCCGCACAGCCACATCCCTCTCCCGCGCCATCCCCCGAAAGAGCAATTTACGGGTAAGTGCTGCAACCCTGGACATGCTGTTTTGAAATACCAGAATTCATTTTCAGCTGTATAATGAGTACAATTTGGCAAAGCTGTCGTTTGCAGGTTCGCGTTGGTTCTAGCAGCCATCAGCGGCTCAGGTCAGTTGTCGACATGTTTTGCTCAGTTTTGAATCTTTCGACAACGCCTGCAGAGCAAGGTCATGTTTCTTAATTTTCTAGTGTGAAAATATTCTTTTGAACATTTGTCAACTCTTGTAAACTGATTTCCGAGGCATGGCAGAATGACGGAATCTGTAGGGGCAATAAGTAGATGGACAATATTTATAAATAATAATTTAATGTACAGTAGCGTAATCTGTAATATTTAGGAATTTATGTATAAAGTATGTCTATAGTGTACTGTAATCGGATCGTCGATGTTTTACCTATGCCGTGCGATTTTTCTTGACTTGTATGGCCTCTTTGTACAAGTATGTACGATAAACTCTGATGTTGCAGTTGTCTACCTGGCCTGGACGTTCCTGCCGCCGGAATACTTGCGCAGTCTGGGAATCGACTTTCTTCCCAATCGGTACAGTCGCGGCATCCATTATTTACCATTTTGCACATGTGATCGTATGATGCACAGATTTTAGTGATCGGTTGATTTAGATACTGGGCGTTGATTATTCCGCTGTGTCTCTGCTCTTTGGTCGTTTTGATTCCCCTCGTCTATGGCCTGATCTGCCTGCGCTGCATGCCGCCAGGCGGACTGGAAGATCTACGACTCGGTAAGCGGTGGATTCATTTACTCTCAGTCCTGACATTTAAAACTGTCGTCTTCCGCTGATCGTTTCGTCAACGCCGCAAAAAAATGCTTCAAAACATTTACCTAATCCAAGAGTGTCTGGGATATTATTTTGCTGATGCTGCAGACGTCTACTCGCGTTCTTCGGAATACCAACGTGTGCTACAGACGCCGGCCGGCGGAATTCCGCCGCTTGCATTTTGACCGAGCACATTGAACGCCATCTTCATCTAACCGTTCTACATTGAGTTTTTCATACAGACTGCTGATGTCGCCGCGTTTTGAGATGTTATTAATTCTGATTTTGAGAAAATGGGGCGTTGAAATTTGAGGCATTTGTCTTGGGCATCTGGGATGTGTTGTTCAACTTTGAAGACAATCGCTGCCAGATGACATACATGTTTGAATACCCTGATTATACAGTGGGTATTTTACTGTTTTCCCTTATGCTGGTTATGAGGGAGTTTATATCTAAAAGATGCTTCCAACGGTTGTAGCGCATCAAGCTAAGCCGCGCCACGGAAGAGCAGTATCCGCACTATGGTCTATACGTGTACGGGGAGGGTGCTCGTGCGCAGCAGTACCATCACCGCCACTTCACCGGCATTCCGGTGCTCTTCATCCCCGGCAACGCCGGCAGCTACCGTCAGGCCCGCTCGCTGGGCTCCATCCTGCTGCGTATGTCGGAGAAACAGCAGCAGAGGCCGGTATTTGATGTTTTCACAATCGACTTCAATGAGGAGCTGGCCGGGTTATACGGGCAGTTCCTGTCAGAGCAGACGGACTTTGCTGTGCGCTGCAGCCAGCGCATCTTAGAGCTGTACAGCGGCCGCCACCAGAGTATCGTCCTGGTTGGCCACTCCGTTGGTGGGTTGATCGCGCGGGCCATGTTCGTTAGTCCTTCTTTCAACATCTCTATGGCGCACACCATCTTCACCCTGTCCACTCCGCATCGGCCCGTGGTCGTCCCTGACGAGGAATTGCAGGTCGGTGTGAGCATTTCGCATCCTGATGGCAACTGATTAAGTTGTTCGTAGGAATTCTATGACGCCGTGAACGAGTACTGGATGCGCAGTATCGATCAAACCCTATCCGACGTAGTCATTCTCTCCTTGGCTGGGGGTCATCGAGATGTGCTGATTCGGTCGGAGCGGAGTAATCTGGGCGGCTTGGTGCGAAATCATCCGCGGGTGCTGAGCACGACTACCACGGCCGTGCCCGGTGTGTGGGCCTCCACAGATCATCTATGCATTGTCTGGTGCAAACAGTTGCTTATCGCACAGGGGAAAGCGCTCTTTGAGATGGTAGATCCTGGCTCCCAAAAAATCACCACGAATGTCAAAAGGCGCATCGGAATTCTGCGGAAATATTTCATAAATCCAACGACGAAGGTAGCAGAGTGTTTTGTATTAAATTCACGACAGTTCATACAGTTATTCCCACAGATTTTGGATGCGAAGCGTGATTCAGTGCGACAGCTCGCTCTCCTTTAGAACCAGCAACGGGTCCGAAATTGTATCTAGAAGCCAAGAAATCTGAGAAGGCCTACTGGCAGCTGTACAGCACTGAGAGCAGTAATGTTTCATTGGTTATTCAGAGCAGTTTTTGGAATGATCACTGGATCCGCGCGTGCACCCTGCCTAATTGCGACGAATCATTAATCCTGACTATTCAACCCACCCGTATCCCGTGGTTCTCCGACAGCCCGCATTTCTTTGCAATCATCCCCCCACAAAAACATCGGTCCAGTATTCAGCACTGGCAGTCGAAGTGCCGCGACTTACCGATGGCCACTACATCCGCGCCGAGCCTGTTCGAGCACCGCTGAAAGTATCGTTTAGTAGCAGTCTGACATTTCCGGTATTTCACATCAAACGACAAGCCTACCAACGCTTTTCGGTACAACTCACCGAAATCTGGGAAGCCGTTAATATACACGTGCACAGCAAAGCCGGATGTCGCGGATTGCTTCGGTTCACTGTTCCCGGGTTTGCTCAAGACACGTACCGCCTGCTGGATTCGGGAAACACCCGATTTGCCCTGAAATTGCAGTCGGCCAGCGTCACCCCGGGTACGTTGGAATTATTCATGACCCCGGCGTGTGTGAGCACCGCGTGGCATTCAGTCCCGCCTGGCTAGATATGCTGGGCCAGCTTGTGCGCTTTTACGCACTCAAGCTACCGGTCTTTTTTCGCGGCGGTGGTGATGGTGAAGACAGTGGGACTATACCGGGAGAAGGTTACATTTTGGGATCATTCGTTCGTCAGTGGGCTGGCGGGGTTGATAATTTGGGTGCATCGGTAGGTGACGCGCAACACTACGAGGGCTACTCGTATAATGACGCTGGTTGATGGGTAGAGCAGCGGGCCTGGGAGGGCCACTGAGTGAGATGGAGGGATTATCCGGGATGAGTGGATGGGAATTATGGCTGGCTTTCTACGCGATTAGCTGGTGTTTGGTGGATGTAATGGAAACCGTCATCCGGCTGGTTGTAACGATGTACTCCTGGCCTGTCTACTGGTTGGCCCATCCGTAAGGATTGCACGCAAAATATTCACTAATCTGGATTGTTTTTGAAAAATCGTTATCATTTTTGTCTTTAATAGAACTGTGGTACGGCTGCAGTCCACGGGTGATCGCCTGCATTGGGGCTTCTCTGCACGGCATCTTATCTTCCCCATTTTCGTGGGTGTCACGAGCGCCGCGGCCTACCTATCGTGCGGGGAAAACGGGATTATCCTGTCTGTGATACTCTACTTTCTCAGAGTATGTCTTCTTTTTTTCTCGGCGTAGCTGTATGCAACATCAGCTGCTGATCATAGGTGTGCTACGATAAGCGACACCTGCAGCGCACCTCTTCCTCCAGTCTGGGCGGTATGCGCGGTGACGTTCGCGAGGAGACGCAGATCATTCTGTTAGCCCTTCTGACCGCTCTGCTAAACGTGGTGCCGAGTGTGGTATGGAGTCGGCGGATCAGTTTAAGTAGTGGCTGGCAGCTGTGGGAGAGCGTCAGACGCAATCAACTGGACAGTGATCCCTCCTTCGTTGTGGCGTTACTTCTCGGCAGCATGCTGGATCTCAGCGGCATCCACCGAAAACCATTGACCGACAATAGTGAGAAGCGAGGATTTCGACACTGTTTCAGGTTAGCACACGATATTCAAGTAAGGAAGTTGGCTGAATTACGGTA